AACCTATTTAGCATTTAGGATGTCAATTAAATTTAGATAAACTTAATGACTATTTAAAATTGTACTTTTAGTTAAATTTAACTATTCAACTTTTATAACAGCTTAAGTTAAGGTATATATTAACTTTAACTTACAAATATGATCATAGATAACTCAAAATTTTACTTTATTTCGTCAATGAATATTAACACAATTTTTTAATTGTAAAACTTTTAAAATGTCTAAATGTCTTCTATACTTATCTCTACTTGCTCGGGTACTCCTACTCTAATTTTTAGACTTTTCTTAATTAAAAATTTAATATTAAATACAATAGAATATTATAAAAATTAAGATATCAGCTTTATGGACCACAGTAATAGTTAATCACAGGTGCAATAAGACTACTATGTTAACTATTAATTAATAAAAGATAATGTTTTACTTAAAAATATAAAAATAATTTTTAATAATTATACAAATAAAGTCATAGAACCTACAATTAAAATCTAGTGTCATAATTTAACTATAAATGATACTATATTTGAGAACAATACTGACATTACCAAATCAATAAATTTACTGTATATTTAACAAGGAGATTAACTTTCTTTTTAGAATATTTTTTTTAGAATAAATATTGGCTTTAATTCTTTGATTTAAATTAATCAATTTAATTTATGTTAATTGTTTAATTTACAATTAACTTAAAATGAAATCTATTATGGACTTTATATTATTTCTTCTAGTGCGCAATTATTTGATTCTAAAATTTTAAACAATAAAGCTATTTGGTAATAATCAATAATATTTGTTTAACAATCAACTTTTTCTATTAAAAACACATATTTCTCAAACAACTTATCTTAATTAAATGGAGGATCACTTTATATTACTTAAAGCACTCAAATTATTCAGAATTCTAGTTTTGAAAATGACTCATGCACTTCTAATGGAGGATCAATTTATTCTTCACGATCAAATCTGTCAATATTATCAACAGTTTTTTCTTCTTGCTCATCTTAAAACGGAGGATGCATTTATGCTGATAGTGGTTCTCTTAATTTAACACAAGTTCAATCTTAAGCATCAAAATGTACTAATAATGGAGGTTTTTTATATATGTCAAAAATACCAACTATAACCATAAAAGACTCAATATTCCAAAATAGTACTGCTTATTCGGATGGAGGCTGTTTTTATATCACAAAATCAGGATATATCAAATCAATAATTAATAATTCAAGTTTTTAGTTCAACAATGCATATGGGTAATTAAATGTATTTAATTTACAATTCCAATTCATATTTTAAAAAAAATAGGAGTGGTGGTGCTATTCTAATTGATAACTCTAACTTTCCATTATAAAATTCAAATTTTATAAAGAATAGAGCTGGTGTTGGAGGTGCTATAAGATATTTAATCATAAAACCTTCATTTATGGTTAAAAATTAATAAAACAACATAATAGCTAAAGATTCATGCAAAACATATTCATCTAATTCATGTAAATAGAATAAAGCAATAATATTTGGTGATTCAATAGCAAGTTATCCTTAATATGCTTCTATTTTTCCTAGCAGAGACTTTGATGTAAATATCTCGCTCTATCCTAATATAACTTTTAGTAATTTTAGAAGTGGTTTAAGTAGCTTTGATCTAAGCATTTAATTTTTAGATGAATTTAAGAACCCTGTGAATTAAGTTGATTTTAAGAATTCAAGTAACTACTTAAAATATTAAATTATATTTTTACCATATTTAACATATTAGCATAAACAGCTTAACTAAGTGGAAATTTGCTTTAAGAGTTAAGTCAATATAATTGCCAAGTTTATTTAATACAAACTATAGAATCGCTTTAGAAATAAATCATTAAAATTGAAGGAGCTACTTCTATTGATTATAAATTCTAACATTAAAATTTATCTGGATGTTTAATGAGTAATTTTAAAATTGCAGGAGTTCCGTCCTAAAGAGCAATAGTTTATTTATCACTTTAAGGAATGAAATAAATAGCAGCAAATTCTACTTTTTACGATGTTAATTAGATTTAAATAGAGATATATTTTAGAAGCTGTATCAAAGGAGAGTATTACAACCCTACATGCAATGGTTGTTTAATTTAAGAATGTGCTTAATGTTAAAGTGGAACATATTCTTTAGTTATACCAAAAATTAATAGTTAAAAGTAATGTTAACCTTGTGATTTATCAGTTGTTGAATCATGTTAATTGGATTAAATAGTGCTCAAATAAAATTATTGGTATTTATTTTTTATAAAAATTATTTTAGTACATTTCAACTTCTTTTATTTTAATTATTGATATTTGACTTAAAATGAATAAAACATTAATCCAATAATATTTATTTTTAGACAATATTATGAGGGTATTTGATAGGTTGTTGATAAATGATTTATATATTCTATTTTATTAACATTTTGAGTGAGCTTGATTAATCATGTTCATTTATTAATTTTATTTAAAATTAAAATAATATTTAGGAGAAGCAGCAATATTAGTGATAATATTTATGAATGTAATAAAAATATTTTGTCTTGCAATGGAGATGAATAAAATAATTACTGTGCTAAGGGTTATACTGGAGGATTATGTTCAGCTTGTGATAATTATGGATAAGTGTGGGGAAATCGCTATGGAGCCGTTTTATCGGTTAATGTAAGAGGTGTGGTATGTATGGAATGTTCTGAAATTTAAGCTAATTACTTTAAATAAGTACTAACCTTCATTGGTGTTTTAATTTATGTAGTAATTTTAATGGTTGACTCTTAAAATAGTAACTGCAGGATATGTTAAATACATACTCTTAAGCAGCTCAGGATTATCAATTTGGGAGTTTCATCTTTTACTCTATAATCTTCAACAATAGTAAAAATATTTATAAATTAATTTTAGGTATTTGCTTCATTACAACAAAATATTGGAATTACCTTTCCAACTCTATTTTCGAATTTAATTTCTTTCCCTAATTTCTCATCTCAGCCAATATACATATTTATATATTCTTTAGATTGCAGTTTAAGTAGCATAAATACTTAAATTCCAATCTAATATTTAAGATTTATTTACTTATCTATGGTATTACCTATAATCATGCTTCTTTCTTTAATATTATTCGTAAAAGGAATAATATTTATTCTAAGTTTATTCAATAACAATCAATACTTTAATAACCATATGTACAATACTAGAAATATGGCAATAAGCTCTTTGATTGTATTTATGTATCTAGTCTTATAAAATATATACTAGGAAGCTCTACAAATAATATTTTGCTAAGAGCTCGATAATAAATATTACATGAAAAGCCAAATGGATTAAATTTGCTATACCAAAGAACACAACTAGTATTTATTCTTTCTTATATGCCCTATACTCTTGATAACTGTAATAATCTATCCTCTTATACTTTTTTATTTAATCTACCACAATAAATAATATATGTTTATCCAACTCAGAAGTGTAGTAATTAGAAGATACGGATATATTATTTCAGGCATAAAATAAAACAGGTGGTGGTGGGAGTTTATTAGAATATATCAAAAATTCATAATTATCTTTCTTGCAACATTCTTTAATTCTCAAAATCTTATATAAACATTATCTATTTTGTTTCTATAATCGGTATATTTAGCACTATTAATATATTTTAAACCATATGAAAACAACAGAATTAATAAGCTGGAGGTAAAGTCTGTAACTTTAATGATACTGATTTTTTGGATTGCTGTATTTGATAGTTTGACAGAAGAATCTAACTTTAAATATGCGTTTTCTGTTCTCTTAGTTACTTTATTTATTATGCTCTTTGGTAAAAAAAAATTTTTTTCATAAAAAATAAATTAATTTGAATTAAAATAAAAAGGTTCTTTAATAGCAAGTTTTTTGAATGTTTTACTATAAAGAAGCATGATTAGAATAATAAAATCGAAAATTTTTAATTATATATTTATTAAATTCAAAAAATGTCTATCTACAAAAAATGAGTACAAAGTAAAAGAATACCTTAAAAAAAAAAATTACTCCTTATATATTTTAATGTTTAAGCCAAGTCATCAATCTCTGTAGGTCTTTAAAAAGTAAAGATATTTTTTTATTTGCAAATTTTAAATTCTTATTATAAAAAGCTGGAAGAGACTAAGAGAATTACTTTAATCTATGAATAAAACAAAAAAACAATAAGTTGAAAAAGCACCAACCCTTAATAGTCTAAGTTAAACACATCGCATTTAATTTAGTTTTAAAACAGATTAAAGTTTGTCTAGTCAAAGGCTTAATTTATTGTCTAACTAAAAGCTTTTGAAAAAAACAAAAACTGGAAATTTTAGACTTAAATAATTTGAATTATTTAAAATGTAAAATTCAATTTAGAATGAATGAACCTAAGCACCTAAAAATAAAATATTTTATACTAATTTTATTTAAATCAATATAAATGTATTAGTTAAAATAAAGATTACTTGTTGATAATTAATTTGATTTTACTCATTTAGCATTTGTAATACTTTAAATAAATTTTAATTTTGTTAAAATATATGTTTAAAAATAAAATATTAGTTTACAAATAAATAGAATTATTTAATCTAGTATATTTAATTGATTATTTTTGATAGCTAAATATAAAAATCTTTTGAAAAGCTTAAAATAAATTTCTTTTTTACAATTTTTAAATTTAATAATCTTAATGAAAATTTTAGAATTTTACAAAAATAAAAATAATTTACAACCTCATAGCATAGCTCTGCTAAAAATTTCAAAAATAGATTAATTGATAGAAAAAAATCTAAATTTTTATAATATCACATAGGATTTTTAATACTGATACTATTTGGCATACAATTAATAAATTTATTTAGGATTGTTATTTAAAAATAAATAAGCACATAAGTAAAAATTAATTAATTTAAGTTTTATTTATTAAGGATAAAACTAATTTATTCACAGTTGATTTTAAAATAAATTAAATAAAAATTTTTAGTTTTATAAATTTAAATCAATCATTTAAACTTTTGGCAATTGAATTTCATTTCGGAAATACATTCATTTTACTCGTCATTAGTTAATTAACAAGTTTTCCAGTTAAGCCTGTGAGGCATTTTTAGTATTTCACAAATGATTTATCTTCCAAAATCTAAAGGAAATCTTTCATTTTCTTTAAACACATATAAATATCTTTTGAAAGTATCTTAAGAAAGATAAATATCAATATTAAAATAATATTCTTTTTCTCCTACGCAGCTAGAAATTTGCTCATTTGCCTCTAATTTGAAGAAATCAATTTTCTAATGTTTGACTATAGATTCAAAATTACTTTAAAATTGTGTTACTTAGTTCTAATCTAATGGTACACAATTAATCAATATATGTGAGACGTTTGGAGAAAGTTTTACATATCTTTAATAAATAACAAGCCCTTAATTGTATCCGTTTTCAAAGATATATAGCAAATTCTTTTTTATTTTTGAAATTTCATCAAGTAATTCTTAAGAGAATTCTAAAGTGCTAGAAAGATGATCATAAGGTACAATCATAAAGTGATTTTTACTCAATGGGCCTTTATCTAATGCTAAATAACAATGTTTCCCCTCATAAAAAATAAGACTCTTATCAATATTAGGGTTAGAATAGCAAAACCAACATTTATCATTTTACTTTGACTTTATATTTTAAAAATAATTTAAAATTTAAAAATTCTTTTTAATTTATTTTTTTAAACTATAAAATTGTTTTTAGTTTATTTTTTAAATAATCTATCTCTTGAAAATTTAATATTTAATCATTCTTTCAATTTAATTTAATTTTTAATTTGTTTTTGAATTTAATTTAGTAAGTTTTACCTGACTTGATTTATTGTTATTTGCAAGATTAAATTTAATCTTTCTGGAGTGCAGAGAATATTTTTCTGAATCATTTAGAGCTTTTTATGTAACTTAAAGATCTTTATACTCAACAAAACCATAACCTTTATGTTTTTTTGAGTGATCATCATAAACTAAATTTATTTTAGAAATTGTACCCCATCTAGAAAGGAACTCAATGATATCATCATCATTAGTTCTGTAATCAAATCCACTAAAATGGATAGTTTAATTTTATTCTAAGTTAATAGAATGCTTTTCTTACTTACCATTAGGCTAGTATGGTTTTATTAAGTCCTCAGTTTCTCCTTAGCTTTTTTCTAGCTTATCAAGCCTTTCTTCTTCCTCTTTCATTAATTCGTTTTCAATTTATTACTATATTGAGAGTGAAGTATCTTTTACTTTTTATTATACTGGGGGCTTAGTTAAATGAGTATATGGGTTTTAAGTACAATCGTCTGTGATTTGTTTAAGCTCTTCAAGAGGAGTTTTGCTGATTGGTGTTATTTGAAATGCTGAAATATGCTTTTGCTATGATTTCCATTTTCCTAAGCAAACCAATCTACTTAAATGACCTTGTTCATTTTAATATGGAAATCTTGCATAATATTTGTCTTCCAAAGCACAGAAGTGGTAACGAGGACTAAGCTTTTATGCAATTTTAGTAATATGAATAGATTTTCTCTTAACTACCTCATTAAAAGTAGTATATTTTTCAAAGCCTTCAGGCCATTCATTTGACAAAAATATATCAACTCCCATAAATTGATTGGAAAGCTTTACTTCCTCTTCTAAAAGCTTGATATCTTGCAAACTATAATAAGGACCTAAATATTAATAAATATATTTTTTTATATAAAGTTTAATATTGAATAAGTGAAATATCAGCTTTAAATTAAGTTTATTTTAATTTCTAAAATGAACGAATTAAGATTTTCATATTTGAAATATTTTTTTTTTGAAAATGGCTATCATAGCAATTATTTTATTCTAAATTCTAATTCATTTTTTTATATTTTGTTCTTTTTTAAAGCAAATATCAAAATAAATAAGAATAAACTATTCTAATACCTGTGAATGAAGACTTTTATGAATGCAATTCTGTGTAGAACTCAGAATATTTATTTGATTATAGCCCATTTAAAAAGGCTACTTTCAATCCTTATATTTCCTATATTCCTGACCTGCCTAGGAAAAATATATTTTTTGCAATTTCTGTACCAGTAGGGTATAAATGATTTAAGCATTAGCACATCTCACTGCAGTCTATGAAATATACAGGGATAGGCATTTCTACTCCAGATTTTTTGTAATCCTACAATGAAATCTCTAAAGAGAGAGTTTATCCAACGCATACAGCAAAATTGAATTCCTGCCCTTTTTTACTAAAATTCTAAATTTTTTGAGCCAAACCTTCAAAATTTCCTTAAAGGTCTCCAACAACTAAAATTTTCTTCATACTAACTAATGATCTTAAAACAATGATTTTTTGTATCTTTATTGACTAGATAAAAAATAATATATTGTAATAAAAATTATATCTCTTTGCATTTTGTCTATCAAAAATTTATAATAATTAAAAATGAATAAATTACAATACAAAAACTATTAAATTATATAGTTAAGAATATTTATAATTAATTAAATTATTATTTTATTTCATTCAATTCATAAAAAAAAAAAATTAATTTGATTATTATAAATGTGTTTGTATGAAAAAGGGTTTGTTTAATAATTCTAAGAATAAAATATTTTAGATTGATTATTAAATGATATGGTTCTAATATAATAATTGTTATGCACATGATAAATATATATTTATATATAAATTTAATATACAGAAATACTCTAAATAAATAAGATTAGTATTTTGGTGGGAAGTTGTCTATCTACATAAAATATTGAAATATCATTTTGGTTTATTATTAATATTAATTTAACTGAGTCAATTAGAATAGATTATTTATAAAATTTAGTTTGATTATTATATTTTCTTTAACATCTTATTGATTATTTACATTTTTGTTGATATTTTAGAGAAGATTTGTTAATTTTAATTCAATTTTTTTACACAATTTTAATAATTTGTTCATCTATCTATATCTATAAATTATAGATAAAATAATCACAATTCAAAATCAGAAAGATCTTCTTCAAATAATATCTTCTTCTTAAGTTCCTCAAAGTTACTCTCTTAATTAGACAGATTCAAAAATTGAATATCTTTACTGAGAGGATTTTAGCAGCGCTCGGGAATGCAGCTTTCATCAATAATATCCGAATTCATTAAAAAAGGAGAAAGTAAAGAGTTAGCATAATTGCTATACCCACTGTGCTTATAACTATTTTCTAAAAAACTAGAGCTGTTGATTGAGTTTTTAAGCTTTTTTTAATCCATAAAAATTGCTCCTTCATTTTCGCAGATATTTTTAAAAGAAGATGATATTTTTCTATTATATCCCTCTTCATATGATAATTAATCATCACTAATGCTGGTGTTCAGAAGAGATTTACTCATTATTTTGAGAAAAGTTGAGTTTTAATTATTTTTTGCTTCAACACAAAATAGTTTTTTTTCTTAGCTACTTTACAAAGAATCAGCTGTTTTTGCTGTAAACGCAATATTTGATATTGATTTTTTTTTTTTGTTTGATAATTAATTTGATAAAAAAGAATTATGATTTGATTGTTTTTATTTACAATTAAATAACTCTTTACTTTTTATTTAGTATTTTTGCAATTAGTTTGTTATAGATAATCCTTAAGAGGCACTTGCTTTTAATTAATTATTTTACATAGAAGAAGCTATGAAAGAGCTAGTAGAAAACAAAGACCTTGTCTATTATCTTATATTAATAACTTAAGATTAATTATTTATAACGTCCTTATCTTCATTCAAATAAAATGAATTTGTAGGTTCATTTGATTAGCTATTTTAAATAATTTAAATTGTTAATTTAAATAGTAATCTAATTTTAAATAAATAAAATGGCTTACTTCATTTTTACATATTTATCAGTTAAACATTTATTTATTTTTGGTAGCCCATCAATTTATTATTATTAGCACATTTTTTGTTCTCTATACTAATTGTTTTAACGAGAAGAAGGAGAAGGAGTTGAGTTTCTATTCGTTATTCCATAGTTTACTTATTTAATTTATATACAAGAATCCAAATCTACTTTCTCTGTATTGTAAATAGTTAAATTACTTTCAATTGTTTTGCTTCTTTGTTTTTTTACTCTTTTCATCGCATACATTTTTTAAATTTATTACCTATCTCCAGACACACCAATTAAATGTTAATATAAAAATTTTTAGATTTTTCTTTGAAATAGTAAATTCTAAATTTTAATGGATTGTTTATCAAAATGCAATTATTATTTTAATATAATTTAACTATGAGTCAAATCTGTGAAGCTTTTACTTCAACAAAGCTCTTTGTAGATTTTTTTATTCCTTAAATTTAGAAGTATTTATTTATTGAGATAATTATGGCTATCTGATTGATATATTGATGATTTGGAAAACAAAATGAAATTATTAATAGATATTCAACTCCTTAACTCCTTCTTCTTAATGAAAACAATGATAATTCTACAAATTTTCTGTCTGATTATTGTACTTTACTTTAAAATTGATAATGCAATTTATAATTTATGAAATAAAGAATTTTTTACTTTTAAATTAGTATTATTAATATTCCTTATTAATTTATAAGGTCTTTCATTAATTATATAATAAAATGAAATTGACTAAATGGATCTATCTTTTATCTTAATTTTTAAATATAATTTTCAAATTTACTAAAATCTTACTAACTCTATAGTGTTCGTTTGGACAATCAAACAATCAATCAATCAATTATTTACTTACTGTTTAAATTTTGAATTAATCAGTAAAAATCATAGGAACAAATGCATTTATATCAAAAAAAGAGTGTTTTATAAAATAATATGATCAAATAAAACTTTTGTTTAACTATTTGAGGTTATTATAAAAAAACAAATATTTTATTCAAATTAAGATATTTTTAAAAGATTTGAAATAAATTAATGCAGCTTAAATATAAAATATATGATTTTAATAAATTAATACAGTAATACAGTGTAGACTTTGCATACAAAATATTAAGAAATATAAATATTAAAAATTTATTGCATCTTTTGTTTTTTAACATTTAGTTCTATTATTATTTAGTTAATTTGCTTCTTATTATGTTTGTGATTTTAATTTGAGTATTAAGTTTAGTTTTACAAAACTTTTAGAAATCAGTAGAGATTGTAAAAGATAAATAGGCCTTATAAAGACAATTATTTAAGGAAGCTTTTATTAGAAATTATTTTAATTAATAATTAAAAGCTAAACAAATATTTACTTATAGTGTCATTGTTATTTAATACATTTTAGTTGAATTGAATTGGTCTATTTCTAATAAAATAATAAGCTAATTACAAAATAATGATTAATAGATTCTTAAAAAATATACAAATATTAAGATAAAATGATAAAAATGAAAGCAAGCCTTTCGAATAATTAAAGGATATGATATTTTACACATTCTATTAAGTCTTAGAAACTCGTACTTTATCGGAAAATATTTCAATTTTTATTATAGTCATGAATTTCCTTTAGCTTATAGCAATGACTCTAAACAAAGCAAATACAGATCTTTCAAGTACTTCAATAAGTGGTGGTTTAGTAATAGCAGATTATATTCTTGTCTATCCTGCTATTACGGGTAATAATAATCAATTATTCTTTAGCGGGTTTCTATTTTTTGGATTGTTTACCTAAGTTTTTCTTATTTGGGGTGCTGTTTTTATTTATAAATAAGAGTTTTAAGATGATATATCTATAAAGGAATTTAAAAATGTTTGGGCATTTATTTATGACTTATAAGATAAAGTTCTAATGATACCTTATTATGGTTTGGCTATTTCTGCAATATTTTGTGAAGGATCTTCAGATTGTTCAGCACGTAATTAATTACTTTACTAAGAAAAATGTCTATATTATAATAAAAAATAACTTATCTCTACAAACAATACACATTTAAAATTTTAAAAAGCCAGTTTCTATATTTCAAAGCAATATAAAACATTTTTAATATTCAAAAAAATACAAATTAAAGTTTCAATTTAGAATTTTCAAAATAAAAACTTTAGAAAAAATTTAAGAAAGACACACATTTTTTTAAAAATTAATCTAAAAAATAAGGAAAAAAATTTTAATTTAAGAAGATTTACTCAAAAATATCAAATATTTTATTTAGAGATATAAAATAAGCATTAAAATAAAACTATTTCTATAAAAAACTTTATTATTAATAAAATTCTACTCATATAAAAAATATTAAATTTACTCTTCAAATTAAAAAAATAACTTTAAATTAAAAACTAATTGTTTAATTAATTAAAAATACATTTAATAATTTTATTTTATTAAAAAAGCAATTCATTATGTTGACATTTTTACAAGTCTATTACTTATAATATTTTTGACTATTAACGAGCTCTTTTATTTACAGCTGTTCTTTAACTTCACTTTTAGAATAAAGGATAATTTAGCAAAAAATCCAACTAATTTCTAAATTTTTATGTTTGTGATGAAGATTATTTTAATCTTTATTTAGGTACGATTTGACATTAAAACTAAAGAAACTTACATTGAATATTTGATAGTTCATCTGATTAATGGATTTTTTTTGTGCTATGAATCTCTATCTGCTTTTCCTTATCATTCTAAAAATGTATCGAAAGCTCATGGTATATTTTGTGCTTCCTATTTTTGGATTAATGGAGTATTCTTTGTGCTTTACATTATATAAGAAGGTACAATTTCTTCAAATATTTTATACATAGTAGGAGTAGGGTTGGGTTGTTTTGTCAAGCTTTACTTAAATGTTAGGAATTACTACGCTAAAGTATTTTTTTAATCAAATTTATTTAGCCTTCTCATGAATTTATTTGTCTTTTAACTTTAACTAGGAAATAGTATTTTCTGAGCTAGAAGAAATTGGAGATGATATACTTTTAGATTTAAAAGTAAGGTCTTTCAATCATCTATTTAAAACCTTACATATCAAAAAAAGTGAGCTATTGCTAGCTTCATTACTTAAGATACACTATGATAAATGTAAAGAAAAAGCAACTTGTCTTTGTAGAAATAGAAATACTCTTTTTGACCCAAAAAAGAGAGAATATGGTGATCAAAAGCTTTAATTACATAAAGATAACGTTTTTGTGAAACATTTTATTTCTAAAATGATCTCAGATGGCCATAAAAAATTTAAGCAATCTATGCTTCTAGAGTTGAATTACATGTTTTATCTGTATGAAGCTTTAAGGCTATACACACCTTTATTTTAAATCATTTAAAATTTCAAAAAAAAATATGAAAATTAAATTAACCTTTCTTATGAATTTTGTCTTTATAGGCTTGAACAGATGGTCCATCATTTTATACAAAACAAAAACCAAAAAAGTAAATTCATTTAAAATTTAAAATACTATTTTGAGTTTTATTTGTAATAAAATAAAACTTTATCTGTTTAAAAATTCTGAAGCAAAGTTAACAATATTAATTTATAAATTAGGTACTGTGTCTGATGAATTAAAAATAGAAAATGTTCAAATTTTTGATGTTGGATTGAAGAGGCTAAAAGATTATGTAAAATAGGTTGCAAAATAATTCTAACAAATATGGGAATGCTTATAAGATAATATACCAGATTTATCCAAACTTTTAGAGATATGTAATGATACTTCTTAAAAGATAGCAACTACTAACGATTTATATGAAGAACTAAAGTATTATAATTAAAATTCTACAGAATTAAAGATTCTGATGGAAATATATGCTGATTAATTAGTTTTTGATGAACCTCTCTACAAAAAGATTTAAAAAGAAATCCTTTTAACACCTCATATGGAGATTGGTGATTCAATAAATTAAGATATAGACTACCTTCTAAAGAAATATGATATTTATGATCAAAATTCTTGTATTATTAGTATAAGCTCCAATATAGAAACAATGAGCCAAATTACTTGGTGTTCTAAAAATTGTTTAAATGTGTTTGGAATCAATGAATAAAATCTTAAGGGAAGAAGTATAAACGATTTTATGCCTGATGTTTATTCTTAGCATCATGATAGTATTCTCTAAAATTTTTACCAAAAAGGTTGTTTAAAATATAGATTTTAAAAATATTTTTAACTCAAAATTAAATATTTTAGGAAAGGAAAGAAGTATAAATAATATTATGCATACTTGGGCTATTGACCATAAAGGCTTCTGCTTTTCTTGTAACATCTTTGTAAAAATAATTCCTTCGCTAAAGAATTATGAGATTATTTCTCTGATTCATAAAATTAATGATAAAGATTATATAATCACTGACTATGATGGATAAATATCAGGCCTTGGAAAGAAGGCTGCTGATTATTTAGTAAATTTATTTAAAAGAAAAAATATTTTAATTTTATTTTATAAAAATAAATAGCAATTAAATGTAAAAAAACTTAAAGAATAAAGACTTAATATCTAGCTGTTTGCACCGAAGATAAGTGATTTATATAAAGATTACTTTGGAGATTCTGAAGAACCTGAAGAATAAAATCAAGTTAAAATTTCAAACTAACAACTTCATGTTCTGGGAGCTGATAATAGCTAATTAAGAGAAAAAGAATTCAAGTATTTATTATTTTTAATTGAATAATTATATTTAATTTATATTTTATTAGATTTTATTTTTTTGTTCCTAACGATTGTGATAGCTTGATAGAGCACCACTTGAATAGCAAAAAAAGACTTCTTACCAAATTTTTCAATGATGAAGACATTTAGATTAAAGACATTTCTTCAAAATCAAAAGATATAACAGAGCTTATAAAATTTAAGAGTGCTTATGCTGAGTTTATTTAAAGAGGAATTTTAAAATTAAATAAAAAGAGATTATTAAAAATTATCAAAATTAAAGCCTCAGTATAATTTCTACAATACTAAACTATGAATAACTAAACTTTCAGAATCAAAGCTATAAAAATCATAACAATAGACGTAATAAAATTATTAGATAAGGAAATTTTTATATATTATAATAAAATTTATGATAATAGTCTAAAACTCCATAATATGCTACTTAAGAGAGAATGCAAAGATAGTAAAAATATCTTAAGATTTTCATTTAAGATATAAATTAAAGGCACAATGATTTCAAAGTAAAAAAACTAAAAAAACAATAAGAAGAAGAGCAAAAAGAATAAGAAGAGCAAAAAAAAGAGGAGGAAGAGAAGGAATAAGACCCTAAAAATAAAAAATCAAATCAAAATAAACTTATGAGTCTTCTAAAAAAGATTAAACCAACTTAAAATGGTAAAAAGAAGGTATGTTTGTTTCATGCACTTTAACTTCATAAAATTATTTTATAAAAATTGACAATTTAGCAAATCAAATTTTTAAAATAGTTAACTACCTTTTTTGATGTAGTTTTGATGATCAAATTAAGAATTTTATTTTTTATGGAAAATTATATTAACAAAAAATATGATTCCTAAAATGATTTTACAAATATATTAATAATTAAATAGAACGATAAAGAAAACTTAGAAGAGATAGATATTATGCTTAAAAAAAGAATTTTAGAATTCTTTAAACCAAAGAAAAGTTTAAAGTATATTAAATCTGCGAGATTAAAAGGTTATTCATGGTTAAAGTAAAACAATCCTACTTAACAAAAAATACCTTTGCCCTCTTAATAGGATGTAAATAACTAATAATCACCAGAAAAAAATAATCTAAAGCCAGTTGCTAGAACCTTAGAAAAGAAAACTAGCATAGTTTTGTAAATTTAAAAAAATAATTGGTGAAATACCCAATTTTTATTTATTGAGTTAAATTAGCTGGAACTAAAATAATATTTTTTAAATAATAAAAAGGAGTAATGCAAGACCAACAGCTGAGTAAAGAAATGCATTTAAATCAGGGAAAAAGTAAAGCTCAAATTTAAGTAAATCTGTTACAACTCCTATAAGATAAGACAAAACTAGAAGATCGAGGGTATTCGATGATGAATCTGATGATGATAACAATGAACCTGAGGTCAGTATCAGATTAGCTCATAGAGTTAGAAGAGCTTTGCTAAATAAGGGTATTATCGGTATTAGAGAAAGAAGTTTATTTTATGATCCAATGAATCTCAAAAAAAGAAGGGAGAGCGGTTAGCTATTTCTACTTAATTCAGAGGAAATTATCGAAGGCAAAAAAGGAACTTAAGAAACTTTATAAGAATCTGGTGAGTAAAGTAAACCTTAGCTAAGTAAATATATTAATCATGTATAAATAAACACACAGCTCAATAAATTTTTTATAAAAAGCTTAATTGAATGCCATATAAAAGCTAAAAAAAATGTTCAAAGAAGGTAAACTCCATATGAACGAAAAAATTATAAAAGAAGAAGAAGAATTTTCCTAAAAAAAATCTTATAAATCTGGAAACACAATTAAAACTCTCAAAAAAGTATTTTTTCATTAAAAATTTTAAAGATATTAATAAGAATATTTTAGATTAAAGATAGTAGCTCATCAAGTGAAAATGAAGATTATCATAAAGATAACATATTTGATGAGAATCAAAAATTTATTGAACATAGATCAGATGACTCTCTTATACAGGAAAGAAATTTAATCGATAATTTGGAAAAAGTCGAAATAAAAGAAGAAGAAAGAGCAGTAGCTCAAAGTGTAGGATCTACATCTTCGAGTTTAAACGCTTAAAATGCAGTTAGAATTCTCAGATAAAGTCTTAAAAACATGGAAACTCCAAGAATTCTTTAAATCGCAAATTATACAGTTATTTTTATGTGTGTTGCAGTATTTTGTTTGAGTTTGAGCTAGTTCTTACTTTTTAGGACAAGAATGCAATAACTCTAAGATCTATATTAGATAATAGGAAGAATCAGTACCTACTCTGAAAATACTATTAGATTTTATTACAATTATATTGATTTCTACATGGTCAATTAAAAATATTATGATCTTAATCTTTACAACTAAGCTTGGTGGTAATCTAATGTGGCTACAATTAAGTAAAATCTTTATGAATTCACTAATTTTGAACTATTAGATTTAAGTTCAGCTGGCTAAGAAGTGTCTGGAAAAACTGTAAAAAATTATTTTTTTATTAAATAAATCAATCGCATCAATTTTTTATTATCAAAGAGATAAAATGTTTAGCAAGAAATTTAATGAATTTATTAATGAGATAATATCAAATAAGAGTTAATATTATTTTTTTATTCCAACTAGGATTTAAGGGCATACTTATTTTAACCTATGCAATATACTATGCTTGTAGCTAAATAACCACAAGTATAGGATAGTAACTTTGAAAGCTATTTAAGACTCTACATTAACTCAATCAACCAGACAATAGATTTACCTACTACTTATTTTACATACTAAAATTATTTAACAAATGATTACCTATTTTTTATCGATTAAAATAAGGATGAATAAATTAAATAAAATATTTTAAACATGAATAGTACTAATAGCATGATTTAAAGTTAGAATAATTAAGCATTATAAGATTTTATAATATAATGGTCTTTTACTTTCTTTTTTATAATATTCACTTTCTTTGTTTTATATCCTATTATGCTAAAGTCTAGAATTAAAATACATGAATCATTGGTGCTCTTTACTCGTATCTCTTTAAGAGATGTAGATTACTATGAAGATCACTACAAGAAGTTACACTTTTTCTTTAATTCAATTGAAAATGTATTTTATCTTATGAAGGAAATCGAGAAGTTTGTTGAAAGCTAGGCTTTACTCCTATAAAAGCTAAAAAAATCTTCAGATTCAAGATCTATTGTTCGTAGTCGTGATTATAAAGGAGTAAAGGTTGATAGTTTATTATTCTTACTTCAAATCTCATTTGTTATGATATTATTTTTGTCATTTATTGCTTTAAAAGATTATAAAGCTATCATCTTCTTAACTAGCTTAGATACTATGAAAAATCATTAAATTACATAGCACTCTGTTCTTTACAATAATCTTGTTGCAACTTGCAATTACCATGAGCTTTTTAAAAATATCATCGATTCTAACAATTCCACTTAATTTAACAACGATGTTAGCAATTTTGAATTTTTCTTGAGTTAAAATAGTAAACTGTAAGAAAATTTGATGGACAGCTATTCATTTTTTGGTTAATTTTAGACATCCTATAAATAATTCATTTAAAGCTTATTGTAAGATAGTATTTGCACGGAAGTTCTCACTTTAACATAGTATAAATTTAGAATTTTTTTTTTTATTTACTTTAGTTTTCAAAAACATTGAAATAAATTTTAATGTTAAAATAATATCTTTTATATTTATTTAAAGGAGTTAATTAAATTAATGCTAGAGTTTATTTTCTGGCGTATTAAATGAAGGTTATGTAAACTTCTATATTACACAGCAATAATATATGAAATTAAATGTTGATAACTTGAAATAATACTTGCAAACCAATGGTTATGATTTTGCTAAGTTAAAAGCAAGTTAAATGATCAAAGAAAGACAAGTATACGATATGAGATATCTTTATGATTACATTTCAAATACTACTTAATTGTGGTATTAAGAACAAACAGTAAAACTTTTATTAAACTTAATTTTTTTGAAAAATTTATATTTGAAAATAATTTAAACAGGATGCAATCAACTAAGGGATAAGCGATTAAATAAATTATAACATGATGCTGCTTATCTTTTTTGATATATTTATTTTCCTATTCGTCATTCTAGTGTGGTGGAAAGTTTTCTATGACCTAAAGAGAGATTCACAGTGGGTTAATAGTTTCATTCTTCTTATTCCAATCTAGCTGCACAGAGAAAACCAATATTTAAGATCTTATTTAAAGAAAAAACTCAATTTAAATAATTTTGGTTAGTGATGTAATAAAAAATAAGAATGTTATTTTAAGCTAATTGTAATTATTATTCAATGCATATTGTAAAAAATATTTTAGCTTTAAACCATAGTTTTTAAAACATAATACTATTTTTAATAAATATTTACTCAAAAATTTTTTGAATAAATTAATTTTAAATATTTAAAAGTAAAAAATTTAGTATTTTATATTAATTAAAATTTAATTATATTTTTCTGAAAAACTTTGGAAATATAAAATATTATTTTAATTCCAAATTTATAATTTAATTTAAATGCATTTTTAAGAAGTAAAATAAAAATAACTTCATCTAGGAATTCAATTTCTGAAATAAATAATATGAAAAAACGATGGAATAAATATTTTAAAATATAAAATTCTATTTTTTAATACAAATTTGATTTAAACTCAGTTAATTTAGGTGACAAAAATTGATGAGAAAAAAATAAAGTTTTATAGTTAAAATTTATTTTTACGATTTTTAACTATTTAAAATTATTAAAGGAGCTTTTAATTTTTTAATTTACAAATTTATTTATTTAATATATTTCTATTTTTTATTATTTATTTTTAAAAATGTTGATAATATTTATTTAAAAAATTGATAAGTTTTTAGCTCAAACGTTAATAAATAAAAAGACTTAGACAAAATTTGTTTTATAAACAAAAAATATTGTGTTGATTTTAGTAATATATATTCATTTGTTAACAAAGAAAAATGTAGATTTAAAATATTAACATTTTGTTTTTAAATGGTAGGATTGAGATAAACAATTCGCCATTCGTTATTAATAGTAATAATTATGTATAAACCTATCACTAAAATTAGTAAATAGTTCATCAAAAATAAATGAAGTCTTCTAAGACTCCCAAGAGCTCATTCATTAGACAATAATTTAAAGATTATTAATTTAAAAAAAATTAGTATTATATAAAAAATAATAATTCATTAAAAAAAAGTGAAATAAATTTATTAAAAATAGTGTTAAAATACATAGTAGGTACTCTGAAATAATCTAGTTGATAGGGCAATAAACGCAATTTATCAAGAAATAAAAAAAGTAAATAAAGTATAAAACAACATCAAATATCAGATCTGCCCTTATAAATTAGATTAAGCATAAATGGACAAGTACTAATTGGTTAAAAATCTTGGAGATGGCACCTATGGAACAGTATTCAAGGCTATCAATAAAGAAAATGGTGAAATTGTTGCTATCAAAAAAATGAAAAGAAAGTATAGAAATTGGGACGAGTGCATGTCTCTGAGGGAAGTTAAATCGTTACGTAAAATGAATCACCCAAATCTTGTCAAGCTAAAAGAAGTCCTCTAGATAAAAGACGAGCTTATGCTTGTTTTTGAGTATGTAGATCTCAATTTATACTAAATGTACATGACTTACAAAGAGAAGAAAACTTAAATTCCTGAGTCTGTTATAAAAAAAATAATTTATCAAATAGCGTTAGGCTTGGATTCACTGCATAACACAGGATACTTTCATAGGGATCTTAAGCCTGAAAATCTATTGGTTAACATGTCATCATTAAACGTAAAAGTTTGCGACTTTGGACTTGCAAGGGAGGTAAGAGATAATTATATATAACAAATAGAATAAATAAGCTAAACACCCTTAACTATAAATTTCACCAGTTTTATAAAAATTTAAAGCTGCTGATTTTCACTTCTTTGAAATCCTAAAAATGGCTTAAATAATAAAGAAAAGTAGCTTACTAAAATGAATAAAACATGTGAACACAAATAAATATTTAAATCCCTCTTAAAAATTCTAAATTTTTTGTTATGTTTTAAACTAACGTTCAATTTTTTTTTTTTCGCGACGAATTTATTCCAGTCTTCTAATTTGTTCGAATATACAATGATGCGCGATATTATTTTTATTAATATCAAGTAAATGAAGCCTTACAGTAATACTTACAAGAACTTATATTTTTGTAAATTATTTTTTCCAGTACTTGAAGAGGATAAAAATTATCAATAATAATGCTCTTTCAAGCATTGATAGCATATTTTTTATTCCTCAATTCAATATTTTGTTTAATTGTCGTAATTCATATCCTTGCTGGTTCTACTACCTATAAAACTCCCATCATTTTTAAAATTAGAATCATTCATTTGAAAGCTCTTAATATTTTTAAAAGAAAGAGGATTTATTTAAATATATCAATCCTTAAATGATATTTTAAATAAAGACTCTAATTTATAATGAATTATAAAAATACTTTGATTACTACCATAAATTTATTCAAATACTTTTTGTTACATCTGGATTAATGATTCTCTTTTGTGGTCAAAATTAATTCATAGTGTTTTATTTTTAAATATTTATTAAACAAAATTGTAATTTTGACCATAGAATTAATCCCAATTTTTTAATTTATTTATTTTATAATTAATATTATTGCAGGTTAGATGCCGTCCTCCTTTTACTGAATACGTCTCTACTAGATGGTACAGAGCACCAGAAATACTTTTACATAGCTAGAATTATAATTCTCCGATTGATGTATTTGCTTTAGGGTGCATTATGGCGGAATTATATAATCTTCAGCCATTATTTTCAGGTTAAAATGAAGTAGATTAATTTTATAAAATAGTAAGTGTATTAGGCACACCTTAAAATTGGAATGAAGGAGCTAAATTAGCCCAAAAACTGTAGTTAACAATACCTAAAAAGGAGCCATTGCCTTTACCATAAGTAGTGCCTAGAGCTTCTCTTGATGCACTTTAACTTCTAGGTGATATGCTGCAATATGATCCAATGAAACGTCCTACAGCAATTTAAATTACAAAATATCCTTATTTTGATGATATAAGAAAAGAAAATTCAGATAGTGGAAGCTAAGTTTTTAGTCATTCTAACCTGCAAGAAGCACACTCAGGAAATGCATTAACTTAACAAAAATCTAATCACACATTAAGCATTACAAATATTCCTAATAAAGTTAGCGAGAATGCTTATAAAGAAATAAAGAATCCATGGTTTGTAAACAATTAGTAATCATATTAATAACAGTAATCAGTTTTAAATGAAAATAATTTTGCTAAAAAGTAAAATACCCAATCATATCAAAGCTTCAATACTCTTAATTTAAGTAAGCCTTAAAATCCTTTCTAACAGTATAAAGATGAATTTTTAAAAAACTAAAATATCTACTCTAAACAGCATGTATAAGATTCTAATTATGCTAAGAGAGCTGCAAATTAATTATTATATGAGTAGTAGTAATCATAGTAAAACCTTAATCCTGCTTCAACTACTAACTACCATTTTGCAAGTAAGTCGAATTTAAATGGAGCTTAGAACTCTGGATTACCGTTTGGAGGAACATTAGAAAGACCTCTTAATTTTAACAATTAATATGATCTTTAGAAAGTGAACAGAAGATAAAATAATTTGCTGAAAAAGAATTATGAGAATTTTAACTCTATTCAATCTAACAATGAACCATAATATTTCAATCAACAAAAATATAGTGATTTATAGAGCTCATTAGACAATCAAGCAGCAGCTTTTTTCAATTAATTTAATAAAGTTTAGGTTAGCAATAATAACTATTAAAATTACCATAACAATAAGAACTCTTCTTTGCCACCAGAATATAGTAATTTAATTTCTTTTTATTATTTTATTAATTTATTTTATTAAATAGGAAATGTCAATAATGAAGCTGAATCTTAATAACTGAATAAAATGTTTGAAGATAAGCTAAATTGGGCATTTTGAACTTGGTCTATTCCTTTGTAATTTTAAGTTGATTAGGTTGAACTTTACAAAGGAAAAATGTCTTTAAAAATAAAAAGTTAAATTATAATAAAAAAAATAAATACTCAGTAAAAGAAAATAAAAACAGGCTTAATCAGCAGATACTATTTTTATAAAATACTACTTATAAAATCTATTAAATATAATCAAAAACAATCAAAAGTTAATTAAAATAATACTAAAAATAAAAGTTTTAAAATAACTCTTTAAAATATCTTATTTACTGTTGTTCTATACTTATTCTTTTCTTTGTATCCCTTATTAAATAAACATATTTTCTATTTTTTAATCCTTTAAATATGTTAATTTCGAAATTATAAGCATTATATTTTTTAAATAAATAAATTATTAAATCTAAAAATAAAATCATTAAATTGTTTTTAATATTTTATTTACTTCTAAATCAAGAATAATTAAATAACAACGTATTTATATATAGAATATGTAAATTAATAATAGAAATTTGAAAGTTAAACTGAAAGCTTTATTTCAAAAAATTTTGTTGGTCAGTATCTCAAAGCATAGATAAAATTTAAGATTATTAGGATTTTTACTTATTTCAATTATTTTATTGATAACTTCAGAAATTGAAAACTTAATACATAAGTAGAAAATAAAAATTATCCAAAGAATTTGAATACAAAAAAATTGTTTATTTAAAAATATCTTTTTTATTAGCATAGCGGAACATTAATAAAATCAGTTAAGGGATATTTGTTATGAGCAGAAGTCATGAAACTGTAAATAAATTGCATCAATAAATTAAGAAATTAGATAGAATATAAGGATTCATGTTACTTATTTTTCCTAAAATTATTAGAGCGGTTCTAATTTTAATACAGAAACAGATGATCCTAATAAAGATCTAATTCTTTAGCAATGCAAAAAAGCTATCGAAGAGCTTCATTATGAATTGGAAAGATAAAATTAGATTAATTAACAATTGATAATAGAAAAGGATCATCAATTTTAGCAAATTTAGAGGTATGAATCAACATTTAATTCATACTTAGAAGAGATAAATTCATATAAAGGTTCTTAAATTTTATTACTATTTTAGTATTCATTAAATATACCAAAGCAAATGTTTAGTTATTTGTCTCATTAATTGAAAATTTTGATAAATTAAAATTAGAGGAGCTATAAAATCTTGGAGCTGAAGTACTTACTCTGAAATAAGTAAATGAAGGTTTAGAAATGGAGTTGAATTCTAAGTCAGATATATAAGCATAATATGAAGAAATAAAAAATGAATTGATTAAAAAGAATGAAGCTTATTAGTATTTGTAGAAAGTAAATGAAGATTTAGAAAAAAGACATGCAATTATGAATGAATGGTCAACAACTTTTGATGAAGTTAATTTACGTATTTAACAAACTGTTTAAGAAAGAGATAGTAAAAAATATATATTTTTATTTAATAAAATAAGAAAACAATATATAATTTATTACTTATTAAATTAACAGGTTTAATCTAAGAAAATGAAATTCTTAAAAATAGGCTTGAAAATGTTCAAAGAAATCTAATAGAAAGTGAAAAGTTGAATAGCTTATACGAAAAGTAAGTAGAAAATGAGTAATAAGATGTTAAATATAAGCAATTTGTTCACCAACTTCAACTTTAAAATGATTAACAAAAAGAATAGATTAAGATTTTAGAATAAAAGTTAGAAACTGAGTATTTGAACTGCAATAAACAAATATTCAATTCTCTCTAAGTTTAAAATGATCAATTAAAAGAGCAAATAAATATTCTTTAAAAAAGAGTAGAAGAGTAGGAAGATTAGCAAATAAGTAAGCACTTTGTTGCTAATCTTTAAATTGAAAATCAGTAGCTTAAAGAGAAAAATGCAATTTTAGAGAATAAATTAGAAGAAGAAAATCAGAATTATAAAATAATTGTTAAGTAAATCTTTGAGAATTTTAAAAAATAATTTTTTTTATTATAAATTAAAATCTGAGCCTCTTTTTTTCATTTGCTGAAATTATTAAATCTAAAAACCAATTTTTTAATTGTTTTTGGTTTACTAATTATTTTTTTATGAAACCTCTATAAAATATTTAAGTTTTTATTACCTAAAAATTAATTTATTTTTGTAAACATTAATCTTGATAATATGATACAAATTATTTACAAGTTTTTACAAGTCAATTAAATATTTTTATAAATAGAAAATATGAATAGAATATGGACCTTATGAAATAAAACATGCAACTTGATGTTGAAAAAACATTTGATAAAATTTAAGAGAAAGTAGATTTAAGTTCGATTGAAGTTGAAAGACTAAAGGAATCAAAATTTAAATTGGAGGAAGAAAATTCTGCACTTAGAGAATAAATAAGAGAACTCAAGTAGGAAGTTAGAAAAAGTAATATTGAAGCCTCTGCAATAGAATAGAATATGCACCATTCAGTTAGATAGATTTAGCAAGAAACTCAATTCGAATAATAATAAAAAAATTTCGAAATCGACTAGCTATAATAGAAATTAATTTTGGTTCAAAATGAAAATAAAAACTTAAAGCTCCAAAATGATAATGTATTAGAGTAGTATAATTAGTAGAAAGATAAATTGTTTGATTTACAAAATGCTATGTAGAATAAGGATATACAAATCTAAGAACTACAGAATGCTATTAGTTAATTTGATAGGAACAGTTCCTTGTATTCAATGAAAATACAAAATATATAGAATTAAGAAAATGATCTTCTATAGGTAAGATTATTATTTATTATTCAATAAACTTAATTGAACATTATTTTAAAGCAAAACGAATATCTAAGATCAAGGCTTATTGAATTTTAAAGAGAGTTGAAAAATCTCTAAAGAGATGTATTTGATTAACTTGAATAGGAAGATTAAAAAACTTAAGATTTAGAAAGAAGGATTTTGCACTCTTAAAAGTAGATGGACAATAAAAATCAAGATATTGAGGAACTAAGAATAGAAATTACATAACTCCGTAAGAATTAGGGTAGTGCATTTTTTGAAGCACAAAGGCTCAGAATTGAAAATGATGATTTAAAAAAATTGCTAGCCAGATATGACTCTAGGTTCTAAGAAATAGAAAATAATATGCTAAAAGGAAATAAATAAGAAATGTACAAAGATTAGTAGATAGAAGATTTAAGAAATTAAATAAGACAAGAAAGAATAAATAGAACTAATGAACAGAATTTAATTTTAGTAATTACAATCAATAGATTATTTTGATAATTATTTAGTTTTATTTTTTTTTTATGATAATTGATTTAATTTTTTTATTTTATTTTTATAGTCATTAAAGGATAATGTTAGAAGTTTATAAGAATAACTTGACATTAGTAATTAAAGATATCAAGAAGAAATAAAAAGAAGAGATTAAGAAGTATAAATAATTAGGAATCAATATGATTAATCAGTTGAAAAAGTAATTTACTTTATAAAATAAACAAAATTTCATACTTTTATTAGGTCCTTAAGAATGTTTTATTGATTTATTTATTTCAATAATAAAGAAATTAACAGAAAATTAAGAAAAAAATTTATTTCCCCTAAAAATGCAAAACAGATTTTTTGAAATTTTTTACTGTTCATTTTGTGATTATTTTTTTTTGGTATGAAGAATATTATTTAGACTAATTTTTTACGATTCTTAATTTTAAAATCTTTAAAGATTGAAGAATATTTGTAAGATATTTAAATAAATTTAGGCATTGTTATATAAATAATTTTATTAATACAGATTTAGTGCATTAGAATAAAAATTAAAAATTATTTTGTTTTAAAATTAGATTTTACACCAAAAAAATGCAATAGATGTTGAAAGATTAGAAAATGAAAAATATAATTCAGTTAAAACCATAAAGTTTAATGGATCAAATATCTCAAATAGACATGCTTTTATAGCGGCCTCACCTTAACGTGATTATATTGTCAGAGATAATACTGATCATAACTATAGTGAATATAATACTGCAAGACCTTGCTACAGCTCAAGTAAGGCTATATAGAATTTCTCTTTGGCTTCTACTCCTTTAAATACTAGAGGTATTATGAAGTAGGACAGATTATAAAATAACTCTTGTAACAAAAGACTTCATGGTTCATTTATTAACAAGTTCAAAAACGTATCTTTTTATTTATTTTCACAAAAATTTAAAACAAATATTGGCAACCATTAAAAAATTAGAATTTTAGTTTAAATTTTACACAATAATTTAAAAGCATTAATAAAAATTAAGATTTGCTGAATCAAAATGCAATTATTATTATTATTATAAATATATTTATTAACTTAAAAAAAAATTTTATTTTTTGAAATAGGTTGTAGATAGATTAGAAAATAAGCTTGAATTGATTTAAAAAGAAATAAATTGAATGTAACAAATTTAATTTTTTTCTAGTTTGGTTAGCTTTGACTGAGCAAATTTTATAACCAATAAGCAAATACAATCTTAAAAAAAATTTATAATTTTTAAGTCAAATAAATTTGTAAATTTATAATTAACAATTTTAATAAAAAAAATTTTAAGCCATTGAATAAATAAATGGTGAATAGAGTACTTTGTTAATTATTTAAAAAAACTTATAAAAATTTAATATATAAATTGCTTTTGTTACATAAAATGTAAATGTATACATAAATCTTTGAATTTTTGTGGAATTATGATTTATTAAATCTTTTTTTTTTGTTTTACAAAATTTGTTAAATTAAGTCATACTAATATTAAAATTTATTGCTTGAATAAATTTGTATCTTTTTCCTTAAATATCCAGTAGATCCTTTTTCTTAATTATTTTTGATATTATTTTTACATTTGGGAAATGTAATAAATAATAAATGCAAGCTTTGTAAATAGAATATTTTATAACTTATGTTTGATTGAATTACCAAAGATTGATTTTGGATGGAGTGAAATAATAAAATCATGTAATAAAGTAAAATTAAAATTAATACGAATTCAAGAATATAAAAACAAATTGATGATTGTAACGCATAAAATTCAGTTTGTAATATTATTCAATATTAATTTTTGTTTATTAAATTTTACTGTCTTTCTTTAAAAAAAACTTGCAAAATTTTAAATTCCATCTGAGAAAAAATTTTATTTTATTTTATATAATATTTTTGGTTAGTTAAACAGTATTATCTATTTACACTACAGTATTATTGTTATTATTACTATTATTATTATTATTTATTTTCTTTTTAAAGCTAGAAGAGTTTTTATATATGTTTTATCATTTATAATTGAAAGAATAAGATTAAATTAGAGTTGAGTAAAATTTATAGGCATTTTTTAGTTTTTTTTTAATTTATTTGATAGTCATTTCATCCTTAAGTCAGGAGTGAAATTTTCTTGACGATTAATTGTAATCATTATTATTTTAGTAATTTACTTTTGAGTATTTTTGATACTTTGTTTTTAGATAGCCATGTTCTTAAATTTAAGGAAATTGTTAATTAATTTATAGTGGTAATGCTAAGTCTATTTTTAAATCAGTAAAGATATCAACTAATTTAAATATCTTTTTAGCACTCTGGGCATTAGTACTTTTAAGACACTTAGTTTTATTGGTTACAAGAACATGATTGGCAAAAAGAAAATATTTTATGGAAAATATTTAGACAATTTTAATTTTCACTTATATTATCACCTTTGTCCTAAAATAAAGTAATGTGATTTTTACAATGTGGACAATTCATCAATATTAATTCTTATTAATTTGTTTGTTTTTCTTTTTTATTGGAGTTCTAAAAGGCACTTTTTTTTCCAATACTTTTTTTTTCTATATCAGCAACAACATCTTAAGCTTGTTCATCTTACTCTATACCTGCTAATTGGTCATTTGACCCAAAATTATTAGAATATGCTACTGGAGCTACTATATGTTGATTCATAAAACTTAATGTAGTAGGTTTTGTACCCAAATGATTGCTGGGATCATACGTAGTAGATGTCTTTTCATTAAAATCATTTCCGTTATTAGACATATTATCTATGCAAAGACTCACATCACCTGCTACTTAATAGTTATTGTTAAGATTTTAGCTATTTAGCTAATTTATTTGATTATTGCTATTAATTATATTTTTAGGTGTGTTTAAATATTGATCATCAACCTATAATAGATTATTTGTAGGGTAGATTTAAGAACCTATCAGTCTTTGAGACATTTCAATTGAATTATGTAGTGCATTTGCCTTTATAATATCCACTGCTGAGCCTTACTTATTCTTTTTATCGAAATACAATAACTACTTACTTAATGAATAATTCATTTATTATGATGATAATATATCTGCGTTTATGGAAAATTCATCTTTAGATTGAACCTCCACAATCGGCTCATGCAAAGGCTTAAATTTTTTTTAAATAATACTCGAAGTAATACAATTTTAATTCTAATTATAGTATTGCATTTATTGAATAGAGTAAGCCATATCTATTTATCTTTAGTTATTTCTAATATTTCTTATTCTCTATTTTTTTTTGGTATATCTAGTTTATGCTACTAAATACTTAAAAAACAATTAATATATTGATATTTATATTATAATTATATATATTTATATATCTAATCTAGAGTTAAGAGCAAATGTTTTATACTCCTTTAATTTTTTATATTTAATTTTGATTCTGATTTAACTTTCTTTTTTTTTTTTCACTCGCAGTTTGATTTGATTATATAATAATAGCTATAAAATACACAAATCACCTCTATCAATAAAGCTCTATTTTTCTTTTAATTATATCAATCAATTTTTGAAATTATGACTAAAAATTAAATTCCTATTCACTATTCGGTCAATAAAAAATACCATTAAGCTTACTGATATTCGATAAAAAATTTATCCTTAAATTAACTTTCAATATCTTTTCTGAGAAAGCAAAAAACTTCATTAGTATTTCATTACTTCAATTTATCGTTATCTTTTACCTTATTCCTAATAATAAAACTATATTAAATTTATTAACATTCATTCTTCATGTTTAAGTTTTTGAAATTAATTGACTATTTATAGAAAGAATAAATTTAAAATTGTAATAGTTTGAAAAATTTTTTATACAAAAATAAATGGAAATAAAAATTCTTTTACTAATTAATAATTTATTTTATTTGTGATTTCAAAATTAATAAAATATTCATTTTGGATTATTTTATATATTTATTTATCATAAATTTCTATTATTATTTATCAGAATTTTGTATTTTGTTGATTTGAAATCATCAAATATATATTTATAACTTTAATTTAATCATTTTATCATAAAATATTTATGTATTTTTTGCTCAATAATATTTTTAAATGTTTATTATCCTAAATCAAAATACTATTTACTCTTAAATTAACTCTTTTACTTATCATAAATTTATTAGAGTATATTGTAGGAAATAAAATTCAAGTAGCTTGATAAAATAATTTATTTTATTATTTAATTTATCAAAAATTACAATTAGAAAACTATTCAGCAATTTAGCTAAATGTTAAAAACTTAAAATGTGATTTTAATTCGGTTGAATATTTTGTCTAGACTTTAAAAATAATATTTATACAATTTTATTAATACATAGGGCAGTTGTAATTTGAATTTTGTTTTTTACAATAAGAAAATAAGATTATAAAATTTAAAAAAATAATTTTTAAATTTATTTTTGAAATCATAATTTGAAGTTTTAAATAATTATCTATTTATTTGGTTCCTATTTTAAATCTAAAAAAGCTATAATAAATATTTTAAATTATTAAATAATTATAATTTTAATTGTTTTAATAAATAAATTATTGTTAGAAAATATTTAGCTAATTTTTCAAATGAAATTTAGTTATTTTATAAAAAATATATTCATTAATAAGACATACTATTTCTTATTAGTAGAAAATTTCAAAGAATTTCAATAGAATTAAAAACCAATAAGCAGATAGATAGATAAGCAGTAATAATTCAAAAGTAGGAATATTTATTTCCTTACATAAATATATTTAAAAGAAAAAGCAAATATTTTATATAACTCTTTTTACAAAAATGAATATTACACTCTAAGTCAAGAACTCGTTTACTAAGCTTAATTGCCCTAAGTAATAGCATGTTTAGAGGGATTTATCACCAAATTATGAAAATTGTAATTTATTAATTTTTATTTTTGATAGTAAGAAATAAGCGTAAATTAAACATATTATTCGCTTGAGTTGGAAAAGAAGCTACATTTTTAACTTTATAAAATAATTTTAATCTAGAAAAGAACATTAAAAAACCTTATTATCAGAATGATGATGCTAATAAAATGTATCTGCTTCATAATGTTAAAAACTTAGCGAATGCTAAATTTTTAAGACAATTAATTTAGAATAATGATTTTTATGACTGTTCTAAGTAATATTTTTTAATTTTTGCAAGTGAAAACTTAGCAATTATGCTGATTTTGTTAATTATGTATTTTTCTTTTAAATTGGTAAAAGCTAGCTTTAAGAATGTATGATTCAGACAAAATTGAACTCACTTTAGCAAATAAAAACGCCTGTTATTAAAACTCCTTTGTAAAAGCCTATTAATTATTTGACAAAGAAAACTGTTAATTTAAACTTTAAGAATGATTTATAAAATGCTTAAAAAAGTTTAGATATTTAAAGAAAATCAATTTAACTTCCTAAAATTGCTACAAAAAGTAGTTACATTAAACTTAATTTAAATTTTTAATTCAAAATACATAAAATTTATTAGCAATAATCCCTCCACCTCCAGTAGTCCTTAAGAAACCTAAAAAAAATAAAAAAAAGGGCACTAAAAAATAGCTTGAATAAGAGCATTTAAAAACTGACTCTATCTAAGATATTTAAAAGGAAAATGAAGAAACAGAAGAAGATAAAATTGAATAAATTGAGCTAAATTATCTAATCAGACAAGAAGATCTATGACTATTAGAATTATAAATAGAGATATTATTTATTTGAATAAAATAAATCAATAAAATAGTAGTAGAGTTATATGAAAATAGAGTATGCTGGATCAAAAAAAATTTAATTTCTTATAGTTAGAAAAATAAAATAAAAACCCTTAATTAATTTATTAAATATATATATTATGAATTAAATTTAATTCAGAAACTGTTTATAGAATAGCTTATTTTTCTATTTAAATTTTGTAATCTTAAATAAATTAAATAGAAAAAAGTACCTTTTAACATTAAAAAATTATAATAATATTTTACTTTAATATTGAATATTCATATTTTTGAAAATTATTAAGTACTTCTTAGATAATTTAAATTGATTTAAAAATATTAAATGATGTTTAATATACAAAATAAACAAGAAATTTAAATGTTTTATATTATTATTATAACTTATTATTTACTCTATGAGATAAATTATTTTAAATATCGAAACAAACTTTTAATTATTTGCTTTTAAATTATTTTTTTAGATATTATGAATATTCTGTCAAGTTGATTAGTTCTCATTGAATATTTTATATAAAATAACTTAATTAGCTCAATTTTTTATTTATAAGCTCACTTTCCTCATCATTATTATATTCATAATAAAAAAACTTAAAAAAATAAAACTTTATATAAATTTTTAAAAAAATATTTAAAGTGGTAAACAAATTTTTTTGGCCTAGAAACATATCTGATCTAATTAAAATTAAATTAATTTAATTTTTTGAAAGTAAATCAATAATAAATGATTAATTAAGAAAAAGGAACCGACAAAATTCTACAAATATAAGAAATATTAAGTAGATAATGTCCTAAACATAATGAGTATCCTCTTGACCTTCTTTATATCACAAATAAATCTAATCAGCATGAAATTTGCTATATGTGTTTTTAGAGTTATCCAATAAAAAAAGAAGAAATTATCAATATTAGATAGATTCTATTTGCAAAAGAAGATACTGTCCTTTAAAATTACCCTCCTTTAGAGAATTAAAATTTGTATACTTAGTTGATTAATATTTTCAACGAATAAATGATCCTTGATTAATCAATCATTAAAATCTAGCAATTTTTCAAAGAGTTTGAAGAAAAGTTAATAGGTATTATTAAGCAATTACAAAGGGATATGGAAAATAAAATTGAAAATATAAAATATTTAAAAAAACAATTAGTTGAAACTTATAATTCTATTTCTTAAAAATCTGAATTAAAGAACTATTTTCAAAATAACAACAAGGATAATTCTGCTCTGCACGATCTAATTTCTAAAAAATTTGACGAGTTACCAGAAAACACATAAAAAATAAAAGAATTAATAGATAAATTTAATACCTATAAAAGATCAGTAAATTTCGATGGACCTGTTAAAATAGAAGAAGCAGTCATAAGTTTAATGAATTAAATAGACTTTTTCTCAGACTTCAATGCTGAAAAATACACTTAAATAATATTTTAATAGGAGTTAAACGATAATCATAAATACTAACTGTTAAATACAAGTAAACAAAAAAAGACAAATGTTGATTATTTGTTAGAACTTATTAAAAACTAGACAAATTATTGCAATAATTCAAGCTATGATGAAATTTAAAAGCTACTGAAAAAATATTCATTGCTTTTAAATTAAATTGAATTAAATTAACCAATTTGGGAAGAAGCTAAAAGAAATAGCTTCGTTAACCTTAGCGATTAGCAGCTAGAAAGAGTAAGACTCATTTCAGAAAAGATTATTTCTATTGATAAATAATACGAAGAAAATGAAGCATCATCTTCACTTAAAGAAGACTCTGCTCTTTCAGATAAAAGCTTATAAAATTATTAGCCTTACTGTTTGTAAGCTTGTATTTAACCTAATTCTTATGAAATATACAATAATTTGTTCAGTGGAAAAGCAAGTTAGTATTAGAGATTTTAAAATTTATTAAAAGAGTACCCCATTTTTGAGCTAGATAGTGTATAAGTTGGTTGCCATTAATTAATATTTTTTAATATGATAAAATCAATTTATGCAGATTCTTAGAATCTTCATATTTAGAGATTGCCAAATTTGAATATATAAATTCAAAAGATAAATAAGAAAGGTCATGCTATTTGCTATAGCAATACTCAATTAGAAGAAGACAAAAAATATTTAATAAGATTAACTATTTAATCAAATCCGAAAAATTCAAATAACTTGATTTTGTTTGGTTTAATACCTGAGTAAAGTAAAGACATATCATATCTCAGAGACTCAGGTTTAACTTACAATGAGAGAGCAGATAGTTGCTACACTTTAACAAAGCTTATCAAAGGTGATCCAATTCCTGAAATAAATAAGCTGAACATAAACAAGCAAATAGAGATAAGGATTCATCTTAAAAAAAAACTATTTAGAATTGCTACGATTCCAGGCTACGAAAATATTTCTGAGTTAGATAATAGAAATAGAATTAAAGATAATCTTAATTATAGATTTGGTATTGAGCTATACTAATAAGACGATTAAATTATTATAAATGAGTTTATGGTAGAAGATTAATTTAATGATGACATGTGAATGAGTTCATTAAAAATTAGTCTAAATTTAACCTTTGTAAATTTTATTTTTATGTTTAACAATTAAAGTTAGATACATTTTATACAAAATACTTCTTTGTGTTATTTTACTTAAAAATCTCAAAAAGACATTCATTTTTCTCTAAATTATCTTTTGGTTACCTAAAAAAATTCTAATAATGAATTATTTATTTATTTAACCTAATAATTTTAAACTAAATCTATTCATTTATTTATATTTTACTAATTTACAAATTTTATTTTTTAAATCTAAAATGAGAATTAATTATTTAGTAAATTTATCTTTTTTATTAAAAAAAATAAAAAATATTGGCAACTGTGAGATTCGAACTCACGCGGATTACATCCAGGCGATCTTAAGTCGTCCCCCTTAACCAACTCGGGCAAATTGCCTTATTGAAATATTTACCATTTTTCAAGTATCTATTTAAACAGTTTTTGTTTCTAATAATAATATACTTTAGATATCATAATTTTTATTTGCCTGCCTAAAATATTACATTGGCTAATCAAAATAAATTTATATTATCAAACCTCAATTTAAAATATAAATGAACTAACTAAAATTTTTAAATCATCTAAGTTTAGATAAGTGTAGTCATAGGGAAGAGAATATTTGGCTTTTAAGAAAAAAATAACCTACTTTTTAAATAATATAATAATAAAATAAGTTAGAATATACTTAGAAAGATTAAATTTTTATATAAATTTTTGTAAATATTAAATTATGATTAGATTTGTGATAAAATTTAATTTATTTGATAAATATTATTTTTAAAAAAATAATGGCAACTGTGAGATTCGAACTCACGCGGATTACATCCAGGCGATCTTAAGTCGTCCCCCTTAACCAACTCGGGCAAATTGCCTAATTGAAATATTTATCATTTTTCAGTATCTATTTAAACAGTTTTTGTTTCTAATAATAATATACTTTAGATATCATTATTTTTATTTGCCTAAAAAATATTAAATTGGTTAATCAAAATATCTTTATATTATCAAACCTCAACTTAAAATAAAATTGAACTAACTAAAATTTTTAACTCATCTAATTTTAGAGGACTGTAATCATAGGGAAGAGAATATTTAGCTTTTAAGAAAAAAATTACTAATAAAATTAGTTAGATTATGCCTAGAAAGATTTAAATTTTTATATAAATTTTTTTAAATATTAAATTATGATTAGATTTTTGATAAAATTTAACTCTTGTTGATAAATTTTATATAAAAAAATAATGGCAACTGTGAGATTCGAACTCACGCGGATTACATCCAGGCGATCTTAAGTCGTCCCCCTTAACCAACTCGGGCAAATTGCCTAATTGGTATTTTAAATCAAACTTCAAAAATCAATATAAATATTTGTGTTATAAAACTAAGTTAATAATTTAAAAAATATCAAGCAACTACAATAAAAATCAATATTAATATTTTAGTTAGAGGACAATAGCAATAATTTTTAAAATTTTTAATGAATACAATAATAATAAATAATTTTATTTTTCTAAAAACACACAATAAAAATTTTTTTAATTTATCTTTTTGTCTAATACAGCTTGAGGTAAATAACTCTTATCCAAATAAAATAAAAAGAGCTAAAATTATTTATTTACCAATCAATTAACTAGAAGCAAAATCAAAGAAATTGATGAAAATAATAAAGTGTTATATTTTTAAAAGTAAGAATTATTATATATTAAAACACTTTGATAATATATTAATTTATATCAATAAATAAAAATTTACAACTCAAAAATTATTAGATGAATTATTAAATAAATTGTATTAAGCTTTTTATATAGATTTTAATTTTTAATACAAACAATTTCATCAAGGCAATTTGCCCGAGTTGGTTAAGGGGGACGACTTAAGATCGCCTGGATGTAATCCGCGTGAGTTCGAATCTCACAGTTGCCATTATTTTTTATTTTAAAAATTAACATTTTTAATTTTATTTTTGTAAAATATTTTTTAATTAAAATATTTGAATTTTTTGATCATTTTATTTTTAAAGTTTAAAAGAAAAAATATTTTATTTAATTTTGATGATAACTTATAATTTTTATTTTTGATTAAAACAGTCAATTTTTTTTGATAAGTTCATAACAAAAATAAATTTAAAAAGTCAAAATATATATTGAATAAAATATATATTTCTATTACCTTAAATATTCTAATTGATTGTCTTCTAATAATATGTGAATTTAAAAAATGGAGAAAAATTTTATATTCGGGAAAAAACAAAAAGTAATTTATCTTTAACATTGAATTAGAATGTTTATGGTATTAAAAATATTAAAATTAGATAAACAATTTTTTAAAAATTCAAACAATTAATAGATACAAAAAGATAAAAATGCAAATTAATAAATGATTTAATCAAAAGATAATATTATAATTTCATGCTTAAACAGTTAGCATAACCAATCTAGGCATTTTTAAAGCATGATAACATATTTTTTTTCTTTATTAATAATAAATATTATAAAAATAATATAAGTAAATATTTTATTAACATACCTTAAATTATTCTCAGGTAAAAAGTATTAAGACACACTATTTATTTAAACATAAAACAATTAAAAAAATAAAATGATAATTTAATTAATTACCCAGAATATCTCTAAATCTTCAAATGTTTTATATATTTCAGGAGTTTAAGTTAACTAAGGATCTAAAAGAGGAGAGTATGCTTCTCTCTATCTCTGTAATATTAATTAAATATTATTAATATGCATATTATAAATTTTAATAATATTTTTACAAACTTGAAAAGATAAGACCTTGAATTTTACTTTACTAAGACAACAAATTCATCATAGATTATACAACTTTATCACTCATAGAAAGGAATAGGGAGTCACTAATTTAAGATTTTATATTAAAATTAAAATTTTGATGCAATAATTATTATTATTTTATATCATTCAAATAATGATAATTAAAATTTAAAAATTGAAATTATAATAAAACTCATTTGTAAAGTTATATAAATAAATACGATAAGTCTAATTCTATTTGCTTTGATTTTTCATCTATACTTAAATACTTAGGAAAAAGCAATTATCTTTATTTAGGTCCAAAATTATCTTCATAAAAATAGCTAATCTCAAAAAATAATCTTTTAATGGGTTCTTAATAAAAGAATTCAAGTCTCTTCAAATTTTATATTTATCTGAAAAATTTCCCAAATTTAAGTGATCCTTCAAAAGAAATCTAGTTGTAACTATTTATTTAATTTTCTGATTATAAAAAAATATTAATATTTTATATTTTACGACAAATTTAAAACAAGAATGTCAAGTTCTTTCATTTAATTCAAAAAGCTCTAAAGCAAAATGACTCCACTATCATTAATTTATGTTGAGCTATATTATTTTATTGATAGGTTTTAGTAAATTAGCTTTTAAAAAGACATTTTAATATACCATAAATCTAGCTTTAGTGATTTTTACTGAGGGATTAATAAAAGATAGTTGAAAAGGAGTTATATTTCATCTAAGTCTAAATAATTAGATCTATTAAAATATTTTTATTTTTTAATATTTTAATATGTTAAAAAATTACTGTAACCTAATATCTATATCTTAGAGAGTTTACATAAATGCTGCATAATATCTTATAATTTCACACTTTTAATACTTATTATCTTAAAGTGATAACTCAAGCTCAAAAATTAGCCTCTCAAAAGTGTTCGTAAATTAGACCTCAAAAAATTTAATCATATTTAGTTATCTGCAACAGTTTGCTAATACTTTTGGACCTTCAATACCAATTCTGCATTATCTAAAAATTTAAAGGAATAAAATTTTAAGTTGTAATTTAAAAAATAATTGCTATATTACCTAACATCCATAATTAGTATTTCCAGTTAATTTATTTTTGTTAGTAACTCTGCTATTTGGATTATCCCTTGTTTGTTAACTTAAGTATTGCTTATATTTAAAATAAATAATTTTAAAAATATACTTTTCATTTAATATTTACTTAATAAGGAAATATAGGTTCCTCAAATTTGATAACTCAGAAAGGGCTTACACAGTTGAGATAAGAGAATTATTATAAATCTTATTATAACTAAAAATAAAATTATTTAATTTATTTTAAATAAAGTAAAATTATTAGAAAAATTCTATTTTCATCAAACAAACATATTAATGTCTTTGTAAAAAAATATTCAATTTTAAAATTTTAAATTATTTATTAACATTACCTTATATCGAATAATAATGTGTTTAGGTTTTACATATGGAGGAGTGAATCTTTTAAACTAAGCAAATCAGAATCAGATATTTTTTACCTTAAATAGTATTTTTAATAATAAAGAAAATAAGATTTAGTTTTATTTAAAAAATAATATTCAATAACTACCTCAAATTAATTTCAATGTGTGTGAGAGATGAAAGCTACTAATATGCCAATTAATCATTTTATTTAGTAAAATTCAAGGCCTAAATGCTAAGTATAAATACAATTTAAAATAAATTAGAAAAAAATTATTAATTTTATTCTTAAAGGATATTACTTGGTAAATATAGTTTTAATGAAGTTAAGAAGCTTTATGTTGAATTGCTCTATTAATTTATAAGCTTGAATACCTTTCTGATCAATAATAGATATATATAAAACGTTGCTTTCAAAAAATACTGAATCTATAATGTCATTAATAGCATTTTACGATTAAAGCCTATTTGCTATGTAAGGATCTGAATCTTAGATATTTTTTGTTTCAAAAATTTTGTAAAGGAATCTATTAGTAAACTCATTCATTTTATAATAATCTGAACTTGACATTATTTAGAAACTTTTTTGCTATAAGATTGAGCTAAATTATTTGCTTTACTCACTTAATGCCTTTATCAATTTCTCAGGATAAATCAAAAACTGTTGAATGTCTTTTTCTTATAATGATGAAGAATCGTTCAATGATTTATTTTGAATATATTTCTATTTTTCTTCTAATATTTAATAGTTATTTTCTAGTAAAGCTATTAGATTTATCTAATCATCCTTTTTGTTTACAAGATTTAAGCTATATTAATTTACTTATAGAAAGAAGTCTATCTAGTTTGGTAAAGGAACAAAAAATGAATCTCTGAGCGTAAAAATGTCATGTTAATCTTAATTTAAATTTTCAAATTCCTTTTCTCTTTATTGTTTTTAGAAAAGAGATTAAATCTCAAAAGAATCCATCTTATTTATATAAAATACAGCTGGTTCTACCGACTCATTCTAAACATGTCCAAAAAATATAATACTATCACTATAAACTTTCAAATTTTTAATGAGTTTGATATTCTGTTTCCTACCTTTAAATAAATCTTCTATTTATTATTAATTTAAATTGCAAAAATCTATCTATTATATCTCTTCCTCAACTTCATTTACTTCATTTCTGAAGCCAATTTTATCTAAAATAAATTGTAAGCACTATTATGCCATTTAATATATAAACAGATATTTTTTTAATTTAAAATTAATATATTAATCAAAAATTTAATAAGATCTAAGTAGAAACTTTTAATAAACTGATTGAATATCACCTTATATAAACACTAAATATATATTGTTGTTGCTCTTTATAAAAATTAAAGCTAAATAAATAACTTAGATATTTATAATATTTACGTTTTGATAAATTTTATTATTTTTTAATAAGTAAGTAAGATAAAATATATTTTTAGTTATTGTATTCAAATAAACTGCTTTCACATACAAATTACAAAATAAATTATAATATCTTTATAATTTATAAATTAGAAAAATACTTTATTTTTAAGTTATTAGAAGATTTTTTCATTTAATTGTAATTTTTTTAAAAAATGAAAGGTGGTCATAATTTATTTATAATGAGAATTCTCTTTTTCTTCATGGCATTTTTATTCAGTCTCTTCAATTCTTAACCCCAAATACTTTTTAATTTTTGATAATATTAATTTATAGAAAAATATTAAATAATTGAGTTCATGAAATAAAGTTGAAAATTTATTTATATAAATACATTACAATTATATTTGATATGAGAATTTGAGCAAATTATTGCAGTTATTAAGAATTCTATCTATTCTTGTCTCATTTTATTCTTCATTACGTCTTTAGATTATAAAAATGATTAATTAATTTGAGATTTTGCACTTTCCTTTAATTAATTACCCATATAATTTTAATTCTAGCTCTATCAAACTAGTACACTTGGATAAAGCAGTTTAAAGTAGTTAAAAGCTTTCAGAATTAAATTCTATTTAGCTGAAAAAAAATAAAAATTAATTTGATAATTATTGAATTATATTTACTTTGACAACATGATTTGTAATACCTTTAAATTAAGTAAGCTAGAGCATAGCCCATTAAAGATATTGTTTTGATTTAACTAGCTTATTTGCTAATATCTTTAAATAAAAAATTTTATTTTTATTCTTTATGATAAACTTACTGCATGTAATTAAACTAAAGAACTTCGATTGATTTAATTGCACCAAAAAGCTCCCCAAAATTTTAAGTTATTTCGTTACTTTCTTCTATTTAGTTTTGATTTTCAGGATCATAATTTCTAATATTAAACATTTGTAATTAATTGATAATGAATTTAAAAAATTTACCTATTAAATATGATTTTGAAATCTCTAAGGGCTTAAAGATTTTGGAGACTGTTTTTAAGTGTCACAATATCTTGGCTTTTTAAATTGGACCTAAATCATCATTTTATTAATAAATATATTTATTTTTATCAAAATTTTTCTTTAAAAATTCACTCTTTTATTTCCAAAGTAAGAGCCTAGAGAGAAGAAAGAGTTTTACTAACTTCTTAAAAGTTGTCAAAAGATTTACTTTCTATTTTATTTCCACTTTTTTATTTTTAATTTAAAAAGCCTAAATAAATATTTATTTGGCAATAAATAAATAAATATTTACCTTGCAAACTTTAGTGTTAAATTATTTAAATAGTACTTATTTTATAAAGAACCTATCAAGCAACTAACACCTTCTGACTAAACTTTGTTTTTACTTTTAATTTTTAAGCAAATTAAATATTTTATATTTTTATTTAGCTTGTTACCTTCCTATTTCAAAGAAGAAACTTTTGAGATAACTACAGTATTCAACTCCTTTCATAATATTTTTTACGGTTTAATCAACTGCATCACTATTGCTATATAATTTATTTAAATTTATATTAAGCATATGTTTTCATATTTAATTCTTTCTTACTTCCTTAATTCAATTTTTAAATTTTCTAATTTTATCATCTTGCTTATTTAGTCACCAATTGCATTTGAAGCTTCATCTGAAAGACTTGCACTAGAAGTAAAATTGAAAGTTTTTTAAAATCAATTTTAACAAAAAATTACTTTCCAAACTTAAATTCAAAATCCAAGAGATTTTGGAATGGAATTTATATTTCTTCTTCAAATTAGTTTGATATGCTAAAAACACAGCTATTTTAAAAAATATTAATATTTTCAGTTGAAATTTAATTATAAAAACCTTGGTAATGTAATATGCAATTTATTGAGTGTTTGACACTTTGAAAGACTTTGCAAAAAACTATCTATTTGAACTTATGAAGATAGTGAAGCTTATCTTATTTTATTTTATATTAATTAATATTTAATTTACATTTATTAGAGAAGTAAAATTTTTTTTTTTACGGTAAGAAATTCATCTTAAACTATTCCAGGTATTTCAATTTGTATATTTAAGAAACAAGATTATTTGACTGAGGAATGCTTATAGGACTATAATATTAATAAAAAAATATTACCTTCATAAAATATTTTCTTTAGAATTAATTACCCATAAAATTAAAAGTCTAATACTTTTAAATTATCTAATTATGGCAAATTCATTCCAAGATATTTAAATCCATTAACATAAATTTCAGCATTGCCACTATTAAAGAAGTAAAAATATTTATTTTGTTTTGTAATTTATATTTTTATTACAATATTAGTGATAAATCTAATGTTTATAAAGATTTTATTTAAGTCAACTCGTTTTGCATGTCTACAAATCCCTGATCATCTATTTCATAAGGGCTTAAATTTAAATAAATTTTTATTTTTAGAATTTCAGGGTTTATAATCTTACAACAAACTTAACTTAAAATAATTAAGACTCAAATGTTTTAGCCCTTGTAAAAGTTTTGCAGCTCCATTTCCTTAAATATTGTTTTTCCTTGATTTAAGTAATTTCAAATGTTATAATTTATTAAAATATAAAATTATACCCTCCAACGCATATAGATAAGTTCTTTAAATCTTTTAGCTAGGCTAAGGCTATTCCTATTGCTTCACAGCCAAGAACTCTGATATCATTTTCACTTATGATAGTTAAAAATGCATAAATTATAAATTAAGTGAATTTATTTTAAATTACTTTCCTATTTCTAAAATCAGATTTTCCAATTTAGTTAACTGTTGTAAGCATTATCCTACATGCATTCCTCCTTACTCTTTAATTTGATTATAACTAATATGTTGAAATCAAGCTATAACTCAAAATAATTTATTTTTCTTAAATATTTACTGAATCTTTAGATCTAATGAATTCAGGTTTTTGCTATTAGAAGTGATGAAATTCGAAATAACTTAACACCCCTCAGCTTAAATGTTATTATTTCTGTTTTTAAAAATTTCAGATTAAATAATTTAACTTTTAAAATTAACTTACGAATGTATAGTAACCTATAATTCTTTTAAATCAGAAATCTAAGGTAGACTATCAAAGAACTAAGTAAGCTTGTCTAAACTCTAAATAACATCTCTGAAATTTAAAATTATAAAAAATTTAATATTTTTATTGAAATACATACATATTTACCTTTAAACTTCTATACTAAGAAACTAAATCTAAGGTAGCAAGTGTCTAAATTCAATGTATTAGCTGACTTAAATTTCTTCTTCACTTATTCTTAAATTCATAAATTAATCTAAATATCTATTTATTAACCTTTAAAATTAAATTATTTACTTTCTCAAGATTATTTTCATTCTTTCATTCACATATCTTTTTTTTAATATTTGATTTAAATAACAAAATGAATTTAAACCAAAATTTTATTTACGAAAAATAAGTATGAAATCCTAGATCTAACAAATTTTCAACAAGCTAAAAAAAAAATATAATGACTATTATTATTCTTTTAAATTTTATTAATTTTAATTACTTAATCTGTTTACATTTTTTTTGTCTTTTTTTTCTTTTCTCTAAACTTTATGCTTTAAACTTTTTTGAATTTAAAATTTAATTAATTTATTTCAGCTTTTTTAAATAAAAATTTTATTAGACTTTTACTATAAATTTAAATAGGCTAAAAAAGCATTAACTTATTTTAATATAAATAAATTTTTTAAAGCTAAAAATATAAAAAAATATTTTCCAATTTTTTTAAATTCTAAATTTTCTACTAAAATCAAATTTATTTCCATTTTTATAGTAATATATTTTAAATTATTTATATTATCTGTAATATTAAGTTAATTTTTTATTATTCTTTTTATTAATTTTTAAGTTTCTTATCAAGATACTCAAAATGATTATCAATTTTAGATTATTTATTTTGCAAATATCTGCTTTTTTCAAAACTGACAATATTAGAATATTAGGAAGTTTAACTTCATTTTCTTTTTCCATAGTATTATTGCCAATTTGCTTAACTAAATTATTTTATAATAATTTCTATTCCATATTATTTTGAATTTTTCATATAATTATACTTTATCTATCTGGATTAGATAATTAATATATAGGTGTTTAAAAATTTGTCCTTTTTAAAATTTTTATGATCCATTTATTTATTGTTGAAGGAAAAATTTATCAAATAATAAATATATATAAAACATTTTCTTCAAAAAATATTGAATTTATTCATAAAACTTTGCGATTTAAGTTTGTTTGCTATGTATGGATCTGACTCTTATATTTTGTTTTTTTCAAAAATTTTGCAAAGGAATCTATTAGTAAATTCAGTCATCTTGTAATAATTTGAACTTGACGTATTAAGAAACTTTTTTGTAAAAAGTTGATCTAAATTATTTCCTTTATTTACATAAATTTTTTATCAATTTCTGTGGGTTAAATCAAAAACCGTTGAATACATTCATCTTATAATGATGAGGAATAATTTAATGATATATTTAATATATTTATTTTTATTCTAATGATTGGAAGCTTTTTTATAGCTATTCTATTAGATTAATCTAATCACTCTCTCTGTTTACAAGATTTAAGCTATATTAATTTAATTATAAAAAGAAGTTTATTGAATCTGGTAAAGGAGCAAAAAACGAATCTCTGAACTTAAAAACATTATACTAATCTTAATTCAAATTTCAAATTCCTTTTTTATCATTTGTTTTTCTTAAATTGTTTAGATATTTTGTTTTTTTTACGTTAAGTAAAATTTTATTTATTTTTAATAAGTAAGATAAAATATATTTTTAGCTATTTTATTCAAATAAATTTCCAAAAAATAAAAATTACAAAATAAATAACACAATTTCTTTATAATTAGAGAATACTTTCTTTTTTAGTTATCTGAAGGTTTTATCATTTAATTGTAATTTTTTTTAAATAACGAAAGGTGATCATAATTTATTTAAAACTATTATTTTCTTTTTTCTCATAGCATTTTTTTTCAACCTCTTCATTTCTTAGCCCAAATTACTTTTTTGTAATTGATAAAATTAATTTATTTAAAATAAATATTAAATAAATTAAAAAATATGTTCAAGTTGAAAATATTACTAAATTAAAAAACCACTAGTATAAACTTCATAAGAGAATTTGATCAAATTATTGCAACTATTAAGAATATTGTATAATCTTATTTCATTTTAATCTTAATTATGTCTTAAACTATTTAAATGGTTAATTAAATATTTTATACTTTCGTTTAATTAAGTTACCTCTATAATTTTAATTCTAGCTCTATCAGACTATTACACTTGGATAGAGCATTTTAAAGCAGTTAAAAGCTTTCAGAGTTAAGTTCTATTTAACTGTAAAGAAAAATTAATTTTTGATAATTACTGAATTATTTTTACTTTGCCAACATAATATGTAGTACCTTTAAATTAAATAAACCAGAGCCTAAACCATTAAAAATATGGTTTTGATTTAACTAACTTAATTTTTGATATCTATAAATATAAATATAAAATTTTTTTTTACTTTTTATGATAAATTTACTGCACGAAATAAAACTTAAGAACTTCGATTGACTTAATTGCACCTATAAGCTCTCCAAAATTTTAAGTTATTTTGTCTCTTTCTTCTATTTCATTTTCGTTTTGAAGACCTAAATTTCTAATATTAAACATTTGTGATTAATAATAAATTTTAAAAATTTACCTATTAAATATTATATTGAATTCTTTTAGGACTTAAAGGTTTCGAAGACTATTTTTAAGTACCACGATATCTTGGCTTTTTAAATTAGACCTAAAATATCGTTTTATTAAATAAATGTATTTATTTTTATCAAAAATTTTCTTTAAAAATTCACTCTTTTATTTCCAAAGTAAGAGCCTATAGAGAAGAAAGAGTTTTACTAACTTCTTAAAAATTATCTAAAGATTTACTTTCTATTTTATTTCCACTTTTTTATTTTTAATTTAAACAGCCTAAATAAATATTTATTTGGCAATAAATAAATTTTACATTTCAAACTTAATCATTAAATTGTTTAAACATTGCTTATTTTATAAAGAACCTATCAAGCAACGAACACCTTCTGACTAAACTTTGTTTTTACTTTTAATTTTTATGCAAATTAATTTTTTTTTTTTTTTAGTTCATTACCTTCCTATTTCAAAGAAGAAATTTTTGAGATAACTGCAGTATTCAACTCCTTTCATTATATTTTTTACTGTTGAATCAACTGAATCACCATTGCTATAAAAAATTTAAATTTATATTAAGCATATGTTTTCTTATTTTAATTCTTACTTCCTTAATTGAATTTTTAAATTTTCTAATTTTATCATCTTACTAATTTATTGACCAATTGCATTTGAAGCTTCTTCTGAAAGACTTACACTAAAAGAAAAATTGAAAGTTTTTTAAAAGTAATAAAAATTAAACAGCAATTACTTTTCAAACTTAAATTCAAAATCCAAGAGATTTTGGAATGGAATTTATATTTCTTCTTCAAATTGATGGCTTGATATGCTAAAAATGAAGCTATTTTAAAAAATATTAATATTTTCAGTTGAAATTTAATTATAAAAACCTTGGTAATGTAATATGCAATTTATTGAGCTTTTAACACTTTGAAAGACTTTGCAAAAAACTATCTATTTGAACTTAAGAAGAAGCTAATCTTAAATTTTATATTAATTTTTAATTTTTATATCTTAGAAAAAAAATTCAAAATATATTTTTTCTTACGGTTGGATATCCATTTTAAATTACTCTAGATATTTTAATTTGTATATTTATGAAACAAGATTATTTGACTGCACAATGCTTATAGGAGGACTATGATAAAAATAAAAAATATTGTCTTCATAAGTATTTTTTTTAACTGTTTACCCATAAAATTAAAAGTCTAATACTTTTAAATTATCTAATTATGGCAAATTCATTCCAAGATATTTAAATCCATTAGCATAAATTCCAGCATTATCGCCACTAAAATAAAAGAATAAAATATGTATTTTTTTATAATTAATATTTTTACTACAATATTATTGATAAATCTAATGTTTATAAAGATTTTATTTAAGTCAACTCATTTTGCATGTCTACAAATCCCTGATCATCTATTTCTTTAGGACTTAAATTTAAATAAATTTTATTTTTATTTTTATTATTTAAGAGTTTATAATCTTACAACAACCTTAATTTAAAATAATTAAGACTCAAATGTTTTAGTCCTTGTAAAAGCTTTGCAGCTACATTTCCTTAAATATTGACATTCCTTTAAGTAATAACAAATGTTATAATTTTTTTAAATATAAAATTATACCCTCCAATACATATAGATAAGTTCTTTAAATTTTTTAGTTAGGCTAAAGCTATTCCTATTGCTTCACAGCCAAGAACTTTGATATAATTATGACTGCGATAATTAAATAATCATAAATAATTAATTTAGTGAATTTTATTTTAAATTACTTTCCTATTTCTAAAATCAGTTTTTCCAAATTAGTTAATTGAAGTAAGCACTGTCCAAGATGTATACCTCCTTCCTCATCAATCATATTATAACTATTTAGTTATATATTTAAATCTAGCTTTAACTCAAATTAATTAATTTACTCCAATATTTACTCAATTTTAAGATCTAATGAATTCAGGGTTTTGCTATTAGAAGCGATAAAATTAGTAATAATTTAGCATCCCTCATCATAAATCTCATTACCTCTGTTTTTAGAAATTACAGATTAAACAAAATTTAATTTAAAATTAACTTACTCATGTATAGTGATCTATAATTATTTTAAATCAGAATTCTAAGGTATACTAGCAAAGAACTAAGCAAGCCTGTCTAAACTGTAAACAATATCTCTGTAATAAATTTTTATTATAAATTAAGTAATACATTTATGTATTTACCTTTCAATTTCTACACTAAGATACTAAATTTAAGGTAGTAAGTATCTGGATTCAATGTTTTCAGTGATTTATATTTATCTAATCTCCATTCTTAAATTTATCAATTAATCAAAATAGCTATTTGTTAAAATTAAATTCTTTACCTTCTCAAGATTATTTTCATTCTTTCATTTAGAAATCTTTTTTTAATATTGTAATTAAATAAAAAAATGAACCTTAACCTAAAAAAAACTTATTTACGAAATATAAGTATCAAATCCTATATCTAGCATGCTTTAAACTAGCTAAAAAAAAAGTAAAATATCTATTATAATTCTTTTAAATTTCATTAATTTTAATTACTTGATATGTTTACATTTTTAAATCTCTTTCTTTATGTAAATTTTATATTCTTTAAACTTTTTTGAATTTAAAATTTAATTAATTTATTTCAGCTTTTTTAAATAAAAATTTTATTTTATTTGATTTCAATTTTAAAATAGGTTGAAAAAAAGTATTTGTTTATTTTAATATAAAAAAAATTTTTTAATGCTAAAAATATCAAGAAATTAAATTCTATCAGAAATTTACCAGAATGAGTTAAATTTTTGAACTCTTTATAATTGAACCCGCCAAAGCACTAATATCCTTACAAGTAATTTGCAAATAGTAGAAATCAGTTTGTTTTGATAGATAAATAGATAGATTTCTAAGAATTTAATTTGTTAAATTAAAAACTAATAAATGCCACCAAAAAAAGGAAAAAAGGCTGCTCAAAGCAAGAAGGTTGAAGAAGTTAAGCCTAGAGAAACAAGGCTAACTAGTGCAAGCAAAAAAAGAGGATCTAATAGAAATAGTGTAGATAAAATATAAACTCCAAATCCATAAAAGCAAGAAGAAATCACTGCATATATGAAAGATGATATTGTAAAAAAAGAAGTAAATGGAAAAAGTTTAGAAGATGATTAAAAGCAAATGGAAGTTTTTATTTCACCAAAAAAAGATGTGCACCAAATAGGAAAATTGCACTTCACTTAAAATTCAACTTAAAGCAAGTTGAATACTCCATCTTAAAAAATAACTGCTCAACCTAATAAAGTGGAATCTAAGACACTTTTTACACCATCTAAAGTTTAAAAGAAAATTTGGAAAGTTAGTTTAAGTGGTTTTACAAAGCAACTAAAAGAATATAATAAAAATGCCATTAAAAGTTTAAATGGTGAATATTATGAAAATTTTCAACCTGGAATAGATGTTCTAATCGCTTCAAAAGCTTTAGGTGCTAAAACAAAAGTATCAAATTTTATTAAATATTAATGAACATAATAATTTCTTTATTTATTTACTCAATAATAAAAGCTTTCTTATGATTCCGGAGTACCTATTTTGAATGTTAAATGGTTGACAGATAGTATTGCTGAAAAGTGCTTTATAGAAGATATTAAGAAATATTTATTAAAACCATTTGAAGGCTGCATGCTTAACATTCTTGGTTTTAGCTAGGATGAGTATTAGGTTATTAAATAAAGTGTCATGGATAATGGTGGCGATTGTATAAATGACTTAAATTATGTTCAGAAATCATCTGATTAGTAATCTTCTAAAATAGATATGACAGTAATCAACTCAAAAAATAACTCCACATCATATTTAAATATCATCAAAACTCCAGCAGTAGATGAAAAATGGATTTATTAGTGCATAAATAGATAAATGTTTGTGTTTCCTAAACACTATGTCATTAATAAAGTAAGAATTTAAATTAAAATATTTAAAATTATTTGAAAATTAAATTTAAAAAATTCAAAAATAAAGAGAAGAAAATTAATAAATTTAACTCAAAATAACAAAAATAAATAAAAATGTTTTTATTTTTAACAAATAGCTTGACTTGAATTTTAATCTATGCTAAGAGGAATATATTAACAAAAAAATGAAAGAATCTGAATGTTCATAAAAAGATTGTAATTATTTTTAGAACTGCACTTTTTATATTCATACTTAGTTTTTGGATTAGTAGAAACTTAAAATTATCAAAAATTTAATCAATTATGGAGGAGGATTTTATATAAACTAACTTTTGCCTTGTATTACACATATAGTAACTCCTTAATACACAAAATAAGATTTAGTTGAATTCAATTAATTTGGAAATTCTATATTTTTAGTCCACCCTGAGTTTTTATTAGAAGCATCTTTTATATACAAAAAATTAAACGAGTTAGATTATCAACCTTAGCTTGTCGAATAATAAGCAAATAGTTAGCAAATATTCTCTTAGGTAAATATTTTTTTAATTCTAAAATAAGCATTTAATAAGTATGTTTTCATATTAAATAGGAAAAGGTTAAAAATGATACAAATGGATTTTCATCAACTCAACAACAAGTTATTTAAACTATTTCAGCAATAGCAAATAAAAATAGAGCTAGTATAAATAATCCTATGGGAAATATGTTCAATAGTTAAACAGGAAATGGCAACTTGTCAAGAATGAGCAGTTTTAATGGTAATGGGAATCCTTTCTAAGGAATTAATTAGCAGTAAATAGCTCTTGCAAATATACCTGAAAATGAAGAAGTAAGTGAAAAAACTGAGTAAAAACAAAGAAAGTTAACTTTTAAGTAGTAAAAATAACTTGTCACTGTTAAAGGAAATTTATTTAAGAATTGCTACTTTTACTTAGAAATGAGTCAATACAAGGATAAGCTAAAATAGTATAAAACAAAAATATTTGAAAATCAAGGAGAAATTTTAAGCTTTATAGATGAAAAAGTTAGAGAAATATTTTATATCTTGGATGATAAGCCTCAAAGTAAAGTAATTATGGAAAAGCAGTTTTAAAATGCCTCTTTCTACAGCTATCGTTGGATCGATTTTTGTATTGAAAAGAAGTAAATTGTGAGAAATTATTAAGATCAATAACTATTTTTCCTTGCTCCATTCCCTCATTCTATGCCTCTGAAAGAATTCGTTGGTTTAAGTGTTTATTGTTCTGGCTATAATCCTAATGAGAAATTGGCACTAAAAGAGACAATCAAAATAATAGGAGCACATTACGAATTTGCATCGTAATATATTGTTTTATAATATGCTTTATTGTTTTTAAATTTTAAAACTATGTTTTAATATTTACAAATTTATTATTTGATATAAATGATTAGAGAAAAGAGATGCTACTTAATAACAGATGACAAAGAATGTAAAAAATATAGATATATTCAAGATTAACAATAGCATCTATCTTAAGAAGAATACGAAATTAAATGGGGAAAATTGATGATTGTTGGTTCTTTTTGGCTTCTAGAAAGCGTTACTTAAGGAAAGCTTCTTGACCATGAGCCCTACAAGCTTTGAAAAATATAAATTCATTCCATAAAAATAATTAAAGAGAAATAAAACACCAATTTTAATAAATAAAAATAAAGAGAGCAAAATTCTAAAATATTTTTAAAATTATCTAAAAATCATACAAAATAATTAAATAATTAATATAAATCTATTAATTAATTACTAACCTTTATATAAACTTAATTATTTAATCTTAAAATCTATTTATTTATTTATTTATCTATCTATATATCTTTATGTATCAAAAATCTTAAATTTTATTTTAAGATGTTGTATTAACAAGTAAAACCAAATGAAATTTCTATAAACTTTTAATCAGAAAATGTATTTATCTATTTTATTTTTTAAAATATTTGAAATTCGAATTAAAAAAATTGATCAGAAAATATTTGAGAACATTTAGAAGAAATAAGTAAAGTAATTCAATTTTATTTATTATTAGGGACCACTAAAAACATTTATCGTGTAAGATTAATTAATTAATTTTTTTTAAAGATTTTACTTTAAATAAATTATTGAACTCAAAGAGCTAATAATATGGTTGACGTTGTGTAAATTTAAGATGTAATTATCTATGAAGTGCAAAATGTTTAACTACTTGCAGTACCTAACAAAGGAGATGTTTAGACAGTTTTTGAGAATGATACTCTTCAAGTGATATAAAATGAATAACAAGAGATCTTCATTAAAGTTAATAATTTTCAATATTAGCTTTTTTAGGAAACTCCAATATATCTTACAGCTTATTAAACTCATCGCAGTTATATTTTCCCTTGTATTTAAGTAAATTATGCGGTGCTTTTGAGTAATAATACACCTAACTATGAAGATATTTATGACTGTTTAGATTAAATTCTTTCAAGCTTATCTAATCTAATTTACAATTAAGGATAAAAGGAGCAAAAGCTAGATAGTATTAGAAAATCTCAAATACTTCTCAAAAGTAGTGAGCAAAATTTAACTCCTGAAGGTGAGAATTAAATTTAAGAATACTAGACTCCTATGGGTGATGATAAAAGCTATGATAACCATACACCTTAAGGGAATGATGAAGTTGAAATGATAAATGATTAAATTAAGAATAATCAAAGTATTCAAGAATAATAACTATAAATGAAATTAGTTTAACAATCGCAAGAACTTTAATAAAAAAATAGCTAATAAGAAGATAATAAAAAAAATCCATAATCTAGTAATTCAATAGCAAAGTATATTGGATTGGGAGGATCTTTTATTAGCAAAGGGATTTAAGTTGGTGCTGGAGTAGTGCATTCAGGAATTCAAATGACTGGTAATTTTTTTGAGAAAAAAATAAAAAAAAACAAAGATATTAAAGTTAGTAATTCTACTAAAAATGCTATTAAATTAATTAAAACCTTCAGTGGTAGAGTTATTGAGGTAACTAGCCTTGCTGCTTCATAAATAATAAATGCATCTATTAAAATAAGTTCTATGGCGATTAGTGCTATAACCAATAAAATAGATGGACCTTCTGCAAAAACTTAAAATTAAAGTTTTTAATATCTAAGAGGTGTAGCTTAAGCATCGTTATAAGCTACTTCGAGTATTTTAGATAACCTTGATCAAGCAGCAGATAAAATAGGAAAATAAATAAATGAATCTGTTACCTAAGTTGTTTAAAAAAAATTTGGAGATGATGCAGCGGAAATAGTCAACGATGGAGTTTAAGTTGCTCTAAATGTAAATGGTGCTTATAGAAATATAAACTAACTTGCTGTATAAAAGGTGATGATAAAAACTGCTAAAGAATCTATTAAGCAAGTTATATGATTTCTTTAACTAATAAATTATTAATACTTTAATCTATCAAAATAATAATCAATTTACTTATATATATCTTGCAAAGTATTATTGAAAAAAAATTATTTATTTTGATTTTAAAATTGAAGATTAACTAAAAAAATGTAATATATAGTTTATTCTAAAAATATGAATTTTTTATATTATTTCAAATAACAATTTATATTTTTTATTAAATTTTTTAGTAGAAATATATATTTCAATTAGTTATTTATTAATTCATAATTATATTCCATTTATGTCACTAATTTAACAATAAGTTTTTATTATAATAAATTGATTATTATTAAATTAAAATATGAACATTAATATTTCTTAAAACATGGAAGATAAACCAAAATTACTTTGTGATTCGCATGCAAATTAAATATGCGATTTTCTTTTTTTATAATAAAGCATGCATGCAGAAAATTAGTTTAAATTATTATGCAAAAAATGTATTGTTAAAGGTGACTTTACAAGAGGATATTTAATAGATATAGATCAGAGAGTTAATCCTTCAAGCGATAAAGAAGTTATTCATAATTGGCCTCCTTTAAAAGAAAACTAATTATATATTTAATTAGAAAATATAATGAATAACTAAAATAGTTAATATTCCCTAATCTAAAAGATAGAATAACAATATGAATAAACTAAACGCTATTTTAATGAAAAATTAGATGAATATTTCAAATATATTTTAACCAAAATAAATTAATTTTCATAGGATTATGTTTAAAGTATATACAATCAAATAGGTGGAGTTGAAAAACTTAAAGATTGTTTTACTATCAATAATTATGTTGATTTTAATTAACTTAAAGAACTAGTTAATTTATAGTTAAAAAACTTAGAAAATAATACTAATATTATTAACCTTGCTACCAAATAGTATAAACTAATGTAAAGCAGTGGAATTATATTTGAGCAGCTGTAAAAAAAATTAAAAATACTATTTGAAAAAATAGATGGAAAATATGTAAATGATTTTATTTTCACAAATTTACTTGAGGAAGAAAATCAAGAAAAAATCGAAAAAATAATTTTTGTCAATGAATCAAATTAAAAATTGAAATCTTTGGATTAAAATATTTAATTTGAGTGGAAATCGTTTGAGGAAATACAAAATGGAATATAAATTAACTTTGACCCTAGGACTTTAGAGAAAAACATTATTTTCACAAAAGGATTTTCTATTCCTGAATAAAGAATTTAGCTTTAAAATATAAAAAGTAATTATAGCTGGTGGGTATAAATATAAGAAAGCTTTTCTAATGGTGGAAACAGGTAAATTTATCTAGAATCAAACAAAAAAGCAAAAAATTACGATAAATTAGATAATAAAAAACCTTGCAATAATATAAATTACTTAGGTGATAATATAGCATTAGTGATTAATGGTTAATAATTAGTTGAATAATTAAAACTTAGAGTAAATGAAATAAAAACTAAATATAGTCAATTAAATAATTGATGTAAATATTACTTGTATTTTTATAAAAATTGTTTATCTTTTATAGAATAAATTTTAAAATTTTCAATTATATTAATTTTATCTTAAAGAATATTGTATAAAATATATGTTTTTATATTAAAATATAGATATATACACATTATATTATTGATTATTAACAAAAATTTTCATCACTTCACATTTATTTTAGAAAATTTATCTAAAAAAAATAGTTTATTGTTCAAAATGAAAATTTTTATGATATGAAAAATGAATCAATATGGTTAAATTATCTTCTTTATATCTTAGTAAATTTTTTTATCAATAGAAAGATTAATAATATTTAATTTTTTTATTTATTAATTAAATTTTACACTCAACAAAATATCGCTTAATAAAATATAAGAAGAAATTTTTATTAAAATAAATTTGATTCATATTATTTAATAGTATAAAATGTAATAGAGCTAAGTTATAGAAGATAAATAAAATATATTTTGCGACTCTCACAAAAACTAAAAGTGCGAATTTCTCTTTTTATAAGAAGGAGTAGAAAAATAGGATCATATTGAATTTATATGCAAAAAATGTATAGTTTTACGTGAATTTAGTAAAGGATTTCTAATAGATATAGATCAGATAATAAATTCTACAAATGGCAACTAAATTATTCTTAATTGGCCTCCTATTAAAGAAAAACTATTACATTAATAATTAGAATATATTATCAATAAATAAAATAATTAACAATCTCTGATTTAAGAAATAGAATAACAATATAACTAAACTAAGCTCTATTTTAATGAAAAAATAGATGAATATTACAAATATATTTTAAACAAAATAAACTAATATACGTAGAATTATCTACAAAGTGTTTATAATTAAATATGTGGAGTGGATAAACTAAAAGAAATTTTTACAGGCAATAATAAAGTTAATTAAGACTAGCTTAGAGAATTAGTTAATTTATAGTTCAAAAATAAGGAAAGTAATGTGAATCTACTTAATCTTGCAATCAAATAATATAATCTTACATAAAATAGTGGAATCATATTTGAGCATCTATAAAAAAAAATAAATATATTATTTGAAAAGACGGATAGCATATTTAGAAAAGATTAAATTTTCATAAATTTAATTGAAGAAAAAAATGAAGAAAAAATTGAAAAAATATCATTTCTCAATGAAGCAAATTAAAAGTTGAGATCTTTAAGTTACTTTATTTAATTTGAATGGTAATCTTTTGAGGAAATATAAAATGGAATCGAAATTGATTTTAATTCTTATACTCAAGATAGGAATATCTTTTTTACTAAAGGATGTTCTCCTTTTTAATTAAATAGAGAGAAGCTTTAAAGTTCACAAAGTAATTACAATTGGTGGGTAGAATATTCAGAAATCTTTTCAAATAGTAGAAATAGATACGTTAGCCTATAGTACAATAAAAAAGCAAAAAATCATTATCAAAGCAAACATTAAAAAGGTTGTTATTAAATAAATTATTCTGATAGTAAAGTAGAATTAATAAATAAAGCTTAATAATTAGCTTAAATTTTAAAAACAAGAGTAGATGAAATTAATAATAAATATGGCGTAAAAAATATTAATATTATTGAATGAATTTTATTTACGTGATTAAATATTATTTATGGAATAAGATTTCAAGCTATGTTAGCATAATAATTTTAATTTAAAAATATTGAGGTATGTATATGTTATTATATATATGTGATTTGTAAAAACATTTGATTATTATAAAATATTTAAATATAAAAAAATAAAATTTAAGTTTTAAGATGATTACTTTAAAAGTTGATTTGTAAATATTTGTAAAAAATATATCCTGCAAATAGAACATAGCTATTACTCAAATTAGAGAAAATTTAATTCAAATTACATTTAATTTTCTAATTTTTATATATATTTTAGATAAATATATTAGTGTTAATTATCTAAAACATTTCATTTTTGTAAAATTATTTTATGAAAAAGATCAAGAAATAATTTATTTAGTTAATTTTTCAATAAAAAAGCAATATAACCATAATCTTTCTTTCCAATAAAAAAATAATTTAATATAAAATGTAGTCTATTATCTCAGGATTTTAATAAATGATAAAATTTATATAATTTTATTTAAATTCATTTTCGAAAAAATTAAAATTTTTAGAGAATCCTTTGAATGAACTAAATAAATCAAAATATAAAAACCAAAAGAATTTATAGAGATTAAGATTTAGTACAAAATAAGTAACAATTTAATCAGTTGAACATGCTTTCAACACCTTTAGCTACTCTTCTTTGCTTTTATACTGCACCTACAGGAATTGGAGGAGGGACATTAGCCTTATTCTAAGGAATAATTGGCTATTAATAAGATTAAGCAAGTTACTGCTGCTAAAGAGGCTAGTTAGGATTATATGCAATGTTTTAATGATGAGGAGGTATGATATTGGATTACTGTTGAGTATTTGCTTGTTAATGAGATGGTGCTTAATTTATTTATTGTTAAACACCATAGACAGGTACATGATGCTAGGTAATAGTTGAAGCTTAATTTAAAGTTACTGCAGGAGTACTTTAGGTTTAGCTTTAATTTACATTAGTGGCCTAGTTAGCTTAACTTATACTATTAGATAAAGTATTTTGGTTGGAAGAGCCATTCATAGAATCAAAGAAATCCTCAGCCTCAAAGTTACTCATTTATTAATTAACATTGCTTACAGAATTTACAATATTTTAGATATTTTACTAATGAACATTATGATTTTAGTTATTATTACTATTAGAAAGGTTAGCATATTAAATAAGTTGAGCAGAAGTCTATGATTGTTAACGTGAATTTTAAGGGGTAGCATTCAATGAGTGTTATTATTATTATATTTGTGCAATTTACTATTGCTATTATTATTGTTGTTGTTATTGCTATTATTAATAATTGATTTATTAAATTGACTACTATTATTACTAAGCTTGTTACAATTACCATTAAGTTTGATTTAGCTATTGTAATTGCTGCTTTTGTAATAATTGCACATCAGTGAGCTATTGATTAAGCTAGGCAATATTTTGAGATAATTGATCATTCTTTTCTTGTAGAGACTTATTTTGACCTTAAAGTTAATCAATCATTAAAGTCATTTTTTAGATTGTTTGTTTATGTTAGGATTCAATTTCTCTTGAAGAGTTCAATTAATTCTTTAATTCAAGATTTTCTTTTTATAAGCTACTTATCAAAGAGGTATACTATTCGATTTCAGCTTTCAAGTTTTAATTCTGATTAGAATTTTGATTTTAAGGTTGCTATTCAACTGAAGATTTCCTGAGAGATAATTGAGATAATTAATTTTCTAAATTATTTATATTATTTTATTGTGATTGAATTATTAAACTCAATTCATTTAATTTTTTATGTAAAATATTCTATTGCTCAACTACATCAGATGATTAGCTATTTGTTTAAACATTCTACAATTTTTTTTCCAGTTCTTCAATTTTAGTTCTACTTTAGGCATTGACTTATTCTTAATGCTATTTATACTAATCTAGCTATTGTAAGAAGCTATTTTAGGCTTGACTTAATGCTTCATTAATTAATTAGTTTAATTATTCCTTGCTAATTTGAGGTTAACTATCTAATTTTTAATTTTAGCTCTAAACCTAATTTCCTTATTAGAAAACGTGTTGCTATGATTAAATTGAATTATCGTATTAACTTTAGTTTTACTATTATTATTAAATTAAAGCTTAGATATGCTATTAAGAATACCCAGTTTAATTATTAGGCAATTATCCTAAAACGGGAGTTTGTTGAACCTGATTTGGCACTTAATGCTAATTATTTGATATTTATTATGCTTAAACTGGCTAGGGAGCTTAAGCAGGAGGCTATATTACCTAGACTGGAGGTTAAATGACTTAAATTGGTGGCTATTATACTTGAATAGGCTATTATTATACTTAAATTGGCTATTACTATTATTGTATTTGTGCTGCCTATTGATCATTTCTGATTGGGGCTTATGGTTATGAACTCTTTTAGACTTATCTATTAGGAGGAGGTGGAGCAGGATGAAAAGTATGGTGGGTATTAGTATTTGGAAGATTAGTCTTTTGAGGTGAATTTTTCACTAACTACTATTAATCTTAAACATTATTATTTGCAATAGGAATGTTTTATTGGTTCTATTGATGGAAATCATCTTAATGAGGTTATTCATGATGAATTAAATCATTTTAGTTGCTGTGATGGTCCACTAAGTTTTATAAGTGAGATTCCTATTAAATAAAATTATTATTATATTGAATTACAATAAATATTTAGATATTAATTTATTATTTAAAATTCAAATAATTCTAAAATTTAAAACTTAAAAATAAAACTTCTAAGGTAAGGAAAATGCCAAATAAATACATTTTATTTTTATTTATCCAAAATAAAAATTAAACCTTAGGTAACTTCGTTGATTTAAAATAAATATATTTGCTAGCTTAAAAAATTATCTACTTAGTTTCAGTGGAGTAAAAAATTTATTTTGTGGGTTTTGTTAGGTTTAATGACAAACATTATTAACATATTTCTATTAAAAATTATAAATTTTATTGTAAATTGCAAATTCTATGGGCTGAAATAATATTTATTATAATTCTATTACTACTAAATTAGACTAAACAATGTTTTCTTTAACAACTTAGGGTTGAACTACTTAAACGGGAGGAGTTTGTATAGCAGTAGTAGGATTAACGGGTGGGATATTATCACTTGGTGGAAGTACTTAATTTTAAGGTGGAACATCTACTGGAGGAATAAGTGAAGGTGCATTGGATTATTGGTTTAGAGAATTGTTATTTGCAAAATTAGGATTTACATATCTAGATTTTCCTCCTATTCTATTAGCAGGAGCGTTATTTTGTGTAGGAATGACTCTCTAAAAGGGATTGGCAGTAAAAGGATTTTATGCAATTTAAGGTGGTGCATTTTTTAATTCTTATGAATTGGAGTGATCTTCAGCAGGAGGCTAAGATGATAGTAGATTACTAGTATTTTCTTATTTTAATACTTGTTAAGAAGCTTAAGTTGAATGATTTGAAATATCATCAGAGTTCAATTTTTGCTAAAAGAATGTGTCATTGTAATCAGTGGCTTTCAAATCTATAAATTCCTTTAGATCTATTTTCTTAAGAAGCAAAACTGTTCTGACTTTAGCATTACGAGCACCTTTAATTCTCATCTTTAAAAAGATAATCTTTTCAGTGTACTTTTTATTGTGCTCATTTTATTCGTAGTATTCATAAACTGCTTACTCAATATCTGAAGCTGTTTAAGCTATTAGATCGTCTGGGAACTCTGAACTAGACTCTTTCAGAGCTTCATAAATTTGCTTTTGTTGTTGCTCTCTACCTCTGGTTTTGGTGCTCATTTAATCTATTTTACTATACACCTTTTTATATATTTAAAGTTTATTCTCTCCTTTCCTTTTTAATAATTTTTTAATATTGTTGATTTTACCGTATTATATAATAAAGCAATAAGTTTACTTGTATCTATTTAATAAAATCAGGCTTTAACTTATGAATGAGTGAATCTCTAAAAACTAACTATAATCTCTATCTTATGAAGTGAATAACATCAATTTATTAAAAATGAGGATTGAATTCATCTATTTTATTTAAAGTAATATCTTACCTTTTTTTTCCCCCTTTTGTAAAGTCATTTTTTTAATAAATTTCCTTATATCTCTATGCAATTTATTATTTTTACGTGGAAGATTAAAATTTACTTATGCATGATTTTATTGCTGATGCTGCTGCCATATTAACTAAGTTTTGATTGATTTTTTTAATCTTTTAATATTTTTATTATGTTGTTAGTTTTTGAATTTAAAAATTATATGCTTAATTATATTTGTTTAAAATAAAAAAATATTTTTCAAACCTTTTAAATTTAAAAACATTTCTGTTTCTAAAATTAAAATCTTTAACTTTGTTTTCTGTTTATATATAAAGAAAGATATATATTTTATTATTATAATTTCATTTCTTTAACAAAATTTCTTTCTTTTTGTTAAATAATGTAAAATAATTTATTTTAAATATTAATTTATAATTAATTCTATAAAAAAAATTCTAAAGTATAAAAGAGAGATTTTTTGTAATAGTAAATAAGTTATTTAATTTAATTTAATGGCATATTTTTTTTTAATTTATTAAAGAGTTTTCTCTTTGAAAAATTATATCAAAATTAAAAAAATAAATATACTTTAACTTTGAAAGAATAAAAGGAGAGTTCTAGCTTCTAATTGAAATTTTACTGACATCTTTATCTATTTAATACAATAGCTATTCTATATTAGGTGTTGATAATCTATATCTTAAATTTCTGAATGAATGACTCTAATTCTTTCTTTGATTAAAATTATAATTTAGCACAGTATAAAAATAAAAAACTTATTTTTCATCTTTTAAACATTTTTTAAATATTTTGAAATGTTTAAAAATTGGATATTTATTTATATGTGCGTTAATATTCAGTCCATTATTTATTTTTTTACAAACGTATCTTTATTATTAATCTATTTTAATTTTTATGTAATCTATATTATCTTAACTAAATTTAATAATTTGACAATTACTTTGCTGTGCTTTTGAATGGGTTATAAAAATATACGGTGGAAAATTTATTTAGATTAATAGATTCCTATTGATATCATTAAATTAATGATCATTATCAAGCTAATTACTTCTTTATATTATTTATTTACACTATTTTCAAACAACCTTAAAAAAAATTAAATTTTTGTCTTATCAAATTTTTAAAAGTTCGCATTTTGTGTTGATAATTAATATAGTTTAATTAAATCTTATAAGTAGGATATTAATCAAACCTCTACATCTTAAAAAAGAAATTTAGCTAAATATATTAAGGATAACAAAAACAAAAATAGGTACAAATAAAAGAAATCTTAAATATACTTACTTGTTCACAAAATAATTTTAAGATAAACTGAAATATTGCAAAAAATAAGAGAATGGATTTTGGAGATTTTGAAAACTAGCAATTTGTTAATTACTTGAACAGTCAAGATAGTGAATATATCTCACAGGTAATGAGAAATGAAATTTAACAACTAAATATTAGAAGATAAGAGTAGGAATAGCTATCTTAAAATGTAAATTGGAGATCTATGTTGGCAGCAAAAGAATTACTAGATGATGATAATAACTACCGTTTACCTATTGGTCTAACATTTTTCTCTTTAGTTAGAATCATTTTTACTTTGTTTGCTCTCAGCTATTCTAAAGAAAGAAGCCAGTTTATTTCTATTTTTACTTCAGTAGGCCTCTTTAAGGATCTTCTTCAAATATTTTACAATTATTTCCTTTTCAGATAAATACAAAACCTAAAAAAGCAACTATATTCTCATTAATTTACCTATGAGCTCCTCGAATTTCTGAATGAAATAGAAAACAAAGATTTCTCTATTAAATACAAGAGTTCTTTAGTTTTTAATTCTATCTTAAAGACTAATTCTTTCCTAAGATACTTTGAAAGAGTTATTAAAGTATTCTCTTGGGCATTATTTTTGTATTCAATATTTATGATTGCATTTACTGATGTGCTAAAAGATGTATCAGGAATTTCTATTCCATTAATAGTTCTCTTCACATTTAACAATTATTGCATAATAACTGTTGTCATGATATTGTTCTTTTACTCAGTTTTTTTCAATATACTAACTCTTTTTAGGAATATAGCAAATGTTTTCAAGATTAAATTAAATAAATACAAAATTGAAAAATTAATACAAAAACTCCCTTGTTAGGAATACGAAAAAATAAAAGATAAAGCATCTATAACATGTTGCGCAGTATGTTTAGTTGATTATACTTCAGGAGATAAAGTTTTATAATTAAATTGTTCTACTTAGCATCATTTCCACAAAGAATGCATTTTATAGTGGTTGGATATTAAACCTAACTGTCCTATATGTAGAAAACTTGTATTTGAATCAGCTTAAAATCCTACTCATTAACCAACTGTAAATTCTTAAACTAATAATAATATCTCAACATAATAACTATAACAATTGATCAATAACGATAACCAATAATCATAATAAGAGGAATCATAGATTTAATCTTTTAGCCATATTTTGTGTAATGATTAATAAAATGAATTGTTACAAGATAATGAAGCTACTAGATAAAAAAGTAAATCTGACTCATCTACACCTTCTGCTTAAAATTTTTAGAAAATAATTGAATTCATTTAGCAGTTAAAATAAAATTAACAATTCTTAAACGATATGAGAACCTAAAGTCCAAATCAACAAATAGTAGATATGATTGAAGAGAACTTGTCATAGCAAGAATTATCAGCAGAGACTTAATAGTGTTGAGTTTTTTTAATTTGAAAAAATTAAAATCAAAATTAATAAAATGATTAAAGTAAAAACAATTATATTATCTACAAACTTAATTAAACATTTTTATAATATTTATGTAAATATTTCTCTCATTTATATTTTTTATAAATTGAAAAGAATTAACAAAATAGAATAATCAAAATTATCTTTTAGTCAATTTTATTAATTATAAATTCTTATTGTATCAGATCTCTATTAAATTTATATTAAAAATAATAATAATAATTGCATGAAAAAAAATATATATTTAAGTATTTATTATTTTATTAAAATAAATAAATACCTCTTAATTAAAAATTATAAAAAATTATTTTTTAATAAATTAAATAAATCAATAGATAATTTATTAATAATTTTATAAATTGTAAATTATAGTTAAATAAAATTAATTAGTTTCCATAAATCTAAAAAACAAATAATTATTTATTTAATTTTTCTCTTATTTATCATTTATTTGAGAAAACTTTTTGATTAATTGAATAAAATCAAAAAAAACAAAACAAAAGAAAATAATCAATAATTTGCTGATGAATTATATTCATTGTATATTCTTAGTCATTAAAAAACTAAAAACAAATGAAAATTAAATTGTTAGTTTCATCAAATTAAATATTAATTCACCATAAAATTTCTTCATATTGTTTTTTATATTATCTAAATTTTTTATTAAATGTTTAAATAATTTGATTAATAAATAGATAAAAAATATAATCTAACATAATTTGATTAATCATCGTAGAATAAAATTTGATTATTATTTTAATAAATATACATAATTTCTTTTATATTTTTGAAATTTTATTCAATTGTAGGAGAATAAAATGAAAAATCTAATTAAATAATTTAATTTTCTCGCTTAAAAAATAATGAGACAAAATAATTCGAAATTCTTACTCAATTTTTATAATTTCTTTTATAACAATATATAAGAGTTTATAAAAAAATAATAATTTCTCCTTTATCGAAGTAAAAACAAACTAAATAAAAATCTTAAAATAGACCTTAATTCTTTGAAGATAATTCTTTTGAAAATATAAAATTCTAGATTTTTTGAATGCGTTTATAGATTTGTACTTAGATAAACAAAATTCAAATGTTTAACCTAATATTCAGATCTAATTTTTAATCATTTTTAACTGTTTTTACAAATGTCAAGTTATTACTTAGGGAATCTAAAAAAAGATTTTTGGTTATGTTTATGAATTAAATAATATCTTAACTATTGGTTAAAATAGTAATAAAATTTAATATTAATTCTTCATATACCTTTTTTAAAGTATTTACTAGAGAGAAACAAACAAATAATGCAAAATATTTATCATGATATAGATGATAGATTTTAAGTTAATTTAAATAAATAAATATCTCTAAGAATCCATTTTAAATTGCCTGTTTTTTATAAATTATTTTTTATATTCTCTTATAAATTATCAAAGAATAGGAGAAAATAAGGTGACATAAAAATTAATCTTTAATAATAATTATTAATTTATAAAATATAAATTGATAAAAAATTAATAAATAAATAAACAAACAAACAAAAATGCAGAAAAGAAAAAGATAAACTTAAAAAAATTTATAATTAGATTTTAAGTGTAAATACTGTCCAAAGGCTTACAGTACCTAATCAGCTTTATACAATCATACATAATTAAAGCATGAAAATAAAACTACATGCAAAGGTTGTTAAAAAAATTATACTAATGGATATTTTCTAAGAAAACACTAATAAAATTCAGATAAATGCATCCTATTTTTAATTGAAGATTCTGATGAATCTAATACTGAATATACTTTATAATAAACCTAAGAAGAGCCAGAATAAATAGAAGAAGAAGATCCTTAAGTATTAGAATAATTGAGACAAATGATACAATAAGCGGTATTGATTTTTATTATTTTGCCTTAATAACTTAGTTTATTTTTTAATTTAGTGTAAAAAATAGACTTTTTAATTTTATTGAATTGCTTGTATTAAAAAGATATTTATTTATTTTTTACTTTATTCAAAATAGAAACCACAGTTCAGATCTGCAATTAAATCATTTCTAAAATGCGATGAAAATGTTAATTTGAATAAGCCTAGCTTATTTTTTAATCCAAAGTATCCTCTATTTGCTGACACTGTATTTGCCTTTGGTTCTGTAGATATAGACTATAATATCTTTTTATAAGATTTAGGATATATGGCAAATAAATATTTATATTATCAATAGTTTTAATTAGAATTATAAGATTCAATTTATAATTAAGTATAAACTAAGTTAGAATTAAACTAAATACTTATCTACAAAATATTAAAACCTTAGAGTTATCATTAAATTTTGTAAAATTTAGTCTACTAAAAATAAAAATTATTTAGTTAAGAACGTATAATTAATGATATACAAATTATAAATTAAAAAAAATTAAAAAATAATCAACAAATAGATTTGAATAAATTAGATTTCTAATAGAGAGTTTAGGATTTTTTGTAAGAATTTATAAAAAATATTCAAAAGAATAATGATTAAGATGAAATAAACTATTTCAATAAAACTAATTTATTTATAAGATAATAAGACAATAATTCATTAAATTTTTAAGAATTTGATATCAAAAAAATTTTACATGAATTAGAAGTAGAAGAATAAAAACCTTATAAAGCAGTTTTTGAATAAATGCAAGATGAAGAAAAAAAATTAATTGAACCAATAATTTAATACCTCTTTTCTTTTTTCAATGATTAGATTAAAAGCTAGATTCTTAAAATAATTTTATCTGCCTACCTATTCCCTAATTGTCACTAAGAATTGTATCAAAAGCTAATAAATAATAATTAAGACTATTTAATATTTAACTTTTTGATTAAGCTAAAAGGATAAAGTAGTTTTTTCAATTTTTTATAGAAAATTAAAAATTTATGGTAATAATGAATAGTCTTTATAATTATTTGTACTCTATATATAAAATACTTGAAGGTTTTTTCATTTTACGAATAAATAAAATGCATAACTACTTTAATAATTAATTTTTGTAATTTATAAATTTTAATTTATATATATTTATTAATCAATAAATAAAGCCATTCTTAATAAGCAAATAATTAATTTAAATAATATTATTAATAATTAATAGTTCAGAATTATTAAATTTGTTTAAATCATTAGATAAGAAATATTGTATTCAAAAATTTTACACAGTTTTTTATATTGAAAACTTTAAAAATAAAATTATATATTTTTATTATGCTATTTTTTAAATGTTTATTTCTATCACTTTTTTATTAAATTAATTTTAATTTATGTAAAATAATTAAATATCTTTTAAAAGACAAAAAGCCTTTATATTTTTTCTAGTTCAAATCCACAAATAATTTATTTATTTTTGTACTATTGTTTCATAAAATTTTGGCAATTGTTTTATTTTTTGTTAGCTTAGATAATTTTACTATAATTATAAAATTATTATATCAATAATTAAAATATAAATATATTAATCAAGATAACACTAACAATTAATTAAAAGTAATATATTTTATTTAATTTATTAAGTAAATTAATTAATCAAATTGAATTATAGAAAATTAATTTTACAAAAAATTATTATTTTTATTAAACAAATTTTTTTGAGTTGAAGCTTTTACTAAGACTTATTTATATCAATTATTTTTTATAGGGTTTGCAAATTAATTTAAAATAATTTAATATCTTTAGATGAATCTTGATTGGCTAGTTATTGTCTGCAAAATTTATTTAATAAATTTAAGAATTGATTAAAATTTAAAGCTCTATTCATTAAGTAAAGATTTGTAAATATATATTAATATGAAGCTAATTGATTTATAAGAAAATGAAAGTAGTCCTACAATTATTTCTAACTAAAGAAAATAAGTTTTAAGACAAGAAATGGTTAAATTTATGCTTTAAGCTGCTTCTCACTTGAAAATATCTACTAAAACTCTTGGCAAGGCACTTTATTTAGTTACTGCTTTTGATAAGATTTATGGGAAACATTTTGACTAAACTCTTTGCTGTATGTCAGCGATTTACTTAGCCTCTAAACTCGATGATAATTAGCTAGAAGTAGATAATTGTATAAAATAATATACACTTTTATCTCATAACTAAAAAAAATATCATAGAAAACTGTCGTTTGACTAATTGGAAACAGATGATGATTAATTGGAAATTCTGAAAATGAGTCTATTTGAAATGGAAACTGAATTACTTCTATCAATAGGTTTTAATCTTAAAATAAGAGTTCCTCAAGAGTATTTAGAATTTTATTAGAAAAAATTTTCAAAGTACATAGAGAAACCTATATTTGAAGCTGCTAATACTATACTTAACGATTCATATCAACTTAATGTTTGTATAACTCACAGGCCAGACCATATAGCTATAGCGTGCTTATACATATCAATGTCATTATTTAAAAAGGCTGATCTTTAAATCAATAGTAAATGTTGGATTGATTACATATTAGTAGTAAATGATTAATTTCCATTGCATTTATTTAAAAAGCTCCTAACTTAGATAAGTTCAATCTATGATTCTGTAAGTGCAATTATTTGATCTAAAACACTCAATTTGCATTTGAAAATATGAGTCAGAATTTAATTTAAGATTTTGAAAATTTTTCCAAATTTATTTTAAATAAAAGAGTAATTCATTTATTAATTATTTATTTTAATTTTCCAAATTATTAGAAAATAAAATAAAACATTTTTAATTTAAGAAAAATTATGAAGCTTTAAAAGCACATTTGATATGAAAATTTTGAGTGAGTATTTACCTTTATGTACAATATACAAAACTTATACTATAAATAATAATTCAGAGATAAAATTTCAATGCTTGATAATATTTAGTAATGAGGAAAATTATATATTTATATATTTTAAATTTTTAAAACTCTATGATTTTACAAAATTTATAGAGCTGATTATTTATTAAAATAATATTGATTGATTTATAATAAATAATCTTCTTTTTAAAGTAGACAATCACCATACTGTAGCTAATATTTGTTAAACATGGGCTAAGTTTGCAACAATGTTTTTTCTATGCTGCATCTCTTCACTCATCTTTTCGTTCTCAAAATATTAGCTTTCTCCCTGCGATTATTTATTTTCTTCAGCTTGTTGAATAATTCCTATTTGTATCTTATCAATTTACCTTTAAATTTTACTTTATACAAATTATAATTCTTGCACAACTTCTGGCTTGTTAAACATTATTATTGCTTAGTTACACTTGTAAAGTAAATTTTCAAACATTTAGCAAATTATGTCTTTCTAAAGTAAATCGTTTGAATCAGAAGAGACTACAGACATCATCAAAGCAGGCATTTAATTTTCTTTAGAGGTATAGAATACTTTACATTCACTTGAAATAGAAACATTACAAAGCAATAATAAAATCATCTCACTCAATTTCCCTCTGCAGTTAGTCTCTTATAAAATAGCAATCAGAGTGTCAAATATATTTTTTTCAATCTACAGAAAAATAAATTTATTTTTTATTTTTATTCTAAATATGAATTAATTTTACAAATAATCTTTGATGAGCATCCTGGTGGAAAGATAAGGCTAAAAGGAAATGAACAAAGTATTAAACAAAGTAATTGTTAGGGTTCCATTCTCTTTTTTTGTTCCAAACTTTATTTTATTATTGTTAAAGAGATTTTTTAAAAATTTAAATTAAAAATATTTATTTACTTTCAAATATTTTTTAATTGACTTAGTCAATAAACTTCTATCTATAATATACTTTTCTTATTTCTTGATTTTATCCAAGTACTTCTAAAATTTTCATGCAGTGCTTAAATTGATTCTTTGTGATTCCTTCCAATCTAATTTGCATTAAAAAAATATTAAATTATTTAATTTATTGAAAAAATTTATGAAACTACTTTAAAATATTAGCTTGTATGTCTGTTAGTATTTACTAAGTACGATTATCAACTAATCTTAAGCACAGTATCTAAGAGAAAACTTTATGAGAAGAGAAATTTGTAATCATTCTCGAATATGCATCAAAGTATTCATCCTACAAATTTAAAAATAAAAATAACATCTTGTAAATCAAATAAAATATTTTTTTACTTCATTTCTTATTGATAATAATTAAAGCTTATAAAGAATTTCGAGAAGATTTGTAGAAGATTTTTATAAAGTTTCCATTATTTTATCAAATTTAAATGAATCATCTTCTTTATCACAAAAAACAGCCTTAAAAAGACGGATATAAAACAAACAATCACTAGAATCGATTGGTTTTTCATTATATTTTACTGCTATATTAGATTCTTTTGCAGTCTTTCCTAATTAAATTAAATTTATTTTGAATATTTATTTTTAGTAAATTAAAATTATAAATGAAAGTATTACTTTTCATTGATTATTTATTAGAAGTGGTAGTTACATTGAAAACAGTTTGTGTTTCTACATTTATGTAGTCCAATACAGAATATAATTCTCTAATAATATCTTAGTAGAATCCAGAACAAACAAAAGCCTATTTTGAATAATTTGAACACGAAAGAATACCAGCTAAAGCAGATAGGACATTATTTCTTTCTTATTTAAAAGATTAAAATTCTATTTCTTACTTGATGAAAAGATGATTCAACAGCTTATATTGTCTATATGTTTAAAGTGTTAGATTTTCTCCTATAATTTCTTGATTAAAATCTTTAGAATCTATAAGTTGGCTCCCTTTTTGTCTCCAACCTCCTAAAAGCTATCCAATAAATTAAATACATGTTCTTTTCATTTCATCGTTTTTAGATTAATCAATGATATATGAAATAGATCTAAATATGTTAATGTAATTTCCTATTTCACTTTCATCAGTAACTTTTTCTAAAATAACAAATAAGATTAAAAAATAAAATATATTAAAATTAATTGATATAAAATACCTTTTATTTTTTCTTGCATGCGTTTGTTTATACTAAATACTGTTATATCTTCATTAAAAATAATGCACGTGTGAAGCAATTTTACTATTGAATTGACACAATCATCCAAAGATTTTTTATTTTTAAAGGATGTCTAAAACTAAGGATGGATGTATGAATTTGAGATAATTTTCAACCATTTAAGTAAATTGCCAAGCATATTTGTTCCGTTTATCAAGTAATTTTATTAGTTCTTATCTAAAGTTAAAATAAATGTTAGGAAATTGCAAGTTAAAGAAACGCTCATTAATCTTTCTGAGTTAATTTATGATCTATCTTTTCCATCAGATGGAGCTATTTTCCCTTGTCTTTCATAGAATTTTTTATCAAGAAGCTAAACAATTTTATCAAAGAGTTCTAATTAGCTCATTATTCCAAGTGATTTTTATCCATCAAGTCTAGTTATTCTATATAGTAGGCTAATAGCATTTGCATAAAAAATTTCAGGTGCTCCTTCTTTTTCAATCATCAATTTAACATGAGAAATTAGATTCTTACCATTAATGATACTCATCACTTCTGAAATTTCAAACCTTGTTTCAACTTCCCTTGGGTTTTTATATTCTTCATTTATATCTTCGTCTTAGGAGATGTCTCTATCATTTTCCTCGTTCTTTTCAAAATCGCTCTCTTCTTCATACACTTACAAAGCTTTTGTTAAAACTCTTGCAGCACAAATTACGACTCCAAATGCTTCATTAGGAGACATAACAACATCTACAGCAAGTTCAACAATAGATTTATATATTTTAAGTACTTTTGGCTCAATTAAATGCAAAAGAATGTTCCAGCTTAAAACACGGATCTAATATTTTATAAAAATAAATAAATAAATTTTATAACAATAAACAACTTTTTTATTACTTAAGTGCATCTATCATCAGTGTATTTTAATATCCATCCTAGAGTACTGGCTTTTAAGAGGTTCTTTTTCGAGGCTACAAGGGTTGAACGTTGCATGGCTTCAGTTATGTATTAAGAACTGCTAAAAAGACTTAAGTATTTCAAGAAGAAAATAAGTATATTCTTCAATTTAGACTTGTACATAAACTCAAAAGTAGGTTTATACATAATAAGAAGCTATTCCATTATATACTTCATAAAGGAATTTATGTCAAAATCAAGAGATTCAGGCTAGTCAAGAAGGACTGTCTGGAATTTAACAAGTGTATCAAAGTAAGTTTAATTGTGAGGGAATGCATTGAAGAATTTCATCATAAGATCCATGAAAGTTTACTTAAGGATTTTTTTTGTTAAAACATGCTTCAATTTAGGATCAGCCTATTTATGAATAAACTTTTAAAATGATATAAGACATTAAAAGAAAGGAACGATCATTTTAGCTTTATCTTTTAAATTAAGAGTAGGAATTTAGTAAACATAGCTCAGAGTAGTGGTAGATAAAAATGATATTATATCATGGATGAGAGTATTAAGAGGAATATTATATTTGTATTCATTAATATCAGTCTACTTTAGTATATGTCTAATTATAGTATAAGCGTAGTTTACATGCATTTAGGAATATTCACTACTCAAGACTTTAATAAATAACTCACAAACAAACCCAGTAAAGAATTCTTCAGTTCTGTTAGCAGGAGTCAATCCACAGTAATAGTCAAACCATTAAGTTAAAACTGCAAAGCATGTTTAATACTCTTGTTACACTATATTGTCGTTTGTATTTTATATTATAAAAGTTTATTGTAAGTCTGTAACGTTCTTAGAATATAATGAGTCAGCATTTTAAGCTTCAAGATATTTTTACACGTAGTAATCCTCAAAATCATTTAATGGATAAATTTTCCAAATTTCAACTAAGTTTTCGTCAATGCTCTTGTAAGTTAAGTTTATTTTAAAATCAATATATTAATCTTTTAAAAGAATATGAGCATAAAAATCACTGAATTCTTAATTCTGATTAAATTTTTCTTAAATATTTCTATAATATAAATAATTATTATTAAGGCATAAGGCATATAAAAGTTTTAATGAATAATATCTTAAATCTTTATCTTAGCTGACCAAATTAGTTAATAAGCTATACTTGAGGCTAGCTTACTTAACAGGAGATAGACATAGTAAGACCTTATATTTAACAAAATTTTTACAAATTACTAATTAATAAAATAAATTAAAATTTTTTACTTAAAATCTAAGTTTTGCAAACTGTTTGAAATTGCATAAAAATGCTGAAAGAAGTGCCAGCATACTAGTTCTTAATGGGATAGAAGGAGAGGTTTCAATTACAGAAATAGAATACTAAACTAAGAGAATTACAAGATTCTAAATCTCTTGTTAGACATATTATTTAGATTCGAGATAAGTCAATTTTTCAATTAGCTGTTCGACTGCAGATTATTTTAATTTTATTTCAACATTTTCTCCAATTATCACCTTTTCAGTTGAAATTAAACTTTAAAAAAATATAAATTATTTAATTTAATTACTTAATAAAGATTTGATATATCTTCTAAGTTGACTTGAACAGTTTTTTTTGAATTAAATTGTAAACTCTTATCGAAATAGCTAATGAGAGTTTATTATTCATTAAGGAAGGGAGCAAGAACATCTTCATAATTAGTTGATTCATCTTTTTTATGTTCAATTAAGAGACGTGCAACAAAATGTGTTGTATCTCTCTACAAGTAGGTATTTCTTAAAAGTTACTCGTTCCTTAAAATTGCATAAGCCTTTTTTCTGATAATAGGATGTTTGCTAAATAAGTCTAAAGTTATTAGATGAACCCAAGATTCTTCGCTTTTATTTCTTAAAATATCTGTTAATAACTCTGCATTTTTTGAAATGGCCTCATTTTCAGCATACTAAAGCTAGTTGAATACTGAAATAAATCTGTAGATATGATCTATAACACCTACGTCATTACTTTATTTGAAATAAAGAGTACAGAATTAATGAATGATCTGCAAAATGAGAGAAATATTCTCTTCCTTTGATAAACCAGCTAAAATTAATTAGCTTGCAAAATAAGGGTCTAATAGTGATTGGCATATCAGATTTTATAAAGATAACTATTGACCAGATTTAGTATTTATAAATCTATTAGATCTATTAATGTAGCTCAACTAAAAATTTGAATAATATTTAAAAATAAGATAAGCTTATTGATTCTAAAAGTAATTACGATTTCTTAAAATACAAGGTGAGATAGTTTTGTTGGTATGTTTGCTAGTTAGATAAAATACTTTCTCACATCCTAGTAATATAAATCTCCACTGGGTTTTGTGGGCTTCTCTGCGATTGTGTATAATAAAGTATCTAAATAGAGCTCTTTTATATATTCAATTAAATTAAATTATAATTTTTGTTATAATTTATTTATGTTTATTTACTTGGATATTTAGTTTGATTTGTAAATGGTAATGCCTAAACTAATTTAGAAATATTCTCTATAAATAATTAATATTCCTTCAATTAAACAAATGCCACTCCTTCTGCATATTGATTAATCTCGTTATCAAATTTTTTTAATATTTCAAGAGACTCAAGAAGTGATTATAACTAATTAATGTAAAAAATTATTTAAAATTATCATTTTAAAAATAAAAATATTAATAATTATTTATTTACTTTTCTATCTGATTAAATGTTTGATTTTCCAAAAATATCAACATATGCATAAAGTTCATCAAATTATTTCTTAGAATAAATGCATCTCAATTGAGGATTGAAAATGTAGTAGTAAAGCTAGTCTAGAAGCTTATTTGATCCTTCAATTTAGTAATCTTCAGGCTTTAACACACAAAACAAGTTTCTGATTTGTATTAGAAGGCAAAGATTTGATAAGTCTTCATAAATTTCTACTCTCTTTTATTCTATAACCTTAAAAATAAAAAATACAAATTACAAATTTTAAAGTTAAAGAAAATTTATTTTACAATAGAAAACTTTGAAAGAATTTCAAAAAGCAATGATCTTGTGGCAGGTAAGTTGATAGTCTTTAAATAATTTAATGCTGATGTAACTTCAGCAAGAAGAGAGCATATCAAACCAACAAAAATGTTTGACTTTATATTTTCAAATGTGCTACTGCAAATGAACTCAATAATCTGATAAAAAGTCCATTAACCTGAGTAAGTTTTAGATAGCGAATTTTAATCTTCTGGATTAAAAGATGGCTTTTTTAGAGAAGGATAACAATATTTAATGTGGTTTTTTTCATCTTTTAAATGCATTTAAACTGCTCTAGAGATATTTAAATCTTAATATACTCCAGAGTCTACTTGCTTAAAAGTTTTAACTATTTTTTTAATAATAGCAATTTAGTTTTATATTGAGTGATAAACAAACAACTAAGAAGTGGCTCTTTGCTAAATAAAAACTAGTTCTTAAATTATTTCATTTTTTCTTCTGAATATCTCAACAGGATAGTCTTTGATTATATTTGGAAGAATCTCTGTTAAAATATCATATTATATAGACTATTCACTAAACTTTAACTGAACTCCAATATCAAATAAGAATTTATCATCACTTTCACTTAATTCCTAATGAGGTAAATGCTTAAATTCTTTAATAACTTCCTGCTTTGGTCTTTCTAAAATTTATATTTTTTTAATAGTTTCTTCGAATTCTAACTATCCTCCTCTTATTCCACTTAATGTTTCTCTGTTAAAGCTTTACCCAACAGCTCTTTAATTAAGGGAACTACTAAATGAAGAATTATTATTATTATTATTGCTCTATCTTATTGAATTATTTATGCCATTTTTTGTATCTGACTTCAAAGTATTGTTATTTATTGTTTATTAATTTTGATTAAAGCTTATATATTAATCTTCATCTTGAATCCTTAAGTCGTTTTTACTACTTTTAACTGTTCTTACATTGTCTGCTTCTACATCATTCAGATTACTATTGCTTCCTAAGTTGCTTTCTATATTAATTGGATGAGCAAGAGTGTACTATTGTTCTTATAAATCTCTCAACTAAACAATATTTCTCAAAATTTCTTCAACAAGAGCCAAATGTGGTTTGAGATCTGCTTTTTATCCTAAAAAATTTTTGAATTCATAAAAAAATTCAATCGCACCATATTTATCAAATAACTTAGCCCCATTTACACACTAATTTTACAAAATAAAATTTGTTAATTTGGATGAAAAACTACAATTAAAATATATGTAAAATTCTATACAGATGTTAATATTTTGACTATTTAGATAGCTTTTAAAAGAATGTCAGGGCTAGTTTTATCTTGATATTTATTAATCCAATTCAATAAAACTGAAGGCAGCTCTTAAAATCTTAAAGACAACTCTTCTGGAGAGTGATTTTATTTATTATTAACTAGCTTGCTTAATAAAATCGATATATTTCCTTCATTAATTTGCTAGTTTGGCTATTCTATTATTTAAAATAAAATTGATTTAAATCTATTCTTATTACATTTCATTCATTGATTCATTTATGGCTGATATAAATTTAATTTTTAAACAATAATAATCAAACAATATTAAGTTAAATTGTTACTAATTTTATCGATTATATCCTTTGTTTTTATAATATTCATTTTAACTCTACTATAAATTGCAACAGCTCTTTACTTTTAACTTAATTGTAGCCTAACGAGTTTATTTTTTTTGCTTACTTATTTATTATTTTTAGATATTGTTGTAACTTTATTTGATTGATTTGTACAAATCCTCTTTTTTATTTATTTAAATTTCAAATAAAAGATTCAATTACTATTTTTATTTATTTATCTTAGATTAATATTTATATAATCTTAACAAAAAAAACAAAATAAAACAAAACAAACAAAACACTGACTATTTTATTCATCAAATCAAAATGAAGATCTAATCAATCAAAAATTTGAAATTTTTTAAATTATTTGCACTACCACATATCCTTTTCTCTTAACAATATATTTGTGCTTTGAATTATACTTCAAAGATCTAAACCATAAAAATTATTTGCTATTTATACTGGCTTTACATAAATTAATAAAAAACTAAACATTGATGCTAATTTAAGACAAATTCTATGGAAAATTATTTTTTTTATTTATGTTTAAAGTTTTGGTTTTAAAAAGAAAGTTTTCTTTTAATTTGTTTAGTCAAATAATTTGAAAATGCAGATTATAAATTATATATAAACTATTCAAAAGTAAATTATATTTTATTTTATTTTAGTTATTATGGTATTTATGAAACCTTATATTTACATTTTAGTTTAATTATATTTTGAATTATTTTAGAAAGTAAGTAATAGTAAGAGTATTATTATTTATATTATTTCATTTATTATAAGAAAGATAATTAATTCAGTATGAAACATCAACTTACAAATCTTAATTATCTTCATTTTATTAGTCTGAGTTTACTTAGACTAAATTTTACCTGCATAAAGGACAGCTTCCTTTGATTTTAAGCCAATCATCAACACATGAAATATGAAACCTGTGCTCGCAGTTTAATTCTTTGACTTTTTCTCCTTCATCAAAATCATTTAAGCATATTGCACATGTCCTAGATTTATTTAGTTTTATACTTTTTTTTCAGTCATTAATAAAATTTATATTTACTTATGTGTTTTATTGCTTGTGTGGAAGGTCGTTTTCATTTTATCTATTTCTTCTTAATTCATTCCAGGCACTTAATTACTTTCTTCTTGCTATAATGCCTCTGAGTCAATCTAGAAAGAATATATATGCCTAGATATCCTAATTTTTATTAAATAAGAATTAAGTGAATAAATATTTGAAGTAATTTATCATATTTACAAGCTATTTAATTCGTGTCTATTTAAAATATCTCTCATCAGATTTCTTGCAAACTCGTCAAAGAACTGTTTAAAAAATATGAATAACTTTTTAATTTGAGGTTGAATTTGAATTTATTACTCTAGGATCAGGTAGACTTATTTAAGATGAGTTTTCATACATTTAATTGTCAATATCAACTATTTGTATAAATAATTTTTTGAATAATATTCAAAATTTATTAAAAATAAATTTACTGTTTATCTAATTCACATTGAAATTTATTTCATTTGGGGAATTTATTTAGAATGTAATATTAAAATTATTTTCATATATCTAACTTTCATTATCGTCATCATCATCATTATCATTATCATCGTCATCATCATCGTCTTCTTCTTCATCGTCATCATCTTAATTGTCATCGTCTTCATCTTATTCTTCATTATTATCATAGCTGTCAATATCTTCTTCGAAATTGATATTATTTTCCGTATTTTATAAGTATTAAGAATCATAGTTTTCTTCTTACTAATCTTGGCTATCTTCTTCTTAATATTATTGAAAAAGATACCCATTGTCAAACATATGAGAATTGAAGTTATATCTTTCAAATGATTATTTTTCTTCTTCTTCACCATAAATATAACTCTCTTATTCGCTATCTTCATTATAATCCTAGTAATCAGATTAATATTCAATAAAGTTATTTAAAATATTGTTGTTAAATTCATTTTATCCAATATAAGCTTGCATTGAATTTAGATTAGAATTAGATCCAGCAATTTATTAACTGCCTTCATTTGATTATCTTTGTTAATTAGAATTGCCTTGATTTTAATTTCTACTTAATTGTTAATTCCATCTTCTTCTATTCCTTCTTCCGTTTTATCCTTCAATATTAAAATTAATTATTTAATAAATTATGAGCAAAAAAATTTAATTTAATAGAATATACTTAATATTGTATGAGGTTCTGCATGTTAAGTTCTTTCATATTGTCTTCTATTAATATTATTCTATTAACTAGATTGATTATTTGGGTAGTAAATATTTGGCAGAAAATGATTCATTTATGACTAATTGTAAGAATGGTTCTCTTCATTTGAGAAAATATCGTATCCATAATTGCTGTTATTGTTTGTAGATTGATTTTAAGCGTTTTAAGATAACAAGTGTTAGTGATTAATTTATTGTTATTGCTACTAATTATTACTTATTCTTCTTAAGATGTTATTGTTAAGGTTCACATTTTGTAAATTAAAATTTAAATGATTATTGTTTTGAGGATTATTATTAATCTATCTGTTGTTAATTGAGTTTATTTAATTCATAAAATTAATTTAGTTTGCTTACAGATTTCTTATTCTATTCAGCTCAATGAAGCTAATAACATTTTAAAAAATGAATAAATATAAATGAATATAATTAGAAAAATAATTTCCATAACCTAATAAAAAAACTCTTAAAAATAAATAGGTAAAAAAATTAAAATTTTTAGTTAATAAAATTGTACTTTTGATCATATTAACTTGTGTAATCTTCGTAGTCTTCTTATTTTTATTCCTCGTTGTCATTTTAATCGTCTTCTTCAATGTTTTATATAATTTGATTGTTATTATTATCTTCATCATCTTCTATTTCAACTTCATTATTATTATTTTAACTATCAAAGTCATAATTATACCTTTCAATTATGCTCTAATTTAAGCTATTTAAAAATTAATTATATCCGTTATTCGTATTACCAAAGAAATCACTAGTTGTTGATTATGCTAATGAATTAACATTTAAGTTTAGGTATTCGTTATTTACCATTTATATATGAGACATCCCAGTCTAGTTCATGTATTAGTTATAAGTATTTCCATTTTAAATTTAAGAAAACTCGTTTAACGTTTCTGAAAGGGACTATTATTATGACTGTCTATTTTATTACTATTGATAATTAGCTTAATTATTTGAATTGTTTGGTCTTACTGTAATTCTGTATCTTGCTTGATGCTGCTAATTTTATCTATTATGATCATTTAAATTGCTTGCAGAACTATTGTTGAAAGCTTAGTTAAATTATATATTGTTATTTTATAGTTGCCCATTCGAACTAGGTTATTGCATGGAATTTCTGCGAATATTTTCATTTTATAATGAGTTATGTCTATGGCTAATATTATGATGACTTTACTAACTTTATTATGTGGGTTATTATTATCTATTTTAATTATATTAGTTACTTGTTTGATTTCCTTCTGTACTAATTCCTATTATCTGCAAATCAGAATATTAATTTTATTAATGGGTTTAGTTTTCATTTTATGGACCTTGAAAATTTTAGTTTCCATTCTATCTATTTTAGTTTTGATTGATATTATTATTATTATTATTTTTATTGCTAAATGACCTAATTGTTTATGGATTTCTAGCTCTTCCTGTATTATTTGTATGTTAGTTATTTTAATTATTAGAGTTTGCCCTTTGATTGTTTGCATTTTCGATTTGAGCAGCTGCTTATCTAACACGCTAATGCCTATTAGATGCTAAAATTTACAAAGGAGAATCATTTTATTGATTAAATTGATCATTCACATTTGAAGTTAAAGTATGATATTAGCTCTCTTTATTACTAAATGACATATCCATCACATGATTATTTAATTATATTTAATTTTAATTGATGTTTATTAACTCTTATATGGGAATATTACGAATGTTATTATTCCTTCCATTAGCTACATTAGAATTTCTTTTATTCCTATTGGAATTATTTTAATTTAAATAGTTTTGAGATTACTGCAGTTGTTAAGAGTTTTCTAAAAAATTATTTGAGGAGTGAATAGAAATTTAATTAGAGTGTTATCTATTTTAGATATTATTTTATTATTAATTAGAAAAGCAACTTGAGCTACTTTAGCTAGCTATATTTGAATTATTAGACTAATTATTTGATTAGATTTTTTACAAGCCTGATTAATTTAAAATATTTTAGGCCGAAGCTTAAAATCTCATTCTCTGTGAATCCTGCGGTTAATTATAAGAAACCACATTACTATTGTTACCCAAGATGCTGTTATTTCCACCTTTTTAATAATTTAATAATCTTAAATTCAATAAATTTATGATATATTTTGTTGTTTAGTGGCATTTTAATACAAGTTAAATATTAGAATCTAAAATATAGTAATATCAAAAGAAAAATAGATATTTAATGGAAACAAATTAGTAATAGTTTATTAATGAATAAATAACTATTTACCATTTTATATTTATTGCCCAACTACACTTAATCCGCATACGCTATTGCATCCCTAGTTTTTAAAATAATATTTTAATTATTTTTTTTTGTTTAAACATTAATTTTTTTTATGTAATTTACATTTTAACCACATTAAACACAAGGTTGAGAAGATCCTTGATAGAAATGATTTGAAGGATTTCCGCCTTAATAATTTCCAATTTAATTGATTTTTTTATCATAGCCATGCTTTTTTTCAAAATGTTTATTTATTTACCCATTTATGGTGTTACTAACTCTTCTGCTTTGGTTTAAATTTGAATTCATATTATTGCTATTATTGTTACCTAAAATCAAAGTGTTATTAGTCGATAAATAACTAGTTTGAGAAGTTGAAGCTAAGTTTACTTAAGGATTATTATTTCCTCGATTCACTCCATTTAATATTAATTGTCCATTTTGGGGAATATATTTTGGTTACTCAGAACTCTAAGTAGGGAAACTATTTTTTCTTTCCTCAACTACATTCCTCCCCGCCCTTGCCATCAGAGAAGGTTTTTTAATAGTTTTAATGCGCTTATTAGGTTATGCTTGATTTTGATGTAAGTTTTTTTAATATAAAAATTAATTTTGAGCTTGATTTGGTCTATTGGCAGATTAAATCTAACCATTCATAGCTCTATGGATGGAGTTAATTGGCTATCGCTAAAAAGAATTAAGCTACTATTACTGCTATTGAGATTAGATTGGCTATTATTAAGATGATATCATCATAAAAAATGCAATTCTAACTTTTATTAGATGATCAAATTCAATCTGATTAATTAATTATTTTAAATTGATTTAAATACTACTTAGTTATTCGCAAATATTATCAAAACTATTCTTAATTTACAAATTTTCATTCACTATATACACTAAATTATTTATCAAGCTAAAATCACTATGATTTATTTTTTTTTTCGCTGCCTCTTTATCATTCATACCTCAATTATTTATAATTATATTTAACTCGATTGATATATTATTTATCTTTCATTCATTACTACTATTAATATTTTTTGTGACTCTATTTAATTTAAATATAAGCAAGCATATATCATTTCTCATCTATTCAATTTTTTGGTTACTTTTTAAATAATATTAATATCTTTCCAAAAAAAATTTTTGATTATTTGTAATAAGCAAATTAATTAAAATATTCAATTGGATATTTTCATAATGTTTGAATTTCTCATTATTCTATTTTTAAATAGTTTTTTTATGTAAATAAACACTTTTTAAATTAATTTTAAAGTCAAATATTTATAATTTAAATAGATATGTTTTAAAAATTAAATATAATAATAAACAAAAGAATAAATATTTCTTAATAATTACAGATTATATTTTAGATATTTTTTTATATTAATTAAGGTATACTCTAATTTTTCATCAATTTAAGTACTTTTTTCGAAATTTTGAGTGATATTTTTAGATACTTAAATAAGCCCTGAAAAGATAATAATTCTAAAATCCACTCCATAAATATTAGAAAGATTATAATATATTGAGAAGTATTGAAAAATATATATATTTGTGTACATACTTTCATTAATAAAATAACTAAATTTTTATTAATCTTTTAGATTCTCTCATGCATCTTTAGATAATTCTAGTTGGATTGTTCTATTTTTAATCTATAAAATATCTAATATAATAGTTTAAGTAAAATTTTATCAAAATTAATAATAATAATAATAATAACTTGACTGACAAGGAAAACTGATAAAGCTTATTAAACTTAGATATTTCTTTACAAAAATCAAGAATTCCTTCCCAAGTAACTAAATTATAACTTAATTAACTAAAATTAAATACTAAAAATAATATTTAAATGATATACTCTAGAAACAACTAAATACAATTGATATATTAATATGATTCATATAGCTAAAGTAATGAATTTAACCCATCATTTGTTAAATAATTTTCACTATAATTTAGTAAAAATTAATAAAAGTACTAAAAAGAATTTAAATAACTTTAAGTTTAATGACAAATGCTTTATCTTTTTTAGTTAAATAACTGAGTTGATTAAATATTGGGCATCTTTATTATCTATTCTATTTTTTCTGTAAATAATTAGTAAAAAATGTATATAATCAACTAAAAATAGAAAATTACGTTAGATCTAACACTAAATACTGCAAATTTTAAATTTTACCAACTTGTTTCCATAATTCTTTCAAAGCTTTCTCTCCTAATTTAGAATAGCTGATTTAAATTAAAAAAATATAAACTGTCTTATCAAATTACCACAAATTTATTTCTAGTCTTATAATATACTTGCATCCTGAAAAATCTCTCATCATTTAACTAAATTGCTTATCGATTAACTTGTAATAGCTAAAAATAAATAAAATTAGGTAACAATTAACTTTTTACTTCAAAGTGATTGATAAAGATCTCAAATTTTTACATTGTACAACAAACCTTCCTATTTGAAAGCAAGAATTAGACAAATCTGTTTAGATTTATCTAAAATAGAATATTTATTTTTTATAATATTTTAGATTTGAAGATACTTACTTATGTTTTATTCTTAGTTTTAAAATTTAATTGTAGGGAACATAGTTTTGCAGCACCTTTAAAAATAGTATGCATATATATTGTAATTTTAAAAAAATAAAAATTACTTCTTCATAGTCATATTCTTTATTCTCTAAATCATTAACTTATTTATCTTAAATTCGATTTTAGGGGTCTTTTTATAAAATATTTTTATTTGATATACTAAAAAGAAAAATTAGATGATTAATATTAAAAATACTTAATTATTTTTTTATTATTTCTACTGCTTTTGTTACGATATTGCCCATTTTTTATTATTATTTTATTTACTCCAATATATTAAAATATCTAATTCATATATTTTAAGAAAATTATTATACATTTTTTTAATTTTAAAAATACTAAATTATATCATTTGTAAAATTTGTAAAAGACTTTTTACATTTGAATCACTATTAACAAATATTTTTATTTTACTTGATAAATATTACATATTAATATATTAAGTGAGAAAGTAATCTTTTTTGCAAACAAATTTTAGATAAAAATAAGTGGGAAAATTTATTGTCTAAAAAGTAATATTCTAAATAATTTAAATAAGAAGAAAATTAAATTGAAAATGTAAATAAAAGGTTTAGTTTTTATTAAAAAATGAGAATGAATTTCAAATGTGTAGTTTAATGTTATTTTTTTATTTAAAGAAAATTTTTATACTAAAATATAAAAAATAAATTTTAATACCAAAAATAAAGTTTATTTTTTTAACGATAGTTGATGAAATGACTTACAAAAAAACTTAATTTTTATTTATTAGGTCATTTTTTTAGTTTAAAAAAATTTAATTCATGGATGAATTATTTACCAATATTATTTTGAAGAGTTATAAGAAGGTGATTCAATCAAATTATTAATCCTTTTTAAATTTTTTTTATTTGCTTAAAAATCATATTTAATTTATTATATTAAACAAACAACATAAAAAATTAGTAAAATAAAAAAATATAAATTTCAAATGGAAAAGCTAGATTATTTTGGAAGAGATATACAAATAAGATTCAAAGGTTTAAAAAGCCACAAGACTAAATGTGGCACGTTATTAACTTTTATATTAATTGCTCTGATTTTGATAAGATTATGTTACTTGCTTACAGACTTCATTATAGGTAATAACCCTTCTTTTCTTTATCAAGAGAGATAAGTCAAAAGTCCAAAGAAATTTGAAATAACTCCAGAAACATTTAGCCTAATTTTTGGGGTTTTAGATGTTAACAATAATTATGTTTTCGATCCAGAAATAGTTACAGTTGAGTCTACGCTTGAACTTAAAACAACCACTTACAACGAGACTACTCAATCTTACTAGGATAATTGGTCTACTACTTAAATTCCCTTAGAAATGTGCACATAAGATCTGATTGTAAGCGATCTTGTATTGTAAAGTGAATTTTCTTATCTGAGTTCCCACTATTGTTTTCCTAAGAATTTTAAACTATTCATTGAAGGCGAATACCATTCAGATAGTTTTGCTTAAATTTATTTCTATATTAAAAGATGTAGAGGATCTCACTGCAAATCAGATTCAATTATAGAGTAATTTTTTAGTCATTTTTATGGTGAAGTAATTTTTACAGATGTTTATGTTAGCCCTGAAAACAAAAATAATCCCTTTACTAAATACGTTAGAGACAATTTTTGGGAAGCTGGCTATAATTTTCCTTAAAAGGTTTTCATGGAAATGAGGAATAACTATATCGAAAGTGATTTTGGTTTTTTCACATCAAATATTTAAACTGATATCTATCCTTCTTACAGTCAAATGTATTAAATGGTAATATATTTATTTTAAATATTATTATTTCCTTCTAAATATTATTTTGAAAATCTATAAAAATTTTTTTTAATATTTATAAACTCACAACTAATTATCTTATTAAAAGATGACTTCACTTGTAGATGATATTTATACTACCCTTGTGCTTAGGCTTGAAAAGAAAAAAGAAAACTTATATAAGAGATCGTATAAAAATTTTTTATCAGCAGTCTCAGATTTAGGAGGGTTATTGCAAGTTTTAACAACTGTGGGAATCATTTTAAGCTTTTTCTTTACTTAAGCGCATTTAAATTAAGAACTAATAAACAATACATTTACATTTAAAGAAAGCAAAAAGAGAGAAGAAACAAAAAGCAACTAATAAGAATTTATTTAAACAAATTAAAAACAAAAATCTACTTTCTCGCCAATTTCAAAAAACAATGATAGTCAAAATTCTAAAATTTAAGGGAAAAATTATACTCTAAATACACCAAGATAAAGATCAATTTCTAACAGCTCTTTACTATAAAATTTTAAGTCGAGATTCAGAAGTTCTGATAAAGAAAATTCAAGTGAAAAGCTAGATGCTCTAGATTCACCTTCTTAAAGAATCAGTAAAATATAATTAAATTTCTGTTTTTAAAAATAAACTTTTTTTTATTAGGATAAATAATAAATGATCATTTGTAACTCTAAAGAAACTAAGAAATGAATCTGAAACAAGAATAAGTAGAAAATCAAAATCAAAAAATAGATCATAAAAAAATTTTTATAAGAAAACCAACAATCCTTCTAGAAGAAAATATCAATAAAGACTCAAATTCTATGAAATTCAACATTTTTTAATACTTAAAATCTCTTTGCTTGAGGTATGGTGACTTGAGAAGAAAAAAAGTGATTTACGATTAGAGTATAAAATAACTTTATCACTATATTGATATTCAATTGATTATTAACAAATTGATTGAATTTGATAAATTAAAGCGTATTGTTTTAGATGATGATTAATTATTATTATTCGAATATCTCCCAAAACCATCAATCTGTTATTCTTTTAAAGGAAATTCTGTCGAATTCCATGATAACTAAAGCTTCACAATTTCTAAAAAATCAAAGAATGAATTAGATAATATATAGAAAGCAATTTAATCATTCAAGAATGTGTAAAATAAACCACTCAAAGATTAAAAGGATGCTAGAATCATAAAATATTTAGATTTAACTTATAAATAAATATTTGAGGAGTAATAATAACAATCTTAGATTTATTAAGATAAACCTTAGGAGAAAAAGAGTATGGAAGAAGAGATATTCAAATTAAGAATTCTTAGTAATAAAACATACAATAAGAATTTGTTGAAGAAAATAATAATTTCTATGTGGAAGACAATTAAAATGAAAGTAATATAGAAGAAAATTTAAAAATTTACAACTCTGTATGCTATAAATAATCTCCTCTCATGACTAATTCAATTTTAAAATAATAAAATTTATAAGCATTCTCTCTTGAAATAAAATCAGAGAGTAATCAATAATGATAAAAAAAATATTTAATACCTATCTATTTCTTTACTTCATATTTTGATAATGATTTTTAATATAGTCACTTTTAAAAGTAATGAAGTACTTTAATAATGTTAAAAATATGAATTGATTAGAAAAATTTTATTATTTTTGTTTTTATTTTTGATTATTTGCAATCTTAATAAATCTGATTTGTATAAGCTCTTTAAGTAATTTTATTGTTATTCAATTTTCTCTAAATAAAAAAACCAGTAACAGTAAAGAAAAAACAATATTTAATTTTATTCCAAAAATATCATTTTTGATAAATACAATTTTTATTATTTTTGATGGATCAAAAGTACTTTAGTAAATTTTACAATAACATAATCCTGAAAGATTTTTACATTTTATTATTGAAAAAATTATAAATTTTAAAAGATAAAAATTATTCCTAATTATAAAGACATAATCATAATTTATCAAATATTTTTTTTATGATTAAAGGAATGAAACTAAGATTGTACATGGAATATATATATAAATTGATTATGATCACATTTGTGACTTTAACTACCCCAAAAATAAAAAAATTTCAAATAATAATCTAAAATTAAACTTTTGTAATTAATAATTTTCATATCAACAAATAATAGATTTAAGAATAAAATTTAAACAACTTATAATTATCATAATTATGTTTAGATTAATCTATCTTGACTAAACTAGATCTTTTATTTTTGAGTAAAAGCTAGCAAGAACTGTGGGAGAAAAAAGCATAGTATGGGCTTCCTTCGTACGAAGTGGGATTTTTATTTCTAAGTTTAAATTAACTAATATAAATCTTATTAATAAAAGCATATATTACAAATTTTAAAACCAATATACTCAAAAATAATAAAAATGAGTAGGCAACATATTTTAGTGAGAAAATAAGTTAAGCAAAACTTAATTTTATGATAAATCAAAAAGACTGCCATAATAAAAATAGTTTTAAAAATTTTATTTTTACTTGTTTTTATTTAAGAATTATAATGAAAATGTTAGATTTTGATCATTTTTCACTATTATTTATCAAAAATTAATAAAAAGTTTAAAAAATTAAAATATCTTTAAGTTTAATTACAAATGCTTCTACTTTTTTTAGCTTAAAAACTGAGTTAGTAAATTATTTTTTATCATTATTATCTATTCAAATTTTTCTTAAAATTATTTCTAAAAAACTAAATAAAAACAAAATATAGAAAATTTCATTAGATTAATATTAAGTATTACAAAGTTTTAATTTTACTGACTATTTCCATAATTATTTCAAAAATTTTCCCTAATTTTGAAATGCTGATTTAAATTAAAAAAATATACTTACCAAACTTAATTACCATAAATTTATTACAAGCTTTATAATATACTTACATCCTGTAAAATTTCTTAAATTACTAAATTTTTTTTCGATTAGAATATGATTTTTAATGGAAATTAAATGTTGTTATTTCAAGAAATACTTTAATAATTTTAAATAAAATATTTATATAATTTAATATATCAATTACTAAAAATGTAAATTTTTACATAATTCAATAAATATTTACTTACTAATTTATATTATTAAAAATAAAAAAATTCAATAATATTTTAAACAAATAAGTTTTAGATTCAAAAAATTTTAAAAATTTTAAATGTAAAAAACCATATTTTAAATAATAATAAAATACAATAATTTATAAAATTTTAAAAAATGAACAAGTAAGTTTGAAATGTAGAAATCTTTGTATTAAAAACGAAAATAAATTTAAAATTAAAGACTAAGATTTTTTTTGAAATAATTGAAGTATAGACTTACAATAATAATTTAACTTTAATAATTCTAAAATAGGTTATTTTTTAGTTAAAAAAATTTCAAATGCTATTTTTCGATATTATTTTTTAGGTAGAGTAAATATAGAAGAAGCTAATTCAGACTATTAATGCACTTTTTATTTAAAATTTTTTTTTTTAAATTTATATTTAATTTATTTGATTGAAGAAATAATTTATTAAATTTGAATAGTAAAAAAAGATAAATTAGAAATGGAAAAGCTAGATTATTTTGGAAGAGATATACAAATAAGATTCAAAGGTTTAAAAAGCCATAGGACTAAATGTGGCACTTTATTAACTTTTATTCTTATTGCTCTAATTTTGATAAGAATATGTTATTGGCTTAATGACTTCATAACAGGTAATAATCCTTCTTTTCTTTATCAAGAGAGATAAGTCAAAAGTCCAAAGAGATTTTAAATAACTCCAGAAACCTTTAGCCTAATTTTTGGGGTTTTGGATGTTAACAACAATTATGTTTTTGATCCAGAAATAGTTACAGTTGAGTCTGTGCTTGAACTTAAAACAACCACTTTCAACGAGACTACTCAATCTTACTAGGATAATTGGTCAACTACTTTAATTCCCTTAGAGATATGCACGTAGGATCTGATTGTAAGCGATCCTGTATTGTAAAGTGAATTTTCTTACCTGAGTTCCCATTATTGTTTTCCTAAGAATTTTACACTGTTCATAGAAGGTGAATACCATTCAGATAGCTTTGCTTAGATTTATTTCTATATTAAAAGATGTAGAGGTTCTAACTGCAAATCAGATTCTATTTTAGATAATTTTTTTAGTCATTTTTATGGTGAAGTAATTTTTACTGACGTTTATGTTAGCCCTGAAAACAAAAAAAATCCCTTTACTAAGTATGTAAGAGATAATTTTTGGGAAGCTGGTTATAATTTTCCTTAAAAGGTTTTCATGGAAATGAGGAATAATTATATTGAGAGTGATTTCGGTTTTTTCACCTCAAATGTTTAAACTGATATCTATCCTTCTTACAGTCAAATGTATCAAATGGTAAATATATCTATCTATCTATCTTTTAAATATTATTTCCTATTAAAGGATTATTTTGAAATTTTGAGAAAAAAAATGTTTAACTTTTAGAATATTTCTATACTCATACTTATTTTTTTTTACTAAAAAGATGACTTCACTAACTGATGATATTTACAGCACCTTTGTATTTCGATTTGAAAAGAAAAAAGAAAATTTGTATAAGAGATCATATAAAAATTTTTTATCAACAGTCTCAGATTTAGGAGGATTATTACAAGTTTTAACAACTGTGGGAATCCTTTCAAGCTTTTTCTTTACTCAAACACATTTAAATTAAGAACTGATTAACAATACATTTACATTTAAAGAATGCAAAAATAAATAAGAAACAAAAAGCAACTAAAGATAATCTATCTATAAAGATTAAAAAAAAAAATCTGTTTGCTCATCAATTTCAAAAAACACTTAAAGTCAAAATTCAAAAATTTAAAGTACAAATTAGACTTTAAATGTTCCAAGATAAAGATCACTTTCAAACAACTCATCAATATAAAATTTTAAGTCGAGATTCAGAAGTTCTGATAAAGAAAATTCAAGTGAGAAGCTAGAAGCTCTAGATTCACCTTCTAAAAGAATCAGTAAAATATAATTAAATTTCAATATTTAAAAAACATATCTTCTTTTATTAGGATAAATAATAAGTTATCATTTGTAACTCCAAAAAAATGCAGAAATGAATGTGAAACAAAAAGAAGGAAGCCATAATAAAAATGAAAAAATAGGTAATAAAAAGAATATTGATTAAAAAAAATAAAACCCAACAATCCTTTTAGAAGAAACTATAAATAAAGATTCAAATTCAATGAAATTCAATATATTTTAATATTTAAAATCTCTTTGCTTGAGGTATGGTGACTTGTAAAGAAAAAGAGTGATTTACGATTACAGTATAAAATAACTTTATCACTACATTGATATTCAATTGATTATTAATAAATTGATTGAATTTGATAAATTAAAGCGTATTGTTTTAGATGATGATTAATTATTATTATTCGAATATCTCCCAAAACCATCAATCTTATATTCTTTTAAAGGAAATTCTGTTGAATTCCATGATAATTAAAGCTTTACAATTTCCAAAAAATCTAAGAATGAATTAGATAATATATAGAAAGCAATTTAATCATTCAAAAATTTGTTAAATAAACCATTCAAGCATTAAAAGGATGTTAGAATCTTAAAGTATTTAGATTTAACTTATAAATAAATATTCGAGGAGGAGTCATAATAATCACAGATATCTTAAGATAGACCTTAGGAGAAGAAGAGTATGGAAGAAGAGATAGATAATCAAATTAAGAACTCTTAATAATAATAAGATTTTGATGAAATAAATTAAGATTTTTTTGTGGAAGATAATTAAAACGAAAGTAATATAGAAGAAAATTTAAAATTTTACAATTCAGCCTACAAATAATCCCCTCAAATGATTCATTCAGTTTTAAAACAATAAAACTTGAACAACTTCTCTCTTGACATAAGAACAGATAATAATCAATATTGATTAAAACAAATATTGATTAATCTACCTTAATTGATTATTAGATAATTATTTTTTAATCTCTTCATTTATTCAAGTCGTCAAATATATTAGTTTTACTAAAAATATTAGTTGTTTAAAAAATATTTTTATTTATGTTTTTATGTTTGTTCATTTATAATTGAATGAATATTCCTGATTTGTGTAAGATTAAATTAATTTTTTCATTGTTATTCTTTGATCTCTGAATAAAAACGTCAGAATAGAAAAAGTAAATTTAAATTTTGATTAAGCAATACTTGAATAAAATGCAATTTTTATGTTGAGTGATAAGTAGTATTTTTGATGGATCAGAAGTCTTTTAGTAAATTTGTGAAAAAACATAAACCCCAATAGATTTACATTTTAATCAATGAAATAATATTTCCAACTTTAATTTTTGAAAAATTATTCATACTTTTTTTTTCTTTAAAAAAGATTTTTTAAAAAAATTGAGAAATGAAATAAAATTACTTTTGGAAGATATTTTAAGTAAAAAATAAAATAGTTTGTGATCAAACTGCTAAAATACTTTTGTCAATATTCTTTTCCAATATACTTTTATTTTTAAAATAAATTTTTGAGAGAATCAGATTTTTTCTAAATCAAATAAAGATTGAAACAAATCTCAGACAAGATATCATAAAAAATTTTCTTATCAAATTATTTAATGAAAGAAATAAAATAACCATACAATAACTAAAGTATTTCGATTTAAATAACTTTTTTTATCTAAAATTTTATAAGATAAAGCCATCTTTATTATAGAAAAATATGTTGTAACAAAATTCTTTTATTAACGAAATTTTTTATTTCTTTATTAAAGAAACATTTTAATCTAATACATAAATTTACTTTTATTTTAGTTGTAAATTTATAAAAATATTGTACTTGAAGTTATAGAATATTATGCATTATTTAATTAATGAAAAACAAAATTTAATAGCCTCTGTTATCATTCAATCATTATTTTAAGCTTTTATTTGTTTAAAGACTAAGCAATTTAAATTATACCATTTTTTATTAAAATTTTTCCAAATAAATCAATACTTGATTTCATAACTGCTTTTAAAAAGATTAATGATAAATTACCCAAATTCAAGAAATTTAAATGCATTTTCAAATAAACCAATTTAAAAATTATAATATTTAATTTTGCTCAAAAAATACAATACAATAATTATAAAATAGGCATTTAAAAATAAATTGTATTAAAATAGAATTTTAAAAACCCCTATAAAAACTATTTTTATTTTGACTTAAAAGGATTTGTAAATTAATAATTTAAATATATCACTTCAAAATGAAATTAGAAATATTCACTTTGATAAAGGTTTTAAACTAAATAAAAATAAAATACTTTATCAAATTAAAATGTTAGATTTAAAGGATTATTTTAAGGATAAAAATATAAAATCACAAGAAGTACAACTATAATTATTATAATAATAATTTATTTATTTATTTTTCACTTTTATAAGCGACTGTCTACTTCTATCAATTTAATTGGTAAAATGCGGTACTATAAATTTATGAATTAATATTTTATTTTTTTCAATATGGAATTATTTTATATGCCTTTCTACAATAGAGCACTTTCTTCTTATTCTTTTTCAAAAATTTAAGTTTAAAATTCAAAATAAGTTAAAATTTTAAATTGTTTAATATTAGAAATAAATTCTTTTCTTTTTTATTTATCTAATCCAATAATATTTATACTTAAATTTTTTAGTTATGGTAACTTTATAACTGAGTCTAGAATTCGATACTTATTTTTAAAGCCAACATTATTTATATCTAAACCTAGTTTTAATTGTTACAATTCTTACATTTTGCATAAAGTATCTTTCAAATACTTAACTCCTCTACCAATATTATTATTTTACTTGATATCTAATACTAGTTCAGTAAGTTATTATTTTTGATTTGCTAAAACATCACAAATATGTAACACTCCTATTTCATTTATTGAATTGTCTTGACCAATTATCAAACTAAGAGATCTAAGTAAAGAAGAACTTTTAAATATCTAAAGTAAGTTTTTGACCCCTTCATCTCCTATTTTATTACCGTCTCCAATTTATATATCAAAGGAGATCATAAATTATAGATATTATAATCCTTAGCCAATTTATTCACATCCTTCTTAATTTATTTTTAAGGTATTTATTTTTACTTCAATAAGAAAAGTTAATTTTTTAAACATATCTTTTATAGACTCACCATTATACTTATTAATTGCAAAATTTTATGATAATATTAAGTGAATATGCTAAAGTGATTCAAATTATTTTATTGCATAGGTTAATCCATCAATTTGATACTCCTTAGATTTATCTTTGTATGATATTAGTTCAACTTAGAGCTCTTTAACGCTATTATTATTTTCCTACTCTTCTATATTTCTACAACCTGGTTAACAGCTTTAAATAGCACATTTTAATTATTTATTTGGGCATCTCTTCAGAATGTCTTCGATTTCTTCTAAATTTATAATTTGTCTTATATCTTCTTGAAAGATTTCGAATTGTTAATATTTAAATTTACATAAGTGACTTATCTAAACATTTTGTATTTATTTGATGAGCTCTAGAAATCCCAAAGAATATGGGTGATCAATAAAGCATTTAAATTCCTTTATATTTTTTAATTTTTTCAATTGTTAAATTAGGCATCGTATCGTTTTGTAGCTTATATTATCTTAGTCAATAGCTATTTCTAAATTTTATAATTAAAGCTACTGTTATATGTTGCATATAAATATATCCATTAATTATTCTTATTATTAAATTTTTATTATCAAAGATTCTAAATTTGAAATTGTAAGCATAGCTTTGTTTATATAGTTAACATCTTCTTATAAAATACCTGAGTTTTTACCAATAGAGATTTCCAATTAGCTTAGTTGTTCGCAATATGAGATTATCTGATAGATTAATTAACACATATTCTAGCATTATCCTTCTATTTAAAGAGTAAACGAGCGAAGTTTCTTGAGGTTTTAGTTTCTAAAACAACTTTTTTATTCCTCCATATTAATGTTTTATATATTCAAATTTAGTGAAAGTACTTCTAATTAACTAGCATCTTAAATATTTTAGATTAAATCTTCTATGCTTTGATATTCTATTTGATTTTATATTTATAATTCTATGAATTGAAGATGATCTTTCGATTTTCTTATTGACTCACCAATCTCAAAAACATTTTATTAGCCAAAACAATTTAAATTTAAAAAATTCAATTATAATTTTTATAAATTTTAAAGTGATGAAATATTTTTTGTTAGTTTCTAAAATTATTCATAATCTAATGAGTATTCTTTGGTGCTTATACTCAAATCTTGAAGAAAAACTAAACCCTCAAAACAGTTATAAGAAAATAAGGAATCAAAGATCTAGGACTTAGATTTTTATCTAAAATTAATATTTAGATAGGTAATATTTAAATCTTTGAAAATGCTAAAATCTTCATCATCTTCAACAACATGATAAGCATTTTACTAGTTTTCTCTGCTGCTCATACTAATCTCACACGATAAACTCATTAATTTTTCATTTTGTTCATTTTTATTATTAGAAATAAGTTGAAAATTAAAAATCTCAGTATTTGTAGTAATTAATAAGTTAAATTTTTTAATTTATTTTAACGATTTTATAAGTTTATTTAAGTTTCTAATATTTCCTCTATCTATTCCTTCATTATTGAGATATTAAAACTAGAAGTACTCTAAATAATTTAAGTGAGTGGCTTATGTTAATAAGGTTGATATTGTTTATTAATCAATTTAATATTTGGTTTTAATTTCAAGAGTGTTTAATTCTTTAATACTTATTAAACAATTACTAAAGCTGCTTACTAAATCCCTTGTGTTATTATAGGAATCTATATTTAGTTTTAAGGTCTTTAGATTTGAGAAATATTAAATCAAAAACTTGAGGTTTTAATTTTGGTTAAAATTTTATATTGTATCCTTAATATAAAATTCTAGGTTACTGTCTATTTTTTAGAAATTTATTTAAAAGTTGGATTTAACTTTGAGCTAATCTTGGGTTAAGAAAGGATGTTGCGATAAAATAGAATAAAAAATGAAGTCATCAATCTCTAATTCTGTAGATTTTAATTCTAAATCTTTTAAATTTTATAACTTAGAAATATTTTCAATAAAATCAGTTTCATTGCCTTTAAAATTTTATGCAATTATTTTTAATCTTTCTAAATCTTTAAATTGGGAAAGTTAATTAGCTAAAACACTTGTTTCTTTAGCGCTTAGTAATTAGAATAGTTAAATTTCTAAGGAGATAACTTATTATTATTATAATTAGTGATTTACTTATTTTTCAAGAATTATTTTATTCTTATTTAAATATAATGTTAATAAATTTTTGCATTTACTAACCAAAGTTAAAAAAAGAAACGAACTAGCTCCTTCTATCATTAACTTAAACTCTTTTAATGCTTAATTTTGAGAAATAGCTTGAATCATATTTTATGTTACTTAATGACTAGACTAATCTTTAATATTAAATTAAAGATCAATTGAGCGTATTTCTTTTTTTTCTTAGAAGATCTGGGTTACATATAAGATTTCTTGAAATGATAATTCTCTTTAAAAAGCTATTTTAAAATTTTCTAGCTTAGGGATATTGTTTAAAATACCCCAGCAAAGTGCATTAATCCCATTTTCACTTATTTCACTTGTTAGGGTAATATCAAGATTATAGAATAAAAAGCTTTGACTTTTAGAAATCTTTATCATGTTTACAAATTGATATTTGATTTCATTATTGGTTATTGCATTGAGATAAATCATGCTTAAAAAATTCTAATTTGTGGATTGTAATTGAAGATTTTTCAAATCTACATTTTAATTGATAAATTACTCAATTTATGAATTTTAGCAACTATTTCCATGCTTTAATATTAACTTTGTGGCATTTTTGTGATGGCAAATTTAAATTTCTTCATTTTCAATATTTAGTCTATTTAAATTAGGAAGATTGCGTAAATTAAAGAAACAAGTGATGTTTTATTTTTAATTTCTAATGAAAATGCTTAAATCTTTCATATTTTACAATTGTTATAGTTTAAACATGAGTTCGTTTAACTCAAGTTAATTAAATGTATTATTTGAGTTTATATTTAAGATAAGTTCTTCTAAGCAATTCATGCTTGATAAATTATTAAAAATGTAGGCAACCCATGTCAAATTTTTGCAGAAATTTTCTTCAATTTTTAAATTCAGTATTTTTAGCTTTTCAAATCTTTAAATTGATTCTGAGAGTTAATCCAAGCTTGATTCTTTTTGATCGATAATAGATTATTTTGGGAAATAAATTTACAACTACTCCAGGTTTTTGAAAAAGTAATTTCTATTAAACAATTCAGTTAAATTTTATAGATATATATTTGACATGTTATTAGGTGATAGAGTGAGTCCTTTTTCTATTAACTTATGATTTAAAATTTTGAGCTAAACATTTTATGGTTTGTAAATGTTATAATCTAAAAATAAGACGTTCAGCTCTTCATTTAAGCCTATTTCTATTTTTTTAATTGATTAATGACTTGCAATAACATCAATTAAAATCTCTAAAGCTTATTTTGGGATGGATTAGTCATTTATTTTTAATTTGAGCTCTGAAAGGAACTTAGAATTCTGTATATTTTCTTTAAACTGAGCAAATTATCTCATCTATTCTTCATCATCATAATTATTTAAACAATTATAGCCAATTTCTAGAGTTTTAAGTTTATCTTTATTTCTTAATGCTTCATTAATATATTGGAGTATGTTAGTGTTTACTTATTCACCCTTCAAGGATAAAGCCAGTCTTTCAATAGTATTTAGGCTTTGTATGCATTTACCAAGCTCAGAAATAAAATCATTAGCAAGCTATCCCTATCCTTCAAACTCCAACCCCGTTAAGCTGCTTGATGTCTCTAGAATTTTTTTTAAAGAATATATTTGCGAAGCCTACTCAAGTTCCTATTGCTCCAAGAAATTTTTTTAAAAATATAATTCACCCTTTTCAGAAGTCTAAGATATTTTTATAGTCAGATTTTTAAGATCATTTGATTTTTCTATGATGGTATCTAAATTTTTAAGCAATTAGCTATTTTATAGCTATCCAACTACTTCGATTATTTATTTAGTGCTCATTTTTTTTATTTTATTTCTTTTAATTAATTGATTATATTTTCAACAAACAGGGCAACTATTTCAAATTGATTTTTTAATATTAGAATATTTAATTTGTATGATAATTTTTTAAATTAATTAAATATTTAAAGTTATTTACTTTTTTAAACAAATAGCAAGCAATAAAACTCTTTTTTAGGTATTAATCCTTTTTAGTTAGCTTAAGGTTGTTAATAAATAAACGAATTCAACGTAAATATTTAAAGCACGAAAATATTTTTTTTTTTAAAAACTCCAAAATAATTTTAATAGTTTTTATCATAAAAAAGATTTATTATATCAAACCGCATAAAGACAGACTTTTATAAAACATTTCTCATAATTTTGAAGTAAAATTTTTCTATATGTCAAATCTCATTTACCTTAAAATAAAGTCTTACCTTATTATTTTTTTAAATTAATATATTAAAGAGAATAATCCTTTTATTTTAAATGAAATATAATATGAAATCTCAAAATATATTTTCTATAATTTCATCAAAATCTATTAAAACCTTTTTTAAATATCTTTTTTAATAGATTTAGATTAATTTTATTGTTTTGACATAGAATAGTTTTATATGTATTTTCATTTGTATATTTAATTAAAAAAATAAATTAAAACTCTGATATTGCAAAAATAATATCAATTATAAATATATTACATAATTAATAATTTATAAGTAAAATTCAAATAAAAATATAGTTTATTTTGCAAATAATTTTATCTTTATTTTTAAAATATTCCTAAATATTTTGATAATCATTTTAATATAAAATAAGTAGAAGTTTATATACTAAAAGGAATAATTAATTCGCTTGTTTATAAGTAGTTAATAAGTACTAAAAGGGTATCTAATTTAATAATTAATTATTTTCAGAGTATTTTTTTAAAAATATACTGACTAACCTAAAAATATATTTTAAGGTAATCTATTTGTTTTCTTAAAGAACAATTAGAATTCATTTTAAATCAGATATTTGTATTGAAAATTGAATCTTTTTCTTTATCAAACAAAGTTGATACCTTCTATTCACATTATTATATACAAATCTTTTAGTATTCTATTCATAAATAGGCTTTTAAATATTAAATTTAAGTCAATACTTATTTTAATAATTACGAAAATTATAATTTAGCTTTGCTAACAGCTTATTTGGAAATTACTCATACTTTTAATAATACTAAACGCCATAATTTAGTTACTAAAATTTAATGGGAACCAATTAAGGCATTATTTCTAAAGTTAAAAAAATAATTAATTCTTAATAATGAGTGAGTTAACAAGTGTTTAAGAAAGCATTAGACAAAAATTCTTTATTATAAATTGATTAAATATGTTTTTTAAGTTATTTAGAAGCCGCTAAACTAATATAAGTTGTTATAATAGTAAATATTGCTAAAACTTTCTTAGATTAAATCTTTTTTACTACTAATTTTAAACCATATTTTATTAAAAATGTCTACATTTCTATTCACAATTTACAAAATAAAATGAAAATGGATATTTTTTTACAAGCTTTAACAACAAAATTGTGCTAACTTATTGAATTCACTTTTAAATTATTTAATTCCCTCTTTAATTATTTTTTTAAGCAACACTCTTTTATTTATAACTAAATATAAATTCTTAATATTAATGATTTTTATGATTAAACACTTATTTAATTTTTACAAAAACATATAGCAATAATTTATTTTTTGAGTAAAAAATTGTCATACACAATTTTTCGAGATTAAAATAGTAGGGATTTGCAAAAAAAATAGTATTTTTAAACAAACAACTAAAATAATATTTAATACTAATAAAAAATGATTATTAGATAAATTATAATTGCTGAGAAATATATTTAATAAGAATTTATTTTAAAAATGAAAACTATTTAATAATCAGCAAGCAATTTTTAATTCATAAATTATCAAGATTGTTTTTTATTACTAAATGAGATAAAATAAAAATATGATTTTCATATTAAAATATTGTATTTTCATTTAAATTAAGTTTATAGTTGAAAATGAATTCTTAACAACCAGCATTTTTGAGTAAATTATTTAGTCAAACTATTAAATTTTCAGTTATTATAAATATTTAAAATAAATATTATAATTTATAAAAATTAAGTAATTATATACACTTAATACAAAATAAATAGACAAATCAGATTTACATTTTCAAGAGAGATAAATTAATTTTAATGTTCAATAGCATTTATCTACTTAATTTTTATAGTGTCTTGGAATAAAATAGAAAAACATTAAATTGTGTAAATGCGTTTGAGCTATGATGATTAAAAAACAAACTTGCTAAATATGATTTATTTTTTATTTATATTTGTTATCACTTAAAATATAAACTTTGAATATACTTTTTTAATAACAAAAAAAAATTTATTAGTTTTTTAAAAAAAATTTTTTTAAAAGAATACAAATTAGTATTTAGAAAATGTTCCAAAACTGGTGGACAACGCTTTTATTTTTGATGTTAATAGCTAATTATTACATGATAGTTGGGTTGCTCATTTACTATAAAATAGATAATTATGATGATATCTTTTACGTGCTTATCTCATTTGCCTCACTTGAAAGATTAATATGTTTAGTTAAGTCAATTGCTATAATCATGTTTGGATATGGAAATTGCAGATTACTTAAATGTATTTTACTTAATTTATTATTTATAGATATTAGCTTAGGAAAAGATATTGATGAAGATTCTCTTTATTTTGATAAAGAATTGTATCTTTTTAGCTTAAATATGCTTTCTCATTTTATTAATTCTGTCCCAATAATACTAAATTTATGGATATTGCTTAATAAATCTACAACTAATTATTTTTACATAGCTCACATAATATTTGCATTTGCTCACATGGTTTTAACCGATTTTTTGTTTAGATTGAAGACTGCAAAAGAAACACAAAATTTTATTTCTCATTCATAATATTTGCTTACAGTAATATGTAAAAAATTGTGCTTTTATCTTATGATGGCATAACTTATATCTTATCATTTAGGATTTATCTCAGTTTATTCACTTCTTATTATTTACGAAATAGTTATCTTTAAAAAAGGTTATGATTTTTCATAAAATGGTTATTTAATTTTTTAAAAATAACCAATTTTAAGCTAGTCAGTATTAAATAAAATGGATGGATAATCCATAAGATAAATAATAAATATCTAAGCATAGAGCATTACTATTTTCGTTTTGTTTATATTAAAAATAGCAATTTATCATGGTAATAGCTCCTATGATATAGTTATCTATGCTACTTTTATTTTTAATTTGCTAGAAACATACTAAAGCTTCTTTTGCTATTACTAATATTACAGCAGAGGACCTTTTAATTTAGTATGGGATATACTTTTAAACAAACAGAATTATTAAAGTTTATTATAAGATATAAATAAAAATCTTCAGCAACGCGATTTAGCTACTTGTGTGAATATAGATATATAGCTATCCAACCTTGATATTTATAATAGCGAAGAGTTTTTTTTGTTTTTAAAAATATATTATCTCTCAAAATAATAAAACAAGTAGCTTTCAATTTACAAAATAAATGGCAATTTGCATTAAAAGCAATTTATATTTGTAACATACACTTAAAGTTAAAAACTGTACTTAAAATTCGAATAAAACAACCATCACATAAATTCTGCTTTGATTTAAAAAATGATAATGTTTTTTTAAGACCCTTAACAATTTGATTATAAAAAACTAAAAGTATGTATATCTTAGATAGATTAATTCAATTCAAGAGATTTTAAAACAGAAAAGCTTATTTTAAATGAGCTAAGATATTTTTATCCAAACTAATTCGAGGCTTGTCTAAAAAAATTAGATTTCATTTATGAATTTTACATTAAAATAGCCTAAATTTCTATTTTTTATAAACATATTTAACAAAATATTCCAGTAAATACATAATTTATTTTATATGATTTGTTTGACTGATTAATTGACCTCTGCTTTTTTACATACAATTAAGACTTATTAATTAAAAATCATAAATAAACCAAGCAAAAAATATGATGAAAAATATAAAAATAGTTGTTAGACATTTTAAATTCTATTAAATTTTAATAATTCATATTCAAATTATTTTTAGATAGATTTTAACAACTCCAAAATAATCATTCAAAAAACTAAAGAAAATATGACCCCCATAGAGAAATAAAATGTAGTATGCTAATATTCAGAATCTCCAAATTTTCTGAGTTGAGGAGGTTAATATAAAATAATTTATTAAAACTTTTAATTTTGAATGATTAATTAATTACATATATTTAAAATTAATTATTAATATTATAATTAATAAAATTATAAAATCATAAAAATATAGACAAACCAGTTAGTTTTTCATTTTAATGAGAGATAAATTAATTTTAATTTTCTATATCATTTTATCTACTTCATTTTTATAGTGTCTTGTAATAAAATAGAAAAATATTGAATTTTTTAAATGTGTTTGAGCTATTGTAATAAAAAATAAACTTTCTAAATATGATTAATTTTTTGTTTATATTTGTCATCACTAAAAAATCTAAACTTTTAATAATCTTTTCTAATTACAGAAAAAATTTATTAGTATTTTGAAAAAAAATATAAAAAAAGATTAGAAAATGTTCCAAAACTGGTGGACAACGCTTTTATTTTTGGTGTTAATAGCGAATTATTACATGATAGTTGGGTTGCTCATTTACTATAAAATAGATAATTATGATGATATTTTTTATGTGCTTATCTCATTTGCCTCATTTGAAAGATTAATATGTTTATTTAAATCAATTACAATAATCATGCTTGGGCAAGGAAAGTGCAGATTACTTAAATGTATTTTACTTAATTTAATATTTATAGATAATAGCTTAGGAAAAAATGTAGAGGAAGACTCTCTTTGTTTTGATAAAGAGTTGTATCTTTTTAGCTTAAATATGCTTTCTCATTTTATTAATTCTGTTCCAATTATACTAAATTTATGGATACTGCTTAATAAATCTACAACTAATTATTTTTACATAGCTCACATAATATATGCATTTGCTCACATGGTTTTAACTGATTTTTTCCTTAAATTAATGACTGAAAAAGAAGGGCAAAATTTTTTAACTCACTTATAATATCTGCTTACAATCATTTGTAAAAAAGTATGCTTCTACCTTATGATAGCATAACTTATATCTTATCATTTAGGGTTTATCTCAGTTTATTCACTTATTATTATTAGTGAAATAGTTATCTTTAAATAAGGTTATTTTGATCCTTCATAAAATGGCAATTTAATTTTTTAAAAATAACCAATTTTAAGCTAGTCAGCATTAAATAAAATGGATGGCTAAACTATAAGTTAAATAATAAATATCTAAGCATAGAGCATTACTATTTTCTTTTTGTTTATAATAAAAATAGCAATTTATCATGGTAATAGCTCCTATGATATAGTTATCTATGCTACTTTTATTTTTAATTTGCTAGAAACATTCTAAAGCTTCTATTGCTATTACTAATATTACCGCAGAGGACCTTTTAATTTAAGATGGGATATACATTTAAATAACCAGAATTATTAGAGTGTTTTATAAGATAAAATATAAAATCTTCAGCAACGCTATTTAGCCAATCGTGTGAATATAGATATCTAGTTATCCAACCTTGATATTTACAATAGCGAAGAGTTTTTTTTGTTTTTAAAAATATATTTTCTCTCAAAATAATAAAACAAGAAAATTTAAATTTACAAAATAGATGGTAATTAGTATTAAAAGCAAAAAATATTTGTAACATACACTTATAGTTAAAAATTGTACTTACAATTCGAATAAAACAACCATCACATAAATTCTGCTTTGATTTAAAAATTAATAATATTTTTATAAGACCCGGAACAATTTAATTAATAAAAACTAAGAGTAAGTTTTTCTAATATAGATTAATTAGATTAAATATATTCAAGAGATTATAAAACTGAAAATCTTATTTTAAATGAGCTAAGATACTTTTATCCAAACTAATTTGAGGTTAGTTATCAAAAATTAAATTTCATTTTTGAATTTTACATTAAAATAGCTCAAATTTCTATTTTTTATAAACATATTTAAAATTACATTCCAGTAAATACATAATTTATTTTATATGATTTGTTTGACTGATTAATTGCCTGCTTTTTTACATATAATAAAGACTTTAAAGTAAATAATATAAAATAAACCAAGCAAAGAATAAGATGAAAAATAAATAGATTGTTGTTAGACTTTTTAAATTCTATTAAATTTTAATAATTCATTCAAGATATTTTTAGACAGATTTTAAGTATTAAGTTCGCAAAATAATTAAATAGTTTTTTTATTAGTTTTTAATATTATAGCAACAAAAAGATTTTATTTAATTAAGTAGATGGGATTAAGAGAAGCAATATTTTTTCTCCCAACAATTGCTTTAACTTTAAAAGCAATTATAGATGATTATGAATTAAATGTAATTTTTCCAAATGCTTATACTAGATAAGTAACATTAAATGTTTACATTTTCTATTTCTTATCCTGATAATTTTAAGCTAAATTTTAATAATATGAAAGGAGTTTTTGATAATTTATGGTACTTTCCATCATTTCAGATAGACTAATAATTTGAATATATTTTCAAAAATTAGATTTCATTTTTGAATTTTATATTAAAATAACCTAAATTTCTATTTTTTATAAGCATATTAAACAATATTTTCCAGTAAATCCATAATATATTTTATATGATTTGTTTGACTGATTAATTGACCTGCTTTTTTACATATACTAAAGACTTATTAGTAAAAAAATGTAAAATAAATCATGTAAAAAATATGATGAAAAATAAATAGATTGTTCGACTTTTTAAATTCTATTAAATTTTAATAATTCATTCAAAATATTTTTAGACAGATTTTAATAATTAAATAGTTTTTTGATAAGTTTTTAATATTTTAGCAACAAAAAGATTTTAGAATAATTAATTAAATAGATGGGATTAAGAGGTGCAATAGTTTTTGTCTCAACAATTGCTTTAACTCTAACAGCGATTATGTATTCTGATAGAATAAATACTGATAGATAGTGTTCTTGCGATTGCTTATGCAGAAACTGTAGTCTTGTTAGACGCACTTTTGGCGATTTAAAAAAAAGATTATTAGGTTGAAATAGATAGTTAAAAGATTACTTAAAATATAATTAATTTATAATATAAAATAATTTTATACAAACTCACTTTATTTTTATTATATTCATGTAAATTTATCATTTTTTCTAATTTTATATGCTTAAATAAAAGTTATTTAGATTAAGAATTAGCATTGTAATGATGACATTATTACTTTTTCACTACTAATAATCTTTAAAAAATTATAAATATAATAATAATAATTGTTTTTGTTCAATTACTCATTAATTCATTAAATTCTTCTTTAAATTTGCTGCAAGAATAAGTATAATATTTTATTATTTATGTTCTAAAGTTTTTGATATAATAAAAATGATCTAAACTGGCATTTTTATGTGTATATAATCGAACTTTTTTTGCTTTCAAGTAACATATAATTTGTCAATTAAAATTTACATAATCAATAATTAATATAAATAATCTTAAAAATATACTTAAAACTATTCACTTAAAGTTAATCTAGAAAATTAATTAATTTGAAATATCTTTATCAAAATATTTATCAGGCATATCAAAGTTTAAAAATGCTAAAAGAAGCAGCTGTGATAATTAGCTCTACAATTACTCTATCTACTTTTGCTGTAATTGCTTGTGGTTTAGCAGCATCTGATTAAGATACATCTTGTAGATGTAGGTGCTAATGTAGAAATTGTAATCCGATCATTCGTGGTTTGATAAATCTCAAAAAAACATTATTAGGTTTTATGAGAGCTTAATGAAATATTTCTAAAAAAAATAGTTTTAAATGCTTACAGTCATAGATATTTTTTGTATAAATAATGAATTTTGTAATCTATTTTGGTTTGTATGTGAGAATATTGTTATACTATATTGTTTGTTTTAACTTATTAAATTTATATTTATTTTTACTTTAAGAAGTGTCTAAAAAAGACAAAATTGATAGTAAATTTCAAAAATAATTGGTTTTTTATTGATTTTTTTAGTTTTTTTCACATAAAAATTTTTAAAATAATTTTGAAAAATTGACAATTTTATTAACATGTAAAATTTAAATTTCTTTTTTAAATAAATTAAATTGATTTTAATAATTTGATTTAACAACTTTATGTAGAAATAACTCATAAAATTTTATAAAATTTATTTCTATCAAATCAGATATTAATGAAAAAATTTAATCAGTAGTTATTATACAATTTTAAAATTAAATTTAGCATCAATTTAAATTAAATTTTTTATTTTGTTTTGTTGAGGTCACTTACTTCTCTATAAACATTTATTTGCTCTTAAGATCAATAAGAGCTTTTCAATAAATGTTATATTAAATATGAACTAATCTTCTCATTTTTAATATACTCTTCTTTGTTAAATTTTTTATTGATTTTCCATATACTTGACTTATTTATTTTTATAGAATTAAAAAAAATATTAATAAGGTTCTCAATAAAGAAAGTATTTATTTATTTATGTACTTTAGACCTATTGCAAGCAGATTAATTAATTAGTTATTAATTAGAATCTTAACCATAGAATCTGCAGTTTATTGAGATAACGATGATCTTTCATAATTTATGTTTAATTATTTTTTTATAATTTCAAAAGCAAAATATTACATGACAAAACGAAGTTGAGTTAATTTAGGAAAAACAGCTAACTATTTTGCAATTTAAATACAAGCATCAGAACTTAAATCAACATGCCTTTTATATAAAATATGCTGCATCAATATTTTACTTATAATATTAAATACCACATTCTCATTTTCAGTCTTTTTAAATTTTAACATTGCTATAAGAGCTCAAAGAATTGTATGAATGCTTAATTTTCTTATTCGCCAAAGCTAAAAAATATAAAATAAACTACAAAATTTGATTTTTATTAAATAATTTTACCTAAAATCAGATTAAAATGAGTATAAATTACTCATTGTTTTTATGCATTTTCCTAATTCAATTAAGCCTTCAAATTTTATATCAGTGTTTCTATATTATAATACAATAATTATTTCTATTTAATAATAGAGCTCTTCTAAAATTAAAACCCTTTTTATCTTTTTACAAACATTTTTCTAATTAAAACTCAATTATTTAGAACTAATTAATAGTAGAAAAATGTATTTATCAATATTTTAAAAAAATTATAAAGCCTTCTAAATATTTTTCTAAGAAGAGGGAATAAATTTTTTAAGTAAGGAGAAATTAAGTTAGTTGAAATTTTTACGATAGATTGAGTTTTAATTTGTTAAGTTAAGAACATTTCTACAAAAACTGAGTAAAGTATCCTATTTTCTAATTTTAAAAACTAGAAATTTTAATTAATAATTTTATTAATTATTGTCAAATATTCATTTTACCGAAAATGAAATTTAAGAGACTTTAGGTTTTTTATTTGTTCTTCAACTATAATTTTGTCCTCAATAATTACAAATCCCCTTTTTATAAAATAATTTTTTAATATTACTGTTAAAAATCAATTTCAGTAAAATCACAGATTTCATATCACAAAAAAATTTAATTAATTTTTAGATTAATAAATTAAATCTAAAATGATTAAGTTTTTATTAAGTAAAACAAAAATTACTCAGATTATAGATTAAATTTTTCTATATTGGTGTTCTTTGAGAGTAAGTTACAGCAGCAGGTCAAAATATTATTGTCTTCCAATATACTTCTAGTTTAAATTTATAAATTTAGGAAATTTTACATTTTCAAAAAAAATACTAGAAATTCAGATATAAAACTTTTAATTTCGGAAGTTCTACTAAGCCATTAATCAGTTCCTAAGGTTAAGCTAATATGTCGTCTGATCGGCTTATAGAATTAAATTATTTATATAACAATTTTATTAATTTATATTTTATTTACATTAGATGGAAAGTAAAAAAAGTTAAATTTTTACACTTTGATAATTCATCACCAACCCCTTATAAATTAATGGAGCTGAATCTATTTTAAGGAAAAAATAAAAATTTTGCTTTTCATAAAAATATTAGAAATTACTTAAGAGTAATATTTAAATCTGTAAGATATTTCAAATACTATAGTGAAGAAATTAAAGATCTAAAACTATTTTATTTAACATCATTCTACCTATTAATTATAATATATTCAAAGCTTCTATAATAATTTGTGTGTTTGTTTAATTTACTTTATAGAAATAGTTAATTGTTTTAAATAGATTTGATTTGCTAGCATTTTCCCAAAATAATTTGTCCATTCTTAACCTTAGAAATCCAACCTGTATTATAATTAATGAATTTAACTAATTAAATAAGTTAATAAGTAAACAAACTTACGTAAGTTCTAAATTAAGATAAATGATATTTGAACTTTTTGGAAAACCTTAAAAAAATGAATTCAATTAATTTTCTTCATCTCTTATTATTTTTAATAAATCTATAAATACATTTTTTTTCTAAAATAAATTGTGTTTTACTAAAGGTGAATTGTCAAGTGATTTAGATTTTTAAGCTTTGATATTGCTTCTGCTAAACTTTGTAGATCAAATTAGTTTTTGATAAGCGAACTAAGGTTATTCATTATTTTTATTTTAAAAACGATATGAAGTATAAATTTCAATACTTGTATCTAATGATTGAAAGTTGATTTAACTGTGACAAATTTCCAATACTACTGAATTTAATTTAATTAATTGTATTTCTTGTATGTTAAAAAATAATTAAAATGACTTTCAGGTAAAAAAATATGAAATTTTACTATATTTTTATATTTAAATTAACCAATTTATTTAAATTTTAAAGCTTATTGAGATAACTATCAAAATCAATTGTTGAGTCTTATATCCTAGTAATAATAATTATAAATATAATTCAATTGTTTAAATAAATTATAATTTACTTGAAATATAGTGTTAGATCAATAAAATTTTCACATTTTTCTATTTTTAGGAATATTTTATTAAGATCTTCTTCAGAAACTTCACTATATCTGTTTATTTGTTAGTTAATTATATATGCATTAATATATTTTGCTGTTTAAAAGTTAAATATTTACAGTTATTAGTAATTTAAACTATTCAGATTTTTACACATTTCCAACTTTTAGATAAAATTTTCTTCATAATATTCAAATTTTTGATTCCAACTATGATTTATTTGAATATTATTTTGAGAATAAAATTGATTCATTAATTAAAATATAACAGTAAAAATTTATTTACTCACAATCTATCATAAGTTAAGATACCATTAAAGAATTCTCCTTATTTATCTAAGAAATGTTAATAATTTAATTTTAAATTCTTTAGAGGTTAAATAAGTAAAAGTTTTATTTTTACTTCATCAAGAGTGAAAACCTTGTTCTCTTTTTTATAATTTTAATCTTTATGATTTTTTAATAATTAAAAATGTTAAGTAGCTAATATCAAACAAAAAAAGCATACTATTTATAATTCTTAATTCTTGGACAAAAAAGGCTTCTTGAAAAAAATTTTAGTTTTATTCTAATTCATGACTTTCTTCAGTTTAAATTATAATCATGAACGAACTAAAAATTTAACCAAATTATATTTAATTTTATATTTAGTTTATTTCATGTAAAGAAGAGTATTAGTTTTCAATTTTTTCAGTTTTTTTTAATCTATGAATAATTAAACCAACTTCCTAATTTCTTTATGCATTTAATGAAGTTAAAACTAAATAAAATGAATTGTCGTAAAAGTAGTTTAAATCCTAAAATTATTTGTAATTATTTTACAAATAAATTAAAAGCTACTCTAAAATATTATTTTAATCTTAGCAAAAGCTAGCTGTTTTAATTTTAAGATTGTTATTAACTAAGCTCATTTTATCTTAGAGTTTATTTGTTTTTATTAAAAGTTTTACTTTTTTTATTTTCTTTTTATTTAGAAACTTATTAATTAAAAAATAAATATCTTCATAATATATCTAAAATTTAACATCTAAAAATTAATTTTTATATTATTATTTATGTCAAATTTATACATAAAAAACCAGAAAAATAAATTTATTTTCTTTTTAAATAAACTTAATTTGATAAATTTATTTAATTAATTTATTAATTTTTTGTTGTTATTTTAAATTATTTTTTAAATATTGCAGGAACAAAATTAAGAATTTTTAAACAACTTTTATTAAAAATTATTTTTTTAAATAAAAATTTTGAGCTTTATAGAATGAGATGATTCATTTATAATAGAATTAACTATCTTACAAAATAAATATACTAAAAACAGAAAATTTTAATATAATTAAAACTAATTACAAATGTAAAAGATTAAATTACTAGTATTTTACTTATAATTATACTCTCTTTTTTTCTTAGAAGGATTGATATAATTAAAACAACTTTTTTATATAACTTTTATAATTTATTCTATTTTAAAAATTGTATTTAAATAATCGTTGTAGAATATAAAAAAAATAAATCTGATTGTTTTGTTTTATATTGAAATTAAAAATTTTGAAATCTTTGTTGTTTTTTTGATTATTAATTTGAAATATAAAAAAAATAATAATTGCTTTTTTGTTTTAAATATGTTATGAAGAATGAATGATATTATTAGCTTATTTATATATTATTTTTGAAATACTGCTTATCAGCTTATAAAAGATGAAGATAAATAACTAAAAAAAGCATGTAAATAAATAAATAATAGATATTTGGAAGAATCAATTGTTTATTTATTTCATTATTGAAATAAAATAAAATAAAAATGTTTGGGCAGCTTTATTTTGATTAAATTTTATCATTTTTATTGAAAAATGAATAAAAAAAGTACTTATAATAAATCATCTGAATAAATATTAATCAATATTAATATATATTGTTAATTAGATTAATTGGTTTGAAAAAAAGGAAATTAAAATATGATTAGCTCTATTGTTTTTATTAACTCTAAAGGTGAAATCTTAATTTATAGAATTTATAAGGATGATATTAGCAGAGCAGAGACTATGTAATTCTGCACAAATGTAGTAGCTCGTAAGGAAAGCAAAGAATCCCCTATTGTAAACATAGATGGTACTTCATTTATCCACGTCAGCTACAAAGATATAATATTATTAGCCACAACTAAATGTAATATAAATGCTGCTATGACAATTTAGTTTCTTTATTAGTTGATAAATGTTTGCAAGTCCTATTTTGGTGATTTCGATGAAAACAATATTCGTAAATAGTTTGTTCTCATCTATGAATTGCTCGATGAAGTAAATATTTAAAATTTAACATTTAGAAATAGATTAATATGATAAACCAATCTTTATTAGTTCCCAAAAATCTAAAAAAAAACGAAAAATAAAGTTAGTTATGTTATTTAAATAACATTTATAATCAAAGTGTAATTGACTATTGAAAAGGTTAATAAAATATCCTTTTAATACAATCGAATAATGGATTTATGAAGATATTTCTTTCTAAATAAAAATGAAATATTTGAAATCTTTAATTTATCAAAAAAAAAAATTTTTTTTTCTTTCTATAAAAAAAGATTATGGATTATGGTCTTCCTTAAATTCTAGACCCCGATCTTTTAAAGTAATCAATTCAAGAAGGAGGCAAGCAAGATGGCATGACTGATATAGAAAAATTAAAATAATTTACTTAATAAGCTACTAATGCTTAATCGTGGAGAGCACCAAACATTTTCTACAAAAAGAATGAAGTCTACATTGATATTATAGAAAGCGTAAATGTAAGTATGTCAGTTAAGGGATCTATCCTTAAAGCTGATGTCTCAGGAAAAGTTATGGTAAAAGCTCTACTCAGTGGTGTCCCTGATTGTAAATTTGGTATGAATGACAAGGTCTTAATGGAAAAAGAACCTCCTAAACCAGGTTCAAATCCTTAATAAGGTGGCTAAAACAATAAGGGTATTACAATCGATGACTTAAAGTTCCATCCTTGTGTAGTCCTTCCCAAGTTTGACAAAGGTAATTATTTATTTATTTAGTTTTTTAAATGAAAAAGGTTTGATCTCCTTTATGAAATTTCATTATTAAGTTAAAAAAATATAGTAAAATTAAGAAATAGATAGATATGTTTGATTTCTGTCAAAAATTTGAATTATTTAAAAAAATAATATAAAACAGAAAGAAGGATTAAAAAAAACATAAATGTTGCAAAATAAAATTTCAAATAATTCAATTTTATTATAGGATTTTCACTTTAGTGCAAATTTAAATCCTTTCAAAATAATTTTTATTTCTATTTATATATAGAAAGAGCTATCACATTCACTCCTCCTGATGGTGAGTTCTAGCTAATGAGCTACAGAATTACTGAGAATGTCAATTTACCTTTCAAAATAATGCCCGTAATTAACGAAGATGGAAATAATATTGAAGTAAGAGTAAAGCTAAAATCTATTTTTGATAAAACTCAATATGCAACTAATGTTGCTTTAAAGGTTCCTTGCCCTAAAAATACTGCAAACACATCAAACACTGCTAGTATAGGAAGAGCTAAATATGAACCAGAATAAGGAGGTATCGTTTGGAGAATAAAGAAGTTCTAGGGAGAAACTGAAGCTCTTCTTAGATGTGAAATCGTGTTGAGTAATACTGCTCTTGATAAAAATTGGGTAAAACCTCCTATATCTCTTGAATTCTAAGTTCCATCATTTACAGCAAGTGGCTTGAGAGTAAGATTCTTGCGTATTCATGAAAAAAGTGGTTATCACCCTACAAAATGGATTCGTTATATAACTAAGGGTGGTGAATATCTTCATCGTATATGATCAATTTTAATATTTGAATATAAATTTAAATAAATTGTACAGTTAAATTAGCCATATATCAAATATATAAATAGTCATCTATATATTTTTATGAGATAAATAAACTATGACTCATTTACTCTTAAATAAATTGTGACAACCATTTCCATTATAAATTTAGCAAATTCCAATTCATTTCTGAATTTAAGCTTTTTTAAAACTTATTTAATGTTTGTTTTATTTTGATAATATATTTTTTTATTTTTAAAAAAGGAATGTATTATTAATTTTTAAAAATAAATTAATCTTTTTTATCTTTCAAATAGTAAATTTTAAATAGTTTTTTATGGACTAAAATATCAAAATAAAAGAAAAATTTTATTTTTTTTAATTAAAATTACTCTATTAACTTTTAAACTTATTGATATCATCATAAATTTTTTAAATTAGTTTTCATGGTAAATTAAATTAATTTTTTTATTATGGAACATATTTGGATTAAATAAAATTTTCTAACAATTGTTATCTGTAAATATATTTATTTTAAAGAAATACTTAAAATTATGAAACATCCGAACAAACATTTATGATTGATTTATTTATTTACAAACACATAAAATATTTTTTTAATGAGATATCTATATAATTTTATTAAATGTGTACATATTATTGATAATTAGTTTTTGCATATTATTGATAATAAATTTTTGCATATTATTGATAATTATTAGGTCATGATTAAATCTTTTTTATTGAATTAAAAATGAGCTTTATTGATTCAAATTTTTTCACAGCATCCTTAGCAGATAAACGTTTTTTAGGATCTTACCTTAAAAGAGACTCTATAAAAAGTATAATTTAGTTCTCCAACTAATTTATCTCAGGAATAGGTGAAGATGAAACAGAATTTATTTTGAAATCATTATTAGAGTATATGTTTAATTCTTTTATTTTTTAAGGAGTGTATTATTGTATGTTGGTAAACAACTATAAACAAACAATTCCAACAGCCCAAATATCACTTGGTTTTCCGTTATTAGGCTCCTCTTAATTCATTTATTCTGGAGCTCCATAAGGTTCTTTAAAAGAGTTTTCTCCAAATTCATAGTCTTTCAATACCCTAGAAACAGCTAAATCTGATAGATAAACGTTACACTGAGAATCTAGCAGTATATTTGTATCCTTGATGTTAGAATGATAAATATTATTTTTGTGCAACATATTAACACAATCCAATAATTATTCAAATATTTTAAATCTTTATTCTAATTTAGTAAGCTCATTCTTTTGCATTGAACTCTCTAAGTTGGAACGTCTAATTTCGCTTATTAGATAAAGATTAACTGCTCCATCCTTATTTTAGCTTATTGAATAACCTAATATACTTAAAAGATTTAAACAGTTAGGAAGCTTATTTTAAAAATCTATAAATTATTTCAATTGCTTTTAGCTGATAAAAGTTATGACTTTGGCAGCGTAATATTCTGAGTTGTATCTTACTCCATAAATAGCACCTAAATCTCCCTTTTTTATCATACTTTTAAGCTTAATTTCTTAAGGTTCGATCTTTAACATTTTACATTCATTCAATACATACTTTTTGGTTAACTCAAAAACATGATTTTAAGTTATGAATAACTTCTCATTTTTTGCATACTACTTAATTGATTTATAGCTAGAAATTATTCCCTAAATATTCATTTCAGAAGGTCGCTATTGATATGTTAATTTGTAATTACTATCATTTAATGTTTCATCAAAGCTAAAATTATCTCTTTAAGAATGGATATCAATATCTTCTTCTGATTTACACAGTATGTAAATTTCATTAAAAAATTTTATTTCTTGAGCATTTTAATTATAATTTTATGTTTATTTCACTTCTTCCTCATTTTAGTCTAATTTAAATAATTAAAATAAAACTTAAAACTTAAAGCTTAAAAGTATAAATTATTTATTTATTGTAAAAATGATAAATCGAAGTGCTAATTCTTTTTAGCTCATATAAAATTAAAAATGTTTGAAATTGAAATAAATAAATAAATAAATAAATAAATAAATAATGAATAAACATACCTTTTTAATGATTATGATTATTTTAGTTGATACTTTTTTATTTTGATTTGAGCTGATAATAAATTTAGGGAATTAGGACCTTGAAATTTTTTTGCTAGGCATATTGTACAAATTAATCAATATAGCTTATAGAGTCAGATATTTTAAGTAAATGTTTAATCAATCCTTTTTAATAAATAATATGCTTAAAAGAGTTAATTTTCAATAGTGATTCATAGTTTTCTAAGAATACTTTTAATCCTTTCATATAAGAATCAGTTGCATCAGTTTTATCCTTATATAATTTTTCTTCCATCCTGCCTTTATAGTAGTAACACTAAAGCAGAGTTTCAGGATCTTTTTGAGACTATGCAATTCTATTTTCGAATTTCTTTATTGATATTTATCCGATCTCAAATGCTTTTTAGAACTATTCTAATTTAAAGTATATTTTAGATATCATGTATTCAGCTTAAGCTGAAAGGTTAGGGTCGTTTTTCGTTAGTTCTATTTGTATATAAGATTATTATAAAGCCTCCTCGATTTTAATATTCCCAGTATATAGCAAATATACATAAATTCTTTTGCACAATATAATATCCTAAATTAGATTTATTGTTTAATTCCCAATTAACGAATGCAAAATATTTTACTAAACTTCATCTGTTTCTTTAATCAAAACATCTTTTTAATTCATATTGTTAATTTGTTATTAATTGTTATTTAACTTAGCTTATTCTAACATATTATGTTTAGCTTAAATAGTTATCCAGAATATTTGCTATGAGCTATTTCTTAGTCTTTATGAAAAGAAGTTATCCTAAATTTAATACCTTTTAAGTTAAATCAAATAATAATTTAATAAAAAAATCAATATTTTTTTAAAAATATTTAATTAAATAAATATGTTCTTCTCAATTGATTGAATATTATTCTTTTTCTCATAATTAATAAAGAATAAATTAACATGCTAAATATATTTAAAATTAAAACATTATTCAATCTATTTCAACAATTTTGAATTATCAATTCAATAAACTAAGAGGAGTGTAAAAAAGATAAAAAATTATAATTAAGAATAAAATACTTGGTAAAAAGAGACTCTATTTATAGCTCTTTAACCTTGTAGTTAGTAAGTTCTATTTATTGTGAGAGTATATTAAGAATTTTAGGATATTATCTTTCTTTTACGCCAGGAAAATTACAAAATGTTATACCAAATAGAATATTGTAAGTGCAATAAAGCATATTTGAATTATATTTATTGGGAGTTTCTAGAATATTTCCTAACTATTCTATCATATCGTCATATCTTTCTTAGTTTGTTTTAGACTCATAACTAATATCCAACTTAAGCAGTATTAAATTTATTAAAATTTCAGATAATTCAATAAAATCATTAGGAATTAACTCTTTAAGTAAGCTATAACTATTTGTAAATGAAGGATCTGCTTATTTTAAGATTCTACTAAGCCACGAAGTTCCTTTAAAAAAGTCTATGTCGTAAATTGGCTAAATCATACTCGAAAAAAGTAGAAGGTAGTACCATGAATTCTAAAAATTTGGTTCAATATTAAATTCTGTCTTTACAGAATAAATTTCTGCAAGACGATAAAGACTTAGTGGGTCCAGTAATTAATTTGCATTATATTTATACATTTATAGGGCCTTTTAGGTATCTTTAGGAACTTGTGTCCCCCTTTCAAATGAATACGCTATAAGAAAATTTGCAAATATTGAATTAACTTTTTTATCTTCAAATAAATTCAAGTTCAATATCTCGCTTGATAACTATGGTTTATATAATTTATATAAGAGATCCCATTGGAATGGCTAATTTTTTAAATCATTAGTGCTCATAGAAAGTATAAATAATGTATATTATTTTCTAACCTATATTTAATAACTAAAAAAACTTTTAAAGCTTTATGCTAAGCTATGCTTTTCTACACTAAATTATTTATTACTTACTTAAATACTCTAAAAAATTAATTTTTATTATGCAAAAAAAATTCTTCAATAATATTAACTTATTAATTGCATCTTTGATTAAAGAATTTTACATAGATTTTCATAAAATGAATGGTTGGTGATAAATAACTATTTTTTATTTGCATTCATAAGAGTTTTTATATCTTCTTTTAAAATTATTTCTAAGCATTTTTCTAAATAGTACATTTTTTTTGCATATTTTGAAGTTTTCAATAAACTATCAAAAACAATAATTTTTTATTTTCAGTAAATTTATATTTCATAAATATCATTTAATAAGCTAATATATCCATCCACTTTTACTTATGTAATAAGTTTGGATATATTTTATTTAAATTTTAATTAGAAATATTTAAAAGTTAAATAAATCTAATACTGGATAATTCAATAATTTAATTTTAAAAATATTTATCCTAGCTTATATATAATATTTAGATTAATATTATCTATTTTTACCATAATGTGCTTCTTATTAATATTCATATATCAAATTTAAAAATAAAATATCTAAGATACATATTAATTATATTTCATTTCTATTTTAGATTTGGTTAAGCACTTGTATTTATTTGTTTTTGGATCGATTTAATTATTTATATTTTGTATTTCTAAATTATACTATTTATCTATATAATTGTCAACATATACTTATTTTCTGATAGATCTTTTTTAATATTATGTGTTTATCTAAAATTGATATTTTAAAATTTTATTTTTCCTTTCTTTGTAAACAAAATTAATTTTGAGTTGGATTAATTCATACTTTTTGTTGAATATAAAACTAAGAATAAATGTTTTTTTAAAATAAATAATTACCAATATTGATTGACATTCAAAAAAATGTTAATTTATAAAAAACTTCAATTTACAATTTAAATAATTATAAATTTTTTGAATTTGCATTTCTGTTTGCTTTCTATAAACAATAAATATTTTTTTAAGCTTCATTCAATATTAAATTAGAAAACAATTTAGTTAAAGCTGATTGTGAAAATTTATGAAAAAGTAATTTTTTAAATAAAGTTGAAAATTTAAATTATTTAAAAATAACACAATAATCATCAGTTCAATCAATCAATCAATATTATAAACATTTATTTGATAAATAATTTTTAAATGTATTAAGATATATTATTTACTTCTTCTTTTTTAAAAAAACTTCTTTTATATACAAATAACTATATGGCTTTGTCATCCATCATATTTATTAAGCTTAATTTATAATGTTCAACATTTTTTTTTATTTTGTACTGATCACTTGGCTTTTTATTTTAATTTTAGGAATGAGTTTTTTATTTATTTATAAAGATGGCATATTATTTATTTAAATTATTAATTTAATGATCCATTATGGTTAAATAAAAATTATAAAGAAATAAGAAAAAACGTTTGTTTTTATATTTTAATATTAGTTTTTATTATATAATTTTTAAGAATAGCAAATTATTTAAATATATTAATTTTTAAATTAGTGAAAAAAAATATGGACGAAGATCTCGAAATCATCTATTTAGATTAAGAAAGTGGTTAATTGGATTCATTAAAATATTATTTTAGCTCTTAATCAATGTATTCATAAAAATAATAAAATACTACATATTTTATTTTACCTTTAGAATAAACTTCAGATTATAATTGCTAAAAATCATGTTAAGCCAATGAAATAGAAAACCAGCTATAAAAGAATAAAGGAGGTAATTGCATAGGAGGGTTCATTCACTGTAACTACAAAGGATAAGCTGAAAAGTTTAAATCTGAAATATTAGAATTGATTAAAAACTCTATTTATTTCAAAATAGGAGAGTTTGAAGAAGGTTTTTCAAATGTTCTAAGTACATTCAAAACAAGATTGTTTTCATTAGACATAATTTACGATACAAGTTATTCTGTTTCTCTAAATAAAGAAAGCAGCAGGATTTAAATTTCATTGAATTTATTTATGAAAATTGAGCAAAAAATTTATTTGTCAAAATCTATAATCCCTTCATTATTAAATAACATATGGGGAATTAAAAACAAAGGTTCAAACAAATATCGAGAAGTTGATTATAAAGTGGATTTTTCAAAGGAAACTCCGAACTATTATTTGTTAAAAGAAAATTCTGTCTTTGATATACAAGAGCTTATATTAAGTGATTCATAGAATAGTTTTGAATTAATAACCTCAAACGTTACAGAAAAATATCCTATTCTAATATTAGATAACATATTAATGAATTAAAAAATGCATTTCTTTAAGATAATTGACTTATTTTGAATTGTTTTATTTTTTATGCAAAAAGAAAAATGTGCTGCTTAATTATTTATCTTAGCAAAATTGCAAACAAAAACTAGAAAAATTTTTATTTTTATTCATTTTAAAACAAATAAAAAAATTGCTTTAATTTTATTTATATTAAAATTATGAAATTTAAATTTATTTAATAAAATATTTTCACTTAAATTTTTTGGTACTAACATAGTTAGTTACTTACTTTTTTACGAAAATTTTCTAGAATTTCTTAAAAATCTAAATGAATAAGAATTTTATTGATAATCTTATTAATTTTTTATCAAAAATTTAAAAATTTGTTTGGTTAGTATTAAAAGAAAGAATGAACTTTTCATATATCGCTGGATGTTTAAGCACTGTTCTAGGTATTGGTATAGGTGCTGCAGGAGGTCATAAAAAGGAATGGACCTAAGAGAGAAAAGACTTGTTGACAAAAGCTACATTTTATCATTTTATCTCAAATACTGGAATGATTATAGGGTCATATAATAACCCATTCAACTATTCCACTATTCTTTTTTTGATAGGAGTGACTTGCTTTAGCGGATCTCTTTATTATAAAACATTTACAAACAATGAAGATTTTAAAAGACTTCCCCCATACGGTGGTATGGCTATGATGTTAGGGTGGATCCTTCTTGCATTTAAAAAATGAAGTTATTTTCAAATTTTATGCTATAAATAATAATAATTTGAGTATCTAGAATCGAAATTAAATCATGAAAACAAACATATGCTTTAATAAATTTGTATTTATATTTTATTAATAACAATTAAAAAAATTTGCAACAAAAATAGATTTTTATCTTTTTCTTTCAAATTCACATTTTTTAGGTTCTATTAATGATTTTAAAATGTAGATATTTATAGAAAATCTTTTATTAAAACAATGTGTTATATTTATAATATGAATCTAGAGAGTAACATTTTTTGAATTTATATTTTACATTAAACTTAATGTGTGTGATTAAAATTATTGATTTTGAATCCCTTTGTTAGTTAACTTAATCTTTAATGATCTATATCAATTTAAGTATTTTATAACGCTCTGACATGACACGAGAGAATATTTAATAATAATATTCTGTGGTTGTTTTTATTTAGTTTTTATATTGATAATGAAGATCTAACCACTAAATTAATTTTACGAAATTTTAGAGCGATTTAGTTAACAATTAGGTTTTACATAAATTAATTTTTATCTGAGACATAAAAAGATAAATAAATATTCTACCTTATTATTTTGGAATAAATATAATATAAATGTTTGTTTTCTATGGTATTTAACTTTATCAAGGAACATAAAAGCTTTAGTTGGTTATTAAAAAAATATTGCACTGATTTTTTTAAATTATTCCTAAGCAAGCAATAATAAAGTTTAACTTTATATTAAATGAGATTTCAAACACCAATTATTTATTTATGCGTCATTTAGAAAAATACTGAATTTGTTAACAAACACTTTTATTATCATAATTATTATAAATAGTACATGAGAAAATAAACTTTCTTTTGTTTAAAAGTGAAAAAAAAAATTAATTATTGAGATAGTAATTATTTGAATAGAAATTGTAAAATATTCTGATTTTAGTAGTAAAATCAAATTATCCTTCAAAATAATTTATAAATAGCAATCAATGTCTGAAGCTTCAATAGGTATAATGGAAGGAGCGTTCTTTGTTCCAAAGAGTGAAATTCTTAATTGGATCAACAACTTGCTCTAGGTATAAATTTATTTGCTAACTTTTTTAAAAATACAAATCTCTAACTTAATAGATAATGCCTACTTTAAAATACATTATAAAAGATGAAAAATTCTATTTAATTTACGATTTGTTATTGCATCATAAAATATTATTTCAATTATTTCATTTATTTCAAGAATAAATATCAATCCCAACCGTAGATATTGTATTAAAAAAATTTAGTTGAATTTGACGAAAATTGAGCAACTAGGAACAGGATCAGTCTATTGTTAAATAATTGACGTACTTTATCCAGGCACTGTTAAAATGAATAGAATTAACTGGAAAGCTAGAAATGAGTGGGAATTCATAGTTAATTTGAAATATCTACAACAAGCATTTCAAAAGAACAACATCAAAAAATACATTGAGGTATAAAATTTAGTTTCTTTGCTGTTAACTCACTCATTATTTATTTATATTTTAAAATGACGTTTGATGTTCAAATTTTTTTTGTATTTATTGAAAGAATAGAAAATTTTAAATTAAGTAATGTAATTTACTTGTTAAAAAATTTAAAAAAGACTTTAAAAAACTAATTAAAATAATTTAGAATTTATTAGATTTTAATGTATTGAGCATTTTTATTTCCTAATATGTAGATTGAGAAACTTTCAAAAGCAAAGTATTAAGACAATCTTGAATTTGCTTAATGGATGAAAAGGTATTTCGACATAAATAATGGCTAAAATAATGCTAAGGATTATGATCCTGTTGCAAAAAGAGGAATCCAAAACTCAGAAACTGATTTTTCATTTCTAGATATGAGAGACAACTCGAGAATGGCAGTAAAACTTTACAATTTAAGTCTATTTAACATTTTTAAAAATATCTTTCTAATTAAAGGCAATGAGAGGAGCTAAAAATGATAATAGTGCCGACTAGAAGTACTTAAGAAAAAAAATGGTTACAAGAAGCAAGTCTCCCATTTTAAAATCTTTAGAGAAAAATTAATACATCTTAGGATCAAAAAGCAAAGAATTAAAATTAGAGAATATGTAGAAAAAGCAATTAATAGATGAGAGAGATATTCTAATTATTAAATTTCAAGAAATTTAAGCTATATTAGGAAAATCTAATCTAGGAGAAGCTTAAAAAATACAAGAAATTACTTAAATATCTAATTATGTAATGAGTCTTAACTTAATACAGTCAAAAGAGTAAATTGAAAATGACGAAAACAATTTTAGTTCAATAAGAAAGAGAAATTCAATTGACAAATTTTAGCATAATAATACAATCAAAGAAGAAGATAGTCCACCTAGATCTGAAAAACAAAATACCAACGCCTAAGCCTCATAAAAGGAAAAAGTTATGAAAAATAATTCATAAATTTCTAACTCATCAAATTTAAATAACAATCCAAGCAGTTTAAGCAATAATAACTACACTGTAGCTAATAACACAAATAAAAAATCCGTAATCCTTAACTAGCCTTTAACAGGAAATAATAATTAAAATATCCCCAATAATAGCAACAGCAACTAAAACTCAAATAGCAATATTGAGGATGTTAAGTAAGAGAAAGCATCTCACCCAAATAATAGAGGTAGTGTCTAAAAAACCTAAATAGAAAAAGAATTACACAAAAAGTAAACTTTAGCACGTGTAAATAAGCATTCTGAGTAGTTAAAATAAAAAGCCAATTGATTAAATATATATATATAATAATATAATTCTTATAAGTTGTAATAATTAACTATTTCATACTTAGTAAGTGTATAATAAATAATATATCATTTATTATTTTATATTATCAGTCAATGTTTTCCATTTTTTTATTTTAAATAAAAATAATATTTACATTAATAATATATTTTATTACATTTTTAACCATCTTTACTACAAAGCCAGTAATTTAATTAGCTTAACAAAATAATCGAGTAGAATACTATCTAGTAATATCCAAGCTTTGAATATGAGATTAAGAGTGAATTACTTTCAAAAGAAATTCATTTCAACCACCCTAATAATTTTAATCAGTCTTTATTAAGACATGGTAAAGATTTTTAGAGAGAATCAGGGAAGGAGGTTACCTTAAATGATGAGCATTAATTGTATAAAGTAAATTAATATTTAATTAATTAATTTTTTTGTAAATATTTTTATATTTTTGTAATACTAAAATTTACTTAGAGATGAAAATTACTTCAAAAAATATAATCATAATAATTATTATTCTTATATCTTTAAGTTTAACTATCAGATTATTATTCAAAAGCTCACATTAATAGGAAAAATATCCTACAATCATTGAATATTTAAAGTGCTTATAAAGTGTTTGCAATTATTAATAATGCGAATTAGGAGACCATAATTGTGAAAAAGCTTTCTCAAATTATAGAAATTGTTAAAAAAAATCTTATGAATGCGAAGAATGGGAATAAGAAATTTAAAAAGATATTTAAGAAATAAAAATGTAAGAGAGTTTTTTCAGATGTAAATATTATTGTGCTCCTAAAAAAGAAGATTCTGAAGCCTTTTATTAAATTTTTAAATGTGATGAGCGCTGTGCTATGTATGGAATGAAAGATTAATCTGGTTTTTGATTATTTATTTACTATTAATAAACTTTTATGGTTTTAGTTTAAAAATATTTAAATGAAATAAAATAATCTAATTTGTAATATTACATAATCTTAAAATTAAAAAAATATTTTTATTATATTTTTAGATAGTAAAATTTTGTAAAATTATAATAATCTTTAGAAATTATCTGAAATACTTTTATTCATATATGTTTAATAAATAAATCAGTAATTAATTGTATTATTTTGCTATTTTATCCTTATAAATGCTCTTTATCATTATTGATAATATTATTTGCAACTATTCAACTTAAAAATTTAAAAATCTTTATCAGTTATTTAGTTATTTAGTAGATTTGAAACTTCTGACTGTAATAAATGATTAATATAAAGCAAATAAATTTCAATTTCTTTTGATTATTCAAAATAAATTTTTGATAGATTAACTTAAGAGACTTTTATAGTTTTTAAAGAAATGTTGTAAATACTATTTATTTTACTGACTAAATATAATTAAAAGATTATTGATATTTGAGAGTAGAACTATAAATAAAGTTTTTTTTTTTCCAAAGAATTTAATTTATTGATTAGTTAATTGCTAATACAATTTTTAATAAACTTACATTTGATAAAAATTATTTAAAATGAGCATATCTCCAAGAAAGCCACTTTAAATTAATTTGAATTTTAAGTAAAAATATGCAGAAGGAATACACACACCTAACTCTCCATATACATCAACATCTAGAAGCTAGCAATAGAATTTAACTAAAGAAGAATAAATTAAACTAGTTTTAAAAAAAAGCAGTAATGAAAGAAATACTTAAGATATTATACTGCTATCTTAGTAAATAGAAGTAATTTAGTTTAAATAGAAGGATTATTATATTAATTTAACTTAATTTAAAGAATGTGAACTTTTTAAAGCAATTTATTGGTACTAAATCTTTAGAATTTTTAGAAATGTGTAAATATTTGGAAGTTGAAGAATATGAGGAAGGACATATTTTATTTTAATAAGTATAAATTATTTATTGAAAATTCAATAAATTGAGTAAAAAATATTATTTTTGCATAAAGGGAGATATAGGAGAAAAATTCTTTATAATTCTAGAGGGATAAGTAGCTGTGCTTATCAATGTATAAACAAAAAAAAATGGTATCGAATAGAAAGAAATAGGAAAACTTTCTGCAGGTGATTCTTTTGGTGATTTAGCTCTACTATTTAACTCGATTAGAAATGCTACTATAAAATTGAGCAAGAAGAGTACTTTTATAGTGCTTCGCAAAGAAATTTTTTAGAAATACATTAAATATAAAACTCCTCCAAACGCTCATGAGATTCTTAAATTTTATGATCAATTTGTGTTATATCCTTATCAGTTGGACCTGCCTGAAAAAATATAGATTTTATCTAAAACTGAATAGACAAATTATATATCGAATTCTTTGATTATAAGATAAGGGCAGCTTGTGTCATCGATTTATTTTATCAAAAAAGGGGTTGTAAAAGTAAAATTTGTTTTATATTTAACAAGAAGCTTCTTTATGTAATGTTAAAATAATTTTTGTAAGGTTAACAGAATTGTAAAATTTAGGATTAATCCTACTACAAAGTAGCTCTTACCTCTTGATTACTCAGATCCGACTCCTTAAGAAATTTAAAACAAATAATACAAAGATATTTCCCTAGAAATAGATGAGATATGTATAATAAATAGTTTATTATATTAAAAAATTTAATGTTTTTGTTATAATATATGAAGACGAAGGATCTGTTTTTGCAGATTATGAACAGTTTAAATAGATTAAAAGCACAGTAAGCATAGTTGCTTACACTCCTTGTGAAATTCTACAAATATAAAGGGAGGATATGGTAGTCCTGCCCAATAAAATGATCTAAGATTTGTAAAATAATATAAAGCCTTATCCTGAAGATTATAAACTTCGAAGAATTTATTTAGAAGGACTATAATGGTTAAAATATAAAAATGTAGTTGTTGAAGGTGTTTGCAGAGAAAATGTATTAAGAAAAAGGTAATTAATTAAATCATGATTGAAAATTTTTTTTAATGAAATTAATTTCTATTTTTTAGGCTGCAAAATTCAGTGAACTTCTTTTCTCGAAGTAAACTGCAACATATTCCACTTCAGCCACATCTAGTAACTCTTGAAGACTCGTTTACATAAGATACGGCTTAAGGAGATGTTCAGCAAATAGAAAATAAATTCTTTGGCTAATATAATTAGTAGATGAATAAAAGAAGAAGCCTTTAAACTTACTAAAGTCTTCAGAATAAAGGCAAAGGCAAGCCATAATTTTAAGAGAATAAAAAGAGTGGATTAAATATTAGTAAAAATGAAATAAAAAAAACAAAAGATATGGAAAATGATCAAAAAAATGAATTTGCTATGCAGGCTGCTAAGAATAGCTTCTATTTATAAGATGAGAATGATTTTGTCAAATTTGATGAGGAATTATAGGAAATTGAGAAAGAAGATGATTAATATGATAAAAAGAAGATACTTAAATAATTAATGAAATAATTGGATCCCTTTAACAGAACCACTCTAAGCTAAAAGAAACTCCCTATGAAAAATGACTTAAAGTCAATGGGCAAATCATTTTCTAATTTATAATAGAATGAAAAAGATTAGAATAAAAAAAATAAGGGTCTAGCTAAATTTTCTTCTACTTACTCTCCTAAGTTATAAACTATCAGTTCTGAGATTTAAAGCAAAAAGTATAAGCCTTAAAAATAAATTCTACCTAGAATTACTAATCACATATAATACATAGCAAGAAATGAAGATATTATTTGCTAAAGCAATTTAAAACTATTTGAGAAATCTGACTATCAAGATGAATTTTCACCTTTCTGAAACTCAATCTTATTTATTCATTCATAATTTGGATTTTAAACTTAATTTCAATTAGTGTATTACCTAACCACATTATTGATCCACATTTCTATTTTCAAAAAATTATATTAAATGTAAAAGAATATCTTTTTTTATCAAAAGTAACAAAGTCCTTTTTTTAAATTTGTATTTTCTTCATATCTTAGACATAAAATCATATATTTTTTGTATAAAACTTTAAAAATATAATATAAAATATTCTATAGTATTAATTAGAATGATTGTTGAATTATTTATTAAAATGTAGGAATTATTTATAAAATTCTAAATAAATTAAAAAAAATAAATTTTTAAATATATTGAATTATATTGCAAGCAAAAATTTCTTATACATTTTCTTAATTGCTGCGTTAATAAAATTTAGTTTTATTAATTTAATTTACTAAAGGAAATTTATATCTTTGAAGACAAAACAGGGATAGGAGTTGAAAAGATAATTTAGTTTTTAATTTATCGTAAGTATTTTCTATTTTGTAAAATAATTTTATAGATATAAAGAATAAGCAAAGTAAAGAATAAATTCATTACTATTTTAAGAAATCAATCATTTAAGGACTTGCTTTGTTATTCGATGATTTCAATTAAATTATTGAATTTAAATGACACAATATTTAGATAATGTACAAGAAATTATACAATAATAGAAGTAAAATTAGTAGGAGAATGAGTAATAATATAAGTAGGTATAGCAACTACTCCCACCAGTAAAATAATGACGAAAAAATAATTAAGCTTATCAATTAAAATAAAAAGAAAGATACTCGATATAATTGAATAATAATAACTTGACAAACTATCATTATTAATAAATACGCACTTTTTATCTGATTAGATAGGACTATGTTCTTGTATCTCTACTCTTTCAATAAATTAAAAATTTTTATTTCTATCAAACAAAAACGTAGAGTATTCCAAAGATACTCCTATAATTAATTAATAAATCAAAAATTAAAAATTTAATAGATCACTAAAAAATATACCAAATGGATACCCATCATACAATTGTTCATAAGGAACCCATCACTGTTTAAGTTGTTCAAACCAAGCCTTTTGCTGGTTAGAAACCTGGTACTTCTGGACTTCGTAAAAAGGTAAATTCAAATAAGCATAATATATTAACTTAGTCATAGCTATTTCATTTACTCAGCTATTTTATTCATGACCCAATTAATTGCATTAAAATAGGTTAGTGTTGTTAAGGAGGCTCATTACTTAGAAAATTTCGTAAGCTCAGTCTTTAAAACCATTCCCAGCGAAGAATTTACAAGTAAATAATATTTGTTTTAGCTTAAATATAGATATTCATGCCTATTTATGTATAATTAGAGGAAAACATCTTGGTTGTTGGTGGTGATGGCAGATATTTCAACAAAGAAGCCATCGATATCATCATTAAAATTGCTGCTGCAGAAGGTGTTGATCACATTCACGTCGCTCATACTGGTTTAATGTCCACTCCTGCTGTCTCTGCTTACGTCAGACATTTGAATCTCGACTTGAAGCTTAACTGCATTGGTGCTTTTATCTTAACTGCTTCTCACAATCCTGGTGGTCCAACTAACGATTTTGGTATCAAATTCAATGTTAGAAATGGTGGTCCAGCTCTTGAAGACTTCACTAACACCATCTACAAGCACACTACTGAAATAACTTCTTACAAGATTGCTCATGGTGAAATAAAGGTAAAATCTTCATGAAATTCTTCATTTAATAATTCCCTAATCTCCAAACAAATGATCAGAAATCTTATATAAAATAACCAAAAATGATAAAAGGTTAAAGTAAATAAAACAGATTATCACATTTAATAAGAAGGCTAATAGAATATTACAATAAGAACTATTAATATAATTTAAATAAATTATTTTCAAATAAATCAATTAATTAACATTTTTTAAATTTTACTAGTATGATTTACACAAGATATAAGAGTACGTTTTCGAAAATGTAGAAAGAGAATCAAAGAGACCTAAATTCACTATCAAGGTTGTAGACTCAACTGAAAATTACATTAATTTAATGAAAACCCTCTTCGACTTTGATAAATTGAAGAAACTTTTCTAAAGAAAGGACTTCTAGTTCCGTTTCGATGGCATGCATGGTGTCGCTGGACCTTATGCTCATAAAATCTTCCATGAAATTCTTGGTGCTCACACTGATAATTTGATTAACTGTAACCCTAAAGAAGACTTTGGTGGTGGTCATCCCGATCCTAACCTCACCTATGCTGAGCATCTTGTTAAAATTATGGATGTCCACAACATGGTAATAAAATTATTTGAATTTTTAATTAAAAAATTTGAAAAGCTAGATCAGAAAATAAATAGATATAGTAGTAGAACTAATTTATTAAATTTTAATATTAGCTATTTAGTTTGTAAGCAAGCAAGGATAGGATATTAATAATTTTTTAATAGTCCTTTGATATTTAATTAAAAAAGCTTAAATTTTAAAATAAAAAGCTTAATAAAATAAAAGCAATACCCTATTCTAAATAAAAATTTTATTAAAAAAAGATTAATACTATTGCAGAAAGAATTCCCAATTTTGGTGCTGCATGTGATGGTGATGCTGATAGAAATATGATCTTAGGAAGACGTTTCTTTGTTACTCCTAGTGATTCTGTTGCTGTCTTGGCTGCTAATGCTAGCTCCGTATTTGGTAAGAATGGACATCTTTTAGGTGTTGCCCGTTCCATGCCTACATCTGGTGCTCTTGATAAGGTAGCTGCCAAGCTTGGAATCAAAAACCTTTATGAAACTCCCACTGGATGGAAGTTCTTTGGTAACTTGATGGATGCTGGAAAAATTAATATTTGCGGAGAAGAAAGCTTTGGTACTGGTTCTAATCACATTAGAGAAAAGGTATTTAACTTTTTAATATAAATTAATTTTAATCTTCTAATTAATTATTTTGATAGGATGGTATTTGGGCTATTTTAGCATGGTTGAGCGTTATTGCTGACAGAAACGTAGACAAAACTTAAGAAGGTCATCTTATCGGAGTTTAATAAATAGTCGAAGAATTCTGGAAGACTTATGGAAGAAACTACTATTCTAGATACGATTATGAAGGAGTTGATGCCGATGCTGCCAATAAAGTTATGGCTCATCTTGAAACCCAATTCAAGCACTTCGAAGTAATAAATAACAATAATTTACTTTGAAATGTTTAAAAATCTAAATGAATTAAAGATTAAATTCATTTCGATTAATTAACTATTTTTCACGATAAAAATTGCTTAACTTATCAATTTTAATTTATTAATAGGAATTATAGAAAGGTAATGTTGCTGATATTTTCAACTATACTGATCCTGTTGATGGATCTGTTAGCAAGAACTAAGGTATTAGATTTATCTACGCCGATGGTTCTAGAATCATTTTCAGATTAAGTGGTACTGGTTCTGAAGGAGCTACAATTAGAATTTACTTTGAAAAGTATGAAGCTACTGATATTGATCAAAGAACTGATTTAGCCTTAGAAGAAATAATAAATTTAGGTCTCTAACTTTCTAAGATTTCTGAATTCACTGGAAGAAATGAACCTACTGTTATCACATGATTGATTTTCCAATAATTAAATTGATTGAATATTTATTAAATATTTTAAATATATTTTTGCATATTGAGTAATATCCATTTTAAAGATTTACTAATAATTTGCTACTTCAAAATGTATTAATTTATATTTTATTTATTAAAATAAAAAATATTTTAACAAAAAAACATTTTTAGGATTTTTTTAAAAATATTCATTTCCACCTAACATTCCTAACGGAAAGAATAATCTTTATGCAAATTTTCTTTTCAATTTTATAATTCTGAATAAAATAATTTATTGAGCCATTTCTGAAAAACATTTAAATAATTTGAAAGTGAATGAAAGTGAGAAGATATTTAATTTTAGAGAGTGAGTGGTACTGGATTAAGAACAAATTTCTAGATAATATGAAATTAACTTATTTATTTAATGGTAAATAAATAAATATTAAACGAAATATTTAATTAATAAAAATAATATTGAGATTGAGGCGCAAAGAAATAGACCTAGTTTCAGAATGAATTTATTTAGAAAAATTGATTAAGATTCAGATATTTATTAATTTATTATTAAGTAGTTAGGGACAAAATGAATGGTTTTTAAAAATGTAAATTATTTAAAGAATTAAATATTTATCAAAAAAAATATAGTTTTATAATTACACAAATGCCATATTAAACAAACTATGAGATCATGAATTTATTTAAAAAATTATCTAGTTTGATAACTTGATAAAAAGAGGTTTACAAGTAGGAGATAATAGTAAGGCGCATCCAGACAACTCTTAAAAAATTAGTAGTAAAAATAAATATACTTTTAGTGAATCATGGTAATGAAAGATAAGTATTTTTAATTGAATTCGGTAAAGTTATCAACGATAATTAGATAGTCATTGAAACTCCACAGCTTATTAATATATGGTTGTATATTTAATTATTTTTTTTTATGAATAAATGAATATATGTGTGTATGCATGCCCCTCTCTGTGTTTTATATGAAATTCTGAAATTAAAAATATTATGCATAAACCTCAAAAAAAAAATTAATAATAAGAATAATTTGTATAATTATCAACGTATCATAATAAGAGTAATTTCAAATTAACTTAATATTTAAGTAGGTATTTTAGAAATCTCTAAAACGTTGATAGAGTTTAAATTACTAAAGACTATAAGCTTTGAAGCAAGCGAGCTATATTTTACACTAAGTAGGGTTTATATTTAGGTTAGCAGTGATAATAATAATAATTATAAATTGAGCAGTCAGTTAAAGCAAAAGCAAATCATCCATTTAGCAGAATTGCAAAAAGTTTACGATTAAAAAATGATAATGATGGATAGATAAAAATTAAAAAATGCTGCAGGCGTGGGAGGAGTAGGTCCTATAATAGGAGGACCTCTTACTTCAAATTTAGTTATGCCTTTTGAAAGTCAAAGTCCATATATACCGCAATCATTGTATGCATAAGCTTAGCAACGTCCTAATACATCTATGAATAGTAAGGACTCTTTACTTTTTACTTAGCTATTTTTCTTTGTTTTTTATCATTCATTTCACACAAAATTAGCAGATATATACATACATACATATATTAATCAGTCAGCCAATCAATCAATATTTAAGCTTGAAATTTTAAAGAAACAACAAAAAAGAGCAATACCAAAATTGAAATAAATGGAAATCCTAAATTAAATAAACTTGATCACTCTCATAAAAAATGTCTTATAATGTTTTATATTTTTATTAAATAGCTCATAGCTCCAGATTTTATCAGAGTAGTAGAAAAAATAGTTAAAATACAATTATGAGCAGAAGAGGCTCTAACAATCCAAGAAGCGATTTAAAATTGTTACTCCAACAAGACCCAAATTTAGTTATTTTAAATGACTCTAAACTTCAAGCGTAACAGCATTTATACAGACCTCTCAGACAATCTTATTTGGAAGCTTAGGGTTAATCTTTGGCTATTAAAAAATTTAGTAAAATTATTATTTCTTTTTCATATATTTAAAAGCAAATAAAAATATTCACTTTATTTGCAACAAACACTTTAAAATAAAAGTATAATTTTGTTTTTAAATAGTTGTAAATAGTTCAACCAAGCGTGCCAATACTTCTTTGAATCATAGTAAAACAAGATTGTAGACAGAATCATCAGCTTAAAATGCATTAAAATAAATTTAAAATTCACCAAGTCCTTTCAGATAAAAAAATTCTTAGGCAATAGTAGCATAAAATAATAGCAATACATATTTCCAGCCAAACACAGCCAATTTAAATTTATAAAACTAATTCGCATCGTATGGATCAAGGGCAAATAGTCCTGCTCCTATGCAACGCAGCAAATACTATAACTACTTAAATTAAAAATCAAATGGGAATAACACAAGCAATAATAACAACAACTATACTTAAAAGTCAATTGGAATTTCATAAGAAATGGAAGTTAACTTATAAAATTCAAACAACAATAGTGGGTATCCTTCTCGATACTATAATAATGTAATTTCTACGGGAGTATCACCTGAGAGAATAGTAAATCATGTTTAATAGCTATATAGTCGTCCAAGAAGTTCTTCAAATACAAAGCATAGCCTTTACCCTCATAGAACTCAAGCTAGCTCTCCAAATAATAATGACTTAAGAAGTGTACCTTTAGGTCATTACCATCATCAACAAGTTTTTAAAACAGAAAATGATTAAAATCCACTAAACAATTCATCTGGAAATGCATTTACAAACTAAACTTAAGCTAATAATGCTATTGCACCATAAAATGAAGTAAAAGTACTTAGAGAAATAGATTAAATCATAAAAAAAATACAAAAGAAAAACACAGTTCCTACAAATTAAAATACAGAAACATTACAAAGTTTGAACGATGCTGGAGAAATGAATGAAGCGAATACTGATAAATACTAAGAAGAAGATGAAAACGGAACTAATAATAATTAATAAACAGCTGCATAAAATGAAAATTATAATAATCAGGAATAAGATAATAATGAGCCAAAATCTGCTATTGAAAATTAGACTCCTGTTATTCAGCTAAAAAGTTATTAATCTAGCAATCCTCAACACACACAACCACCAAGATCTCATACTCCTGAAAGTTTATCTAATTCTAACGGTCAGATTGTAAATTCAAGGTAAAACTAAAGAGGGTTGAAAGATATTTCCAATAAAATTCAGTAAGCAAATTATAAAATAAGAAACAACAACTTCTTCAACAATAATCAAGCAACGACTGAGGGGGATTTAGAACTTAGCACTAATTTTTAGAAATAACAAATTTACCGCAACAACAACATAATTCTTTAATAATTGCCAAATTCATAAAACTATTAACAAATTCCTACTTCATCCAATCAGAAGGTTTTAAGTGAAGAAACGCAGTACCTTCATAAATAATATTTATTTTATTAATAACAGTAGCAGATCCTAAAATAGCAATAAATTCAATAAAATATACTAGCCCAGCACAATAACATAGTCCCTTAACCTCAATTTTATTCTAAAAGGAATTCAAACAGCAGCATATAAGAAAAATAATTGCAGCTTTAGATTCAGTAACAGCAATAGCAGTAATTGCAGTAGTAGTAGTAGTAGTAATAATATTAGATCTCGTTGTAGCAGTAATCTAGCTTTTTAGGATTAAGTTCGGGAAGTGTATCATTAGATACATTTGAAATGGGAGCCAAAATTGGCACAGGTTCATATGCTGTAGTAAACTTAGCTATCGATAAAAGAACAAATTAAAAAGTAGCAATAAAAGTGTATGAAAAAGAAAAACTCTAAGACCCACATAAAATGAAAAATGTGAAGAGAGAAGTTTAAATTTTAAGCCATATTTCTCACTTTAATATTATAAAACTTTACTATGTGATTGATGCTCCAACAACAGTAAACAAAAAACTAATTTTTATGACTATTATTTTAAGTTAATATTACAATTCAATCAATAAATTTTTTATTAAAAAACTAGTTAAATTTAGTTATGGAATATATCGGCACTTCATCATTGTACAGCTATCTAAAGGCTAAACCAAATAGAAGATTGCCTGAAAATGATGCTCGCAAAATATTTAGGCAAGTAGTAGAAGGTATTAAATATTTGCATAGTAGAAATATTATCCACAGAGATATAAAACTAGAGAATCTTCTTATAGATGACTATAAAAATGTTAAAATTATTGATTTTGGTTTTGCTGTTTGTGCTCCTAAAGATAAAAAATTAACTTCTTTTTGTGGTACTCCTTCATACATGGCTCCTGAAATAGTGTCTAAAAAAGATTATTATGGTGCTCCTGTAGATGTCTGGACATGTGGTGTTTTGCTTTTTGTACTTTTCTGTGGAGCATTTCCATTTAGAGGTAATAAAAAATAAATATAATTTATTAAATTAATTCAGATAGACAGCATTTAATTCAAATTAAAATATAACAATAATTTTGTATGATATATTTATAGGAAATGATGAAAAAGATCTTTACAAGAAAATTTAAAAATGTCAATTAGAAGTTCCTCCCCATGTTCCACCTGGTGCAAAGCTGCTAATATAAAGAATATTAAAACCTGTACCGAAAGAACGTCCTGATGTTGAAGAAGTAATTTCATATTAATAGTATTAAACTTAAAATGATTCTAACTATCAAAATAGATACTTAAAGATCCTTGGGTTTAATATGGAGGGAGCACATCTTCATCTTCTAATACAAAAGAGACTCTACCAACTTCCTATTCTACAAAGAATTGATTTTAATTAAATTTTCTTTTTTTACATTAACAAACTCACACACTCACTCACCATTTTAAATAAAACCAATTAAAATAATAACAAAATAAGTTGTAAAACATAGTTAAAATCGACTATTAAGAATAAAAATTCAATCGATAACATAATGATGAAATAAATAAATAAATAAATCTAAATAATCCTTAAAATAGATTTAAAGAAAGAAAGAAATTAATTTTTATAAAATGTCTCCATTTATCATTAAATATCAAATTATAATAAAAATAAAAGGCTATTAAAGAAAATTAGAGTTTGATTTGTATATATTTAAATTAAAAAACATCATTTTCTGTTTGTTTCTTTTTTGGCTTATTCTCTTACTTACTTTATTCAGCTTTCAAAATTACATTTTACATAGTATTATTACATAAAAACCTGTAACAATATATGATAGCAATAAATAATAAAAGAATAATATTAAGTTTAATAAATTGTAAAATATAAATTCAATTATTATCATGAAACAGATTTATTTAATCCAAAAATAAATTTGAAGAATAAAAATAACTTTAAAATATCTCCTTTAACTTGTAATACCATAATTTTATAAAAATATAAAGATTATTAAAGAAAATGAAAATGAAAAGTTTATTTCTATTTTTTCATTAATCTCTTACTTATTTTTGCTATATACTTACATATTATTATTTAATTATTTAATTTGATTTTTCATCATTTAAAAATATAGTAAAATAATAAGTAAAAATACAAAAATGTAGTAAAAATAGAAAAAAGAATACAAATTCAAATTAATAAATTTTATTACTCCAGATTGTACAAAAAATAGATTTAAAAAATCATTTTTATTAAATGCCTTAATTAAACTATTAATAACATAATTTAACAAAAATATATGGCTGTGTCATATATGTATCAGAAAAAAAAGAGATTGATCATTAAAAGATATTTAATTTTTTGTTTGTTTTTTTTAGCTTATTCTCTCACTTAATTTCTTGTGATTTCAATCACAATATTATTAATTATGTTATTATTTATTATTTCAGTATCTATTTAAATGATGTAATAAAATATGATAATTATCCAAAAAAAAAATGAAAAATAGCTAAAAATAAACCATAAAGAATATTACAAATTCAATCTAAATATAAATAATTAAAAATAGATTAAAAAAAGATAATTAATTTTTATAAAAAACCTTCTTTAAATTGTTAACTACAATAATTTTATAAAAATATAAGACTGTACTTGAAAAAAGTGTTTGATATGCAAAATAAAATATATTTCTGCTTTTTCTTTTTTGTTTTTTCTTTTAATTTCTTCAGCTTTCAAAATACAATTATTTATTATTTTACAAGTTATTTTTTAATTATTATTTAAAAAATAATTAATAATAATAAAGAGTCTTATCAAATAAAAATTAAAGCAAAAAAGTTGAAATGCAAAATAAATTTAAAGTACTTTTTATGACATTTTTATAATAAAATTACTTATTTCAATCAATTTTAAATCAAAACAAATTTGTAGTTTGTTTTGCAATAATAAAGAACTTCTATTTGATAACAAAAAAGTTTTTTATTAAATATATAAATTTCAGACACTAAAAAAAGATTGATTGATTAATTTATTAGTTTATAAAGTAGAAGTATAGCAAAACAATAAAAATATAACTAGTCTAAAATTGATAAATGATCAAATCAGCTAGAAATCCATTATTAAACTCATCTTCATTACAGTCAGCATCTAATCGGTAGAGTGAAGAAAAAACCAATCAATTAGAATAAAACTATGATGGCTCTGAAAACAAAAAAGAGTAAAAAAAGAGCTTATTTGATAATCAGAACTCTACATAACAAAGCAACCAGAATTCAATATCATCATCCAGCACTATTCAAGCAAAAGATCAGCAAGATGAAGAAGAACCAATTGCAAAGGAAAAAGGATTTTTCAACTATTTCGAAGCATATTATCATGGTAAGAATGGAGAAACTATATTTAAGAACTATTTTTAGCCATAAGTTTTTGCTAATGAAATGAAAAAAAATAAACTAAAAATATCAGATTTAACTATAACAAAATACAATAGCTCTATCATTTAAAGAGAAGAAGATAAAAATGGATATTCATATTTTAACGAAAATATGAATAATTCTGCTTTTTTAAAGTCAGTTGGATGTCTTAAAGTTAACTTTACTCCTATTTTCAGTCTACCAAGAATATAATATTAAGAGCTAGATAAAGACCATAATTAAAATGAAGGTGACCTTAAAACAAGGAAATTTATTACATAAGGAATAGAAAAGAATAGTAGTGGATTTGTTTCATTTGATAAGATTAAAGATATGAATGAAATTTTACTTTCAACTATTGAGAAAGACTTTTAAGAATAGTATAAAAGTTAATCTAGCACAACAAATTTGTTAAAATTGTCTAAAGATCTCTTTTTAAGTAAAAGTGATTCTAAAGAAGTACAATCAAATTACAATAGCACAAGGAGTTTTATGGAAAAATCATTTAATCAAATAGGTGATAAGAGCTATATAAAAAATAGTTATTATTCTAATAAATAAAAGCTTAAATACACCCTTTAGCATAATAAATTTCATGTATAATTCTTTAAAAATATATTTATTTATTTATTAATTAATCTATCTATCTATTTTTCACAATTAATTTACTTAAGTAGCATAATATCATTAAATAAGTAAGTAAGCAGTTTAATAAAATTTCTTTTAATTATTAATCGCTAACAAACAACCAATATTTACAACTTATTAAAAATTTTAGGGTTATCCAAATTATGGGAAATTTATTAAATAAATAAATAAATAAATATAAGTGAGTTACTTACTTACTATTATTAGTCATATTTTCTTTGCTATATTGCTTTAATTAAAATTTATTTTGAAAATAATTTTATTATTTAACTTAATTAAAAAAGGAAAATTAATTGAAAATGTTTGACATGAATGAACAAATGAAAAGTATTTAAAGACTATAAAATATTATTGAATAATAATAGTAAATTATTATGAAACAGTAATACAGAAAATATCCTTCATCTCACATCACCTAAAATCAAAAAAACCAATTTTTAATATAAGATATTAGTTAATAAATATAAGATCGATAAGAAACAGATAGAAATTATGACACTATTTAAGTTAATCAGAAACCAGGTAATAACTAAAATAAAGATATGTTAGGCGAATCTTTAAGATCTTTTAGAAGTATTTTCTCTATTAGAGGCTCAATAGCCTCACCTGAAAGTCCATCATCTCCAAAAAGAATTAGCATCATGAAAAGTATTAGTAAAAATTAAACAAAAAATCAATCACCAAAGAGTAAGATTAAAAAGAATCTTGCAAACCTGATTCCTTGCTACATGTATTTATTTAAGATAATTTAATTTATTTTAAAATTAAACAAAATTAATTTTATAGATTAAGGAATGAAGAGGTTAAATGGAAACCAGAAGTTAGAGAGCTATTTAAAATAGCTTTCAATGGAGCTACTATTTATATGTATGGAGGTTGTGCTAGTAAGCCTATGAGCGATCTTTGCACTTATGATGTTTGTAAATTATTTTTTACTTTTAAAGTAAAACTCTTATATATTTTTCAAATAGCTTAAGTCTTACTATTTGAATATTTAATTATTTTATGCTCAAATTCTATAAATCTATAAATAAATTTTTTATCAAATTTTGTTTGAAAAAATATTTTATAGTGTTTTTTAAAGAGAAATTACATTAAACAATACGTTTTATTATTAATTTAAGAAACTAATCATTGGAGTCTTGTTGATAAGTTACCAGCAGAAGAAGGAAGATACAATCACATGATGGCGATGTACAAAAAAAATTTAATCGTTTTCGGCGGAGAAAAATTAGATGCATAATATGAGCAAAAGCAAAAAGTATATTAAAATGATACAAGGATTTTCAATACTGGTAATTAAGATGAGAAATAAACAAAAAAATTTAAATTACAAATTTTTAAATGAAATAATATAGAAAAAAATGAATGGAAGTATTTGAGACCAAGTGGAGATATCATAGAACCAAGGAGAAATTCTGCATGTTGTGTTGTAGGTAGATATTTTATTATCTAAGGTGGACTAAATTAAAAAGGAGTTTTTTTAAATGACTTGTGCATTTTGGATATTGGTAAGTTATTGTTAAAATTATTTATGTTTTGATTTTATTTTTTAAATTAATTAAGCAAACTAAAGATGGAGCTTTGACTTGCACGAAGATAGATACAGTTATATGTTATAGGGTAGAGCTTTTCATAAAGCATGTCCTGTCTATCATCCTGATAAAAAGCATATAGATTTATTCAAGGATTCAACAGAAAAAATGTCAGAAAAATAATTAAATGAAGTAAGTTGTTTAAAAATTTTTTTTACTTTAAATAAATTGGTTCTAGGTAAAGCATGAAGGAATATATTTTTTTGGAGGCTAATTATAAAATGGAGAGGCAAGTAATTAGCTCTCTATTTTAGTCACAAGCACAAGACCTATGCACTTTATATAACCATAGACTATTGGTAAGAAGCCAGGTAAAAAATCAAAAATTTATTCTTAAAAGTAATCTAAATGGTAAAATAATTTAATAATTTTTAGAGCCCAGGTATAATCATAGCTTGACTTATAACTCGAAATTAAAAATACTAGTAGTTTACGGAGGTATGAACGAAAATCTTTAAAACGACCAAACTTTCTACGATGACCTCTTTATTTTATAGCTAAATGATTTATAATGGTTTGAATGTGCAACAGTTGGTTTTGGGCTGTAAATAATCTTTATAAAATTATAATTTATTTATTTTTTAATTTGATTAAAATAACTAGATAAAATAGAGCTAATCACGAAGCTGTCTGTTTCGATACATAACTATTGATTTTTGGTGGAATAGGAGAGTAAGGATTTTACTCTTTTGAAGTTTTAAAAATAGAACTAGGTAAATAACTTTTTTAAAATATTTAAATTATTTAAATTAATTTATTGATGTTAATACAAACTAAAAGATAAATACAAATCAAGAAAATACATTATAGAGCACTAAATGAATGAAAAATAAAGAGAAATCTAAGCTTTAAAAAAGGCAAAAACAATAAAAGGTAACCTAAATACTTCATCAATTAAGAGATAAGAAAAAGTAAAGGAACACGAAGAATTTATAAAGAACCTCTAACTAGAATAGGCAGAAATAAAGAATAAAGTTGATAAACTTAACTTTAAAAATTACAAGTCTTTTATGCCTTTGCCTATTATATTTACCAGAAAAAAAGAAATCTCTATGCATAAATAAGATGATAGTGTAAAAATAAAATAAAAAATTAATTAATAATTTAAGTTATTTTTTATATAAATTTAGTTAAAGAAGGATAAACTTGATTTAGACATTTAGGATCATGTAGAATCAGATAGGAAAATTAATGATCAAATGTTAAAATCTTGTTCTCCCAGCCCAACTACATCTAGAAAAGGTTTAGGAACTCCTAAAATTGGGCATTCTTCTTCCCTACAGATTTAAGAATAAAAGTTGAATTCAAAATTTACTGATTCATAAAATCTAAAAAGAATGTAGTAATTTGTTTTTGATATTATTATCTTTAATCAATTAATTAATTATTTTTTATGCTTCTATTAAAAAAGGAATTCTTCTTATAAGGCAAATAATAATACATAGGATTTTACAAGTTAAGTTGTAAAAATAAAATGAATATAATGATGCTTTTTGTTAATTTTATATTACATGTTTTATTTTTTTAAAATATTTATAATTTGTGTAACAAAAATTTCATTTAATTCAAAGGAAATTTCAAAATAGATATTATAATAACAATTATTTCTTATAAAAAATAAATAATATTTAAAATTTCTAAAAACTTTATTAATTAATTTATCTCTAACTAAATTAGTTTTCATTTTACTCCTACTTTTGTATTGTTATTAAATAGTAAATATTTTTATGTGTCATTAATAAAATATAAATAATTAATTAATATATCTATAAATTGTTTAAATTTATTTTTAAAAATCAGATTTTTTATAAAAATTTTTTATTATTATGAAAACCCCTTTAAAAAAAATAAATATAATTTTTTTACATACTTTCTCTTTTTTTTCTTATAATTCATTAAAATTTTGCAAATTTTGTACATTATAATTTTAATGAAAAATAAATAGCAGAATGTTGGAGATATAGCATAAGTTAATATGTGCACTACTTATTTCCATCAAAATTTATAAATATGAATACCACATTTATAATCTTAATTTGTATTTCAAAATATATTTATAATGAGTAATCAATCTGTAATAAAGATTTAAATATATTTATATAAAGCAATTGGTAAAGATATTTTCATCGCTGTATAAACATCAAAATTAATATATGAAGTTAGTAAAATTAGATATTAAAAATAGTCTTACACTTACTTATTTATTCAAATGAATTGTTTAATTTTTATAAACTGATAAACAGATATCAACCAATAAATTAATAATTAAAAAAAAGAAAATTAAATTTATGTTTTAATAGATTTAATTATCTATTAATAAAAATTAACTAATTTGGATTAATAACTTTTATCATATTAGTTTTTATTTATATTTAATTTATGAATAATAAATACTTTGAAAAGAATATATTCAATTAGTTATTGTTTATTTAATTAAGTGTTAAGGATTTTAAGTATATTATTTGATAAAGCTATACATAAATTATAGATTTTAGTGTAAAAAATTAAGAGTTAATATTAAATTACTAGAATTTTTATTCAATAAGAATAATATTTTAATATAATAATTATTTAAATTTAAATAAATTTATTCCTTCCTCTTCGTGCTTGTTTTATTATTTATTTATTTATTTGGTTGTTTGTTTGTTTCAAATTTTTAATAAGCTTTAGCATATCATTAAACATTTTGAATTTGGTTTATTTTATATTTATGGTTAAATTTATTTTGATGAGGCTAAATAGCTTTTATCAATCACCATAAAAAATCAAAATAAAAATTAAATTAAATCAATTGATTTTTTTGATGCTCAACTATGCTAATTCATTCTCAATTTTGTAATAAGATTAAATTAATTCTATTTTCGCTAAGTATTTTTCAACACATTCATTGTACATATTTTAGGGTCTAGTTATCACTAAATTTTTGCATTAAAAGGGATATTTATTTATAGGTTTGACTCTTTATTTAATTATTATATTAACAAACAGATTGTTACATGTAATTTTGATTGGCTAAAGAGAGAAGAGGAAGTGAGGGAATATTAAATTATTATTTATTAATTTTTATTTATATTTATTTAATAATAAACGATCAAATAATTAATTAAATTATGAGAAAGATAAGAAGAGTGTATGTGTTTCTGTCTCATTTAAGTTTGAGTTATGGATCATTGAATAGTTCTTCAATGTTTAGTTATTAAAGTTAATCTTTAGGTAAGTATATTAAAAGTATAATTTAAAAAGAATGTTGTTTGGTTTGAAAGAATTATTATTTATCTTTCTATCTATCACTCATATTTTTTATTCAGCTTGGAAGTGTCTTTGAGAGAATTTGAAGCTGCAACAGCTGCTGCCTACAATAAAAGTGATTCTATTGATGATTCAAAACTATTTTATTGGGTTTATTGCTATTGCTAGGGCATTAAAACTGACTATAATGATGCCTACAGAGTGGCTAATTATATTAAAGGGTTATTAAGTATCGAAGTTTATTAGGCAACCATGCTGCTTAAAATTTAAGTCAATACAAGCTATTGAGCGCTTTCATCTAATAAATTATGTTGGTTGTTGCTGGAACTTTTATTGTTGTTGTTATTATTATTATTATTATTACTATAATTATTATTGTTAAAGGTAGTATTAACCTAGTTGAGTAGGAAATTATTATTAGCTTTATTGAGTTTGGAGGTGTTTTATTGGGTATTTAATTAATTATTATATTGGACAGATGCCTAAAATTATTTGTTTTAGTTTTCATTGAAATTAAGAGAGTTCTATTTACTCAGACTTAAATTATTATTAATTAATAAAGATTATGTATTAAAAGAATTAGTATTATTATTGTTGTTTGGAGTACTATTTTGTGATTAGAGTGATAATGAGTTTTACTCAGCAAGGAAGAGCTTTTTAGCAGGCTTCTCGCAATTTTCACAACCATTGCACTTGCAATGCTCGCCGCATTATAACCCATCTTAATAGCATTGACAATATTTCTTTAGGCATCCAGATCTGCGGCAATTACAGCCTTTTTTAGAAGCTAATTTCTTTTATGCTTTGAGGCTTAGTTAGGAAGGCTCTTCAATTTCAATATCTTTAACATTGAAGGCAAAAGGATTTTTTTCTAAAAGCCCCTCAACTATTTTATTTCTAGCTTCTTTATTTGCAACAGTATTGCTGCATTCACAGCAGTTACACTCAGCTCCACAAAATTCACCAGCTGCAAAGCAATCGCAGTATAACTTCAAGCATTTTGTCTTCTTACAATTACAAATTCTAGTCTTCTTATTTGAGCCATTACCTTAATTTTCTCCTATTTACATGAGGAGTTTTTATTATTACTGACTTAAAGATTATTTATGGGGCTTTCCTTCAGCTGATTATTACTCCATATCTTCCTCATCATCATCACCTTCTTCTTCGTCTGATTAGTTCTCATTAGATTGATCCTCCTTTTGATTGTTAACTTCCTGTTATGAAGGAAGTGGAGAATCACCTTTTTTATTTGAATCTTCTTAATTGGTATCTGTAAGACTTTCCTTTTGAGAATCACTTTTATTAAAATCTATTTGATTGCTTTACTATTCTTCTAATGATTATGAGCTCTTTTTGCTTTTCTTTTAGCGCTTTTTACCTTCGACTTTAGATTTTTTTTGAATTATTTTTACTTCTTCGACTTATTCTTGCTGTAAATTAACTAATGAAGCTGATATTTGAGATTTATTTTAATCATTAGAGCACTCTGATTCCATTTCTTCTGTTTTTTATTCATTTAGATTTTAGGAGCTAACCTATGATTTCTTTTGAACTTTTCTCTTTTTTACTACACAAGGAGAGGTAGCTTCTTCCTACTCTTCTGCGATTGGTTTCTAAGCAGCTTAAAGACATGGACTATTCTTGTTTAACAACTAATTATTAAAATTTGTAGCTCCAGATAGTAAGTTTTGATTGTTATTGCACTCAGTTTAAGAAAAAAATTAGAATAATGGTGAAGAATTAGAAGCAATAGATTATTCATTCATTTAATTTCCTATTGTTGAAGAAGAAAGAGGTGTGCTCTACGATTGCTATGACAGCTCTAATTGCAATTAATGCTATAATTCTTTCATAAGTTAATATGATAAAGTTGCATTTGACATATTTTCTTTTTCATAATCTTAAGTAGTCTATTACAAATCTGTTTTCTTAGAAGTGTTGTTCAATAAACTTGAGAACGATAATAAATTCTATAAACCAGCAAGAGGTGTTGATGCTTATGAGGAAGTTCTCTTAACTGCTACAGGTTTTATGATATTACTGCCAGTGCTATTTAAAGGAGATACAGGCTTAAAAGAAGTTGAAAATCCCTTTGAAAAGCATGTCTAAATTTTCAAAATAAAATATTAATATATTTAGTAAGTATATGCTAAACTCTTAAGTATGTATATATGCAGGTAATTTGGGATGTGAAATTTTATGAAATGTATCAGGAGAAAAATAAAAAAATGAAAGGTAAAAGTATGAAAAAATTAATTTGCTCTTGTTAAAAATGCAGAGTAAATTAAGATAGCTTGGTTTGTAAAAGAAATAGGAAATATGTTATGTATATTTATATTGATTGATTGCATGGTAAACTGAAAAAAATTAAAGAAGCAAACTAAAAAAGAAAGACAGTGTTAGTGTTTATTTAGTGTTTGTTTAAGATAAAATTTGAATGAAATCAAAATTTTAAGATCTTTAAACCGTCAGTTTAGAATTATATGGAAAATGCATGTAAATTCCAATGATAGTTAAGAGATTAAAATTAAGAAGAAAATTTAAGAGATGTTGGATATCAAATTTTTGCATAAATGAAGAATGATAAATACATTTAAATCAGCTGAGCGAAGTATGGGAATGCTCTCTACTTAGAAGAGATTGCTAACGGTATTTTAAGTGCTGCTATTCGCTTGAGAGTTTTAAATGCTATTGTTCATCTTGAAAAAAGGAAGAATGTAGTTGTAAAACTAACTTTCTTTTTATGTTTTGTTTTTTACTTTTTTACTTTTTTTTATTTATATTATTTGCGCCTGTGCTTTTATCTTTCGAAATTTTTAAAATTTTTAATCGTATTTTGTGTGTTTGATTGATTGATCACTTTTTTAATAATTTGTTTGTTTGTTTTTTAATTTTTCTTGTTAGATTAATTTTATTTGATTTGAAAAGTATTAAAAATTAAAAGAATATAAGGTCTATGCCAATATTTATTAATAAAGCAATATCAAAAATCACATCTAAATAAGGAAAATAATACATAAATAATGTAAATCATAAAATTAACGAATAAAACCTAAAGAAATTAAAAATTATTAACAGTCCATGTATTTTGAAGAATTTGCATTCAATTCCTATCAAATTGATAGTCATTTTCTTATTTTACTTGATATCATTAATTAATCGATCGAATTTGTTTTTCCCCATCAAATAAAATACAAATAAATAAATAAAAACAATCAAATACATTTTTATGATTGCTTTTAAAAATATTATTTTTAATAAAAATTTTTAAACACATTAGATAGATTTATTATTTAATCAAATCACACTTTATTTCAACCTAATTTTCAAATTTTTAAAAAGACTTAAAAAACAAAAAAACACGATTTTCCTCACTCACATATTCAAATTCATTCATTTAAAAATGTTACTTTTAAATAAAAACAAAAAATAAAAAGAAAGCATTAAAAATTCGCTTAAACTAAGATAATTCAAATATTTCTTTTGAAAATTTTTTTGTTTGCTTGCTTGCTAAATTCCTTTCTTCTACTTTCTTTTTCAAACATTTTTTACAATCAAAAATTAAAAACACAATTTTATTTATTTTCAAAAATTTAAACCATGCTTTCAGTCTGTCAGTCAGCCAATCTGTATATATCTTTATAATTTAATATACTCATTCCATTTTTTTATTCATACAATATACAATAATACCTATTTCCTTACATAGAGATTATATTATTTTATTTGTCAATAAAATTGATGAACTAAATATTAGTTTTGATGAACTCGAGAAGAAGGAAGATCATTTAACTTTTAATAAGCTTGTTTGGTTGCATAACTCTATTTTATAGTTTTAAATAAATTGAACAAATGAGCTCTATAGAAAGAGAATCTTAAGAGTTTCTTAATTAATTTTTTTGAAATATCCAGAGATATTTGAAAATTGTCAAGAAATAAATTTATTTGAATGCTTTTTGGCTAACTATTTTCAAATGTATCTTTTAAGTTACTTATTCACACTGGTTTACTAAAAATTCAAATAAACAAATAGAAAATCCGCAAATTATATTAAATTTCTTTATTAATTTTTGAATTAGCTTATTTCCAATAATTAATTGCATTACTATAATTCACAATTTTAAATTTAGGATTTAAAATCTATTAGTTTTAAACTATAAAAGCTTTAAAAAATATGTACTAGTTAGATTTTAAGTTTAAAATTAAAGCAATTTCCTTATTGAAAAAAAGGAAAATAGAAATCTGAATTAAATTAAAAAAAGCAACTTAAGATAGAAAATCAACACTCTAATTCTTCCAAATACTTTTGCAAATGTAAAAGAAAAAATATCTTAATTAATAATTTTACCTTTTCTAACTGAATTCTTCTTTTTCAAATACAAAAAAGATAGCAGGAGTACAGCTCCCTAATAAAAATACATACAAACAACCAATCAATCTGTAACATGAAATAAATTTACATGAATAAATTTCCAACAAATAAATAAACATTTATTAATAATTTTAAAATTCAATCAAAAATTTATCTAAAATATGAATGCCAGTATAACCAATTTTAATTATCAAAATGTTATGTTTAAAATTTGAAAAATTGGTATAGTCTTAATAAGGAAGTTTTTAGTGCTACCTACTATTTTTAATTTATTTTAGTATTTACATTAATACACTGTAATTAAAACGTTAGAAATTTTTCATTTAAATACTTAATTACATTATTTGGTTTAAATACCATCAAATATTTTTTTATTTACCAGATGATTATTTTAAATTCAAAGATCGTTAGAAATAAACTAAATTTGAAAATCTTCACATTAAATTTTGATTATTTGGTAATTGATCTACTTTTATTAGAATCTCCTATTTATATTATATTTATAATTTATTTCGCGCAAATTTTATAATGATCAATCAGCTGAGTATCAGTAATCTCTATTTTAATAATTACTTATAACATCTATCACGAAAAATAAGTAAATTTTAACTGCCATTTTAAATTTTCTTAAATTTAAGATAGCTTTATTGCTTTTCTTTTTCGAATATCAAAATTGTTTAGAAATAAATTTTATTTAAAATAGAAAAATATTAAACTGCTAATATTTAGAGCATATTTTCTTTTTTAAAAGGATTCTATTGCATTCAAAACAGAGTTAAATTGAATAAGCCATGCAAAAAATAAAATTATTTTCTTCAGAATTTAAAAAGCATTTGTGACTTGGTTATTATAAATACTTTATATAAATTGGTTTAAATAGTATATACGTTAATTCAAAATAATAAACTTTTACTGGAAAAATAATTATTGTCTATGTGGAGGAACAAGGAATAAATAAAAGTAAATAAATAAATATCATCAATGAAGTAATTGAAATAAATTTTAATTATAAATTGAAATTTAAAATAAAATTAACAAAATTTTCCAAAAAATAATATTAATAAAATATACTTAAAATATTTCTAATTATAATGCTTGTACATTAATAATTTTGTTTTAAATAAAATAAAATCAGATTAGAATATATTTAAAACCTCAATTAATTCTTTTTATAGTTTAATAATTTTAAATCTAATAGAAAGTAGTGAATTTAAATTCTTAAAATCTTTTATTAAAAAACAATCTTAATTTTCTAAGTGAAATGCTTAGATATTTATTTATTTTAAAATTTTTATTTTACTTATTAAAAGCAATTATTTTAAGTGAGAATATTATATTTTAATATTATGAAAACCATAATTTTTTATTTTACAAGCTCAAATAATTCATAAAACTAACAAAATTAAATATATAAGTGATTGTTTATGATAAAAATAGTTTCTTTATTAATTATTTGATATACAAAAAAAATACATAATCAAGCGAGAACTACTAATAGTTTGTTCAGACTAGTTCTGTATAAGCAAAACAGTTTTCGCAAAAACAGCCTGAGTTTCTTACTACCCATTTAGCACAAATATTGCTGATGGTAATTTCCGAATTCAGACATTATATTTTTGTTCTTATTAAACATGTTATTGAAGTCATTTTAATATTTTATTTGATAAAAATTAATTATTTTTCATCAAAGTACACTTTTACTACTAATTTATTTTTAAAATATTTAAACATTTTTATGCTTATTAAAAATTTATTTTATGATTTTACAAATTTATTTGATACAAATCATTTATTTTTAAAAGATTTAAACATTTTATTTCTATGAAAAAATAACATTAAGTTCTTTAAATATTATTGTGATAATTTATTTTATTAAAAAACAAATATTTTAACAAAAATAATGCAGTTTTGATTAAAATAAAATGAATATTTAAATTTTGAGAAATTGATTTTTAAATTTTTGAATACTTTTAACGTTTAAGGTTTTTCAATAATAATTTTGGATTTAAATCACATTAGCATCATCAATCTAATATTTATAAATCTTTATTATTATATCTTAAAACCTGATGTTTCTAAACTTTAAATTATTGAAATCAAGAAAATCATCACTGATTATTTGAATTTTAAGAAATAGGAATAAAAATGGGTTAATTAGAGTCTGTTTTATTAGGAAATAGTGAAGAGGCTTCAAGCAAAAATGTTAATGCAGAATTACAAAGCGAAGATGGATTAATAGAAACTGACAATGAATCAAGATTCAAAAAGATTATGAAAGATTTTACCTTAGCTTAGCATAATTACAAAGATCCATATTTAGGAAACGTTGATGTGTATAAATGTATCCACAACAAAAATTTTCGCATATATTTGAAAGAAATGTTTACTAAAAGCGAGGAAGAACTTAACCAATAAGTTGAAATGTGGGTAAAGCGTTAAAGCTTACTGTTGCACCCAAATTTAATCTAGCTTCATTGTAATATTTTATAAATATTTAGATATAAAATAAGAAATAATCAAAGTTTTAGTGAATATGCATAAAATAATTTTGATTATATTTTGATCATATTGAATAAAATATCAAATTTACATGAGTTACTAGAATTTGCTCATAAATTTTAAAATAAAACAATCTAAATTTACATTTTCTGTAAAATCTATTTTAGATAAGTTTAAAAGTTTAAAGATAGTTAGTTAGTTATACTATTAGATGATATAGACTAATATCAATTATATTTTTATTTTTTATATTTACTAAAACAAACATAATTTATTATAAAATATTTTATAAAATATCATTATCAATAAAATATTAAACATAAACGATTTTTATTAAATAAATTTCTTTTTTGAAAATAAAAATTGCTTTATTGTTTTTATAAATATTGTCTTTTTTAATGTATTTAGCTTGCTGTCATTAAAAGGTTGAGAGCTTTTGTGCTACATTTTTTAAAATTTTCATGCTTTTCGATAGTGTTGAAGCAGACTTACTAAATACTATCAAAAAGGATAGGATTTAAAAGTTTAGTGAAGACGAACTTTGGTTTTTGCTTGACTCAATTGTTGGAGTTTTAGAGTTTATGCAGGAAAGAGATTTAACTCATTAATCTTTGAGACTAGATACGATATATATAAATTCGAACCATAAGAATATCAAACTCTTTAAATTAGCTGATTCTTAGCTTATGGGTTACACTACAAATTATGAAAATCAACTCACATAATTTGATAAATACATCTATCTCTCACCACTTTTATTTACTCAATATGGAAATAATATAGAACATCCTGTTCACAATGAGTATAAAAGCGATGTTTTTACTTTGGGAATGCTTTTAGTTCATCTATCTCTCTTTGAATCATGTGCTGATGTATATTCACTTATTGATCATTCAATAAACTAGCAGGTTCTAAATGATAAATTAAGCAGAATCAGTAATACTTATTCTTCTGACTATTCTCAAATTATTTAAGAGATGTGTATTTTAGATGAAAAATATAGACCTGATTTTAGGTCTCTGGACAGAAAACTGAGCTCTTGTCCTAAATTATTTGGAAGGAGAATATGTGAAATGGTTTAAGTACCTAATTTATATAAAATGAAGCCAGCTTCTTTTATGTCTGACTAAGAAATCGAACAAAAGAAACAAGAAGAGTTAAGAAAGAAATAAGTAAAAGAAGACAAAGAAAAATAGCAAAAAGAGTTAACTGAAAAAGATATCATTATTAAAGCCATTCAGTAACAAGATGCTCTTAATATTTTAAAGGATTCTATTGCTAAAACTTCTTATCTTACTGAATAGCTTTTCAGATAGAGCTAAAGAGCTGAAGTTCAGTTTGCTGTAGATAATATTTTGCTTAATCCTGCAAGCCAAAAAATTAATCCAAACCAAAATTAAATAAGTTAAGTTAACTTTATTGACCAACAGCATCAAATGATGATGCTCAACTAAGGTCTTAATCCTATATCTGGTGGAGTTTATGGAGATAAAACTCTTTAATAGAATAACTAATTGCAGTAGCTTGGTAATTATGAAATACCTTTTACAAACAACTCTCCTACAAAATCTAGACCACTCGCTGCACCTTAAAATGGAAATAATTCTTAAAACATAATTTAATAAAATATGCAGAATAACCTAAATAACCTAGGAGCATAATAGTATTAATCATAATTCTAATCACCTTAGCAAATTAACACTGATCAAGATAATCACCTGATAAATCTCAGTGGAATTAATGCAACTTAAAAAATTGATAATAACAACCTTTCTCCAGGCCAATAAAATGAAGTTATGCTCACTAGCACATCAAAGCAGCTTTTTATAGAAAATCCAGACCTACCAAAAATAATAAATAAGAATCTTATTAAATAAACAATAAAATATAAAAATGGAAATATCTATGAAGGAGATGTTTTAGATGGTAAAAAGCATGGATATGGAGTATTCATTTTTAGCAATCAACAAAAATATGAAGGAGAGTGGTAAAACAACAAGCGTCATGTAAGATCTATCTATCTTTATTATATATTCTCAATCTATTTTTATTTAATAAGTCATGAAATTTTAACGCTTATCAATGATTTTAAAATAAAAAAAGGGTAAAGGAACATAATATTTTTAAAATGGCTCAATTAAATACGAAGGATAGTGGGAAGATGACTAATATCATGGTTTTGGTACATTATTTTATAAAGACCCTAAACCACTAAAAATACCAGAATAGCAAATATAATAGTTTAGTCTTTTAATTTAGTAATAACCAACTCTTTCACAAGCCTAAGTTGAATAATTATAAAAAGAATTTATTATCAAAGTAAAAGAGAGATACTATCAAGATTTATCATAGCTTTAAGATTTTTAAGTAAAATATGAAGGAGATTTCAAATATGGTAAAAAAGATGGCTTTGGAACTATCACTTTTTCGAACAACGATTATTTTGTTGGTCAATTTATTAACAACTAAGCAAACGGAAATGGTAATTATATGTATGAAGATGCTGTTGGTTTTGCTACAGGGGAGTGGAAAAATGATAAATTAATTATGAAGTATTGAAAATTGTATTAATTATTTTTTATAAATGTATATTTAGTTTATTAATAAAAATTGATCTTTTCTCATCGAAAATAAAAGTTAATTAATTTTCATGCAGTTAAAATCAAAAAAAATGGAAATTTATTTAAATATTCAGTTTTATATTAGTGTCTTACTGTGTGTAATTAATTAAAATATGGAAGCATATTTCTATCACTAAACACAAAACAGTTTTCTATTTTAGATAAAAAATTAATTTTATTACATTCTACCTACCTTTTTATTACATATCATCCTTGTTTTTAAAATTACATAAGAATCAGGTTATCTATTATATATCAACATATAATCATAAATGATAAGAAAAATTTAACTGATAAATTTCCAAGCTTTTTATTTTTAGATTATTTTAATATTAATTTGAAACCAATCTAATTTGGATTTACAATTTTAAAATGTTACTAAAATTAAATAAATAAATTGAATTCTAGTTGTTTTTAAAATATTGTTTTCATTATGCTTAATCAGTGTTGAAAATTCTCAATACTTGATATAAAATAAGCAAAATATTAATCATAATTGTGAAAAATTAATAAATGTCAGTGATAAAATATTTTTTTTATTTTTTCTCAATTTAAATCAAGATTTTTTGCTTTTTCTCATAATTTGATCAAATATAAAAATTAACGTACTTTCAAATTTGATTAAATGGATAAATTAATGTATTTTCTGATCAGAATAAATATTTAGAAAAAAAATTCCTTTTCAATTTTTGATTATTTAAAAGTAAAATTTGAAGATTTTCAAAGCATAATAAATCAGATTAGACTCTTGGATAATAATATATTTACCATATGAAAGAAAGTATGGAAATATTAAAAAAACAGTTAAATTAAACATATTTAATAAAAACATATTACAAATTAAAAATTTTTGAACAATTCATAATGAAATGAAATATAATTAAATCCTTGTGTATTTTTAAAAAAATATTAACATTATTTTGAATTAACTTCTTTTATTTATAAAATCTCATTTTAATATTATTAGTTATTTTGCATAGTTGGTTAAAAATTTATAAATAAATTATTCTTTTTTATATCATATAAATATTTTTTATATATTCACAATACAAGATCTATTTTTTGACATAAATATTACTTTTGAAATTAATAAAATTGAAAAGATAATAGCAAAGAATGCTTATAACTAGATAGAGACAAGAAATAAATATAAAGCCTAATAAATACTCCAACATTTTAAGACCAAAAACAAAATAAATATTTTATTTAGTTATTTTATCTGTTAAAACTGAAATATTTTTTATAGATTTAATAATTACTAAAGAGAAAAATAAAAATATTATTTAATATATAAAATTATTTTATAGTATATTTTTACATAATTTATTTTCAATAAAAATTCTTTGTTTCTCTGAAATTAGACAGTTTTTAACTTGAAGCTTTCTCTGCTATGAGAATTGATTATTTCTAAAAATCAATTCCAATATAGTAATCCTAAAAAACAGCTGAGCCAATAGACTAATAGTTTAAATAAGGTAGTTAACTTTAGATTAATAACTAGTATTCACCGCTTGGTAACTATTTGTAAAGTTGATAAGCCTAGAGTGTAATAGCAAAATCATTTCCTTCTACTGTTTTGAATTAAAATTGCAAAGGTTCCAACTTTTCTACAGAAGGTAAATAAATCAAAGGAGACCTGTATTTTGAAGGTTAGTCTATTCTGTATTTAATACCATTTTAATTAAATGTACTAAGGATTTAATTAAGAGCTGCATCATGAAGTACGGTGAAAGGAGAATTAAAGTTAATATGAATAAAGCCATAGAGGTCTAAGTTTTATCCTGAATAAGTAACCTTATTGCAATAAGAGCTATAGTTTCCTAAATCTTAATAACCACTTTAATCCAATTCAACTAAGTTAGATCCTTATTTAACTAAAGACAAATCTGGCTCTCCTATGTCAAGTGTTCCATCAATCGAGTCATCAGCACTATCTTTAGTAGTTATATTCAAGTTAATGTAAGCTACTTGTTTTGAAATTAATTTCTCTTCAAATAATTAGACAAAGGCATTAACTTGATGATTTGTTAGACTTGAAAAGCAAAGTGTTCTACGACCAATATAGTTAAATTCATTAGATGGTATAAATTACAAAGTAGCTTATGTGTTTCCCAGTTAAAACTAAGCAGAGTAATTGGGTCTTTTAGTGTAGTAACTTTCTTCTCCAATATATTTTGCACCACATACATCAGACTAATGTAAGGGATTCGAAATAATATTGTAGCACTCTTAAGTGAATTCAATAAAAAATCAATTTCACAATCTTGAGTTCCGTAACTTGCATTAATATACAAGTCTCCACTATAATACTATCTTAGAGGGACATAATTCTAGCAGCAATTTTCTTTACTCAATAGTTGTTTTATAATCTTTACAATTTTATTAAATTGCAATCAATGTGTTTTTTATAAAAGAAAAAGATAAATTTATTTATTTAAATTTTCAGATTAAATAAACTTCATTTAACAAATATTCTAGATAGAAAATCGAAATATTTTTTTCACTTTTTAATTCTTTTTATTTATTAGAATTTAATAAATAACCTCATTTTTCTTTTTAGTTTCATTTTGTATAATTATGTTGTCTCTTCAACAATATAAACAACATTAACGTTAGAAATTAGTAGCAATTAAATATAATTCATTTTATCAAGAATTTAAATACTATTGTTAGTCTCATTTAAAAACAATTATATTATTAAGATATAATATTTGAATCAATTTTTATTAATTTTTATTGTTAGTATGAAAAGTCTTTAAAAAATAAAATAAAAAATTCAAGTAATACTTTTATGAGTTAATAAAAATTGAAAAATTAATAGAGTAAAAAATGATTAAATAAATTTGCTAATTTCATTTTTTTAACTTGAAATTTTACTTAAAAAAAACAAATTTTATGTATATATATATAATAATTATTTTATAATAGATCTTAAATAGCTAATATTAATCAAATCTAATTATTATTATATAGTTATCCCTTTTCTCCTATGATAACCTAGTGTCTGTCTTAATCGAAAGCAACTTAATAAGATTCAAGAATAGCCTTACCGAAAATAATAGCTGCATTACGTATTTGCTTTTTAAATAGCAATTGGTATTATCCATTAGGTAATTGTTAAGTATAATATTATGGTTATAATCTAACAAAAAATGGTTAATTATTTTCGTCTACCAATGAAAGGGTAATATCTTGAAGCTTCTCAAGGGATGGTAAGAAAACATTATCGTTTTGGTAAGTGTATTCAATTCCTTAGTTTTCAAAAGCTTAAAGGAGACTAGGGAAGGTGAATATGGACAAAATATGGAAAGGAGATTCAATATCGAATTCTGCAACTTAAACATTAGATAAAGGTACATCGCCAAACTTCAAATCTCTATTAGCAGGAGCTGAATAGACATTTTGTAGACCAAAGTCCTTTAAGTAAACTAAATTACTATCTTACTCGATTCTTCCAGCTTAAGCCAAAGTTAAATTTATTAGCAAAAGTGCCAAACAAACACTAGCCAAATTTCTTTTCATTTACTTTTACTTTTATTATTTTTTTTATTCTATTTAATTTTAAATACTTTTCTTTCATTTTTTATTGTTTTTAAATATTTTTTCAATCGATTTAATAGTGATTAAGCATATAAAAGAAATTATGATCACTGATCAGACAAATATTATATTATTCCATTTTACTATAATGATTGATTAAAAATTATTAATTTCCTCCTATAATATTCTCAATGAAAAATCTTTATTTTATATTTATTATATAATATAATTCTAGATATATCAAGGTCGCTTCTTTCTCCTTATTAATATTCCAAAGAACTCTTTATTTTTGAATGAAAATAATATAAAATTATTTAAAGGTGACTACAAATTTGAAGAATCAAAGTAATTTAAAGACGATTAATTTCTTATCAGCATCAATTTACTCAAAAATAAATTTGCACTTATTAAAAATTAAACAAAATGAAAAAATGTGAGATTCTTAAAATTGATTCTGATTCATTACACATTTAATTTTATGAAAATAAGCTGTATAGTTTTAAGATTATCTTAATTATTAAATAAAGCAAGAAACAAATAGATCTGATTGGTTCATTTTTAAACTGTAATATCAAAATAAAATTTAGGGTTTTTAAAAATACTAATTTCATTTGTTGTTTTAATTATTTTTTGTCAATTTAAAATATTTAGTTAACTATGAAGTATTATATACTAATATTCTTATATTTAGTGCATATAAATTCATTATTTAAGCATTTTTCTGCTACTTTTAAACTATTTCATTTAAATATTTATAAGATGTTTTCTAATTTCAACTAATTTTACAAAAATCTTACACAAAGATTAATAGTATATAAGAAATGATAAAATTAAACAACAAATTCTTTTCTAATCCACCAGTCTTATTTCTTATGAAAAGCTAGAAAGAAGTTAATATTTTAAAAATTTCTTATTAATTCTATGACTTGAAATAAAAAAATTTCTTATCTAATTTCTAAAAGTTAAAAATAATAAATTAATTAGTATTGATATATATGTAACCTACTACAAAAGTCTAACTCAATAGAGTCGTTATTGTATATAAATTTTCTACTTTTTTAAAACTTATATTTAGCCAATTTATAGAGGGTACTTTATACTAAAATTTATAAATAAATATTTTGTATGAATCTTTTAAAAATAAATTATTTCAATTACTTAATTATTAAAATATTTAAAATATAAATACTCTCATTCATTTTTAATTACGAAAATCTATTATTAAATAAAAAGATTTTGTTTTAATAATATGTTTATCAAAAAGTATATATTTATTCATTTTAATTTCTTTTTTATTTTAACAATAAGGTTTTTTTTTCTCTTAAAGATAAAGCAAATTCATTTAAACCTTATTTTTTATCATATTAATAATATTAGCACTCTCTTCTTTTCAGCATTTTTTAAAAAAATTAAAAAGAGATATCCATATAGATGGCAGTAACTTTAGACAATTTTTGCTGTTTATTATGAGGTAAAATTTTTTATTTTAATTATTAATAACTAAAAAAAATATAATTTTTAAGTTAGATTGGTTTATAATTATTGGATTTATTTTAGCCTAATAGATATGAAACAAAAAAAAGGTAATTTTTCTTAAAATCAAAATAATAATTTTATTAAAGTATATCAGCATAATTGTTTAATCGTTGGGTAAATTTAATTTTAATATTTCAAGTTAAAATGAATTTTCTAACCATGAAAGGAAGGATCAACTTTCAACAACTAATTACAAAATAATAATAATAATAGTAAAGATATTAAGTAAACAAAATAAAGTGGTATGTATTATGGATATTAAAGATTATTTTAGTAAAATATAGTTTTATTATTTAACACCCATATATAATGATCCACATTAATCAGCAACTTATGAAGGTTTAGTTATAATGTTAGAACAAAAGTTACTATCAGGTATTAAATCAACCTAACATTATTTTTCATAATATTAGACTGTAAAAAACAATTACTACTTATCATTAACTTTCAAAGGAATACTAATTCTTTGATTTGAATAAATCCAAATATTGTTGCAAATATGGGAATGAAAGCAAAGGTACTTCTCATTTATACAAAATTAACTTTTTTTTATTTTAATTGTGTTTTTATATTAATTATAGATAGTAAAAGAAATCTTAAATATCACGAGTTAATTATTTAATGTAATATTAAGATATAGTATAGAATTACGAATCACAAACTATTCATTTACACAAAAATATAATCACAAATGAATCTCAAAATTATAAAGGATTTTTTGGGTTAATGGAAAATCTTTTTATTAAGAACTATCATTATTAAATGAATAGTGACATTTTTATAAAAATTTAGTAGTTTAATAAATTAAAACAAAAGTATTAAATGATAAAACTATGATGTTTTATAACAAACCATTTATTAATTTATCAAAAGCAATATCATTATTTATTATTGATTGATTGGTTTCTTTATTCATTCATTAAAAACTATATTTTAAATCACAATTTCACAAAAAAATAAAAGAAAATAAACACAAAAAAAATTTTTATTGTTTTTAAACACAAATTAGATTTACCTAAATTATCATTACTTTCAAATAATAGTTAAAGTCTATTGATTATAAAAGTAAATATATTCTTAATTTATGTAATTTAATGTGACTTATTAATATTCAAACAATCATCATTCAATGATGTACATTTCAAAATACTTCAACCAGATTTATTCACTTTATTTCAATTAATTTTCAATATAAAATATGAATGAGATACCTAAAAAATAGGAAATTCATTTGAATTCTATATTATAAATTAATATAAATAATTAATTTTTAAAATATTAATTACAATTAAATTATTTTTAAAAATGTAATATTTATAAATATTATTTTTTAGACATGTTTTTTTTCTCTTTATTAAAAAATTCAGGCAATCGCTTTTGATAAAAAATCAAGTGTGTTTTTATATTTGATTGATTAAATATGAAAACTGTGATTTTTCAAATAATAACACCAAGTTTTGTAATTAATTTAAAAAAGTGATTTTCCCCAGGAACAGCTATATAAAGAATAATCATTTTTAAAAAATGATTTAAAAATATAATTATTATAATAAAAGAAAATTTAATTTAAATTAATTTTATGTTTCTAAAATATATATATATTTTATAAAATATTTTTTATTTTTTTTATTATTAATTTTTAACTAAAATTTCAATATTTCTCAGATAAAACTTATTTCTTTTCTGTAATTAATACTGACTTTGTAGATAAATCAAAACCAACGTAGTATGATTCTAACACATTATATCCTAAAAATGAAAATCCTTTTGTGTATATAGGCTAAATCATTATTTAGAATTTGTTTTCACTTAATTTCTTAGTATATTAGGTTGGGTTGATGGTTAAAATGTAGGGTCTATCATCTTTTTAGGATAAAACAAATTATAAAGCTTATAATTTATCAACAGAATTCACAAATAGAGCATTTTTTTCTGTTATGAATTCATAAGCAACATCTTATTATTCTAACAAAGATAATAGTTTTTAGAAAGATTCTATAGAGATACCAGTAAATGCAGAATCTAAATTAAAGTAAATAGTGTCATCACTTTAAATCTATTCTTAACCATAGTTAAAATAATTTTTAGAAGTTGCTTTATAAGATACTACACTATATTAGTATTTTATTTACACAAAGTTATTTATTGAAGCTATAGATATATCAGGAGTACCAAAATCGAGTTATCCTATGATTTAATTATCTGAAGAAGGAGCTGTGCTATTCAATGTTATAAACAATTTCTATTCAGCAATTTATTTAGAGGCTTGTAATTCTTAAAGGGCATTTAATAGGAAATCATGATATTTGAAACCTAGGCATAAAATGCTATATCCATAAAATAAAATGGAGATTTATCTGTATGAGGTGAAGTTACAGTCAATTCATAGGATTTGTCTCCAAGCAAAAATTTAGATTTATAATCATAACCCTTTTAATTTGCATTATTTTCAACGTACTTGGATCCACACTTTTCTAGCACTTCTTTGGAGTTTTCAATAGAGTTATTGCAATAATTAATTGAAATAAAAAAATCAACTTAACACTTAGCAGTACTATAGTTAGATCTAACTTAAAGTGATTTACTCTTGCTTAACCTGAGAGGAACAGTAATTTATTTTGATACAGCACAACCCAGAGCTGAAATAATTAAAATCAAAATTAGAATATTTTTTTTCATTTTTCTAATTTACAATATAGTAATTTTTAATATTTATTTTATTATTAGTTTAATATTGATTGAGAAAGGATTTCAAACATCTAATTGTATATTTAGTGATAATTAAGAGAATAAACTTCCAATTTTATTTTACATACCTTAAATAGAAACTATTTTGTTAATGATCACAAACACTAATGATAAAATAGAAATATGAACGGGAATTAACAAAAAGCTACTGCCTACTTTTAAATTTGAAATAAAATTAAATTAATTTCTTAGATTTTTAAAAACCTTTTAAAAAGACACCATTTTTCAATCAAACATTTAAAAGTCGAGTGTCTTAATTAAGGAGAATTTACGGTATTATTTCTCAATACAAGCATCTATCTATAGACACCTATCTTACTTTTGAAATTCTTTTATAAAATTACAAATAAAATGCATAACATAAATGAAAAAAATTCTTATACTTAGAGGAATTAGAAACAAGACATACAACACCTAATTAATACTCAAATTTTATAAGAATAAAAACATAGTAAATATTTTATTTTGCTATTTTATCTGTTTAAACTGAAATATTTTTATAGATTTAATATTTACTTAATACTAATAAAAAAATTATTTAAGATATAAAATTATTATATTAAATTTTTGATACAATTTATATTCATTGTAAATTTTTTGTTCCTCTGAAATTAGACAGTTTTTAACTTGAAGCTTTCTCTGCTATGAGAATTGACTATTTCTAAAAATCAACTCCAATATAGTAATCCTAAAAAACGGTTGAACCAATAGACTAATAGTTTTAAGAAGGTAGTTAACTCTAGATTAATAACTGGTATTCTCCGCTTGGTAACTATTAGTAGAGTTGATAAGCCTAGAGTGTAATAGTAAAATCATTTCCTTCTACTGTTTAGAATTAAAATTGCAAAGGTTCCAACTTTTCTACTGAAGGTAAATAAATGGAAGGAGATTTATATTGTGAAGGTTAATCAATTCTGTATTTAATGCCATTTTAATTAAATGTTTGAAGGATTTTATTAAAAGCTTTATTATGAAGAACGGTGAAAGGAGAATTAAAGTTAATATGAGTAAAGCTATAGAGGTCTAAATTTTATCCTGAATAAGTAGCCTTTTTGCAATTAGAACTATAATTACCTAAATCTTAAACAGTGTATTTCTGCAATTCAACTAAGTTAGATCCTTATTTAATTAAAGACAAATCTGGTTCTCCTATGTCAATTGTTCCAACAACCGAGTCATCAGCTTTATCTTAAGTAGTTCTATTCAAGTTAATGTAAGCTACTTGTTTTGAAATTAATTTCTCTTCAAATAATTAGACAAAGGCATTATCTTGATGATTTGATTGACTTGAAAAGCAAAGTGTTCTACGGCCAATATCGCTAAATTCATTAGATACTATGAATTATAGAGTGGCTTATGCGTTTCCCAGTTAAAACTAAGTTGAGTAATTTGGTTTTTTAGTGTAATAATTTTCAATACCAATATATTTTGCACCACAGACATCAGTTTAATGTAAAGGATTAGAAATAATATTGTAGCACTCTTAAGTGAATTCAATAAAGAGATCAATTTCACAATCTTGAGTTCCGTAACTTGTATTAATATACAAATCTCCACTATCGTACTATCTTAGAGGGATAGTAATTTTAGCAGCTTAAGTTTGAATTATAAATAAAATAAGAGATATAATCAAAACACACAATATCTTTTTATTCATTTTCATTTTTAGTTATTTTTTTTAATTATTATCTTTAAATTTTTTATTATATTTCTCAGGATTTAAAGAAATAATAATTTACTTAATTTTACAAATTTATCAGAAGCTTATAATCAATATTTAGATCATAGAAAAGTCTTTTAATCAGTCTACATTAATTGCAGTTTTTCATTACTGAATAGTTCTTTTATAATCTCGACAATTTCATTGGAGCACAGAATTTTAATTATAAAAGATAAATATAAATTTATTTATTTAAATTTATCAGATTAAAAATATGCTTGCTTTATTAAATTTTCTAGATTGAGCATTCAGATATTTTTTTCTGTTTTAAATACTTTTATTTATTAGAATTTAATAAATAACTGCATTATTATTTTTAGTTTATTTTGTTTTAAGTTTAATATGTTTTATCTTTATTGTAAGAATGTCGCCAAATTAAAAGCTATTTTGCCTCAATTTTATAAACAACATTAATATTAAAAATTAGTAAGAATCAAACATAATTCATTATTTCAAGAATATAAATACGATTGATTGCCTAATTCAAAAATCGATTTTCAAGATAAAAAAATTTGATTCCATTTTTATTAAAAATAAGAAAAGTCTTTAAAATAAATAAAAAATTCAATTGATTCTTTTATAATTTTATAATACTTTGAATTTTTAGCAATTGATTTATTAATTATAAAATTTAGATTGACAAATAAATATGAAAACATAATTACTCTTTAATAAAAATAATTAGAGTATAAAATTATTAAATAAATTTGCAAATTTAATTTTATTAAATGTTAAATTCTATTTTTAAAAAAAATATATTTTATATATATGTATATAACAATTATTTTTATAAAGTTAAATAGCTTATCGTAATCAAATCTAAGAACTATTTTATTGTTATTCCTTTTCTGCTATGATAATCTACTATTTGTCTTTATTGAAACCAATGTAGTAAGACTCAAAGATAGCATTACCGAAAATAATAGCTGCATTACGTATTTGCTTTTTAAATAGCAATAGGTATTATCCATTAGGTAATTGTTAAGTATAATATGATGGTTATAATCTAACAATGAATGGTTAATTATTTTCGTCTACCAATGAAAGGGTAATATCTTGAAGCTTCTCAATGGATGGTAAGAAAACATTATCGTTTTGGTAAGTGTATTCAATTCCTTAGCTTTCAAAAGCTTAAAGGAGACTAGGGAAGGTGAATATAGACAAAATATGGAAACGAGATTCAATGTCGAATTCTGCAACTTAAACATTAGATAAAGGTACGTCACCAAATTTCAAATCTCTATTAGCAGGAGCTGAATAGATATTTTGAAGACCAAAGTTCTTTAAGTAAACTAAATTACTACCTTACTTAATTAATGAGGTATCAGGAGCACCAATATCCATTCTTCCAGCTGGAATGGGTTAGTTTAAGTTCTATTAAGCGTTTAAGCTAAAGAAAACTTATTTTTCACTAATCAATTACTTTTTAAAGAGCTAGTCTAAAGCGTTTGACTCAAACTTACCATTTAAAATACTAAAGCAGAGCTCGTTTTCACCGTAAAAGCTTGACTATTAATTTGGAGCTGTATAAGTTATCTAAGCTAATTGATCTCCAATCTAAAAAGTGGATAAATAGTCATCTCCTTAAACTTAAGTATTAGGGCCGATGTAAACTGAACCACACTCTTTTGCTTCTTAAGCAGTTTAAGTCACTACATTAGTACAATCTGAAATGGAAGGAATAAAATTCACTTAACAATCTTTGAATCCATATTATGAATATTTAAGTGTGAAGAAAAGCTTTCCGTTTTAGTTAGCACTTAAAGGAACAGTAAGACTTTAAGCCAAAGTTAAATTTATTAGCGCAAGAGCTAAACAAAAGCTAGTCAAGTTTCTTTTCATTTACTTTTATTTTTATTTTTTGTTATTTAATTTAATTTTATATATTTTTTCTATGATTTTTTATTTGCTTTTAAGCACTGTTCAATCTGTTTAATAATAATTGAGCTAATAAAAGAAATTATGATCACGAATCAAACAAATACTATATTATTCCATTTTACTGTAAAGTTTGATTTAAATTATTAATTTCCTCATAATAATTCTCAATTAAAAATCTTTTATTTTACATTTATAATATAATATAATTCTAGATTTATCAAGACTGTATCTGTTTCTTTCTCCTTATTTTTTTTACAAAGAACTATTTAGTGAAAATAATCAAAAATTATTTTAAGTTGACTACAAATTTGAAGAATCAAAGTGATTTAAAAATGGTTAATTTCATTTCAGTATCAATTTACTAAAAAATAAATTTGCATTTATAAAAAAATTTAACAAAATGAAAAATTATTCTTATTCATTATACATCGAATATTATGAAAATAAGCTGAATAGTTTAAAGATCATATCAATAGCTTAATTATTAAATAAAACAGAAAACAAATAGATGCGATTAATTCATTTTTAAACAACAATGTCAAAATAATTTAAAAGGTTCCTAAAAATAATAATTTTATTTTCATTTGATGTTTTAATTCTTTTAAATTATTATTGTCAATTAATAAAGGAAGCAAAATATTTAGTTAATTATAAAATATTTTATATTCATATTCGTATCTGTAGTATTTATAAATTAATTATTCAAGTATTTTTCTGCTATTTTTAAACTATGCCATATAAACTATTTGAAGATGTTTTTCTATTTTTACTAATTTTACTATTTCTTACACAAGGAATAATAAAATATAAGAAATGATTAAGTTAAACAACAAATTCTTTTCTAAAAAATCAGCCTTATTTTTGATGAAATGTTAGAAATAAGTTAATATTATCAAAATTTCTTATTAACTTTATGACTTGAAATAAAAAAATTTCTTATCGAATTTCTAAAAGTTTATTAATAAATTAATTAGAATTGCTAAATAGGTGTAACCTACTACAAAAGTCTAACTCAATGTATTAGTGTATGTTAATTTTTTACTTTTTTTCAAAGTAATATTTAGCCATTTTTTTAGAGAGAGGGTACTATTTAGAATTTAAAATATAATAAATAGTATAAATTTTATTTTTCAAAAAATTTAATCATGATTTATCAAAATTTTAAGAAAAAAATCAATAATCCCTAGAAATATTTTGTAAAAATATCAATAAAAAAACTAACTTATCTAAGCTGTTTACTTTGAATTATAGCTTTTATACTATTTTAAATATTTTTTAGTAGCTTCTTACTTACTTACTTTAAAACAATATTTCTTTTATTATTAAAAATAAGAGTTTATATCTTAATAAAATAATAAAATCACATCAAATTTCTAATGAAAAATATATCAATTAATAATTTTAATAAATAAATTAAACATTTTGTAGTTCAATTATATAAAATGGTTTTCTTGTATTAAAATTAATTATTTAACATTTATGATTCTCATTCATACAATTATGCAATACAAAAAACATTCTTTATTTTTATTTATTTTTCTATTTTTTTAGATTAATTCTCAAATTTAAGAAGAAATTTATTAGTCTTTTTCTGTTAGAAGAACTTAATACTTACCTTTATTAAACAGACATAGAGAGACTCGAAAATATTATTTTCAAAAATCAAAACTGCATTATGAATTTGTTACCTAAATAACAATTTATATTACCTATAAGATAATTGCGAGGTATATTGTTATAGATTAAATCTAACAACAAAAGGAGAGTCATCGTCGGCAATCTATGAGAAGGTAATATGAAATGTCAGCAGAACCTATATCAAATTTCTGAACAAGCAAGTAAGTGTTTAAGGTATGAAAAGAGTTTTAGCTAAAGAAAACTTATTTTTCAGTAATTAATTTTTTTAGATATAGCTAATATAATATCATAGACAGAGATTTATCATCCTAAAAGCTAAAGCAAAGCTCGTTATAACCATAATTATGAAATGATTCATTAGGAGCAGTATAGGCTAAAGAAATTAATTAATTTTCTATCTAAAAGTTTGATAAGTAGTCTTCTCCTTGAAGTTAAGCATTATAATCTTTGTCAATCAATTGAAATTCCTATGCTTCTTAAGTTGTTTAAGTAATGACATTTGAGCAGTAATAGATGGAAGGAATAAGATTCTATTATCATTATTTAAATCCATGTAAGTTATATCTTATAGTAAAATTTAACTAAACATTTTGATTGAAACTTAATGTAACATTCAAATTTTAGCTTAAAGTTAAATTTATTAACAAAAAAAAGCTAAGCAAAAGCCTTTTAGGTATTTAATTTACATTTGGTTAAGATTGCTTGTTTATAATTTTTTCTAATAAATCAGGTAATTGTAAGTATAATTTGATATGAAATAAAAAGTTTAAAAATAAGATTTAATTCTAATTATTGTAGAAAATAATGTTAAGAACTAATTTTTTATATTTTCCTAATTTTGATAACCAAAAGCTGATTTTTGTTAATTATCAGAAATTTTATTAAAAAAAAACCCTTTTAATTTTGAACTAAAATAATCAAATATTTTTTCTAAAATTTATATACATCCTAACTATCTGCTCTCTCACAGCTTATCAATTCCAAATATCCCTTACCTCTGCCACTAGGGAGCTCAGATATCCACCATCTGCCCCTAAAATAAATATAAAAATAAAATTTATTTTCATTTTTATTTTAAATAAATCTAAAAATTGAATTGAATAGTAAGATTTTATTCAAATTTGATTTATATCATGAATTCTTTTATTTAAAAAGTTAAATTTATTAATAGATGCCAGAAACATAAAATAATAAAATTAAATCTGTAAGACAAATTTGGAAAGTTTATATATATAAATATAATTTCCTAATTATGATAATTATATTTTATTGAATTATTCAATCATTAAATTAAGCTTTTCGGAATTTATGATATTAAATTTATTTTAAATAAAATATATAATTCGTTATTAATTTTATGTAAACAAAGAATGCTTAATTATATCATCGAATAAAAATTCTTCACTGAATTTATGTAATAATATTAATAATAAAATTTTAAATATTTTTTGAACTTTAGACAACTAATTGCAAAACAAAAATAACATTATTAAGTGAACAAAACAAAGTTTTATTATGATTATTACATCTAATTTTAATAAGATATTATTTTATTATTTCACTTTTGAAGCAAACTTTCACAATAAGTCTACAAAATTTGAAGTTACTTTGTAATTTCTGAAAGTATCTTTGTATGAAAATGTTTTAAAAATTATTATTTTTTAAATTAAAATATACTAACAGTTTTAATTTTTGAGCATCTTCAAACACTTGCTTAATTTAAATATTATCCTAAATCAAATTTAATATATTTTATAAAATAGTAAAGTATTTAGATAAATAAATTGTATTAATTGTTTGATTTTATATTTAAATTCCAATATATAAAAACATAAATGAATAAAAGTAGTTTTCACACTTATATAACTTTTTGATTTTAATATTTTTTAATTCATGCTTCAAAAGAATTTTGTTAAGCTTTTTCTGCAATGAGAATAGATATGTGAGGTAAATCAAAACCAATATAGTAAGATTCAAATACTGGATATCCCAAAGTGATAGAAGTAGTATAGAACTAAGGTATGATCAAAAGTTAATACTATCCATCGCTCAAAAGCTTAGTATATTATTAAGGAGCAAGAGTAGCATTATAAACAGAACCATCCTATGCAACTAATCCTAAAGTAATATTCTAGAGCTTATCAATAGAAGGTAAGTATACAGCATAATCTTAATCAGGTAAGTAAGTGTATTAAACTCCTTATTAGCTAAATGCAGAAAGTAAATCTTAAAAAGCAAATATTGATAACTATGTGAAAGGAGAATCTAAACTGAAGAAAACTATACTTCCACCCTATAATTTCTAGCTACCATAATTGAGATTTCTATTTGAGCTGGCAGAATACTAGCTTTCTCCTGTAGAGCTTTATAGTGATATCAAATTTGATCCTTTCTTGATTTAAGATTCATTTGCTGCACCGATATCAAGATAACCAACTGTAGAACTAGCAGATTGAGTATTGTTCAGTCCAACAAAAAATATTTCTTCGGTTAATTATCCTGATTAGAAAAGCTCAATAAGAGTGTTTTGTTACTCAGCATAACTTTAGAAGCCAAAACAAAGTTCCTATGCACCATAGAACATAGATTAAGATCCATTAGGTACACTGAATTAAAGATTTGCTGAGACATTCCCAAGCTAAAATTTGGCAATATAGTCTCTAGATTTAGCAAAATTATTATCTCCAACATATAATGATCCACATTGATCAGCAACTTACGAAGGTTCAGTTATAACATTAGAACAGAAGTTAATAGCAGGTATCAAATCAACCTAACATTATTTTTCACCATATTTGACAGTAAAGAATAATTATTACTTGTCATTGATTTTCAAAGGAACACTAATTCTTTGATTTGAAATAAATCCAAATATTGTTGCAAATATTAGAATGAAAGCAAAAGTACTTCTCATTTATTCAAAATTAACTTTTTTTGATTTTAATTGTGTATTTATATTTATTATAGATAATAAAAGAGATCTTAAATATCACCAGGATAATTATTTGATGTAACATTAATATTTATAGTAAAAAATTATGGATAACTAACTATTAATTCGCCCAAAATATTTAGTCGCTAATGAAATTCAAAATTATAAAGGATTTTTTGGGTTAAAGGATAATTTCTTTTATTAAGAGCTATCATTATTAAATGAATAGTTGAAATTTTTATTATATTTTAAATTTAGTAGTTTAATAAACTAAAGCAAAAGTAATAATTGCTAAAACAATGATGTTTTATAACAAACCATTTATTTAAATCATTTATAAAAGCATATCATTATTTACTATTGATTAGTTTCTTTATTCATTAATTCATTAAAAATGACATTTTAAATCACAATTTCAAAAAAAATAAAAGAAAATAAACAAATAATCAAATTTCTAATCTACAAGAAAATTTTTTATTTAAGTTTTTAAACACAAATTAGATTTACCTAAATTAACATTATTTTCAAATAATAATTAAAATCTATTGATTGTAAAAGAAATATTCTTTATTTGTATAATTTAATGTGATTTATTGATATTCAAACAACCATCATTAGATGATGAACATTTCAAAATATATTGACCATATTTATTAACTTTGTTTCAATTAATTTTCAATATAAACTATGAAATACTTAAAAAATAAATTGGAAATTTGCTTGAATTCTACTTTTTAAATTAAAATAAATAATTAATTTTTAAAATATTAATTACAATTAAAATGTAATATTAATTAGTTTTATTTTTGAAGCATGTTATAGTTTCTTCATTAAAACATTTTGGCAATCATTTTTGAGAAAAAAACAAGCACATTTTTATATTTGATAGATTAAACATAAATACTTTAATTTCTCATCTATTAAAACTAAGTTTTGAAATTTAAATGATTTCTCCTAGTTGGTCATAAGTAATAATAATAATAATTTGCTAAAATTGTAAAAATAAAAAAATAAATCTATTTTACAGTAATTATGAAAGATACTCTCTTAAAAAAAAATGATTTAAAAATTTTATTAAATAAAATAAAAAAAATCTAATTTAAATTAAATATTTAAATTATAAACATTTTTACAAATATATATTTTATTTTTTGAATTATAAATTTTTTACAAAAATTTCAATATTATTCAGATTAAACTTATTTCTTTTCTGCGATTAATACTGACTTTGTAGATAAATCAAAACCAACGTAGTATGATTCCAACACATTATATCCTAAAAATGAAAATCCTTTAGTGTATTAAGGCTAAATCATTATTTAGAATTTGTTATCACTTAATTTCTTAGTATATTAGGTTGGATTGATGGTTAAAATGTAGGGTTTATTATCTACTTAGGATAAAACAAATTATAAAGCTTATAATTTATCAATAGAATTCACAAATAGAGCATTTTTTTCTGATATGAATTCATAAGCAACTCCCTGTTATTCTAACAAAGATATTAATTTTTAGAAAGATTCTATAGAGATGCCTGTGAATGCGGAATCTAAATTAAAGTAAATAGTGTCATCACTTTAAATCTATTCTTAACCATAGTTAAAATAATTTTTAGATTCAGCTCCGTAAGATACAACACTGTATTATTTTTTTATCTATACAAAGTTATTTATTGAAGCTATAGAAGTATCTGGAGTACCGAAATCGAGTTACCCTATGACTTAATCTACTGAAGAAGGAGCTGTGTTATTCAATGTTATAAAAAATTTCTACTCAGCAATTTATTTAGAGGCATGTAATTGTTAAATGGCATTTAATTAGAAATCATATTTTATGAAACCTAAGCATAAAATGCTATATCCATAAAATGAAGATTTATCTGTATTAGGTGAAGTTACAGTGAGTTCATACGATTAATCTCCAAGCTAAAATTTAGATTTATAATTTTTACCATTATATTATGGGCTTTTTTCAACATATTTAGCTCCGCATTTTTCTAGGACATCATTGGATTACTAAATAGAGTTATTGCAATGATTAATTGAAATAAAAAAATCAACTTAACACTAAGCAGAACCATAGTTAGAGCTAAAGTAAAGTTAGTTATCCTTACTCAGTCTAAGAGGAACGGTAATTTATTTTGATACAACACAGCCTAGAACTGCAATAATTAAGATCAAAATTAGAATATTTTTTTTCATTTTTCTAATTTTTAATTTTTATTATTTTTAATTAATATTTATTATTATTACTAATTTAATATTGATTGAGAAAAGGATTTCAAGCATCTAATTTTATTATTAATAATAAGTGAGATAATAAATTTTCAATTTTATTAACCTACTGAAAAAATTGAAATATGTACATTCATTAAAAACTACTACCTATTTTGAAAGTTGAAATAAAATAAAATTAATTTATTAGATTTTAAAAAACCTTTATTGTGACAAGTAAAATGAAGAGAGCAAAATATTTAAAAAAATACATCTAGCTTTATTTAAAAAAAAAACAAATTTAGAAAAATGATAGTGTAAATATCATCTTTTTATGCAATTTTATATTTTTGTTTTTATATGTACTTATAAACATAATAATTTCGTTTAATAAATTCAAGAAAGAAATTTATGAAGGTCCTCATTACTTAGCAAATTCTTATATAAAATAAAAATCTGATTAAATTATTTTTGAGTATATTTATTTTTATATAACTCAATAATTAATACATAATATTTCTATATTTTACTTTTCTAGTATTGAATATTACATAAGATTCTAAAATAATTTTTAAAATGTATTTCTTAAATTATGTAAATTGGATATTTATTGAATCCAGCTTTAATTGATTTGTTTAATTTATATTAAATAAATAATTTAAATCCTTTTTAACTAAAGTAAAGCAGCTTAAAGATTCTTTATATATAAATGCTAATCACATTTAATTTTATTGAATTAAAAGTAAGAAATTTGTTCATTTTTTTAATTCTGATACTCAAAAAATTTTAGATTTACAACTATTAAAAAAATTATCAACACCAATTTTTTTTTTTAAATTTAAAGTAAATTAACAGTTATTATTTTCTAGTGAAAATTGGTTATATATTTATTAATAAATACTTTAATTTTTGTAATAAGATAAAATAAAAAAAATAATTTATTTTTACTTTTTTTTACAAAAAAGATTTAAAAGAAATAATAAATTTTTAATTGAAATGTTAAAAAAATGTCTTTCAAAGTAAATTAAATCATTAAATTTTATTTATTGATATTTTCAATTTTACAAAATATTTATGCAAATTGATTTAATATTGATTTATATAAATTTTAATTTTAAATAAAATAAAGTATTTTATTGCATATAATTTATATTTCTTAAATGTTTAAGTCATATAAATCAATTTCAATATAAAATTATACTAAAATTTTATTTGATCAATTATCTCTTTATAAAATAAGGTATGAATCATTTAATATCTCAAAAAAGATATTATTAAAAAAATAATTTTTCAAAAACTATAATTTAAAGCTATTTCATGTTAAAATATTTAAGAAGAATTTTATTCTTACGTTCAGCATCTGTAATCATGGAAGTGCTATAATTATTAATCAAAAAAACTTTCCATCATATAAAAAGATAAAATTTAATTTAAAATTAAGTTGCTTATTCTTAAAATTTTTGGAATGAATCAATCAATATGAATTTTAATTTTTTGTAAAATTTGAAAAGATAATTTTGAGATTTAGTAGTCACTATTTCTTTAATCTTGGGTTAGTTCATGATAGATATCTTTAGGAGGAAGCAAATATCTTCAAAATCTCCCTCATATTAGCATACTAAGAGGTTTTTTGCTATATGGTAAATGAAAGTACAGTGTTGAATTGTGATTTTTAGCTGTTTACAAATGAGTCAGAGAGATTTAGTTGAAATTAATTTGTTAATTTAAAGGCCAATTTACTTTTTTTCTCTAGATAATTTGAGAAGAAAGAATTTACTTGATGCTAATACTCCTTAATATTTTGATCTATTGAAAAATATATTTTTGTTGTCTCTTTAAGTTTATTTGGTATTAATATATGATACTTTATTAAGATTTTAAAATTTTAATCTAATAATAATAGCTTATGTTATTTTGCTAAAATAAAATTTTAAATTTATTTATACTTGGTAAAATTTGATATAAATTTATAATTTTTTATTTAATTTGATTTATATATATCTAACTTTTAAAATAAATAGGCAAATAAACTAGAAATATTTATTAAAAGTTTACATTAAAAAATTTTATTTTTTTTAATTTGAAAATATATTTATTTATTAATTAGCTCAAGCTTAAGAAAATATGTCTTGAACTTTTTAAGCAATTCTAATCTATCTATCAAGTAGATCAAAACCAATATAATAAGGTTAAAATACTGTATATCCTAAAGTTATTTAATTAATAAGGGTATACTCAGGTTAGAATAACACTTTGTATTATCCGCTTGATAATTGCTTAGTGTATTGCTTTGGGGTAAGAGTAATTTTATAAGAAGTATCATCTTCTACTAACAACTCTAAAGTAATATTTTAAAGGCTTTCAATAGAAGGTATTAAGAGAGTATGATCCTAATTATACAAATAAGTATATCTAATATCTAATTTTTTGAAAATAGAAAGTATTTCTGTAAATGCTGTGATTGGTAATGTTGTATAGGGAGTTTCTAGGCTGAAGAAAACTATATTTGCACCTTTTAATTTCTAGCTACCATAATTAAGATTTCCGTTTGATATAGCAGAATACTAGCTTTATCCAGGAGAACTTTTCAGTTAAACAAAGAAGCTATTATAAAGCTGATATTTATCATAATCACCCATATCGATTTTACCAGCAAAAAGACCAGCAGATGTGGAATTTAAGGCAACATACATTCTTTAATATTGTATTAATCCTGCTTTGTACAGTTCAACAAGAACATTATGCTATCTCTCATCTTCATAAAAACCAAAGCAAAGCTTGTTATCACCATAGAACATAGACTATTAAGTAGGTATCCCGAAATCAAGAACTGCATATGAATTACCTAGCTCAAATTAAGCTTTATAATTAAAGGAATTGAAAAAGTCATCATTATCAACATATGATGCTCCACATTAATATTAAACTCTAAAAGAAAATTCATGAATAACATTAGAACAGAAGTTAATAGAAGGTAAAAGATTAACATAACATTTATTTTTTCCATATGCAACTGTCATCTATAGTTGTTCTTTATCATTAATATTCAAAGATTGACTAACTCTTGTAGCTGTAGTAAATCCAACGAAAGCTGTAATCAACAAAATTATAGAAAAGGTATTTCTTTTTTTTAAAGCCATTTTAGTTTTTTTTATTTAATTTTATTTCTATTTTTTATTTATGATTTAATACGGTTTGGAAAGAATGTTTTAAAATACTCCTTAAAGAGTTCTTTGTTAGAAATCTTTTATACTTAACAAAATATAAAAGTATTTCTTACAGTCAGTCAAATAAAAAAAACTTTTTCTATTAAATTCTTAGAAATAAAGGTTTCTTCGTTAAAGGATAAATTCTTTTATTAGGATAAAGCATATTTAAAAAATATATTTATATTAGTTTATAGCTTAGCTTTTTTTCTAGGATAAACAAAAAATATTTACTTGTAAAATAAAATTATTAATTTTAAATTATGTTATTTGCATAGATGTTGCTAAAAGATAGATGAAGCAAAATTATGGCGGCTTTTATACAATTTGCTTGTTAGTATATTAACATATTTTGGCTAATTTAGAATTGTGTTGAATTCAGTCTATTTTTAATTGAAATAGAAGCAAAAATTAAATGTATACAAAATATTATTTTTATCAAACCTTAATTAATAATATAAAAGAAATATTATGTAAAATCAAATTAATAGAATCTATTTATCAAATACCAACTATATAATTCATTCAATCCATTAAATTTAAAAAATGGCTAAACTAATTTTTGAATATTTATTCATTTATTTTAATATAACCATCTATATTATCATTAATTTTCAATAAATTAAAAATGAAAGATATTTGTTTTGCTAAACTTCAGTAAAAATGATTAATATTTTGATGTATTTCTTCCATTTACTATTTAAAATTATATTTATTGGTTGGTAATTAATTCGATAAAAAAAGGATATTAATTACATTAAAAAAAGTTCATTTTTATCTAAAGCTTCTTTTATATCAAATTATCTTTTATAAAAAATTATTCATATCTATATAGAAAGAAATAGCTAATGCACATATTTTTCATACTTATGCATTAATTTCTTAGCAAAAATATGTATCTATGATAAAGAAGTATTTATGAATAATTTTAAATAAATTTTTTTTAATTTACACATAGAATTTGATAAATATCTTAAATTATTTTTAATTTTTAAAACTTTTATTTTTACTTTTAGATGTATTGGCTTGTTAATATTATATATATATTTGAATCAATTTTCCATAAATATGAACCAAACAAAATGATAATAGGTATATTTTGTATAACCATTCCAAATCATGCCTTCTATATTATTTAAATTTGATAAATTAATAAAATTGCTTAGCGCTATATATTAATTTAAAGTTTTTATATTAAAAATAATTTAAATTTTTTAAATAAAATCATTAATTGTTAAATTATAAGTGATAATCATTTCATTTTAATTTTTCATAATACTCATTAGAAAAAGTATAAATGATAAATAATTTTAAAATAATTAAATAAATAAAATAAATTTTATGGTTCGTTTGATGGCAATGCAATATTTATTTATTATATCAATTTATTACTACTTGCTAAGCTGATATGTGGAGTTATCTTTTATTGTATCTGAAATCTGTACTTTTATGTTTTACCATTTAAAGTTAATATTAAGAATATATACTTTTCTTTTCAATATATTTTCTAAGGAGCCATGCAATGCTTTGAATTTAAGGTCTATTTTGCTAATTTCTTCAATATAAATAGCTTAAAAATATTAGTTTAAACATATATAATTTATCTGATCTTCTTAATTTATAAATATCTTTACTTATTTTCCTTTTTTAAGATCTTTATTTCGAAATCTATTAACAATAATAACTTTTAAATTTAAAATCCTACCAATTTTGGAAAAATTTGGCTCAAAATTTTTGTTTTGTTGTTCAAATTCTGTTGTTACTATAAAATAAAATTGAAAAAAATATAAATTTATTTAAAAGCAACATAAAATAGACTATCAAAAGTAGTAAATGGAAAAAATATTATTTGACTTAGGGTTTTAGCTACAAATGCATAACCTCTAAATAATAGGCTTTGATCTGGATTTCATATTCTAGAAAATTTTGAAGAAAATGAGGATATTCTTAATACAGATGAATCTGGAATTAATTAAAAAATGTTTCTCATCATATTTTTGGTTTCATAGAGGTATTCACTTAAGATCTTTAAAGATGTTAGAATTAAATACCACTATTTAATAATGTTGATAAGCAAAATGAACTGTACTGAAAAGTTACCTACTAAATAAAATATATTTTCTTTAAAAGTGGGTATTTTTTTAATAAAATTTAAATTCACATATATACTTCAATGTAATAATAGATAACTGCAAGATACATAAAATGTTTGACGTAAAATTTATACAATTAAAATTAATTTTTTAAAATTTATAATTATTTTAAATTTCATCAAAATTATTATATTGCTAATTATATTATGAAATATCCACTTAGATTTATATTTACTGTCCCATATTGCTCTCCTATGAATCCTGTAGAAGAGGTTTTTGGATGCATTAAGAAAAAACTCAACTTAAAAGAGGAATAATAAAGTGATCTTAACAAATTAAATATTATAATAATTTTAAATGAAATAAACATATAAAAAATAAAGAAATACTTTTATAACTCTAGGTATTTTATTAATCGTAATTACTTTCTATCAATTTATGAATAATTTATTATTATAAATACAAATTTAATGAATAAAATTAAATATTTTAGCAAATATTTATGTTTATGAAAACTCTTGATTGACTACCAAAAGGTAAAAAGGTGCCTACTTATCACCAATAGAATTGTAATTTGGCGAAATTTAAAACAGGATTTATTATTCATAAACAATTTTTTCAAACATCTTAAATTTTTTTGATATTTTACAAATTTTGAAATTTATTTAATAAAAAATAAAAGTAAATTAACTGAGACAAAGTCTGAAAAAGTTCTATGGGGTTATTGATTTTAAAATCAAATTCAGTTTATTTGTTAATAACATTAAAAAATGTATTCATTAAATAGTATTTTTATATTTATTAAGTTAAAAAACAAATAAACTATTTTTTGTATCAAAAATATTTGATAAAATTGATTATCAATGGACAAGGTAAAAGAAAATATTTTCAATAAGGTGAAAAATATATTTTTGGTAATTAATTAATTTAATACTAGGATATACAGAACATTTAAGTATAGTAAATTAATATTTGCGCTTGTATTTCTTGATAGTAAATTTTATAAAAATTTAAAAATTACTTAATTTTAATAATGAATACCTCTCTGTAGTTGTACGATTTTATACGAATTGAGGAATTATGGTAGTTAGTCTATTAAACAAAAGGATAGATATAGAATGTGCTTAATATATAATTTTTAACATTTTATTATTTATTATACATTAAAAAGAAACCTTAATTAAATTTAAAATATAAAATTTTAAAAATTAAATGACATAAAAGTTTAAAGTTTACAGCAAAATATTATTCTTTATATATATTTTTTAATTTTAATATTATTTTTAATTTCAACTCAAGCTTGGCTGTTCTACTAATAATTTTTTTCGCTGATAAGAACCTATGATTAGGACATATCAAAACCAATATAGTAAGATTAAAATATTCTATAACCAAATGTCATATTACCGTCTTAATCATCTCTATATGATATTAATAATTCATATTGTTCATTTCCTAAAGGTTCAGTATATTATTCTGGTGTTATAGTAACATTAAAGACTGAACCATCTTATGCTAAAAGTCCTACTGTAATATCTTCAAGTAAATCAATAGAATAGAGTATGGGTCTTTTACCTGAATTAAATGAAAAATTGAAAAGAATTCCTTGTTAGGTAAATTAATCAAGCATATCAATAAATGTTGAGAGTGATACTGTTAGAGCGGGTGTATCAATAGTGAAAAGAACAGTATGGGCTGTGAATAACTCTTTTTTACCATAAGAAAAGCTATTCGTAAGGGCAGAATAGTATCTTTTATATAGACGAGAAACTTATAGATCAACTATCTGATTCTTAGTCTTAGATAAGTCAGGAATACCGATATCAAGTTATCCAGCATAGCCATCATCTGTCTACTTTTTATTTAAGCTTATGTAGACTCTTTCTTCAGTTATCAATCCTTGTTCGAAAATTTCGGCAAGGGCATTAGAATATCTATCACTAAACAGGGGACTAAAGCAAAGCTCCTTAGTGCCATACTCCACATCAACCCCAATTGAAGGAACTTAGAAACTAATATTTGATTATTTGGCACCAAAATAGAACTAAGCTTCATATTTTTTAGTGTAATAATCTATTTTATCAATAAAGTTAGCTCCACATTCATCTAGAGTTCCATAAGGTTGAACAATAGTACTTTATACACAGTCTATTTGAGGTACTAAATCAATCTAACATTTGTTTTGACCATACTTCACTGTCATATAAATGCCATGTTTTTCATTAATTTTCAAAGGAATGCTGATGTTAGCTGAAATCAATCCAAGTAATAGAGAAATTATCAACAATTAGGCAAATTTTCTTATTTTAACCATTTTAGTTTTTTTTTTTGTTTAATTTTATTTTTTATAAATTATTAAATAAGGATTGAAAAATGAAGCTTTTAAACATTACTGAAAAAGTATGATAGAAAAAAGAAGTTTTATAATTAATAAAAAAAATTTTCTTATTGAAACTTTTTATATTCCAAAGGTCTCTTTGTTATTGGAAATATTCTTTTATTAAAAAAATACAATAATAAAAGATAAATATTAATTTCTTAATGAAAATATAATGAGCAAACAGTTTTGCTTTCTTTGAAAGATATTTCTGAAAAAATTATGAGTTAGATATAAATTCTATCAACCATTTTAAATTATCTTTGAAATTACTTTTGAATTCATATTGCTTGTTCATTTAAATTTATGTATTTTTACTAATCCATATAATTTCTAATGTAATCAAATTATTTTTATTTATTTAAATTTAAATTTATCCAAGGAATTATTGTTTCTTTCAAAACATAATTAATAATTTCAGTCACCTATAAAAGAAATATTATGTAAAATTAAATTAATACAATATATCAATGAAAAATTAAGATAACCCTATCAACTAAATATATCTAAAATATCTTATTTTTTAACATTTTATCAATTCCATATTCATTTTATAATTAATATTTTATTTAATTGTCAACAAGCTTGTATTAGAAAGCATTTTTTTACTAAACTTTATCAAACTTAGCTAACATTTGTTAAAATATTAATATACTTTTTGCCTGTAATTTTAAGTTCATATTTGGAAAATAAAATAAGACTTATTAATATAAAATGATCCTAATTGTATATTTAAATTTATATATTATGAAAGAGAGCTGATTAAAAGTTCATCATAAATTCAATAAATCATATTAAACTGTAGAATTTGCATCTCTTCTTTTATAATAAGCTAAAAATTATTACCAATTTAAATTTATTTTTATATTTTTTATTCATGCAAGACAATATTTCTTATTAAAATCTAAATAAGAATTAAATTTTTCCTAAAAGCTATTCTTTCTATCAAGCCATTATAAAGAATATCAAATATAAATGAAATATTTTGTAAAACAAATAATAAAATACTAAGTATTATTTATATATTTTTATCATGACTATTTTTATGTAATTTTATTTTAGATACTAATTATTTCCTAAAATAGAATAAGGATCATATTTAATTTGTAAAAAAATTATTCTAATCAAAATAAAATTAATTTATAAAATAATACTAAAATAATTTTTGATAAAATATATTCATTCATTTATTTAAATTCTAACAAATATTAAGATTTTTATCTTCTTTGCTATTATTAAAAATTTGTATATAAAATAAATTATTAATTTGCTTTTTCCATTTTTTTAAAGCAAATATAATTTAGTTTGAAGATATAAATTAGCAAACTAATTTACATTTTTTTAAATTAATATTAATTTAAATCATATAAATAAATATTAATGAAACATTATTTAAAAAAATATTTTTTGAAGATTATTTAAAAAAATAATTTTAAAATTAATTAAATGGTTCAATTATTAAAAATAAAAGATAAAAAATATTTAATATAATTATTAAAATTATTTAAAATATCTTTATATATTAAATAAAATTTTATTAAAAATATTAAACTTTTAAAATTTGAATTAATTACAATAAAATATAAATAAATAAATAAAAATATTTTTTTTAATTGATAAATTAATTATTAAATTAATTTTAACTATTATTTTTCAAACAGAATATCAAAAATACTACGATAAAAGGATTAAATTTATAAAGTATTGCTTTATATGAAAATAATAAAAATAATTATGATCTTTTAATAGATACTTCACCATAATAATGAATATGAAAAGATATTTAATTGATTATCAATGAAAAATGAATGAATGAGATGGATAAATGGAATATGCTCCATATTGATTTTCAAAATGAATAGAAAGAAGAAGACTAAAACAAGGAAAGAATTATTTATTATTTTAACTTAGAAAAGAATAAATTAAATACGATATAAAGTTTAAAGAGTCTTTAATTAAAATTTAGCCTTTTTGAGGATATTTTTTTATAAGTGCTAACAAGAAGCGAGAAAATTAATATAATATTAAGTAAAACAAAAAAAACAGGAGGAAGAGCCAAAAAGAAAAACTAAATTAATTAATTAAGAATGAGGTAATCATAATTGAAATTATTTTTTAACAAAATTGAAGCTGACTCTCATTAAAGGGAAGGATCTATTCATTGAAAAGCGATGCGATTGAATTCTCTTACAAGCAACATCAGCACATTTAGATTTTATTTTAAGTCTTGCGAATCATAAGTAGAAATGCTGATCTCTATCTATGAATCGAGCACATACATTCTGATATCTTAATCTAATTGTTAAAAATCAATTATCTCCTAATCAAAGAAAATAAAGCATTTTTCTTTAAATAAAACCAACTAAAAATAATTTTTAGCTGGATAAAGAAGGAAACTTCTAATGTAGCCCCTTTTATTGCAGATTATTTGAGTTAGAAGCGACTAAGAATCGATATATCGCTCAAATGAATTGTAAATATTAAGCAATTAATAGGGATTTAAGTAATAGGGATTTTTGATCTTGCAAAAGACAGAATGATAATCTAGATTTAAGATTATTATGAATAGATCTTGCAATAAGAAAAATGAAATTAATATGGTGCGTGTTTGGTTGTCTAAGAGAATTAAAATTTTTAGAAAAAATTGAAAAATGCATGCAAAACTTATGAATAGAATTCTCTCTAAAAAAAGCTTTAATTTATTTGCTTGTTAGCAGTCTAATCAAGTAAATATTCTGATTATTTATTTTAAAATAAATAGCAAAATTTCATCCGAATTCTTGAAGAACACCATTACCCAAATGTTGTCTGATAGAAAGAAAAGAGAATTCACTGAAACTGTTGAACTCCAAATCGGTTTAAGAGATTACAACCCCGATAAGGATAAACGTTTCACCGGCTCGATCAAGTTACCTAACATGCCCTACCCTAACAAAAAGATCGCTATCATCGGTACCATGAGACACTGCGAAGAAGCTAAGGCTGCTGGTATTGCTTGCATTGACACTGAAGGTCTTAAGAAGTTCAACAAGGAACCCAAGCTCATCAAGAAGTGGTTCAAGCCCTATGACACCTTACTTTGTTCTGAAACCCTCATGAAGCAACTCCCCAAGCTCTGCGGTAACGTCTTGTCCAAGATTGGTAAGTTCCCCATCTCCATCACTGAAGGTGAATCCGTCGTTGCTAAGGTCAAGGAATTATAATCTACCGTCAGATTCCAACTTAAGAAGGTCGTCTGTCTCGCTACCGCCGTTGCCACCGACGCTTTGACTGAAGAACAAATCAGACAAAACATCAACATGTCTCTTAACTTCTTAGTCTCTCTTTTGAAGAAGGGCTGGTAAAATCTCAAGACTGTCCACATTAAGACCACCATGTCTAAGTCTTACAGAATCTTCGGTTGATTTGCTGACAGCTAGAGCGTATTTTTGTTAGTGAGTTAGGCATAATGGGTAATACACCTCCAGTCTTTTCATATTAGATATTTAAATTATTAGGTAAATGAAGGATAATTTTTATCTTAACATCGATCCTACAAAAATCAGACTGAAGCGTAAGCCAATATTACTTTTTTCTTTCTATTATACTAACAAACTAACAATTAACTTATAAATGTAAATCTTTATTTGTATACAACTAATGTGTATTAATATTTATATTTAAACAAACTCCTATTATCAAATTTCCTATATAAATATAAACTCATTTCATATAAAATGTAATTAATTAATTAAATTCATCAATTTTCAAATTCATAAATATCCAGAAAGCAAATAATAATATACATTTAAAAAACATAATGTGCTTAAAAGCCAAACTAATTAATTAAATCAGCTGCAAGCAAAACTTGCTATATCATTTTGTATATTAGTATTTAATAAGATATTTTAATTCATTTTTAATTATTATTTAATTATTCTAAAAAATATTACATCCTTTGTAAATTTCTTAAAGCCTCATTTAAAATATTTAAGCAATATATGAAACTAAGTGTTAATATCCATTAATTATTATATTTAAATCCTATTATTAAATTTCCTAAATAAATATAATACTCATTTCAATCAAAGTAAAATTAATTAAATTTATCTCTTATCAAATCCATAAATATCCTATACATTTTAAAAAATATAATGTGCTTAAAAGCCAAGCTAATTTAATCAACTGCAAGCAATACTTGCTTTATCTTTTTGCAAATGAATATTCAATAAGATGCTTAATTTTAATTATTCAATTATTCTAATAAAAAATTCATCATTTTTAAATTAATTAAAGCCTCCTTTAAAAATATTTAAACAATATATGGAACGAATAACTAAGTATATTTAGCAAGTATAAAAGATATGAATATTGCATTTTTAAAATCTTTCGAATTATTATTACTTTTTTAAATACATTACACCAATAATTTTAATTATTTCAAATTTAGTAATTTTATAAATTTATTTAGTATTTTTAAATTATATTTTAATTTGATAAATAATGATTTTTTTAAAAACGATTTTAATAGAGATAAAAATAAAATTATACATATAATTTATAATTAATAAATCACCAAACAAAAACTTTAATGATGCATATTATGTTAATATATTAAATTGGCTTCTAATATTTTAAAATATAAGTTAATAAATATTAAAGTTTCATTAATTTATTTTTCTTCAAAATAACCAATTAAATAAACAAAATAAATTTGAATTATTTTAGATAAATTTAAAGCTATTTTAAGGATTTAAATTATTTTATTCTACATAATTAAATTTTCTATTGATATTTTTAAATGCATCAATCAGTAATACTAATTTTTATTTAATTTTAAGAAATTATAATTTTAATTTTCTTTATTGAAACAAAACTAATTTTATAAATAGAGATTTGTAATTTAGCACATCAGAATTAAACATTTTAAATATAGAAAATATAAATTTTTTTCATTTCTTTTTAGGAGGATTGATTATATTTTATGCTTGCTCTAATACTTGTTCTTATGATTAAACTACCTTATTTTAAACATCTTGATTATAATTATTTAATTTATTATCTACATATTATTAAATAAGTAAATCTTCGCCTGTTAAAACTCTTTTTTTAGGGCTATCTTTATCTTAATCTATATGTTCTTATTCTTATTCGGTTTGGTGTTAATCTTATTCTTCATCATATTCATCTTCATGTTCATTTTCTTATATTTTATTAAATAAATATTTTAATGCAGGAACTTCTGCTGGGTTATCTATCTTCTTTCCTGAGGAAAGACTCTACAATTAAGGGAAATTATTATCAAATTTATAGTTAGAGTATATATTCAAGTCTATGAATTTAGTCATTGTCAATTCATACAAAGAATAATATCTATAGAAGGATCCTTTAATAAAATCAATAACATTCTTGCAGTGTTATTATGTAAATATAGGTATAGTCTAAGTACTGAATATTTTTGTTTATTCATGTAATGCTTGCTTTAGTAAATTAAATGAGTCTATTTAAGTCATCTTTTTTTCCATAGATTTAATGAATATTTCATAAGCTAAGCTCATCAAGGTACTTTTCTACTCAGCTGTGTAATTTTAGCTATTCATAAACCTATTTTTAATTGATTAAAATTATTATTAATCATGATATATAATATTGAGAAGGGTCAATTAAAATAAAAATAATAATAATTTAGTTTAAAAATATTTCTATCATTTAAAGTTCCTTGATTGAATTATCATCATATTAATTACCTATATAACTGGCAGAGTTAATCTACAAAAACCTCATTTCTATTCTCACTAGCATCTTTTTAAACCCAATTTACTAAGATATTTTCTATAATATACTTTCTAAACTATTCTGGTTGATTTTCTAATTTAATTAAATTTAAAATGTCGTTTCTTGTAAAGTGAGTATCATAAAATATCCACTGCGAATGTTGAGGATTATCAGTAATTCCCTTAAACATTTTTTTACAGAAAAGGTGTTTTTGTTTTAAAAATTTAAGCTTTTTATTATTTATAAGAATGTGATACTTTATCAAACTACTTAATAATTATTAAAAATAATGCAAAACAAATTAATTAATTAATGAATGATACAGTTATTTTTTCAAATCTTCATAGATTTTTTGGTAAGCAAAAATTCAATTTTTTATTAAACAATAAATTAATTGAAATTTTATTTGAAAATATATCTAGGTCAACTTTATTATATTAAATATAAGAAAACAATATCCAGTTAAAATAAAATGATTTATCTTAATATTCTAACAATTTCAATAAAATTTATTTTAAAATATTCAAAACTGATACAAGTAAAAATTGCACATAATATTGGGCTATAAAAAAAACAAAAAAACAATATTACAAGGGTGTACGACTCATTATTTGCTAAATATAAAATCAAATAAATTTATTCAAATATAAAGGAAACCTTTAGTTTTGAAATTAAATAATCTTCACTCGAAAATGGAAATCTAAAATTTTGATATGATTAAAATAAATAAAAATTACTTTTGAATATTGAATAGTTTAATTTCTCATCTCTTATTGTAAACTTACTCAACATTTGTAATGAACATGTTTTGTAGAAGAAAAAATATATTAATGAAGTTTACTACTTTAAATACATAAAGATAAGCTATATAGATATTTTTGGCATAACTAACTATACACATAAGAGAAACTTATTACATAAATACATACATTTACAATCCATTAATAAAAAAGGTTTCAAAATTTTTTTTACATTTATATAAGGAATTCATTTCTATTTATAAGGAAAATTATTTTATTCTAAATTTATGCTATAAAAGATAGTTTTTATGTCAAATTTTTTTGGTGCGAATACATTTATATTTATATTTATTTTATTAGTGTTTTGGAAATTGCAATAAATGATTGATTATATCTTTAGGATATCATACTTACAGAATATAATTAATGATTATTTAACTTGTTAAGGGTTATGCAAATATCTTTTAATGAATAAGGGTGAAATATTTCTTTTTTATTTCAGTGTTGAAAAGCTGTACTAAAGTTTTTCTGACTAAAAAAGGGCTGTGATGGATGATTTCTCATTGGAGAAGTGGAGTTATAATTAAAAGCAGAATCATAATAGTTATTATTATTATTATTTAATACGAATGGGTCAACATTACTTTTGAAATGGTTATAACTTCCACCATTGTTATAAAAGGGATCATGGTTATTCATGTCATATCTATTTGGAGAGTAGTTGCTTCGATTGATACCACTAATTTATTTACCAAGCTACATTTGAGGTGTACCATGCATTCCATTATTGTTATTATATGAGTAATGAGTGCTTGCTTAATTGTTATAATTATTACATTAATTATTCACACTATTATAGTTGCTCTAATAACCTGTATTTGAAGTCTTCATGGAACTATATTAGCTTCTTGATGGTGAGTAGTCTTATTTAATCTATGTATCTAACTCTATATATAGCTTTTACAACAAATCTTTCACGTGAGAGAGAGTAGCTCTCTAATCTGGATTGCTTTTCACCATGTCTTCTATTAATTCTTTAATTTTATCTAAGAAATAGTTACTTCCTATTGCATACTCAGTTATTATCAAGTTGAAACCAGCGTATACTCTTTTATCACGACAAAAGTTACCTTCTCCAGAATCTATTCTGAAGAAAAGGTAGTGAAAAATCATCCCTAAACTCCAAACATCTGAGTTAGGTCCAAATTGAGATAATGCTTACACAGTATTTAATGGGCCAAAAGATGGATTAGAGTTTGTTGCATAGCTTGCTAATTAACTCTTTTGTGGAGTTGAGAAATTATTTGCCATCGCTACCTATGGTTTCTATGTATTTATGCTATTTACTACTTCGGGAGGTGTGTAGCCATAACTAACTTGATATTTATCATCTTGCTCATCATCATCAATATTTTCTTCTGCTTGCTGTATTTTCTCTTTTTTACGGATTTCCCATCCACTTAAATAAGGATGCTTTTTACTATCAAACAAGATATTTGAAGGCTTTAAGTTTAGATGAAAGATACTACTAGCATGTAGATTTTGCAAGCTATCACAAATATAAGAGGCGATTAAAAGTTTGTCTAATAGAGAGAATAAATTCTTTCTCATAGCTCCATAAAGATTATACGATTAAGCAGGATAAAATAAATAAAGGGAAATAGCATCGTTTGAAACAGGCTAGTAAGAGAATCCCTTTATATAAATCAAACTTTGACCTAAAAATACTTAAGCTAGATGTTGCTAATAAGCTAAGCTATTAACATTTGTAGATTAGTTGTTAATTGAACTGGATTAATTCATCAATTTTTTTTCTTGACTCTCTATAAAATAGAACATTTCATCTACCTCTCTTGGATTACTAATTAAAAACTATTTGACTACAACAGGTTCTCCATCGAGGATAAGCTAGTCTTCTGGTGATATGTTCATGTGCTTTTTATATGAGCGAAATTTTGATAATTTATCAGCTGATATCATATTTATGTCCATATTTTTAATAGAATGCAAACTTTATGATTGTTAAGGTACAGGGTTTCTATTTAGTATGACTGCTTCGCTTGTTGTATAGTTGCTACCTCTATGAAGGAAATCTAAAATAATTACGTCTTTTGGATCGAAGAAAGTTCTCTTGATCATGAGCTGATTTATCTTGTCTTGTATTGGTTTGCTAATGTTAAAATTGGAAAACCCAAAACTTAAGTATTTGGATTAAATGTTATTACCAAAAATGCTTTAATTAGGTTGACTTTTCTTGTAAGGTGATAGCTACTCTGCACTTCCATTCATAGTTTTAAATTGATTTTGTTAGAATATATTACCATTAGCAGAGTTATTTTAGAAAGGTTATGAACCATTCTAATTTCTCTAATTCATGCTATTTTTGGGAAAGTTCTCATTTTATTATGTCTAGAATGTTTTTATATCTCCTTGATAATTTAATCCTACATAATCAATATTATTTGGATTTGTTTATAGTTGTTGCTAAGAAAGTCCAGCATTTTCGTTATTATTATAATTAAAAATAGGTTATTGACTATTACTCTTATTTATATTTGGACTATGTTGCTATTAGTAGTTTACATTTTGTGATCTGTTTGTGTTAAATTATTAATTGCCTTATTGAGCTTCAAAATAATTTTGTCTATCTTGGCTGTTAGGATTGCTACTGCTACCAAGCAGTTATTAAGCAAGAATATTACTATTTTGCAAGTTGTTTTATTGATTTTCATAAGGCAAAGCATTACTAGCTTTTATGTTGTTGCTTGCATTCATGTAATTTACTCCTCCTGAAATTTAAGGTTAAAACTAAACTTACTGTGGAGGGCTAGATTAATTTATTTATTATTGTTGCTATTATCCATGCGCAGTATTAGGAAGTGAATGATTCATCGAGCTTGATTGTTAGGCTTAAATATTTCTATTATTTATACCAGATTAATAGTTATTACCTTAGTTATTCATAAATATGTTACTATTATTTGCGTTATTTTAAGCGTTATAATTATTAGGATTGGTGTTAATAACACTGCCATTCATATTATTATTTTAATTATTAAAGCTAGCATGCATATTACTTGGTAGATTATTTTGGTTGTTTTGATAATTACTTTAATTATTAAAATTATTATTTCCATTAAAGTTACTTTAAAGATTATTAGGATTGTTTATATTACTCTAATTCATATTATTATTTAACTGACTTTAATATAAATTTTGAGAATTTTATTGATTCCCTAATTAAGAACTATTTTATCCATTGTTTTACTAATAAAAACCATTTTGGCTGTTTTGGATTCCATTTAAATTACTTTATTGCATTTATTCTAATCCGTTAATCTTGCTTCCATTCATTTAATTTAGTTAGCTCTAATTCATCTGCTGCTATGGATTCTGATTAAATCCATTGATGTTAGACTATCCTAAATTTTATGGGTTGTTATTGTTGTTAATCATTTAAGACTAAGATTAAAGCTGCTATTAAGCTTGAGGAGATTATATGCCATGCCCATAATATAAGGATGCCTAACCTTAGCTATTTGTCTTTTTTTCTATTTTAATGCAAAGTATTTCGTATTGCAGAGTTGTTACATTATTATTTGTGATTTTATTATTTAAGTACAAATTTAATGCCTCTAAATAAAATTTTTTAGTATCAAGAAAATTTTTGCTCCATAGCTTTGAGATTCTAGCTAAATAATAAAGACACACAATATTAGCAGTTTTTTGATTCTGTTAACTTTATAATCTTGAAGTAAATTAGTTGTAACTCTTTTAGAAGTGCTCATTAACTTATTAACTATTTTACAAATAATAAAGTTAATTTACAAAATAAAAATAATTTTTCATTTTTTCCTTTTTCTCAGATAGAAAATTCATTTAATGATTCATAAAAAATAAATTTGATAATATATAAGTTACTCTGTGTATTAGTAGTTCAGTTTTCTTTTCAATTTAGCAGCTACATAATTAGCATAGGCATAACTATTTTCATTTTATTTAGGCATGCTTAATTCTTTATTGATTGACTCTAATGCTAAAGTCAAGTTGATGGGAATTCCACCTAATCCTTTTTCATAAATTTTGCTTCTAATTCTCATGGTTTGAGAATAATGAAGAGACGATTATAGAATAAAGAACTGCTTTTCGAATAAAAATTCATTTACTTAAAAGACTTGCTATATCAGTTCAGATTTTTCTGGTCCTCCAAAAAATTTAAGGAAATTATACATCTCATAGAACACTTCACGTTTATTAAAGAAGAAAAAATGATCTCTTTAAGCTTTTGAAAGTAAATCGAATTCCTTTAACAACAGATTTAGAGCTGCTCTGTAAGCTTCTTTCTTTCCACTTATGCAAACATCTATGAACAACTTTAAATTTTTGCTAATATTCACATTTTTCTGAATGAGAGTCTAAAACAAGTAAATTAAGCAAAACTAATCGCCAAATATTTTTATCTAATTTTGTAATGCTATTAATAGTGTATCATACTTTTCCTATCCATGTAGCTTATTCTCACAGAATTGATAATCAAACATTAAAGAGTAAACTCTTTTCATTTCATTGCTGAAATAAGCTCCTCCATATCTCTGAATTAAAATATCACTTAATTTATAGCCTTCCTCATAAACCTAAATCACGTTAAACATTTGTTAACGGATATCGAGAGAGTTTCCTTCATACTAAATATCTATCAATATTGCTGACATTACTAAAAAAAACAAAGCTTTTTATTTATCAACCTTATTTTATATTAAGAATATTAAAATATTTTCAAATAAACAGTAAAATAATATGATTGATTGTAAATGCTATTAGTATTCAATTTAATTTATTTTATCTTCATATACTTGCATTTCTTTTTAGGGATAAAATGGTGAGTACAAGTATATAAGAAAAAAATTTAATTTATTTTGCAAAATTATTCATTTAGATTTTACCTTAACTCGACACCTATTTTTTGGGTTACATTGTGTAGCTGCGATTTTGTAAGCACATAGTGAGTCTTAGTTCTCTTCAAACCCCTATAAAAATATCTCATAAGCCTTGATAGGATCTGGTCTTAATATATTTGGAATACCACATTCAAAATAAAGTCCCCTTATAAAGTAATAAAACTAACAAAGAGGAGGTTTTTCATGAATTAAATGGTATTTTGTAGGAGGTTTTCTTGCAGGAGTTAATTTCTTTTGAATTGCTTTCCTATTTGCTTCAATTTCTTCATCTTTTACGAAGTGCTTCATCATATCTTGATTTAAGTAGACCTCAAACATTTTCCTCCAATCTGGTTCAGAAATGTTCAAGATCAAATTTTTAGACTTCAAGTTGATTTTTTTAATCATGATTATCTTCTGTGAAGCAATCTAAAATAGACTTTTACCTATAAATTACCAGTTTACTGTTAATAATGACCTATTAGTTTTTAGTAAATTTTATTATATTCTACTCCTTTAGTTCTTTACTTTTTTTACTGTTATTAGATGTACCTTTTGATTTATGAATGATTTTAAACGTTTATAATTCTTTAATTTATTTTAATTATCTAAAGACTTCTATATTCCTCAGTATTACTATTTTTTCAAGCACTTTTCTTTAATAATTTGCTTGATTGCTTGACTAATTTATAAAGACTGTAGTAAAACTCACTTAATGATAAAAAAAGAAGAATATATACATAGTACTCGTTAATAGTATATATAACTTTCTATTTCTTATATTTGATTTTACTTTCTTTAAATTTTCAACGAATAATTCATTGAATATTTGAAAAATCTCTAAATTCAATGAATAAATCTAAGAATTAAAATTTAAGCTAAATTATTTTGCAAAAATACAATTCTAAGACTCACAGTAATAAATTTTAAGTTGAAAGAAGTGATTAGCATGATAATTTATATTTATTTCTTGTTTAATTTAAAGAAGAATCTCCTTTCTTTTAAATTTTATTATCAGTGTGAATTAAAATTTAAGTTAAACATTAACAATAAATTATTTATTACAGGTATTTTTAAAATATATTTTATCTAATAATTTATCAAAAAAAAAAGTCTTAATAAAAAATTCAAATATTTTTTGGGATTTTATAAATTTAGTTTACACTATAAAAACAATTAAATTTTTCTAAAAGAAACAATAGAAGTATGAATCAGTCAGTCAGTACTAGTATCAACAATAAATAAATTGATTATTTTGCTTCAGTTTTTAGAAATTATTATATTTATTAGATAAATAAAAAGTCATTTTCTCATAGTTCCTTTATGCTTAACAAATGCATCTGTAAAAGAATTAATATCGTTTTTCTTAATATGATATTTCAAATCTGCATTTATAATCATTTTTTCTTTCTCTTGAGTGTGTTCTATTAATAAATAGTTACAAAATTAATAAAATTGCTCTAAAATTAAATGTTCTTAATAAGTAGTTAATTTACAGTAATTATTTAAGTAAGAAGTCTACTTATTCTCATTTTGTACTCCTTCGAACATTAAAGAAACATGATCTTTAGTATAAAAATTAACCCTTTTTTAGTTTTCATCTTCTTCCTATTTTTTTTATTCTATAAATAAATGTGTGTTACATATGTTATTCATGTTTCAAATTATTACCATTATATTATTCCTTTAGTTTTTATGATTTTCTCATTTCTTTTATATCTTCAAACTATTGGCTTGTCTTTTTATTAAAATCTTTGTACGTTGTATTAACTTTGTGGGTATCTTTAAATCCTTGAGAGATAGTTTTTCCTACTTCGTTTATACTGTCGCTATTTTAATATGGTAATTATTTTATTTCTGCAGATCTGCCTAAATTGGTTTCTTAAAATATTAATTATGATCTAGCTTCCTCTGGATCTACTCCAGCATCTATCAGTTCATCCTCTTTTTTATTATAATCGTTTGCTTTCTTTTAGAGAGTTTAGATTTTTATTCTTTTCTCTTGAAAATTCATAGCTATTTTGCAAATATAGTGTAAGATCTACTCTGTGTTAATCGATAATCTGCCAAAAATAAAATAATAATTTCTATCAGTAGAAATTAAGAATTAGACTTTTTGAAGCTCAATTTATTCTTTCAATTAATTATTATAAATAAAATTTCATTTTTCAACTAATCTTAAAAAATACGTTTTACAAATTTTATAAATTTATTTTATATTTTTTAGATTAGCTGCTTAATTTATATTATTAAACATATTGAATAATTTGAGTATTTTATTTATTATTTTGCTCTTTAGCTAAACCATTAAATATGAAATAAAGTATAAAAATGTTTTTAAAAATTAATTGTCTTTTGTTATTCTAATTATTATCTCGGGGAGTAATTCTAATTAAAAAACCAAAAATTACTTAAAATTTAAAAAATTTATTTTATATTTTCAAGAGCTAATTTTTATTGATGAAAATACAATTTTTGATGGTTTTCTTTTTTTAAAGACTAAAAAGGTTAAATACAAAATGATAATCATGATAAAATAAAATAGAAAAATTTTATTCATTTTTAAAAAGTATTTAGAATATTTAAAAGTAAAATAAAAGCATATCTTTCTGTCTATCATATCTGATATTAATTTTTATTATGCACATTCAAATTATTAGAGCTCACCAAATATTTTTTGATACTATCCTGACTGATCTCTCTTATTTAATTACTTATTATATATAAGAAGAACTCAGTGTTAAGAAATTAAATAGCTTCTTTCAAAGATATAAATTTATTAAATAGTTAGATAGTGTTTTGAAAATTAATAGAAATGGATTAATAGCTTAATTTAACAAAAGATTAGTAGAATTACTATAACAAGATTTATAAAAAGATGATAGAATAATAAAGCATTATAACTTAGAGTATCATGAATAGCTTGTTATATAAAAAAGGAGATGTTTAGGAAAAAGATATTGCAAAATATATCATAGAGTAATCTATAAAATTAAGCAAATCAGAGAATAGCAATATAAATAAGAATGGATTCATGTTAATGATGAAGTACTTAACCGTTTATTAGAGTGGAAAGAATGTAAAAAATATAGACATTTTTACTATTTAGACTACAAATCTTCCAAAATTTAGCAGTAGAAAAGCGAAAGAAAAGAAAGAAAGAGAGATGGAATCTTAATTAATGTTGAGCTAATTAAATTATAGTCAGTTAGCAGAAGAGGAAAAGGAGGAGTCTAAAGAAAATCCTAATTAAAACAATAATAATTAGCAAAGTAATCAAAGAGCTATGTATCCTAGCTTATAAATGAGTATCGTAGATGCAAATTAAAGAAAATTTTCTTTTTCTGATAATAGTAATAATAATGAAGACAGTAATATTTAAAATTCAAGAAATTTAGAGAATCTAAATATTGCTTAGGAATAACTTATAAACACTGCTTAGTTTTAGCAGGAAAAATAAAATGAGTAATTTGGGAATTAATCATTTGGAAATCAAAATAGCGAATTGAACGAAGAAGCGTATATGTCCTTAAATTTTTCTAATATTTAAAATATAAGTAAAATTTACCTTTCTCAAATCAATAACTTTACTTCTGACGGTAACAGCAAGGGGAAGAAACCTAAAATTGAAATAAGAGATTTTATAATAAAAGAAGGAACTTATATGACAAAAAGCTATATTTTATATAACATTCATTATGGACTATAGTCTGAAAAAGTAGAGAGAAGGTTTAAAGAATTTGAGGAATTAAACAATTATTTGCTTTCTAAAAAGGAATACAAAGGATTAATTATACCTAAGCTTCCTCCAAAATAAATAAATATCAGCCAATTAATAGGTACATAAATACAAGATAGCGAATTTTAAATTAAGCGCATGGCAGACTTAGAGGATTATCTTAATAAGATAAATAATAGTATTCAGCTTTCTGAAGATCCTGTTTTTATCTAATTTGTTTCTAATAAAAGTTCATTCACTCAGAACAGCTAGAGTACAGTGCTTAACAAAATGAGCTAATGGTATAACTCTATCACTAGCCAAAGTCTTCAAGAAAATTCTGAATACTTATAAGCCATGATCGTACATAGATTTAATGAGTACTACAGAAATGATTAGTAAGAGCATACTAAAACAGAAGAAATAGATTAAATAATGCAATAGATTAACAAATATTAATTGTACGTTGATAATTTGCAATAGATCCTCTATGAACAATACTAACTGGAAAAATAGAAGAGAGAAAAAATATAATCACTATCAACAATACATGACCAACCTTTTGAATAAATTTAAGAATTAGAAAATTATCTGGTTTTATATTCTACAAATTATAAAGATAATGCTGATAAAAAGAAGGAGGTTTGGAAGGAATTTAGAAGTATTTATTCACAAATTGAAAGCGCTAAGTAATCTCACGATATGTTGCTTTAACAAATCAAGCACTAATAATTTTTAAACTAGTTAAAATCTAAAAAGGTATAAAATTAGTAACCAAGTAACTAAGAATAAAAGCAAAGGATTAAAGAAATTGATGATGAAATACTAGAAAGTGAAAAGGAAATAGTACATACAAAGATACTATTGAAAGAGGAGTTGAGTAAATTTTTAGAAAACTTAAAGAAAAAGATAAGAGAGTCTCTTGAAATATTCTAATCAAAAACAATAGAAGAATTTGATTTAAAGTGAATAAATTTTAATTTTATGAATCGTATTTTATATCCTACAATCTAATTTAAATATTTGTAAAAAAATAACTTTCTAACCATTATTTATCATTTATTTTATCGCTTTAAAACTATAAAGTATTTCATTCTTGCAAATAAATAGCATAACGAAAAAGTCTAAAAAATGTATGAATAATATTGAAATATTTCATTTTGAATTAACTTTTTTTATTAGCTTTAGTTTTTTCTTATTAGATTTATTTTTGAATAAAGAAATATTAAGAGCTATTGCATGAAGTGTAATTAAAGTTTTTTCTTTATGGTTTTTCTACAAAATATTTATCAATCAAGGCAACAATCTCTCCAAATATTTGTTTTTTTACAAAATATAAAAAAACTTTTATTATTAATTAAGAATCTCTTTATTGCATAAATTGAAGGCTGAAATTTGTTTATTCGTGAATAAAATATTGGTGATAGAATATTTTCAGTTAATAAAAGCAGAGTAAAAACAAACAAAGATACCTTCTTTAAAACAAACTATTTTATTTTTAAAAGTAATTCACAAATATATTTTATTATTTTAGATTGTTTTTAACTATCAAGCTAGAAGATTAAAGGTATCTAAAATTTTAAATACTTTTTTTAGCTTGAAATTTCTTTTTTTATAAAAATTTATAAAGGAATAGCTTTATTGGTATGATAAAAAACTATTTAAAAGAAAAATAAGTTTTATTTAGAGAAAAAAATATTTTTTGCAAATAATTTTGAGTGTAAATACAAATTTTCATTTTTCTAAAATAAATCCTTGGTGATTTCTTCAATTGAATTAATTTTTATTTGATAAAAATAGATTTCCTTAAATATAAATATTTAAATATTGTTTAGGATCACTCAATTCTGATGACTAAGCTGGGAAAAGTACCAATTTTTTCAATTTGCAATCTAATTTGATTTGTAAAAATTATTACATAAAAAATAAGAAAATTTAAATATTGAAGTCTAATCTGGGGAAACAATAAATCTTTCTTTTATTTAACGATTTAAAAATTATATAAGTGTAAGAAGCATTAGAATAGTCATAAAAAAACAAAATACAATTGACGAAGAAATTATTCAGAACAAATTTGAGAAATATTAAAATTAGATAATTATATATAATATAATAATAATAAAATACATATATAGGATTTAAACTAAATTGATTATTCGATTATTAATGTTACACATCATTTTTTATTATAAATATTTGAGATTTTTAAAAATTATAATTTATTATTTCTTTCACCACTTAAGAGGAATTTTTCCACAGTGATTAAAAACTAACTATTTGTTATATACTTTCTTTCAATAAAGAAACTCACAGAAACTATCCATTTGTTTATTTTAGATATTTAATAATAGTTAAGGTTTCTTAGTTTTACTCTTCTTATTCTGTCTAAAAGCTCTTCTGATATCTATTAATCTTCAATTTTACTTATTCTAGCATTTTTAGAGATATATATATGATGACCATACAAATTATTATAATGAAAACTACTATGTAAAAGTTAATCAGTGCACTAGAAATAGATATTGATTGTTGTGTGACTTCTAGGATCAACTAGACAAAAAAGTATAGCATCAACCCAACCATGGATAAGAGAAACAAAAAGCAAGGTAGTAGCTCTCTGTATCTACTCCAGTTACGGTATTTAAAAAGAGATAAAGAGTAAGGAGTTGAACACATTTTGCAGCAGATGCTTTAATTTGGATTTTCAAGGATATTTTAGATATTTTGTCTAATTTCATCCTCTAAACATGCATTGTGTACCCAGTAGTTGGGTGCTTGGCAGCTACAAGGATTTATAATTTGATGGTCTTTATCTTCAGTTTTAAATCCTTGCTTCTTGCAAATACGGCAAATTATTGAGTATTATAATTTAAATATTTGATCAAAATCTGTTTAATTATCACTGAATTCTGAGCAATAATAATTACTATTTTAATCTTGATTATTGTTTTTTGTAATAATATTACTTTCTATATCACTTTTTGTAATTGCTGAGCCTATTCTCTGCATATTTATAATCTATTGTTTAGCATATTATTTGCACTCATCTTCAGAGTTCTATGACTCTACTGAAATTAAGTCGCCTTTCACAGTTTTCAGCTCAAGCATCCTCAAGTAATTTTAAATACTATGAGAGTTTTTGTAATAAGGTACTAAAGACTTAATGGAAGGTCTCCTGTCTCTACTTGTTTTAGACTCTTCAGTTTTCAAAAATGGATTAATCGACTATGGAGCTTCTGAGAGTTATTGTTAAGCAGTATTTAGATTCTTGTTGATTTCATCAGTCCCACTTTTAGAATCATAGGATAACTCATTCTTATTTTTTTTTATAAGTTATTGTATTTTCCTTTCAGTATGGGAAAATTCTTAAGCATCTTCCTCATTTGCTTTATCAAAAATGGCAATCTATTATCCATATGATTTAACTATATCAGGTGAGCATTAAAAGGTAAAGTCAGGATTATTTTTGCTGCCACTGCTACTCATTTTAGGAGTTTAGAAAAGATTAAGTTAATACAACAAGGAGTAATGGATTTTATTCTATTTATTAGATAAGAATATATTTTTTTATTTTAAATTTATATTGTAATTTCTTAATTGGATTTTTAGTTTTTATAATACAACTCTACGTAATTATATAATAATATATGACTTACAGTTATTTATTTCAGTATAAATTTGCAAATTTATGTTTTTAAAAAGATACATCTAGGATACTTAAAATGATTAATTAAATAATTGGGTAATATTTAAATAAAAGCAAAGAACAAACAATTTAAATTAATTAAAACAATATTTAGCTAAATAACAATTATTGGCCACTAATAATGTTTAAGTAACAATTAGTAAATTATTAAATAAATTTCTTGAAAAATCTAAATTCAATTACTTTTACTCACAAAATCCAATAAATTACAGAATAATTTATAACTGATCTTTTTTTATTTTAGAAAATTTAAAAATCTATATTTATTTAATAATTTATTTATTAATTTAGAGTATGTAAAACTAAAAATCATTTTCCTAAATAAACTTTGTCAAATTAATAAGGTTTATTGTATTTTGAATTATAAACTCTTATGTGTATACCTTCTTGCTTTAATAATTTCATTTTTTTTTATTTGAAAATTAAAAGAATGTCAATAAAACTGATTCGAAAGTCCTGTTATAACTAATCATGATAATTATTCATTTTAAGAATTTGCAAGAATAAATATATCTATCTATATATCTATCTATCTATCTATCTATCTATCTATCTATCTATCAATCATTATTAGATCGAATTTTGTATAAAATAATTTCCATGAATATTTTTTTATTTACCAAATTTTTTCAAATAATATTTCAAAATGACATACTCATAAATTAAGAACAAGTATAAAATATTTTAATTTTTAAAAAATTACAATTTTTAATAATATGTTCAAGCCAAATCATGCATTAATTATCAGAATTTATTTATATTATTTAAATATTCTAAATATTTTATTCATATTTTAATATGATGTTTTAGAATATATTTGATGAGATTAATGATTACAGGCTTTTATTTTTATTTTCTTCCAAGATTTTTATCAAAAATACATAATAAGAAATAATCTTTTATATATGTAAAATAAAATTTTTAATAAACTAATTTTATAATTAGAAATTATAATCTCTACTAATTTTTATATTATTAATTTGATTATTTTTAATGCTAAGATATTTTTCAAAAAGGCCAATAGTTATTAGAATATATAAGTAAATAATAATTAAGAAAAACAAGATTTTAATTCTTATCTAAATTTGAGAAAATGGAAGAAAGTAAAAATTTTACATTAGACAAAGGAATTTAAAATTAAATAGAAAGCATTATAACGAATAATCTAAATAATAAAGAATTTAGTGGTTAATTCACTATCGCAGACCCAAATGACAAAGAATAGTAGTATTAAGTCATCCACATCAAAAATCAAATTGATTCAGTTTACGATTCTTTTTTTTAAGAATTATAAGAAATTTATAATAATAACTACTTTATAAAACCAAGCAACATATTCTAATTAGAATTTAAGGAAAATAATTATATCGTGCTACAATATATTCTATCTGATTAAATAGATTTCTTTCAAAGTTTAGATAAATAAAGCGAGGAAAATCTAAATTACTTAATTGATGGTTGTCTGACTTAGTTTAAAAAGATTTAACAACACTAAAATATAAAAATATGTTCTTCAGAAGAATTATTTTAATAAAAATTAATTGAAGGAATTTTCTTGAAATTAGTGCCTGATATTAATGTATTTAAAAACTATTATCTTTATAGAGAAGAAATAAATGAGGAAAATATCATTTTTATGTTAAAAATAATAGAGAGATATTTTTTAAAAAATTCTGAATATTTTAAAATCGAACGTTAGTTTATAGATCAACTTTTAAAAGAAAATAGTATAATAATGAATATTGATTCTATTAGTATGTATTTTAAAATGATGAGGAAATTTAAATAATAGTATAAACACACTTTAAATACAAATTTAGTTTTCATTAATTATCACTTTGTCATATATGAAGTTTAAGTAGGATCCATAAAAAATTCTGAGTTAATTGTTATGAAATTTTCTGATTGTTATTAATAAGATAATCAAAAAGATTAATACAAGATTTAATTTATTGATGGAGAAAAGATTGCTAATCTTTCGGAAGTACAAATTGGAGAAGACTTGAAGATTATAAAATTGGAAAAATATAAAAATTATGATAATATAATAATTAAATTATTAAGATAATACCAAGAAAATAATGGAAGTAATTAAAGCCTATTAAATCAACTATGGCAGTATGGATTGAAAAGTGGAACTTTTTTAATTTAATAAAATATAGATTAATAATGTTAAATGTGTACAAAATGCCTTGCAAGGTATCATAAAAATAGTTAAATAATTGAATAAGGTAATTAGAGGATTTAATAATTTATAAAAAAAAAATTCTAAAAATTTGAAGATTCTGGAAAATCTTACAAAGAAATACTATTAGATTTGGAATAAAAATAATTTTAACATCAAATCGTAAAAGAATATTTAGATTAATCAGATTACTTAATATATAAGATAGGATAAGATATAATAGTTGAAATTACAACTAAAGATTAATAATATGCAAACTTAAAAAACCAAGTAAATAATGAATAATTCTTAAATCAATAAGACAAAACAATTAAAGACAATTAATAGGCAGCTTAATCAATTTTTTTAATTTTAAAATTAATAATTTATTTGAATAAAAAAAATGTAATAATTTACAATTTCTTTGAAGATTATATTCTATTTAATGATTCAAGAATTTATTTCTTTTATTAATTACCTTAATAAAGTCAAAATAGTTTATAAAAAAAGTAATAATAATCTTAATCTATTTATGATTCAATCATATCTGATAGCAAAAAAACAAATGAATAAAAAAATTATTAAATATTTGGTTGTTATCTGCTAAAACTACTAGGTGAAGATGATTTAACTATCAAAAATGAACTATAAATGAATAGTTTTGATTAAAAAAATTTTAAATATTTTGATTCAATTAAAGAAACCATCTTAATATATTTAATTTATTAATAATAAACAAATCTATAACTATTTCTCTAAGAAATGAATAAAAAACTTTAGGAATTAACAATTAACACAATAAAATATAATCTGGAAGAAATAGAAGGATAATGTTAATATTAAAGGTAATTTTAATTCATTGATTTTAATTTTTTAAAATGTTTTTTTAAAAGATTTTATATAGGAGATATATCTCTTGGTAATCAATAAAATAAAAATAGGCTAAAAGAAAACAAAAGTATTGATTTCATACAATAAGTAACTAAGAGCTAAAATTATCAAAATGAAATAAAACTAAATATGAGGTAAATAACAATTTTTAATTAAAAGTTAAGTTGTTTGATATTTAATTTACAATTATCCTTCCTTACTCTAATTTTAAGATATTTATTTTTTTTCTACTATATATTTTTTATATAATAAATATCTTTAAAGGATGGTTATTTTAAAATTTAGAAATTTAACAAGAAAATTTAAGACTAAAAGTAAGATAATTTAAAAAACTTTTCTTTAAAAAAATTTAGAAATTTGAAAACAACTAACATTATATATATAACTAAATTTAAGAGTTTTTTTCTAAATAAAAAAATTAATTATAGTAATAATTTTATTATATATTTTTTTTTGGAATTAATAGTTTATAAGAAATTGATAAAGGCAATAATTCAAAATTATGTGAATAAAAGTTAAGAGAAGATCAATTTACTATAAGCAATAATTAAAACAAAATCTTTTAGATACCTTTATTGTAAATATTACTTAATTTAAATAGATTATATTGTTTGAACAATAAAAATTAAAACTTAAAATTAACTTTAATTATTATTATTATTTTTAAAAATCTACTCTGTGCTTTTTAATCTTCTAAAAAATTAAAAATTTTTAAAAATAAAAGGAATAATTGGAATATATGCAACAAATATTAGGATACTGATATTTTCAATAAGAATGATAATTTGAGTGATAAATTTTAAGAAAATTTTAATTCTTAAGAATAAACAAGTAGTAGAGATAAATTTACTTATGTCAATAAACCATATTAGATATATGAAGAATTAAATAAAAGAAACGATATTGATGAAACAAAATAATTAAATAATTAATAATTGAAAAATTCTGATCATTTAAAAAATAATGATTCTCTGGAATAAACATAAACGATAACATCACTTTAGTAAATTTGACATATTTTCATATAGAAGAAAATAAATTTTTATATTTTTAAAAATAGGTAGTAATCAAGTATTTCAAATGAATAAGCTCAGACACTCACACCAATAGACTCAGCAAAAGAAAATCATAAGTAAATTTTTAGTTTATTTGATATAGCAGATTTAATTAAAGAATCTTAAAATAAATAAGTTAATTTGTTATTTTATTTTTAATTTTAAACATTTATGAAAATAATTATTATCAGCAGTTTTTTTATCCATAAATTAAAACAAACTCTATAAATAAAATAAAAGAGTTTATAAATTTATTTTCAATAAAATAGCTTTGATTTTGATTCTTAGAAAATTTAAAACTCTTAATAAGAAGAACAAACAAAAAGTTTATCCAATAATAAAAATAAGTAATCTAATCGACCTTTTAACATTATTTTTATTTAAAATAAGAATTTATGAAAATAATTAATTTTATTTAAAATATTAAATATAGCTTTGATCAAATTAATTAAAAAGAAAGTAACTGCTCATAAAATGATAATTATTAAAATGAAATTCAAGAAATAAAACTCAATTTTAAGTAAAAATTAACATCAAAGAAGATATAAATAAAATAATTAAACAAATTAACAAAAAAGTGATAAAAAATATGGTGAGAGTGAAATTCAATCTGAAATTTAAAAGATCTGCTAAAGATAATTCTCTATTTTAAAAATAGAAATGGGGTGATTTTATTTTTGTTTTTTGTAAATCTATTTTTATAATTAATATTAAAGAGATTAAGGTTACAGAGATAGTAGCTTATAATATATATAAGAATTCTTAAAGAACTAAAATCATTTATTATATTTTTCTATTAATTTAGAGTAAGTGCTATTTAAATTTTAAATAAAATATAATATTAATTGCAAAAAAAAATATTTAATAGGAATTCTGAATTAACTTAAGAAGGTTTTAGCAATCTATTATAATCTTTTAATCCAAGATTACAGATTTTAAGTATAGATATAAGGTTTCATATTCATTTCTACAAAGTAGCTTTCTTAAATTTATTTATTTATCAAATAGTTAAATTAGACTTATTGAGTTTTCTTCAGTATTCATGAAAATTTTGTTAAGCATTAAGAAATTAAAAGAGCTTGCTTCTTTAAAGTTATATATGGAGAAAATATAACAAATTAGTGACTTCAGTGATAAATCTAATTTTGATGCTTATGAATCTTATGAATATAACTCAAGCATTAAAAATTTAACTTTAGAATTAGAGTAATTTAATATTATAAAAAAATTTGATGATTTATAAATTAAACCATATATTAAGTAACTAAAAATGTGAAGGATAATTTATGGCAAATAACGTGTCAAGTTTCTTAAAAAAATTCAAAGGATTATAAAAGTTAACGTTAAGCTTAGTGTAATTAATAATATAAATAAAATAATATCTAAAAAATAATTATTATTAGTAATCAAGGAATGAATGATGATCAATTCGAAAATATTATAAAGAGTTTTATGAATGTAGAAAGCTAAATTTAGTTTCTCATTTTAATATTCAAGTAAAAAAAAATATTTTCATAATAATTGACACTTTTTTTTTATCATAAAGTTATAGCGATAAGATAACTGAAAAATCTCTTGAAAAAATAAAATAAAATTTGGACAAAATGAAAAAATTAGAAATTCTAAGGATAATAATTCTGTAAATTTTTAAATATTATTTATTATTCATTATTTAAACTTTCTTTTAATTAAAGCAATAAAGATTTCAACAATCATGATAACTTATTTGAGAAGTTGAATTATTTTAATAATCCAAATTTCAAGGTTTACTAATGAAATTTTAATGTTATTTATATCATTAATTGTAAGGTTTAAGTATTGTTATTGTTTAAAGATTTAATTATGTTTTTTTATTTATTACAAAAATTTTTATTGAAAAAAGATTTAGAAATTTAAATTTTCTGGAGTTTAAATCGACTGTTTTTATAGCTTTTATATTATATATATTACAAAAACACAATAAAAAAGAGTATAAATAATATATTATTGTACTTCTTTTCATATTTTTATCTTTTATCGATTGAAAATGTAATATAATTAAATCTTAATTCTAGGCAATAAAAATCTTAAAATATTCAATTAGTAATTTATTAATTTATCTATGATCAACCAGAATCTGATAATGAAAAACAAATTTATTCTAATAGTGATATAAAAATAATATTTAGAATAAAGAAGTTGTAAGTCATTAAAAAATAATAGAAGAGCAAGATGAATGATAATTATAAGTAAACAAGAAAATAACATTTAAGAATAAAAGGTAATTAATATGAAGCAGAGTAAAGATAAAACTAATAAAATATTTATTTAGAAATAATAGGTTGTAATCAGAATTTATTTATTATAAATTTGATTTAATAGTTCAAAATAAAGAATTTAATTAAATATGCATTAATTACTATATTAGTAGTAGCAACCCAATTATTGTTCATAAGAAAATTATACGTTCTTAACATGGTAGTTTATTAATATAATTTTTTGGAAAACTTTTTAAAAATTTTTATAGTTGTGAATTTGTAAATAATTGGACTTGTTTTGCATAGAGCAAGTAAAATAAAAAATTTAAAAAACAAATATTCGATTTTGCAATAAAAACGATAAACAAAATAGATCTCTTCATTTTTTTTTATTAAATTTAAGATCTTGCTAATGAAAATCAAAAAAAATAATTCACTATTTATTTAAAATTATAAAAATTTTTTTCTATGGTGAAATAATAAAAGTAAATATTATGTATGCATACATACATACTTACTGTAACTACACAATAAATAACTAAAAATGAGTGAATTTAACATGAATTCTTATCAAAGATAACATTTATTTAATACTTTATTCATCAAAATCAAAAACTAATTGTCTGGCTTGCTTTTATTTATAGCAAAATGCCATTCAAAAATTTCGTCGTTTGGAAACGACTATATTAGTGAATGGCATTTAATTACATACATTTATTTTTAATTAATTAATTGTTTAGCTTAGCTAAGCTAAGTAGAAATCAGAAAATTCAAAAAAGTAATTAAATTTAATTGAATAAAAATATATAATATATAATTAGTCAACTGCCCCATGGGGGCATACATAAAAAACTGTGTGTTTCCCTAAAATTAAGACCCAATCTAAAAAATTTAATTTATGCCCAGTGGGGCAGTTGTGTAATTTTCTATTATATATTTTTATATAATAAAATTTAATTACTTTATGAACTTTTCTTCTTTCTACTTAGCTTAACTCAGCTAAGAAGCCAATTAAATCAATTTAAATGTAAAATAATAAATGCCATTCACTTATCTAGTCGTTTCCAAACGACGAAATTTTTCAATGGCATTTTGCTATACTTAAATAGAACAAATTATTAATAATTAAATTATTGTAATTAAAAAAATTGTTTGAGAAAAAAAAAGATAAAATATGAGTAAATTATTTATTTTAATTTTATTGGTTTTGGCTGTTATAAACTGCTAACACCACAATACTCATGCTGATGATGAAGACGAAGTCATATTCCCACCATGGAAATTGAGCATCGTTCTCAGATAAAATGGATAAAGCTGTTATATGTATGATGATGGATGCAATTTCGCCTGCACTGATGATTGCGTAAGTTATAATGGTGATAATTAAGATTAATCTCTTGAATAGTATAAGTACTGTTGCCCTAGACACAGTCTCTGATGAATAAATTAGAAAATTATAAAAGAATTATATATAAAATACATATAATCTTTAAGTTTTTGTAAAAGTGTTATTCCTAAATTTCATTTGTGAATTATTGAGTTTGAATTATCAATCAATCACCCTTCTTAAAATTTCTATACTAATAATAACTATATATTTATTTATTTACAAAAGCTTTTAGGTTTTAGGTATAACTATTCCTTGAATTGTTAGTATTATTTAATAAATCATAATAATTAAAAAACTAATGGACTGAATTTATGAGGATCACCTTCATATTTCAGTCAATTTAATTTTACTATTTGCTTATTAATGATTAAGTACCTTTAATCAACTAAAAAATTAAATTTTCAATTAATTTAACATCTTCAATAAGAACAAATATTTTTATTTATTATTTGCTTATTTTTAATATATTTTTTAAGTAAATTCAAGTTGTTATTTAAAATTTAGGCTCATTTTTATCAAAAATTAAAATATTTTTAAAAATATTTAAATAATTATTTTGTTATGCTTCATGTGAATTTGCAAAACAAATTTAATTGTTAATATATAAAACAAAAATAATACATTAAACAGGTTAATAAATACTGTGTTTTTTTTTGAAATTTTAATAAAATATCACCCATACACATTTAATTAAGACTTTATTTGTTTTGTAGTAGATATAAAGAATCTAAAATGGATGATGATGATTTTTTTGGAGGAGATGAAAGAGATGCTCAAAGAATGATAGCAGAAAGGGAATTAAAAAAATTAGAGAATGAATTTATTACAGTAATTAAAAATTTACTCAGAATAATTACATTAAGAATGGTCATTATTTATATTAAAATGTATAATTTTTATAATTAAAGATGGGATTTAGATAGGGTGCCTTAGAGGAAATTGAAAATAAAGAAAAGGCTGCTTTGAATAAAGGCCTAAGAGATGGTATGGATATTACCCAAACAATTGGGTATATGAAAGGAAAGATAGAGTAATTTATTTTGAATTCAAACAGAAAATACATTTAATATTAAAAAATTATATTTTTAGATTCATTAAAAATATGGTTGCTAGGTTTTAAAAGAGAGTTGATGAATAAACAATATAAAATATAAATAAAAAGTTAGAATTCATGAATAATTTTAAAAAAGGCGAGACAAGCGAAGAACAAGTTAGAGAATATATTTAGTAAATCCTTTAATTAATTGGACAAGCATTTTAAAACTCTACTGAGTGAAAAAATATAAATATAATGAATGAAAATTTAATAAAATTATACTAATTCAATATCTCAAATATAATAAATTAATAAATGTATTTAGCTATATAATTTGTCAATTTATTCTTTATAAATAGCAAAGATTTAATTTTAAATATTTTATAGTAGAATCAATATATTAAATGCAATTTTATTTAAATTACTTGAAAAATTTTATGTATTTAGTCTTAATTTACCTTTAAATTATGCTAACAATAAAATTCTATTAGGATAAAAAATATTTAATTTTATATTTAAGATTTTCTTATGAAGTAATTAATTTATTATGTGCTGCTTTTTCAATGTTTAACAAAATTTTTCTGATGTCTTAATAGAATTTATTTTGAGTTTGTTTGAGCTATTTAGTTATTGAAAATATGTCATTAAATAAATATTCAAAAAACTTTTGTATTAATTAAAATATTAGCTTACTAGAGGATAAATTTATTTGATAACAATAAGTGACTAGATTATTTTCTTTTACTATCTACTAAGAAAATCCACAAACATACTTACTAAATAAGCTAATATTTTTAAAAATGTAAAAGAAATAAAGTAGGTTTAAATAAATACCTTAATCTAAATCGTCTAATGATTAGCTACAATCTTTTTTTATTTTTATTATAATTACTCTATTAACATATTCGAAAATTTTATGTATTTTAATTAAATTTGTTCTTTTAAATTGTTGACTTGAAATTAGAAGTAAGATTTTTTTTTGTTCTATTTTATTAAATGCAATAAAAATTGTATGAATCAAACAGCCAAAATTAAAATATAGAAAAGAAAGTATCTGGTTCTTTCTAAATAAATAATAGTGATACAAGAAATTGGTACTTAATTGCATGAATGAAATAATAAACTGCTTAACTACTTATTTATTATTTACTTACTTAATTTTTTAGTATAGATAAAATTTACATTACAAAAGGAGTATGAGTGAATGATAATAATAATAATAAAGCTATAATTTTTAATAAAAATATAAATATACACATATATATTGCTTGCTTTTTAATAGGATTCATACATTCTTTCTTGAAATTCAATTTTATTCATTAAGGAAGTAATGAGGTTTTACAGAGAGAGAGTGTATATTTCTGTGTTAGTGAATACTTATTTGTATTTTTTATGAGAAAATAATGAAAGAAGTTCATAATTGTAATTTGATACAACGGGTATATTTGTTAGATTTATGCAGGCAAGTTGATGAAAGAATAGATAAACGAATCTTTTTTAATTACCTGTTAATCATATTATTATTATTATAATTAGTTAAATATAAAAATTTATAGTAAAATATATCTATCTATCTATGTATGTGTGTTTTTTTATAAGCAAAATTAAAATCTATCAATAATTCTCCCTTTTCCTCTTTCTCTCTTAATTGTTTTAAGATGGTTAATTTGTTGTTTTTTTTTGTTAGAATAAGCATTAAATATTTTCACTCTGTTAGAGGAGCTTCCAATATCTTATTTGTTGATTCTATTTTACATTCTCCTCCATTAATATTATCAAATGTTGCTTTATAGATAGTTCCTTCATATGTGACTGCAACTATAGTATTATCATCAGGACCAAAAGCAACTTTTGCTTTAGTGTCATTTATTCTACATTAAGCGAAGCTCCATTCGCTATCAAAATAGGGTACTATAAATTTAAGGAATTTTAATGCTGATTTTGGATTTGATTTAGTGCCTCCATTAGAGCTATTTCCATTATTTCCTTATGGTTCTAGGTCTTCTGTTTGTTTTAATGCAAATATATGAATAGTGCCTGAATCGCTTGAACAGGCAACAAATGTGCCTTTAGGGTGGAAGGCAATAGAATAAATTTGTGCATATTCACTACCTCTTCTTAGTTCTTAAAGAAGTTCACCTTTTTTAGTGTTATAAATACGAATAATCGTTCCTTTTTAGGAAGCTGTTGCTAACTTTGTTCCTCTTGGATTTGTCTGTAGGCAATTTAAAGCTGATTAATGTGCGCGAATGCTGATAGTTTTGTTATCTGAATATAAATGAACGTTAACTTCACCTACTTCTTTATGAGGAGTGGCTAATATGATTTCATCACCTTCTGTATTAACTGAACAAAGACCAAGAGGATTAGGACAAGTATCTATAGTATCAATAAGCTTCAAATCTGCAAAATTATGAACATAAATTCTTGTTTCAAGAACAACTATAACTCTATCTGCTTTAAGTTTAACAGCCTTAACTTCACTTCTGAAATTCATTTCTGCTATTCTCTTCAACTGACCTTTATATTATAAATTATAATTGTATTTTGATGCACTCCTAAATTGACTAACTAGCTAAATAATTCACCAACTAATAAAAATTATCTCCTTCAACATAATGATGATAAGTTAGTTATCAAACAAGCTTATCAAAAAAAAATGTTGAATCATTGATTAAAAATTATTCATTCAAGAGTTTAATCTTAGAATATTAAAACTAACAAAATTTTGATAAATAGTTTACTGTCATCCCAAAGCTAAACCTTTGTAGGAGGGAATTTGGGAGATTTTCCGCCTCCAACTAAAGCTATAATATTGCATCTGTATAACATTTCAACTATTCCAATACCTCCTCCTACAGAGCGCGAGTATATTTACTTGAAAGGCTCTGTGTTATAAATATTGAAGCCATCTTCAGTTCCACAGGAAAAGCATCCGTAATCCTAATTGAAACTAAGGTAAAGAATTTCGTCGTTTTTTTGCATTCTTAGATATTTATCTTATCTTGTATTTGTTGTTTTTGATGAGAATTAAATTAATAAAAGTAATTTGCTTTTCTAAAAAATTTATTATGTATTTTAAATTCTTTTTTTGGCTATCCTTCTTTGTTTGTTTGTTTCTTTCTTCTTTCTTTTCAGTTTTTCTTATCACTTATTTGATTTTATTTGCGCTATATTCATTATAACCTTTTTAAGTGCTAATCAATTTTATTACTTGCTTATTTGATTGTTTTTTGATAGTTTGATCGTAAGTCACTAACTCACTTGCTCTTTCATTCACTCATTAATTCATTATTTTTCTTGTATATATCCAAAAATTGATATACATTTGAAGTGAATTTAAATTTTATATTATGCTATTACACTTCATTTTTCCAAATATTTTATCTAAATATATTGATTCATTTTTTTATTTTCTTGCTAATCAGGAATAGTTTAAATGATCAAAGATTCAAAAAAACAAGCAAGTAAATAAGCAAGCTACCTATCTATCTATCAAACAAGTTAACAAAAATATAAATTTATTTTTGTTAGAAAAAAATTCATAAAAAATAATTAGATTCAATAAATTACTTTAAATATTTATCTATTGATAGATCATTTTAATTATTATTTATTAATACTACTAAAATTCCTCAATTATAGTAAAGGATAGATATCAGAGAATTTAAAAATATTTAATGATATTAAAATAGATAAAATGCAAATAAATTCTAATAAAGCTAATTAATGGCATTTAATCAAAGACTACTTTTCAATCTAATATTTTAAGAATTCTTTAGCTTGAAAGTTTGTTAAATTAAAATTTTTCTTTTATAATTATCTTTTACTAAATAATGTTGATTACTCGTATATTAAATAAAAAATATTTAAATTAGTTATAGATTTAATATATAAAATGTTAAATTAATAAATAAATTTTAACTTTTAAAAGAATTATCTATGTTTTTTAATTAGTTTGAATAATAATTACATGGAAAACTCATTCTAATTATTCAAATAAATAAAATAGTTATTCAAATATTTTTGTTATGTAATTTAAAGAGATTCTTATTTCTTATATAATATAATCATAATTAATTAAATATATTCACTTTTCACTAATTTTTTAGAATATTTAAGAAATATTAATTGCTTAGGAAATTATTATTAATACGAAATGAAAATGAATGATTGAGAAATTATTTATCAAAAAATTTGTTGATTCATTAGAATAATTTATTAACCATTTATAATGCAATTAATGTAAAAATAAGATAAATTGAATGAAAAGATAGATGATAGGAATTAAATTAATAATTAACAAGAATAAATCAAGTATCTTAATATATAACTAAACAAACATAATTTATTGTGTTGAAAAATGTTATTAACCTAATCGATAAAAAATTAATTATCCAATCAATCTAGCATTATTTATAATTAAAAATTAACTTTTTTTCCTATTATTACTTTTTTTATTCATTTTTATGATTCTAATACATTGACTAACCAGTCCATTCCTTCATTTAAACCATGTCCTGTTAAAGCAGAGCACTTGAAAATAGACCATTGTCTATCTTTAATATTTGTTAATCCCATAAATTCTGAAATCTGATATTTTTAAAGTTGATTAATTCAAATAATAGTTTTAATTAAAAAAATGATTACTTTTTCTTCGCTTTATGCACCAGCCAAATCCTATATATAAAATGATAATTCGTTAATTCATTTTAAAATCATTAGCAATTTAAAAAATTGATATTTATTAGACTTATAAATTACTTATTTGTTAGCCAAAACCATCAAGGGAACAGCTTTTAATTCTTCTTCCTAATATAAAAAGCAAATTAATACGTTTAACTTAGAATTAAAATTTGAGTTACTTGTAACATAGAGAGAAGTTCTTGCTTAGTTGTATCCAATCTATCTTTATCTACTGAATCTACTACGTAAATAATGCCGTTAGTGTTGGGATAATAAGATCTCCAGTAAGGTCTATTTTTTATGAATATTTATAGATTCTTTCTATCATAAATGAAAATTTACCTAATTCCACTTTAACCACCTAAATCCCAAACTTAAAACTTTAAATTTTTGAATGTAACTGTTTCTACGTTGAATCCTATGGCTTTTTTTTTGAAAAAATTATATTAAATTTTTACACAAACTATAAATTTGCAAATATTATTTACTAGGAATAGTTTGAACAACATCATTTAAGTGGAGTTTATCTAATTTTAGTTATAAAATAGTTTTAATTTTGTACAAACAACTATTTTTAATCAGTCTTACTTAATATGGTAGTTTTTCCTGCATTATCAAGACCTGTTTGTTCATAAATTATAAATGATATTAATTTTTTAATCTTTATTTGCATAAATCATTTAAAATAATCTCTAAAATTAATTGTGCTTAGTTACCTAATATCAAAATTCTAATATCTTTCTTGCTAAATAATCTGCCAAAAACTTTTGAAAATACGAATCCCATTTCTGCTTTTTTGTTTTTTTACTTGCGGCTATCTTGCTACCTTGAAATAAATATATTTATTATTTTTAATTTTACAAATTAAGCTTTTAAAATAGTTAAATACAAAAAGATTTATAAAATTAAATTGATGACACGTAAAAAAAGTAAAGCTTTTTCTTCAATAAAAGCAAAGAATAACTAGTATTCGATTATTCTATAAGAAAAAAACTGAAAAAAAAAATTTAAATTAATAAAAATACTTCTTATTATTGAATATAATTAGACTAGGTTAGTTCTACTATAAAATTTAGTTTATTTAAGCACTTGAAAAATTATTTGTATTAGTAAGCTTGTGTCATAACTAAGTAAAATTATTCTTAAACGAAAAAGAGAAAATTTATAGATTTGAAGTAATAAAATTATAATTTCACTTAAAATGAAGAAGAAAGAAATTTATTTAATTATTACCAAGGTTATATGAATAATATATATCAATATTAATTTATTTAAGTAATTTGGAGTGATAATTATAAAATTGAATACAAAAAAACATAAATAAATTAATATAAAAAGGAATAAGATAAATAAATTATATAATTAAAAAAGGAGGTTGATTGGTTGATTGATATAGAAGGGTTTTTTAGTATTTTAAATATGTATGTAATCAGCATTGAAAGTTTTTGATGTTAATTTGTTATTCGAAGTTTGTTAATAATCTTGACCAGATTATAAAGATTTAGATTAATATTTGTTGCTCGCTTGCTTGATTGCTTGCTTAATATCAAAGATGAAGTTCAATCAAAATCACTATTATGGATTTTGCTTTGAAATAAAAAATTCATCAACAAATACCTTAAAATAAGTTTTGTTCTTTTGAAGCTAGAAAGCTAGCTTACTTACTTGAATGAGTTGTAGTCTCTTTCAAAATGATTGGAAGGGATATAAAAAATAAAGGAGTTCTATTTCAAATCTTGCATCTATTTTTAAAATATTTTAAAGTGATTTTTTTTGAAATTTAATATAAATAAATATATTACGTGTAGCTAAAAGTATAATATGTGCCACCTCACTAGACATTAATTTGAGGTTTATATTCTGAATATGGCTATATTTTATTTCAAATGGTCTCTTAACAGTTAATTTTAGTACAGTTTTAAGAGGAATAGGTAACAAAGCATTCATCTAAGGATAAAAATTTAAAGTTAATTGTATAGTAAAAATGTGAAATGATAATTTACCTCTGTTTTGTAATCAGCATCAAAGTGAGTGTATCCAAATATATTTTAAATATACAACTTAATTGCTTTCCTAAATGGAGTAGTGCTTAAATTTTGAGAACTGTTAAAACTAATTAATTTTTATAATAATTGAATAAAAACAAAAAAGATATTGATGAAATCTAAGATACTTTTTATTTGTCATGTTTTTGATTATATCTAATATATCTTTTGAATTCTATGCTAAGTCTAGTGCATATTAATTAGTTATTTAAAATCCATGAGTATTGTAATTAAAGTCTGAATATCTTAATGTTTAAGAGATCCTTTCATCCTTGTCTCTTAATTCTGGGTTCATAATAAATTTTTAAAATTTTTCGAAAAGACGTAATTGCAGAAATTTAGTTTCATTTTCTTAATCTTTTTACTATTCTTTTATGACAGGTGAAGAAACTTCATCTTTTTCTTTCAAGGTATGACTTGAAGTTTTTTTCTTGTTTTCAAGAGGCTTTTCTTATACTTATTCTTCTTCGTTACTGCCAACTTGATCCTGATCTGAACTGGTCATTCTTTTTAAAAGATTTTCTATTTCGGAATTTGCAAAGTCAAAATTTGGCTTCTTAGCACTAAGCTTATCTTCACCTTTTTAAAAATAATAGATGAATATTTTTTTTAAATAAGTAATTTATTTACTATTTCTATTTTTAGGTGATTGTAAATTGCTACCAATAGGAGTTTAAGTCTTTGAAAGCAGTGAAAAGTGTGAGTTTCTCAAATCCAATTCACTCTTCAGCCCAAATGCTTAGCATGCACACGCTAGAGCATGATAAAAAGTTATAATAAAAATTGCTTGCATTAACTCATTTTTTTACCATCCTTTTTGCATTAACTCCTTTAATAATTAAAAATGACAAATTTGCTTATTTACATGATTAAAAATATTTTTAATTACTTCTATCATTTTTGAGTTTTTGCACACTTCACTAGGTGCATATGCTAATTTTGAATTAAAAGCAGCTAATGCTTATAATTTCGGTACGTCTACCTATTCTAATCCTACTTCTAACCATTTCAAATTGCCACCTATATTTAGGAACTATTATGACAATCTTGAATGTAAGTATTCACAACCAAAATTAGAAGATGCCTATTTTTATTTATTTATTTATTAATTAATTATTTACTATTTAATATTAATCCATGCTATTTTTTTTCTTTCTTAATTCGATCTCTTTAACTTATTTGCCTTAAAGAGTATAATCAGAATTCATTTTATTTGATATTTAATATTTATTTGAAAGTATTTGTTAAGATCTTTTATTTAATGATATAGTTTAATGAGTAATATTTTCTAAAATAGAAATTCAATTCTTCACAATTGCTTTATAATATTTAACTTAAATTAACAAAATCTTAAAGCTTGTTAAATTTGCCATAATTCTAATTTCTAACTCAATGGCTTATAATTTACGACTGATGCTATCTTTATTTACTTATTTTAAAAAAGAAATTACTAGAATTGCAATGAAGTAACGTTGATCAATTGGAATAGGTCCTGGTCCATAAAATAATTCCTATGTAAGTTAGTGGTAGTGGTATAAATAATCTGGAAACCAGCATAAAAGCCTCTCTAAATGAGGGATTCTACCACTATTATTATTGTAAATTTCTGCTAAAACCTATCTTAATTGTTCATTACTAACATTATTTTATATAACAGGCCATGTGATGAGGTTGCTAAGATCTTCTTTTTATTCTTCAGGAAGCTCTTATCCATGACCCTCTTTATCACACTCTCTTTCATTATTAAAGAGAGCATATCCTAAATTTTGAATTGAAGGTATTTCACTTAACGAATAGAATTCTGATACTTACTATTCTTTCAAGTCGTCTGCCTATATTTTCAAATAAATTAACTTAGTTATTCAATGTGTTACAATATTAATTTTTAGTTAATAGTGATCTGTTAATAAAATAATGATATTATCTTTAATGAATTTAACATTTTTTTTAAGGAATCTTAATCAGAAAATACTTTCTTTTTAGCTAGACCGTTTCATATGGTTTAAACTAAAGTAGAAAGGAGGGAGATCTCTTTCCTACAAAATTCTTTAGAAAATTATCGATTTAAAGCAATCAATTTAAGAATTTTTTTCTTTGTTATAATGCAAAGAGAAGTAAAAATAGAATATAGATAGGGCTATTAACAGATTTAAATAGGTAGAAATTAATTTATAATAAATAGCTCTAATTATTACATATCTCTCGTTATAGAAAGCTTCAAACAGAGTGAAACATTCTGGATAAGGGGTTTAGAATATAGCAATTTTCAGTTTTTACTTCACAAAATTGACCGCCCTGATTGATTGATAAATAAATTAAATTATTATTTTTTAGAATTTTGCAGCTTTCAATTAGAAAATTCTTCTCATATTAATTTGACGCTATAATTTAATTATTGCTTAAAATGATCTTTTTTGCCTAAATGAGCTATGTTTTGTCACTTTACTCAAAAAAATTCTCAAAAGAAAAAGGATTTATTCAATATAAATGTTAGTCTGATAAATTAAAGACTGATTACTCTATGTTACTTCCATGGTCTTCTAATAATGCTTTCAACTCTTCAATAGATTTTTTGCACTATATTTAAATAAAAATTTTTATCTCATTTTAGAAAAAGGATAATAGAAACGCTTAAATAATATCAATAATTTTCTTAAATATGATGTAATTAGGTGCATTTAATAATTTCAAATCATAGCGAAGCAACCTTGATACAAAATTAGTTTAAACAAAGTAGATTATGTTGCAAATCAATTATATATTTTAGTAAGTAAGCATATAAATAATTACTATGCTAAAAACAAATTAATATGAAAATTAGTACCTAAATGATACGCTCATCCTTACAAACTGGGTCTAAGTAATTAGGGAAAATTTCTAAAATCTATCTCCTTAAAACACTTGTACTCAAAGGGCTTTCAATACTATATTATTACTCTTGCTGGTTTTAGCTAGAATGCATTTGGGATAGTTTTACTTTTATTTTTAAGTTTGGATTCTTTTTTAATTTTTCTAATTATAATGCAAAAATGAATTTTTTTTTAATTAGCTTATTATAATTTTTATTTTAAAAAGTAATGAATCTTTTTTTTTTTTAAATTTTCCTATTGCATTACTTCCTTTATATCTTTTTCATTCATTTTTGTATAATTAAATATTAGTTTCTCATACATTCTTAGAAAACCCCTATTGTTTTGATAATATTATTTAACATCATCATTCCTTGTGTCATCATTCTTCTAAATTTCATTAATATTAATTCATTTTTTTCTAATAAAAGAGTCAATATTATTTACTTTATTGTCCTACCTCTACTTTAAAAAACTGACACATAAAATTAAAATCTCTCTGTTTATAGTTTATTTACTTCAATTTTCGAATATCACATAAAATATGTTGCGTTTAACTATTATATTAGCAAATAAAATTGAAACAAGATCCTTAAAAAAAGTAATTATTTTATTCTTTTTCTATTTGTTCTTTATCTTTCAATTAAATCTAAATATAGCTTAAACCGATATCAAACAATTTTTCAGATATCAATATTAAGTTTTTGGGAAAAAAACAATTGTCTGACTTATTAATACCGAAGAAATTAATTTCTTTTAGTTTTTATTTTCAAAAAGCTTTATTTTATAAAGATTTCTGTGAAATAAATCAATCAAAACACCATTTCCTAAATTTTCTCAAATTTTTAAAAGCTAAATTAAAATAAAAACTAATTATCAAAATTCCTTGTCCACCTTAAAAATTTTTAATTCAAGAAAATAAAAATTTTTATTTTTAGGAGTCTTCTAAATATTATTTAAAATGTTTGATGTTATTAATTAAATAATTTCCTTTTAGAATTTTCTTTTTTGAATTTGAGAATATTTGTTTTTATATCTAGCAAATTATAATACAAAATATCTTCAAATAAAATATAATATTTATTTTTTAGATTTAGTTAGAAATAAGAATTAGTTTAATTAAATAAATAATTTTATTTTACTTATTCATTTTTTTTTAAAGAAATGGATTTTTAACTTGACAATAAAAAATTAATTCACTTAACACTAAAATATTTTTGAAGAAAAAAATAAAATAAATAATCAATAGATAGTATTTGCTAAATATAATTCAATCTAATTTGAATTTTTTAAAGCTTACACACAATTTAAGACAAGTAAATCAATTTAAATTCTAGGAAAATTAATTTAATTTATTTTTTCTGATCAAAATTTTTATTTGAATATTTTTTAACTCCTGAGGTCTTATAAAAAGTAATTTTTAAAAAGGGAGATAAATTCTTTAAAAAATATTTATTAACAACTGATTTTACTAAAAGAAGTAGTGTGAAATAAGTTTTATTAGGTAATATCAACAAATAAACTCTTTAAATAACAAATTATTTTCAGTATTGTAAAACACTGTAGATTTATTTAATATAAACCTTAAATAATAAATATTATATAATTTTTTGATCAAATATTTTTTATTATGATATTAAAAATATTCTATTAATATATTTTATTAATATTTTCTTATTTGATAAAGTCATGAAACTTTTACATGTATTTTTTTTGCTGTCTTAGAGAAAGAAATAGCATATTTATTTTTGAAAACAGCTGTATTAATTTCCAATTTTAAATAAACTTTATTCATTAAAATTTAATTTAATATTTAAATTACGTGTTTAGATATTGCTAATTTCCTAGCTTTAATCTTAGAAATCTAGAAATTCGCTTTCTAATTAAATTTATCAAGTTTGTTTTCAAAAATAGGTTCTGAAATGAAAATTTAATTTAAAAAAGCTCATTTTTAATTTTCATATAAATAAAATAGCTAAAAAAAATATTTTTATGGAATTCTGAGAAGATTTTCTCCCAAATAAACCTCAGAGCATTAAAAATGTAAATAAATGTACTATTGACAAGTGCTAAAATTTGAGGAAAGGTGGGGTAATAAATTTATATTTACTCTTATACTCATCAATTAAGATATTCACTTAACAATATAAGCTTATACCTTCCTATTAGGCAAAATATTATCTATCTAAACTATAATTTTGTAATAAATATTAATAGAATAAGAAAGTAAAATTTTTTAATTAAATTAAAAACCTTATTTTACAAACATTTATTATTTCTTTGTTTTCAAGAGGGTTAATATTTGGTAGTCAGTGACTATATTAATACTTAAATTTGCTAAGAAGTTATGTTGTTCTAAGATGTAATCAAAATAAATCGAAATACCTTTGAATTATTAGTATCTATGGTAAGCTAATTTTCATCTATGTTTTATTTTTTTGCCTTTCCAAAATATATATTTTTTTATTAATATCTGATTAAAATCTGAATCCATCAAAGCTCTGATTTAAACTAATATCAATATTTCATTTTAGATAATCTTTTTTTTGTTCTCTTTAGTTAGTTAGGTTCTACTTAGTTGGTTACATTCAGGTCTATTTGGTAAATAAGATATGTTATAAATGTTATTGAAATATTATTTTCCTGATAAATTTGTTTCCAGGATTTAAGCAAAATAGCTAGGTAAACATATTAAATTGGTATATTCCATTTATTATTTTATTTTTTACTGATGAGTTGACAAAAAAATTTTAAATCTATTATTTTATTTAATTTAAAGTATTTTTTATTTTAAAATAGTGCAAATTTTGGTTTTCTTAATTTATTTATGGGTTTTTATTTTAAATTACCTTTTCTTGTATTATTAAATAAATATTCTAATTTTTATCACTATTCTTAAAATATTTATGTATCTTATTAAATCAAATCAAAACTAATTTAAAATTATTAAAATAACTGCATAATTTTATTCTGTAATTTTTATTAATTCTGATTATAAAAAAAAAGAATGGATTCAAATATAAATGAATTTTGCATTTTTTATAATAAAAAATTATTTATCAAAGTTAATAAATAAATTTAAATATTAAAGTAATTTTTATATATTTATTACTAATTTTAATTAATTCTCATTCAATATTTTTTAATAAAGCTTAATGTTTTAAAAATATTTATTTGATAATTATAATGTAATTATGAGAACTTCGTTTTTTTTAAATTAATAAACTTAATTTTATGTAATTAACCTTTGTTTTTAAATTATTTTACTTATAAATTTTAACAAAATACATTTTTAAAACAAATAAAGTATTTATAAGAAATTTCAAATGTAGAAATCAAAAATAATTAAATAAATAAATTGTACATTCAAAAAATATTTATGTTTAAAAAAATAACTAACTACAAACAAAGAAACAAACACATGACTGTTTTATATAGAAAAAAATATACAAGATTGTTAGTTAGTTAGTTATAAATTATTTGCTTTGCAAAAATTGCATGAAAAATATATCAAATTAAAGGTTCTGATTTGTTTATAGAGTGAATAATTAATTAATTATTTAGAAATTAAGATTTTAGAAGTCGATTAAGGATAGAAGCAGCAAAGACTTCTTAAAATATTAATAAGACTTATTGGATATAAAGCTATTAAATAAAAAAATCTATCAAAACTTTTCATCACAAGAAGGATTAATACATATATCTTTGAAGTGATAAAGAGAGATCTAAAGCGATCTGCTTTCTTAATTTTAAGATAAAATTTTTGAAAAGGCCTTTTTCAAAGGGGAGCCACTCTAATTAATTAATAATAAAATATATTATTTCGTCAATATTAAATGTTTGAGGAAAAGATAAAGACTTTGGTAGTAGAAATATTGCCAAACACGAAGCGTACAAAGGACCTTCGTGACAAGAAAGAGAAGGAAGAACGTAAAAAGCGTGAAGAGGCAGAAAAGGCGATGGCAGAAAAGCATCAGCAGGAACTCTAAATTAGAAAGCTTGTTGAAGAGAAGAAAAAGTAAAAGCAGCAAGAAGAATTAAAAAAGAAAGAAGAAGAGCGTAAGAAAGCAGAAGAACGTCAGCAAATTTCTACTTTAAAGGGTAAATTTGGTAGTATGATCAATGACTTGAAATAGAATTCAACTACCTTAGATTACACTGTTTCTGGTTTGGATCTTAGACCTGCCCAGATTCGTATTCTAGTTAAAGCTGTTGAAAAAAACTTTTCACTCAAAGGTCTTAATATGTCTCGCAAAAAAATAGGCGATGCTGAAGGAGTAGAAATTGCTCATAATTTGAAAAAGAATTTCGTTTTAGAAAGACTTGAATTGGAAGGAAATTATTTGGGCCCTAGGACTGCTCACTCAATTGCAGAATTACTGGTGGAAAATAATTGCATAAGAGTTATTGATTTAGAAGGAAACGATCTCACAAACAGTGGCAAAGATAACTCTGGAATAGAAGCTATTTGTCAATCCCTAAAAAATAATGATACTTTGCTTTGTTTAAATTTAACAAATACAAATTTGGATGAGAATTGTAGCGACTTTTTGGTTCAAATGCTTGAAAAAAATGACACAATTATAAACCTTGACATAGATTAAAATCCTAAAATGAACTTAGAAGATGTTAGAAAAATTTAAGAAAAGCTAAAAATTAACAAGTAGAATTACGATGATGAGCGCTATAAAGAGTTTGATGAAAGAAAAAGAATGTGCAACGAAGAAAATATTTCTGAAATTATTCACATTCGTGAAGAATCCAAGAGAATAGCTCAAGAAAATATTAATATTCGTATCGAAGCACAAAGACAAGATAAAGAAGAAAAGTGGCGTAATTTCTTGGAGCAGAACGAAGTTAAGCTTAAAAAGTTGTACGATAAAATCACTAAGGAAGTATTCTTAGGTGGAAAGAAAAAGAAGAAGAAGAAAAAAGGCAAAAAGAAAAAATGACTGGTTTTCTAATAAAATTTCTTCTTAAAAACAAAAAATAATGTTATATATATATTTTTCAAATTATTTTTTTCATATATTCTGTAAAGCAATTAATCAATCAATAGATCTATCATTAATTAATCAATTATTTACTCAAATATTAGAGTTGCATTTTTAATCAATTCCTGTTAATTTTTATTACTTTCATTAATTCAATTTAGAAAATGAAATATTTTATAAAACATATTAAAATTTCATTTATTTCAATAATTACTACTTCTTTGCATTTAAAAAATCCAAATTTTTAGCTTTCATTATGAGCCATTTTTGAATAATAAATTTTAAATATTTTTGAAATGAAAATAAATTTATATTTGCACTGACATTATTATCAATATTATCAAGAATTATCAACTTGAATAATCAAATTAATTTAAATTCTACAAGTTATAAAGAAAGCTAACTTAGCACTTTTTATTTGAATAAATCCTAAAAAATGATAAAAATGGTCATGTTTTATTTCTTTAACATTAATTTTATCAAAAATTTAAAATACTCCATCAATAACAACATAAATAAAGAAAATTAACTCAAAGAAACTTTTAATTTATATTACTATTTCATTCTTATTCTCCCTTTAAATTGAAAATAGCAAAAAAAACATTTATATTTTTTAATTACTAGTTTGTATTTGAATAATCAATTTTTCTTATATTTAGACCTAATTAAACTTTTGTAATGAAAATACATATTTGCACTGATATTAATAAGCTATTATCAATATGAAAAACAAATAAATTAATGTAAACTCTGAAAATTAAAAATAAAAATGAAATAGTTTTTATTTGAATTAATCAAAAAAAAAATAAAGGTTTATTATTATTATATTTCTTTAATATCATTTCATTTCATTTAAAATTTAAATTATTTTTTAAATTATAACACAAACAAAAAACATTAACTTTAATAATTAATATAACTGAAAGATCATGCAATTATTTATCTCACTCCTATTCTCCATTTAAATAATAACTGCTTAGTAAATACATAAGAGTTTTATTTCTATAAAGAATTCTTTAATTAAATTAAAAAAGTAAAATAATTTTTTAAGCAAAAAAAAAGATTTACTTAGATATTACATTTGTAAATTTCTGTTAAAGTAAATAGTTGATTGAGTAAAATTAATTAATATGTTAAATAATAATGTAGTCTTTCTTAAATATCATTCTATTAAAACTAAAATATTTCATATACTCTTACTCAAATAAAAATTTGTAAAATAAAGAAATTATATTATATTTCAACTCATACAATCATTTCAATAATTTCCTTGCATGCCTATTCTCCATATTGCTTTAGAATTCCTTACTCTTCCAGATATTTCATTAATGTTGTGCTCTGTTTTGCAAAGTAAATAAATTTTAAATTATGATTCTCTAACTAATCTTCATCGTTATGCATTAAAATTCTTAACTTATTAACTTTATTGTTACAGTCTACAATATTACTACCTTGAAGAATGCATACAATTTATTAGCTTTCAATATCATATAGAATATTTTTGGCACCGTATTATATATTTTATACAGACAATCCTATATATCTATCATCTATGAAACAAAATACTTTTGTTACCAATATTTTCTTTGTAATTTATAAGAAATTGAAAGGATTTTCGGTATAATCTGTTTTTTAATCTAAATCATGAACTAATAATTTGAATTGCTAATCAGTATGCATATTTATTAAAAATCCTACTTTGTTTGAATTTGAGTATTCTATAATTTCAAGAATTTAACCTTCAAGAGGGTATTTCATTTTTCTCATATACACACTATTTTCTTAATAAACATAGTACTCGAAAATCTAATTAGAGTTAGTAAAAGAGTTATACAATATTAAAGATTTATTTTTTAAGATGATAGATTTATCGTTAAAATAGTTTGCTAATTAGAATGTATTTTTTATTTTTTGGTCCCACTTAATTCTATGCTCATTATCATCATAATTTATTTCATAAATTTCATACGAGTGATATATAGTTTATGAATCTTCCAAAATCTCTGTAAGGTCTCCTTTTTTGTAAGTAACTACAATCTAGTTTTAAATCACCTTAAAAACAAAGCTATCTTCTATCAAACTATCATTGAAAAATTGATAAGAAATGGGTAGGCATAACTTTAAATCATAAATAGCTATTTCCTTTAAAGTGAGGTCAAAATAAGCTATTAAATAATCATAAGACCTAGTATTCTAAAACTCTATCTATTTTTTTAGCTAATCATGTGGGAATACTTATAAGTTAGAATAATTTGATGAAGGGAACTTATGTGAAGAAATAGGTTTATTTTGAATTAAATCATGTAAAACATATTCATTATTTGAATAAATAATTAATAAAGTTTTGTCATTTATTAACTTCATTTCTTTAATAAATTTATCTTTATCTATTGGTACATCCATTTCATATTTTATTTTTAAAGAACTATTCACAGGATTTGTTATGATGTATATCCCTCTCACTCCTCTTAAAAGATCTTCAGCATGGCTTTTTAACCTTTCTAAATAGCTTAAAAGCTGAGTAGTTCCGCTATTTGCTAAATCTATCATTTAGTTATAATTACTCATTTTCAAAAAATTAATTTAAAATACTGAATCTTTATTTAGTTAATATTTTTGAATAAATATTAATGAATTTTGATATCTTTTCTGATATTTTTTATAAAATTTTAAAAATTCAAAGTGATTATTTATTGTTAAGAGTTACTTATAAAAAAATAATTATTTTTTAAAATATTCAATTCTTTTAAAACTAAAATATATAACATTTCTTCCTAAATTTACTAAATATACAATCATAAATTGTTAATATATTTATATAATAATGTACAAAGTCAATAAAATTGCGAACATTGTGGTGAGAAATAATATGAAGAGTGAAAATATTTTTTATTAATATAAAAAAAAGTTGAAAAAGATTTTAATTACATGGTGAAAAAAAAATATTAGAATCAAATTTTTGATCTTCTCATTTTATAAAATGTATTACCTAAATTTATTCTTTGATTATAAAAATAATCTCCATGAATGAAAATTTAGTTATTCATTTTTTTCCATTATTGAAGTTATCAAAAGTTTTTAAAAAGTTACAATTAGCTATCAAAAAAAGATTATTTCTTAATTTTTTATAATATCGTTGATACAAAAAAAGAGGGAATTTAAATTAAACTATACAAAATCTATCAAAAATTAATTTTCATATAGTTCTAATTGGCGACTACTCAGCTAATTATGGTAGTACAAGTTGGCCACTCCTCCATTATAATCAATTTAATTAAATATAATCAATATAAAATTATTTTTTGTACATAATTTATATTGAAATAGATAAACAGAAAATCTTATTTTGATGATATGAAATTTCTATAAAAAAGAAAGTAAATCAAGATATAATTTGATGTTTGATTTCCTATTTTAGAGTATTTGAATAAGATTTATTGTACCAATTAACATACAAAAAGATGCTAAAATAATTAAAAATTTATTATTTACTTAATTTATTTACAAGTCAAGATGTCTTTTAGCCATTTTAAGCTTTTTCAGCTTGTTTATAATATAATTTTTATTGCTCTATATAAATTTTGGATTATTGGAAATTTTTATAAGCTATGGTGTAATCACTTTTTATCAATTTGAAGTAAGCGATATCATCAATTGGGTTATTTAGAAATCCATTTTTGTCAGGGGATTCTATGAATCCTAAGCTGTTTAATAGTTATACACCATTTTGATACTTAAATAAACACTAAAGATTTTAATTACTTTTATTAAGACTTCTGAATTCTTTTTTATCGAATTAGCTTGTTATGTTCTGAAGAAGCTTTTCTAAAATATTTTATGATTTTTCGAACTCTTTCAAGTCATACGATTGCTCTTTAAAAAGATTTTAAATTAGAATCTCTATTTTATTGCTATTGCTTTACTCTTTTGCATTTGCTTCTTCATTACTTATTATATTATTTTGCTCTTAATTATCATTTACATTTTCAAGCTCTTATTACTATTTTTTAGCTTAAGATTGTTCTGCTAAATCTTATTTAAAACTATCAAAAATTCCTTTGGGAATACGACGCTCCCAATAGCTCACTATTTCTTATTCTTACACACTCAATCTGTATAGTAGCATTTCCATTATCAAGATTAGAATTTAGGAAATACTTTTTTTATCATTATTTTCATGTATGATTATTGCATTAAATCCTCTTTAAAAGCTATTAACAATAGACTCTCTAATTTGACTAATAATTTTCTATTACTTTTTTTAATCTTGATTACTAATATCAAAATATAACTAATTAATGTTATTATTTTCTACTCCAGCAGCAGGGTTTTTATAGAGATGGATGAATGTAGATATTTAAAGGTATTCTTCATACTTATTAGAGTTTTATTCATAGCTTTTCTTTGAATGTATATACAAATTAGAGCCATGCCATGTAGATTTTGATATAATTTTCTATTTATAAACAATATCATAGCTATCTATCACTAAAACAGGAGAAGCAAAAGCCAAACACTTATTTTAATCTGATATAAATTCAAATTTATTAAATATACTATTATCAGTAAGTATGTTAATCACTTTAGGTTTCACATTCTTTTATCTAAAATTTGCTAAAAGTTTATTGATCGGATGGGTAACATCATTATAATCAAACTATAAACTGCCATTGTTATGTATTATCACTTCCTTAAAATTGAAAAGTATTTACAACATTTTATCTTCTGCTTCGTTGCTTGTGAATGGTTTAATTGCTTAAGCCCCTGCTATAGATTTATTTTCTGTATCTACTTTGAGGAATTCATACTCTCTAATATTTTAATCTTTAGTTTGCTATATAATTTGTTTTTGCAAAAAAGTATATCCACTAGATGGATTTATTGTAAATACTATAAAGTCTTTGTAGAAGTCCAAAGCTTGTCTGTCCTGCAAAATATTATAAACTTCTTCCTAAATATATTTATTTTTTCTTGATTTTTTTGATTTTGCTGAGCAGCATTAACCCATTTGCTATAAACTTTAAACAAATTAGCTATTGATTGTCCTATATTTTTACTCTATTTTAAAATTAGGTATTTACGAACTATTTATTTTCTTTAATTTTTTATAATTTTTTGTAATAAATATTAACAAATTAGTTAATTTGCATTAAAAAATTTAGTAATTTCTTTTTAATTATTTTGTTAACCAGTAGAAGGATTTATTGATTATACTTTAAATATTACTATTACAGGTTATATATCATATTAGAAATAATTTATAATAAAGAATATTCAGTAAATCAATATCAATCAAATTATTAATTTTTTTTCCTACTTATTACAACAACAAAAATAATTTATAAATGGAATTTACATAAAAAAGTATTTGAGAACATTTTATAATATTCTAAAACAAAAATAGCCAATTTAATTAATTTTTGTGTTAAATTATTTACCTTTTTGCCATATTTTTTTAAGATAAAGTTTTATAAGTAGAAATACAACAAGCAAAGATTTTGAGAGCGGTTAATTTTTGATAAATTTTGAATTGTAAATTTTTTAAACACATTTAGATTAATTAAAGATATTAAAAATAAATCAAGAGCATAGAAAAGTGAAGTGAAACATAATGAGCTCAAAAACAATATTTCAGAATTATTTAACTCCAATTGATGAATTTGAATAATGCTATAAATTATCTTAATCCAATTATATTGCTGAAGGAAGATTGGGTAGAGTTTATTCATACATAAAAAAGAAAACAGGAGAAGCTTTTGCAGTATAAATAATGCAAAATTTAGATAGATAAACAAGATTCAATGTTATGGAGGAAATTAGAACAATTTATTCTGTAAATTAAAATGAAAGACAACAATTGCTATTAACAATATATTGATAAAATTAAAGATTTAGAAAGATGCAAATTATTTACTGAAAATTGTAGATTTAGTTTAGGAAATACATACAAGAAAAGGTGGCTAATTAGAAACTTATTCGCTCCATCTAATCATGGAAATAGGTTACAGTCTTTTGCATATAATGAAACAATAGCCTGATATGAGTATGAAAGATATCCTTTACCACTTCAAAAACATAATAAAGATAATAGTTAAATTGCATTCTAATAAAGTAATAAAATAAAAAGCTTGAATTTCAATTATTAAAGTTAATAGAAATACTTTAATTTTTTTAAAATTATGATTTATCTAGCTAAAATATAAAGTATTCATCATACTTTTAGAATGAGTTAATATTTAAATAGATTTCTTTCAGTATTTAAAAAATTTTTATCAATTTTAACATAAAATATTATAAAAAGTTTATTTAAATATTATTAATCCTTATTCATCATTTTAAAAATATTTAAGCATTTAACGAATATTATTTTCAATTTATTGATAAAATCAAGTACAATTTATAGATAAAATGAAATACAATCTATAGATAAAATCAATTACAATTTAAAGATAAAATGAAAAACAATCGATAGATAAAATCAAATACAATTTATTGATAAAATAAAATAATATTTCGATAAAATGAAATATAAATAATACACTCATCTAAAAATATAAAGTTACTAAAAAGATTTAACTTATAAAACTTAATAAAAAGTTATATCATGGAAATTTGAAACCTTAAAATATCTTGTATATTGAAGAAAAGAACTCTATTGGAGGTAAAACCAAGAAATTAAAATTTAGTGGCTTCTTCAATACTAAAAAAGGATAAAAAACATACACTCCTTATACTCCAAAAGATTTAGTTAGCTAATGGAAGAATTATGATAGAATTAATGGTAATTATCTCTTACTTGGGGATATTTATTCAATAGGTATGATCATCATTTGCATGTGTTTAAACAAACATAAAGTATTAGAAGATCATTTGGATCCTGAGCAACTACTTGATAATCTTAAAGTTAAAGTAGAATAAAAATTATATAGTAATGATTTATTTTTACTTCTAAAAGATATGGTTGACGAAGATCCAGAAAAAAGACCAAGTTATAAAGATGTTCAAGAAAAGCTTAAAATAATAGAATAAAAAGAAAATTTTCCTGAGGAAGTAAATTCTAAATAAATAACTTTTTTTTTAAATTTGTTATTTTTATCTTATTAATTTAATCATAGGAAGAAGAGTTGAAAAATGTTTAGGATGAATCAAATTACAAATTATTTTTAAGTAAACAAAAAATAAACGATGAAATTTATCATTAATATTACATTTTTTTGAAGAGGAAAAAAAATAGAAATTAGTTAAGGAGATTTAAGTAAAAAATTTAAAATGGATTAATAAATAAATAATGGACAAAAATAAAAATAAAGGCTGCTAGAAAATACACTGTTGATAAATGCAACAATGTTGGTACACATGGACAGAACAGAGTATGTTAATTTAATTAAATAAATTTTATATTTTAAATTATTTTGCTAAAAAATTATAGAAAGTAAAAAAAAATACAATAAGAAGAAATTCTAATAACTTTTAATAAAAATAAAGTTTGTAATAAATTAATAATTTAAAAACTAAGGCGCTTTTTAAATTAATTACAAAAATGGTTTATTAATAGTGGCAGGTAAAAAAATTTAAAATATTTAAGCCAAATTAAATTGCTTTTAATAACAATGAAGGACTGGGTAAATAAAAATTGAGTTAGATATTTGATGTTTTAGCTTTGGTTAAACTATTAAAAGGATGTAATTTATTATATGAAAGCAAACATAATAATAAATAATTGTAAATATAATAAAGGCAGTAAATTTTTAGAAAAAATGAAAAAAATTTAACTTTTTATAAGATTGAAGTAAATTAGAGTTTTGTCAGAATTAAAATCAAGGTTGAATATCTAAAATTTAAAAGAAAGTAAAAATTCTTAATTATTTATTTTTATAATCTTTTAAATTGACTTCTTTATTTTTTTAGAATGTAAAATTAGAATAAAAAATAATATTTGAATTTGCAATGATATCCATTCTCTTATTAATTAGATAGTAAATTAATTTTCTAATCAAAATATTTTTTGTATCATTCATTTATTTTTAAAAAAAAGTTTTGGGTATGCTTTAAATTTGAACAAAATCCATATAAAACAATACTTGAATTTTAAAAAGTGGGTAAATGAATTATTTTAATTTATAAAAATTTTATTTTAATTAATTAATTTATTTATTATAAAAAGACAGTAATTTATTAAAATCTTTAGTTAATAAATATGAAAGGAATATATTTTGTTTCTAAAAGGAAAAAGTAAATAAAAATTAAAAATTATTTAAATTATATAACAAATTTATTTATAAACAAACTTAGGGAGTAATTATGAAGTTGAATGAAATTAAAATTTTAAAATATTTTGGAATAGAAAAAGGTCTTTAAAATTAATTTAAATAATAAGAATTATCTATTGACATATAATTATTGTTAAAATTTAGTTTGTAATTTAAAAAATATAAATTTATGAACAACATTAATTATTTTTTTAAATAAAAAGCATGGAGTAAATAAATTTCAACTTATACTCTCTGATCACATTTGAACCATCTTTGAAATTTTTATTAAAAGCATAGAGTAATTTATAATTTAATTTATTTGATGATTCAAATATTTTTAAAAAGCTTGAGGTAAATTATAACACAATTCAATCAGTGATTAATTCTGCTAAAAAAGGGACCAAATAGTTGGAAGGTATTTAAATATCTAATAAAAGCTTTATATAAATTTTTTATCAAATTAAAAAGTGCTTTTAATGTTGGAATTTGTATGAGTAAGGAAGACTAAAAGTTGAACAACTTGTTGAAGAAATGGGATACTTAAATATTTGAAATTAATTAAATTTATTTTATAAAATTAAATAAATTTCTTTGTATGTTAAAATGTAGTTTTTTATATTTGCTCGTTTTTTATAATTAATTATTTTTCTTTAAAAAAATCAATAAAAATTTTCATTTTTCTCTAAAAATAAAATGAAAAAAACTAAAAAAATTTTTTTAAAGCTTAAAGTGATATTTAACTTAAGAAAAGTTAAAAGGGGTTGGGGTTGGGGTTGGGGTTGGGGTTGGGGTTGGGGTTGGGGTTGGGGTTGGGGTTGGGGTTGGGGTTGGGGTTGGGGTTGGGGTTGGGGTTGGGGTTGGGGTTGGGGTTGGGGTTGGGGTTGGGGTTGGGGTTGGGGGTTGGGGTTGGGGTTGGGGTTGGGGTTGGGGTTGGGGTTGGGGTTGGGGTTGGGGTTGGGGTTGGGGTTGGGGTTGGGGTTGGGGTTGGGGTTGGGGTTGGGGTTGGGGTTGGGGTTGGGGTTGGGGTTGGGGTTGGGGTTGGGGTTGGGGTTGGGGTTGGGGTTGGGGTTGGGGTTGGGGTTGGGGTTGGGGTTGGGGTTGGGGTTGGGGTTGGGGTTGGGGTTGGGGTTGGGGTTGGGGGT